GTCCTTGACAGGTTGCTACACAAATGGATGATGATGATGATTGCCTTTTGTGAAGGTACGTAAGTAAACAGCATCCAATAATGAAGGTGTGTCAAGGTATGCATCACATTTGAATGTAGAAGAGCTGCATAAACCAATTTGTATATGTAAAAAGATACATGTACATATTGAATGGGGTCACTCATCCTGAAACTCAATGGAGGGATCTCTTCACTTTTTCTCTTCTCAAGCTCATCCCACTTCCCACTCCTCCTTATTGTATCACAAAAGCCATACTACTTCTTGCATGACCGATAACCGGACCAGCTTTATTATTCCATCTTCGAAGCAATAGTATGTACAGTAATCCACACAGTTAATTGGTGGTTGATGGCGATATTATGGTGAGCGACATGGGTTTGCATAAAACTAGGAGCAAGTAGCAAAAGTTGTCAAGGTACGAACGGGTACTGTATTTATTGGATTGCCGTAAATGCATAAGACGGGTGTGATACTAGATAACATTGGCAAATGAAGAAGATACGGGTGAATTACATAGAGCCAATGGGTGTCATTGTGCCATTGTATTCTTGGTTACTGCCGCCATAAACATCCTCCGTCCATGATTGCAAAATAATAGCTGCTGCGTGCATTAACTCGCATCCCAATATCTATCCATGGCTGTAAACACCTTTGGTCAATTCCATCCCATCCATCATCATCCTCAGCCGTATCCACGTGATATGATCCATCCTTCTTGCTGACAATGCGACAAGTGAACAAAGCAACATTCCAGGGTTTCTCAACACTGCACGTGATTGGCGCAAAGCGTCGAATGGAACAGCAACAAAAAAACAAGAGTGATGATGACACTTTGGCAACAACCATCCATTGCACTCCTTGCCTAATGCATGTCAATTGTCATCATGTATAGTTTGCATGTACCAATTGCTGTCAACCATAAATGACTTTTTTGTACCCGACAAGTTGCTTGAAACCATGTTTGTTTATTCATCACTCCAACTAGCATTACCCAGTAGACTAGATTCATCGGATGATGATTGTCCTTCATCTTCTATCCTTCCATGGCCTTCTTGTGTTGCGTATGAATCTTGGGTATCAGGTTCATGAGGACCGATAACAGGAGGAACCCCCTCTCGTATGTCTGATGTTATCACCTTGAACCCCAGATCGTTCTAGTGTATAAAGTAACGTCTTAATGATAACAATGCGGTAACATCCTTTGCACAATTCATTCAACATACTGGTATAAGGTTGATGGTATCTCCATTAAAGACCTGGATCTCTTTTCGTAGAGGAAGTTGCTTTCCATTCAACAAGGACGGGTTGGGAGCGAGCTATTGGTACGCGTTAAAGCTCTTTGCATTCAAGACTTGTGTAACTTTATACATACCCTCTCGATAAAACATCGGCCATCGTCAAGTAAACTTATTTGCACTATCCAAATGTGCAAATACGCGTTAATTGGTGCATGGTATCAATAGTTCAAGTTGCTCTACCTTGCTTCCTGCTGACATGGGGATTGAGTATTTCAAGGTGTTTCGGATTCCCTCGCCCAAGTATAAAAGGCTCCTCTTCATGGAGAGTGATCTGGTGTCCATTGCGTAGGTCAATTAGCGAAGCCATGACATGAAGTAGGGAAGAGCCTTTTTGCAGTGGTGGCCGGAAGTTGGAAGAGTTGGTTGGATCTGTCAAAGAGCTGCGCAAAATGGTTGATCTGCCGAGCCTGCTAAATTTGGAGAGAGAGTATCCAACAGCAACAGCCATCAACAATGGGCGCTGGATGATGTACTACTTGGTGAAGAAATGGATGGCAACCCTATCAAATGAATACAATGCTATATGGTGACGTTGTTCGCACAACAATATAAAGTAAATTATGGCAGCCAATTCATGCACGGACCTCGTTGACTTTAGCATTGCGCACTTGAGGCGTTATTGGAGTGGAGTTCAACCAATAATCCGCACATAGATCGATGTAACATAGCTACATCCTTATTTCAAGTAATAACCGCCTTCTTCTTTCATGTTGCACGCGTTTAGGAAAAGGGATCGATAGGCACACTCCACCTTTATTGTGTGCATCATTGACGATGATGAAAAGAAACGAGGCTGAGATCATGAATGACGCAATAGTCGCAGTAAATGCTGATGTTCCGGTATATGCTCACAAAGTTCATGAAAGAGGAAATGCCCAATCAAAAAGCGTGTGAATCAATACACACACACATCCTATCCTTTTATTTATTGTTATGACCAACATCACTATCGAAGACATCCAGGCAGCCGCTGCACGTATCAACGTGCACCGTACGCCTGTGATCACATGTTCCACCCTCGACACCATAGTATCCGAGGCCACTGACAATTCGGTACAGCTCTTGTTCAAGTGTGAAGCACTCCAAAAGACCGGATGTAAGAATGCGCTCATGCCCAATGTACCAAGCGACTCATTTAGAATTGTGCACACACACAGCCTTCAAGATTCGAGGTGCAAGCAATGCCGTACAGCTATTGAGTGATACGGACGCAGCGAGCGGTGTGGTGACGCATTCATCTGGTAACCATGCACAGGCACTCGCGTATGCTGCTAGGCAACGCGGTATCGAAGCCCATGTTGTGATGCCACGCAATGCACCGGTGACTAAGAAGGCAGCTGTTCGGAGCTATGGAGCAAATGTGATCGAGTGCGATGCAACACAAGCTGATCGTGAGCGTGTGGCGAATGAAGTCATGCGCAAAACAGGTGCAACCTTTATTCATCCATACAACAATCCCAATGTCATTGCTGGTCAAGGCACAATTGCACTGGAAACCATTGCACAAGTGAGCGAACTTTTGAAGGGTGCATCGTTGGATGCCATGTTGATCCCTGTTGGTGGTGGTGGTATGATCTCTGGTTGTGCTGTGGCGACCAAAGCATTGAGCCCTGGGACTCGTGTCTATGGAGCGGAGCCACAAGCCGTGGATGATTGCCATCGTTCCTATCAAGAAAAGAAGCGATTAGCCAACAAACCAGGAACCCAATCGGTCGCAGATGCATTGTTAGCTGACTTGGGTGAAATCGCATTTGGTATCATTTCGGAGTCTGTGGATGGGATCTTCACTGTCACTGAGGAAGAAATTGTACGTGCCATGGGTCTCGTGTGGACACGTATGAAGCTTTGCATTGAACCAAGTGCTGCTGTTGCTGTTGCTGTTGCCCTTTACAATACCGAATTCCATCAAATCATCCGCCAACAAAATCTACAACGTATTGCTATCGTTCTTTGTGGTGGTAATGTTGACGTTGCACGTGCCGCACTACTTCTCTCCAATGATAAATGATCTTCGAAAAAATAAAGTTTCTCACGTTTCCTTTTTCTTTTCTTTTTTCGCCCCTCTTTCACTCTCTTTCCCTCTTTTTCTATCATGTCGCTTTCGACTAGCCGACAACGTCACCTTTTGAGTACAAGGCAGTTACAAGAATGCCCACCTTGCTTCAACTGCCAACTTTCAACTGACAAGTGCACCAACGGCGGTCTATGTGATCCCAGCGGAGTCTGCCAATGCATTTCTGGATGGGGTATGCCTAGCAACAATAGACTCCCACGACGACGCTATGATGAGTACTCAAACACCATGATCGTTGATAGGAGATACGGATTGCTCAAAGCCGCTTTGTGGATCGCTTTATTCAGAGGATCGCCCTATTCGTCAAGGGGATCATTGTGATTGTGATGATGGGTAAAGGCAACAGCAGCAGCAATCATGATTGCGTGTTCTTGTATTCATTCACCTATACCATGTATAGTTGGGGTGGTGTCAATTGCAACGTGTGTCAATCCGATCAAGCTTGTATTCCTGCCAAAGGAGCCAATGCAACATGTTCAAAAACAGCTATCGGTATAAAATCCATGCATGCTTGGTGTGACACCACGAGTAGGTACAGCAATAATAAGCTCGAGCGTAGTATCTTGCACGCATGCTTACCTTGTAAGATAGACATCCCTTGGATTGACAACACGCATGTATCATTACAATGTGATTGGGAACAATCACAGTGCGTTTTTCAATTTTGGAAGGACTCTCAAGAGCAATTCTACTGTGAGCTTTCGGATTGCACCCAAACAAGTAAAGTGTGCCTCCCATTCATCCTTGTAAACCAAACCATCACTCACATTGATTGTTTTTCAATAGCTACGGATGGCGTAGAGGTGCATGGAAAGTGTGAAAACGCTGTATGCGGCTGTATGGAAAATGCTTTTATGTGTGGGGGTGAAGTAGGTATGCCAATTCCTGGATCAGCCTTGTAGGGTTCACCTCTCGTTGCTAATGGACGTCGTCATAGACATGTCAAAGCTGGTTGCCAATGTCAAAGGACCGTCAGAGTGGTATTGTAAAGATGGACAAAATTGCTGGTACAATGGTAGGTTGCACATACGCAATTGCATAGCCATGCTGTATACTTACACGCACTCTCACGTAGAATACTCCACCTTGGTTGGCATTTTCCCGGATAACATCATGTTGAGTTGTGATGTAGGCGAATGCCTCAATGATCAAGATTTAGCCGATGTTGCTCCCATTGTCGGTAACTATTCATCAACATCCTTGTAATGCGTCTAATACAAGGTTTATAGGATCGTTCGTTTTCAGGGGTAACAGAGTCCTTGATTGCCTTTGTGGTGATCCTCGTTGGCATCATCGTTTATGCAGCAACAAAGTTAGCAGTAAAGCGACAACAACGGATGTTTGGTGGAAGCATCCAGCTTTCTGATATTTATGAAAGTGAACAAGATGCTCAAAATCAGGATGATGAGATTGAAAGCGAAGAGGCCTTGCTTACGTTTGACAATGTCACCTATACCGTTGGTAAGTCAAAAGCAATGAGGAATGGATGGGATAGGTTTTCACAGTGTACACATCAACGATAAAGGAGGAAAGCGGATCTTATCCAAAGTACGTGGGTATGTTGAGCCTGGGCAGATCTTGGCTATCATGGGACCATCCGGTGCAGGAAAATCGAGTCTTCTTGATATTCTCGCAAGGAAACCAAAACGGGGCATCGTCAGCGGTGACATCTTGATCAACAATGTGTATCCAAGCAAGAAGCGCATCAAGAAAATAACCGGCTTTGTCGACCAAGATGATACATTGATGGCAACCTTGACCGTTCGCGAGACGCTCATGTATGCAGCAACACTCCGATTACCACGCAACATGCCAATACAGCAAAAACAAAAGCGAGTGGCCCAAGTCATCCAAGAATTAGGATTGGAAAGGATTGCAGATATGGCGATTGGATCACCTGGTCATCGAGGGATCAGTGGAGGAGAAAAAAGACGTGTGAGTATTGGCAAAGAGCTGGTGACAGGTCCAAGTTTGCTGTTCCTTGATGAACCTACAAGTGGCCTTGACGCCTACAACGCTGCCATGGTGATGGAGTGCCTTAAACGACTCGCCAAACACAAACGACACACCATCGTGGTGACCATCCACCAGGTAAATTTGTGCATAAGCGCACGTGCACATGGCATTGTTTGTATGTAATGCTCACTCCACATACGTATGTAGCCACGCACCAACATCTACAACATGTTTGATTCGCTCATGCTGCTTGCTTATGGAAACACAGTAAGTATTTGAATGATGGCTTTTGCCTTTTGATCTTGGGACTCAACAAAGTCAAGGTGTACTTTGGACCAGCTAGTCAAACATCACGCTATTTTCGCGACATTGGATTTCCTATTCCAGCGGGTTATAATGTAGCAGATTATCTGAGTAAGTGTAAAGCTTTAAGAGTGGCGCAATAGTGAATGTTGATGGTTGGCCTATGTATCTAGTTGATCTCACGATTAAACGACCTGATGACACAACAACCGATCGCGATGGGACGACTCACTCGCGATCATCATCATCATCCACCGATACCATACAACAACACCAACTTGATGATGAGCCATGCAACAACGAGAATGAAGAATCATTGTTGCACATCTCAGATGTGATACGTGACATGAATACTGGTGAACCACACAACTCGATGGAATTCAGCCTCTTATCAGAAGCAAACCATACATACCACCTTGTTCAGTCTTTTAAATCATCACGCTTTGCCGAGGCCTTAGACGAACGAATCCGAAAGCCACATGCACATTATCCCAAACAACAACCTGGCAACGACTCATCCTTTTCAATGATCCAATTTATGCATGAGCTTGTAAGTACACATAGTTTTTGGTTGTTGCACACACCCAATTCATGCTTGTTTTTGGTAGAAAATTCTCTCATCCAGGACATTTATCAACCTTTATCGGGACCCATCTCTCTTTTTTGCTCACATCACGTGTTCAACATTATTGGGTGTTCTTTTGGGTACGCTTTTTTGGCAAGTAGACGTTGATTTATCAGGCGTACAGAATCGGCTTGGCGTGTTGTTCTTTATGTGTGCTCTTTTAGGATTCGCATCAACAAGTGCACTGAGCATGTTCAATCGGGAACGACTTATCTTTATGCGAGAGCGAGAGAATGGATACTATAGTGCCTCCAGCTATTTTATCGCAAAGCTGTTATTCGACTTGATTCCATTACGCGTTTTTCCTCCTCTCTTGATGGGATCCACGAGCTATTACATGATTGGCTTGAACCCAACAGGAACCGTATTTGGCAAATTCTTGCTGGTGCTGGTCTTGTTTAACCTTTCAGCAGTTGGCTTATGTCTTTGTTTTGCAACTGCAATCAAGAACTTGGCGTCTGCAAATCTATTCTCGAACCTAGTCATGTTGTTTTCAATGCTCTTTGGTGGATTTTTACTCAACAAAGGTATGTGTAAGGCGCGTAGTTTCAATCAGCTCAGATGGCTCATTGTTTATTATGCAGATCACATACCGAGCTTCCTAAGGTACGGTACAGCAGCAGATGGACCCATGTAAATTTGCGTACTCACCCTATTAATGTTGCTGTAGCTGGCTAAAATACCTGAGCTTCTTTAATTACGGATACGAGGCATTGATCGTGAACGAGCTCAAAGACCTTACACTTCGAGACGATACGATTGCCGACATCAAAATCCCTGGCTCTATCATCTTGACACGGTTTGGGTTTGATAGTCAAGCATTTTGGATTGACATTGTACGATTATCCTTATTCGTAACCATTACGTTGACCATTGCCTTTTTACTCTTAAAGTTTTTCGTGATAGAACAACGTTAGGGGTTCTTCTTCTTGAATAATTTATTGATATTACTAGGCTTGTACATATATAAATAAGATCACTCGTCTTTTTCAAATCGTCCCTTCAATGTGCCATTGTTTGGTGCAGGTTCGATATCCAAAATGTCAGCCACTAGATTATGCACTTCTATATTCCAGAATGGCTTGAGCATTGATCCTGATCCATAATGCTTTTCAAAGAATGGGCCACTCGCCACGAAGATCGCACGAGATTCTGGATGCAAGTTGTCATAGCCGTGGGTACCGCGAGGACTCAATGGAGCATCCAAGTCAGGATATTCATCATGCGTACCCATCAACCAACCAGCATCGGGGACGACGAGAAGTGGAGGAATGCGAACATGGTCTTGGAAATGATAACGTTCAGGAATTTGGTCTCGCTTGTACACTTGGAATTCTGGGTGCACCTTTTGGAGTCGTAAAAAGGCTTGATAGAGGGGTTCAGTGTACTCTTCATGAACAGGCCAAATCGATAACAATGGATATCCCTCAATTCGATCGATCATGCTTAGCTCGTTTGGTGTCAATTCATCATCGTAAAGGATAAGGCGTGATTTTGAAGTGGCCGACATGCCATGATCACTGACAACAATGACATTGACGATATCATCCAAATGACGTGCTGCTAAACCTTCCAGCAATTGACCAACGCTTGCATCTACGCTATGAAGCGTATCCAACGTCTATTCCAACAACAATGTCAGCGTGAAAATAGGCGAGATGGGATGCTATTTGGATCACTCACCTGCTTAGCATAGGGTCCATAACGATGCCCCGCTTGATCGATTTGTGGAATGTAGACAGCAATAAACTCAGGACGCTCACCAATTGGCATATCCAACCACTCCAATGTCAAGGCCATCTTTTCTTCGTGTGTCATGTCATCGTTGTAAGGTACTTCAATCGTTGGTTTCAAGTCGCCATCGAAGACAGTGCTGCAACCAGGCCACATGATGACACCTGATGTTCTATTTTGCCGAACAGCCGTGTTCCATATCTATTATCATCATGTTGAGGTTAGCGTTAGGCAATGAGGTATCCTCCTCCTCTTCCTCCTTCTCAACTTACAGGCTCGCCACCCCACCACTTCTTGTCATGGCTGTGTGATGGATCCTTGTAATTGAACGTATCATTCATGACAGGGTCGTAAAAGACATTGTAGATGATGCCATGAGATTCTGGGTATAGGCCTGTTACAAGACTCCAATGATTGGGAAAGGTGATGGGCTACATGATGTAGGATGGGTTATGAGTACATTACAAGAGCATCGCCATGACAACGCCGCAGTATGTATACTTACAGGAAAGCTAGGCGTCAACCATTGAGCACGAACACCATGATCAGCTATAGCATCCTTGATGAGCTTTCATCCTATATCATTCCTTGTATAGTAGGGGGTGCATACATACCAATAGAGCTCAAGTGAGGGGTGATGGATAGATCCAGATCATCATTTACTGTGCCGTCGAGCGATATCATGATCACCGTAGGATGATATTCGTGAGTACCATTGGACAAAGTACGCGACAACGTTGGAGGCACATGATACGGAAGGGCAAAGACAGTGGATGCAGTGAGGAGACCAGTTATCGTAATCGCCGTAATGACTTTCCAGCTTGGAAGGAAGCTGCTGAATGAGACGCCGCCCTAGAAATGCACATGCCCATTAGAACACGCGTGGTGTGTTTGCAATGTCGTGACCAGCTCATACCTCATTGTTTGGCGTCGTTGATGGCTGCTGCTGTTGCTGCTGCCCTACGGTACCGTAAGTCTTTTGAAGAGGGGCCATGGATAGGAGAAATAGAGAGAAGGTTGGTTGCTTCGGCACCCTTTTATTTCATCTTCAGCTTGTGTGTGTGCGTGCACCCATCCCGAGAAACGGCAGTAATGCAACAAATATCCGAATGCAGCAGGTACCACCACACTTCTCGCCCTGAGTGTAAATATTTAAGCAGCCAATAGAGTGCTTCATGCATGTCATGCGGTACACCCACCACACCTTTGGATCAAGCGCGCTACTACTACTACCAATGACGACGTATCAACATTAATGGATGGCCCATTCAACATGTATGTAGGAATACCACATCTACAAAGCCTACATAAAGTGTTCTATATGCAAGTATAAATAAACCTTTTATGATCACTGGACGTGGTTGTTGCCATGGTGTACCATACCCTCGTTGTAACGTAGAGATCAACATGGGTGTAAGAGGAAGTACCATTGGTTGTGATGAATGCAACTAGTAAACGAAGAACATTCTGTGCAGTGGATTCAAATGATGAAAGATCGAGAAAGAGAATTGGTGTGGCTACTTTTTGAGCGGATGGAGTGATGGGATCTTCCGAGGCATCGATGCATTATCGGGAGCAAAAGTATCGGGAAAACGCTATAGTCAAATGAGCTATCAATTCATGATCGCGTGCACGGCATGAATGAGCCTTCAGCTCTAGGGATCACAATGCATGTTACACCACCGGTGTTCCTGAATACAAAGAGTTCATTCATATCATGGTCCAAGTTGGTTAGTGTGTGTCCAAAGATCCTGTACAAATGATGACAGCAGGGTACAAATATATATTTGGCAGATGTAGACGAAGAAGAAGAAAAAAGAAATATTACAGTCGTGGATTTACAAGGCGGGTATTGCAGAATGATAAAGCGTGTAAATGGAAAAAGAAGTTGGACGCTGGTATACTAGCAGGATGAGGAGGAGGAGGAGGAGCTGCTGCCAGCCATGAGCAACTGTATCTCATGGACTTGACAGCAAAAAGAAACATGATGTAGATTCATGATCGGTATACGTCCATTGATAGCTTTGCACTATAAACACCATGTTAATTTCTCAGCAGCTGATGTAAGGTGTAAATCAAACTACTTACCATCAGTTTCGGATATCCGCTGCCGTCACATCAAAGTCCATTGCATCCACTGGTAGTTGCTGATGAGTCGAGTTGGCTTGCATAAAGATTTGCTTGTGCATGTGAGGAGAATTTGGCAAGCTGTCATTGAATTTGGTCAAGGCAGCACACGATGATGTCGAAGATGTTTGTACGCATGAGAAAAACTGATTCAATAGCCGCACACCACCATCGTCATCATCATCTTCTCGGGATGGCTGCATATCATGGTCGGCAAGAAACTCATTGAGACATGCTGTCAAATCATTGGGGAGACCTTGATAATTGTGGTTGTTGGATCTGAGGACACGAATGATGCGATGAATCATGTACTTTGCATGTTGACGTGCAGCATCGTCTTTCGTCAGGGCGTTGCGGCAATAAATGGTCGATGCTTGATAGATACAATTGATGAATTGCTGACACACGCACCATCCATATTGTTCAGTGATAAGCTCAGCAATCACGACAATACGATTGGCGGCATCTGTACATATAGCGTGTGATCGTTCAATGCGTTGTTGTGGCAAAGGTGCCTGTCCAGGCGAAACAGGGCTTTTGGGTGAATCCAAAGGTGGTGTGAATGGTGAAAGGGACATGTTTTTGGTCAAGAATGTCTTGTGTAATACGATCCATTGTGTCTGATATTGCAACATGAGCAAAAGAGCTGATTGATCACGAAGCATTTCGGGTGGCATTGGATGTCGTTCACGTGGACACGGCTTGGGAGGACTGCCAATGGTTTGTCTCGGCTGTGGATCGACACGATAAAAAGCGGGTAGTTGTTCAAACCATTGCGCCAGCGCAATCTCTATACTCTGGACCCGCTTTGCCCACCGTATTGGAAGCTCTCCACTGTAATGATACCTCAAGTGCTCATAATCCCGAAAGATCCGCTCCGTCCGTTTGCTGATACGCATGAGCTCAAGCAAATATGAAAAGTACGTCTCCTTGACCACCATGTTGTCGTTGCATCCAGCTTCTCCATTTCGATGTAATATCTCATTGAGCTCAATAATCTCGTAAAAGTCGATATCACAGTTCTCATCCATCACAAGAAAAGGATCACGTGAATATATTGATGTCGTCACGTCGTTGTAATAAAGCACCATGAAGAGCTTTAGGTATTGCTTGCGTAGGACTCGATCTGTTGGTAATTTGCTGCGTTGATGCATTCCCATCTCTAACATCATCCGGAAGGCGAGGCTGATATAGATCCTTGCTTGTGAATGTCGCTTGCACACCATACAAAACATGGCAAGATTCAACAACGTCTCCAGGGTTGCACAATCAGGTGAGTCAAAGAATTCCATAAGTGATTCACGAGCACGATCGTAATAGTAATAAGCAATGTCGAGAGCATTATTGCATGCGCTATTGTCGTGGCGAATGACATGTAAAAATACAATGGCGAGACCCGAGTCGATACACACCTGGTTACGTTTTGGGTCACCTGAACGATCCCAAAACGAATACCAATCGCAAGTGAACTTTGGATGAAGACAATCCCAAAAGACATGGCCGATATAGTTGAGAACGCTTGGTGAGACATCCTCTGTCAACCGGCTCAAATTCATCTCACAATGTCGATAATTCTCCAAGCATGTCTGTGGTCTTCTTCCAATAGCAATGTGCCAATATTCAGTCGCTGGATCAGTCTCCAAAGGATCCACCCATACTGATAAACTTGATGTCGACGAGGAGGGTGATGGTATTGCATCCTCTGTATCATCATGCATCATGGCTGCTGCTGCTGATGCTGCCCCACCAACACCACCACCAACACCACCACCATTCTCCATCTCGGGTTCCTCTGCAAGCACACGAATCTTCCGTACTGCATCCACCAGTTGTTCAATAGAAGTGATGTTCGTCTCAAGTCTCAAAGAGTTGCCAGGTTGAAAAGATAATGTCCATTGCATCGATTTGTCTTTCATCTTTTGTTCCGCCCAGGATTGTAGTAATCGAGAACTCAGCTGCTTTTGTTGTGGTTGTGGTACTGGTGCTTGTGGTGGTTGTGCTGTTGCTGTTGCTGTTGGCGGCGCTGTTGCTGGTCGTTGTTGCTGCTGCTGCTGCTGTTGCTCTTTGGCTGAACGAAGTTGCTGTTCCTTTGCTTCACTAGTGCGCAGCTCATCCCTTCTTTTTTGAAATTGCTGAGATGCTTTGTCGAGTTCTTTCGTCATTCGAGCAAGGACAGGTGTTGTTTTCTCAATCCATGACTCTATTTCATAAAAAGTGATTTGCAGCGATTCCAAGTCGTCTTGTTGTGAAGTTTTCTTCTCCTTTGGTGTCGCCTTTGGATTATGCTGTCGAGTACGTTTATGTGAGGAAGAGGATGATCGAGAGGATGTTGTTGCATGTTGTTTTGAAGAAGCTGCCATATCCAACAAAAGCATGAATCCAAGGGCGGCGGCGGGAAGAAGTAAAAGAGAGAAAGAGAGAGTGTGTGTGTTAAGCGGTAAATGTAGGAACACAACCCCCATTTGGTGAGGCGATGTAACCACTGAGTGATGACGCTTTGTTAGCTATTCTTTATTGATTGGTTCGTCTGACTCACCCTGCACATGATGGTCCGATAAGGTGGCGGGCCAAAGCAAGATCGATCTCAACTTTCGCACGATAGACTTTGAGATACACGAGATGACAACAACGTGGCTAATCCTCTCCGCAAAAAAAAATACGCCCCCACACCATTGACTACTTTTGCCATTCGTTTATCTATAAATGTAACTACTTGTTTGAACAACTACCCCCATCTCATCTCCATAAGAAAACACAAACTTGGCTAATCCAGCCAAAAACAGAATTTGAGAGAACGATCGTTATACTTAGTTTCAGCATACGCCACCTTGGCTATTTTTCCCTCTTCTCTCTTTCTTTGCTATCATGTCGTTTGACGCTTCCAAGAAACGTAAAAATACTCAAGTATTGGAAACAGTATGTTTCCATGGAGACACATTTTTATTCATCACCATGGATACTGACTCAAACGCAAACAGAATGATGACGTGAAGCGACCCATTCCAGAGACACCTTCCTCTGCCTATGACAAAAATGAAGAGCACAGCATTAACACCAGCTCCTTTATCCCCGTGACATCGTCGTCGTCATCACCCGCCGACCCTCTACGTCCCAAATCGCCACCATTGGGCATGACATTGTCCCATTTCGATGCGTCGACTGGAAGCTATAGCTCATCGGTTGTAAATATCACAGACGCTGTTGACACCAATGTTTGTTCAGGGATGACGCCTGTTTATCGTACAGCAGCAGAACGCTATGGATCCGAGATTCTTTGAAAAAGCGTACCTATCGTATCAATCAATAAACGACGTTGCATCCATTCCATCGCCTACTGGTACCTTTTTGTGTGAATGCATTTACAAATTAGATTATCGGAAGCAATCTTAATTCTATTGTTCTCTAGAAATGTTGATTGGCCCAATTTGAGTGACTCCAATCCATCGCTTGAACTTTTATCGCTCGTTTCTTTAACCTTCATCACCACTGGGCACCGCAATTTGTTTCTCCTTCTCCCTTTCTCTCTCTCTCCCACTCTCACATCATGTACACTCCTCCTCCTCCCAATTCAAAGATCATCATTGTGGGTGGTGGTACATTTGGCTTGTCCACGGCATATGCATTATCCCAAAAAAACAAATACGACATCTGGGTTTTTGATCGACAGGAAATTCCTTCACCTGATGCTGCCTCTACAGGTAACATTGCTTTGCAAAACAATCCCACGGTGCCATCCATGTTGTAGCTCACGCCGTTTTTGATACCCTCCTCCTCCAAAGATATCAACAAGATTGTTCGCATGGATTATGGCGATGAACCCATGTACATGAAGCTTACATTGGAAACCTTCCCACTATGGCGTCAATGGAATGAGGAACGAGCAGCCAAGGGAGAGAGCCCAGTATACCATGAAACGGGTGTCTTGATGATGTCCCAAAACGGCAAGTTTACAAACTACGAATTGACGAGCATGAAGCATATTCGAGAGGCTGGTTATGGTCATGTCATTGAAGAGCTGCAAACCCCAGAAAGCATTACAAGCCGTTTCCCAGTGTTTAAGGATGCTGTATCGAAAGGATTCGATATCGCTTACCTCAACAAGATGGGTGGTAAGTACATGCAAGGTGTAATCCCACAACATTTTCATTTTTAAAACCATCATCTATTATGTAGGTTGGTGTAACTCAAGTGAAGCCATCAAGCATTGCTATAATAAATGCGTCGAGAACGGGGTCCACTTTGTCATTGGCGATATGAAGGGCTCATTTGAGGAAGTGTGCTGTGAAGCAGCAGGTGGCAAAGTGGTCGGCATTCGCACCAAGGATAACCAAGTGCATTCATGCGATTTATTAATCATGGCAACGGGTGCCTGGACTCCTGGATTAGTGGATGTGGGTGATCGTGTGATTGCAACGGCACAAACAGTTGTCCAAATCAAGCTTCCCGAGCCCCTTCGTAAAGCGTATGGTGATCAGCCTGGTGTTTGGTGTGCCGATTTATCAACCACGGGCTATTATGGATTTGCTCCCAATGAAGATGGTATTATCAAAGTGGGTCATCATTCGCGTGGTTATTTAAATTTGCGTGACAAGGACCTTGTTTCGGTGCCTCGTACTCAAGTCACCAATCCAAATGATACCATCCCCATAAAGTCGTTGCGTGGCATTCGGCAATTCTTGGGCAGCTTTTTCCCATTCACCGCCAGTTTGGATATCGTGCGTGCAAGGAATTGCTGGTAAGGAGGCTACATACATACTTTGATCATCCATGTGCTCAAGCTCACGATTTCCAAAGGTATTGCGACTCGGTGGATGGTCATTATTTAATCGCCCCACATCCAGAATACCAAAATTTGATCGTTGCTACAGGTGATTCTGGCCATGGTGCGAAAATGCTCCCCATCATTGGCTATAAGATTTGTGATGTGATTGATGGTATCGACACTGAATACACTCGAGCATGGGCATGGCGTGACATGGGTGGGGACGCTAAGGATGGTGCATTTGATAACCTTCGTGCCTCAATGGCTAATCAAGAACAGCTTCAATTAAACACCGAGGACGCTCAAACAAGAATGGCCACTCTGGAAGAATTACAAGCAAATCTACCTCGTTTGTGAGATGTATATCCCGCATGTATGTGTATCGGTTGCAGAGGTTTGCTTTTGTCCATTGTAGGAATGTCACTGTAGGATTGTGAGTCCATAATTAGGAAGAAGGATCATAGCAACCTTGTCATTCTCTTCCAAATAAAAGAGTTTTCATTTTACACATATGCACGCACATAGAGCCAACCATCCCAATAATAATACATCCAATGCAATATTAAAAAAAACGGAGCAAAGCATCTTTTTGGTGTTATCATTGCTGCTGCTACGTTACAAACACTATTATTACTACTCTCAGCTATTTAATATACAAGATGGATGGATGAATGAATGACAACTGTTTAGCTACGACGCATTCGGTGACCAGGGATAAAGACGAATATGATACTGCAGATAATGGAGATCACCAGGGAGATGGCAAGGAACATGTAGGCACGTTTACGATGGGCACGCAATACGCTCTTGTCCTGGATACGCGTAAAGACAAAGAAGCTTGTTTCACTATGCATAAAGGTGAGTAAGTTGTGAAAAAGGAAACACATAGACACCCATTTACCTTTTACTTGTAAAGGCCAACCACCAAGAGAAGTGAGTGAATCCAGTGATAAAGCATGACCATCCCAAAAAGAAAGGCAATAGACCCCACCAACGCGTAGGAATGGAACCTTGATCGAGTAGGATCAATGAGAGTTCCACAGCAAATGCCACGGTCAATAAGATGCATCCGAGCATCATATAAAGACGAGCACTGCTACGAGCGACATTGGTGTGTAACATGGCATCGACAAATTGAGGATAATAAAACACATTCAAGACTTCGAATACATGCGATCGGGCTGAATTGAATACAGCTGGTTCAGGGCGATGATGTTTTTCAATTAGCTCCTCCAAAGCTGTGCGATAGTCGTCAGGCAAATGAATGGGTTGTGCAGCATCGAGGGGTGAACAAAAGGTGCGATAGATACGTGTAGCGTTTTGTTGCAAGTCATGTCTTCCAAGGGAGGAGGATTGACCTTGTGGAATACGAGATGCATAGTCCTCCGTCGTTGTTGGTGAAGTAACAGGTGGTCCTCGCATACTCCCAAGAAGATTTTGTGTGTCGGGCGTTTCAGTGTAAGCACCAGAGGTAGCAGCAGTAGTATGATGATGATGATGATGATGTGGGTCGTACATTTCCATCATGGTATCTTTGGTATTTGCTGGTTTCTCGGCTGCACTTTCCAAAAAGCGTGATAACCGATCCTTAGTGTGTCGTCTGGCACTTGATAAATGTGCATGCCATAGCTTATCATGTGTCTCCAATTCTAAAAGGAAACTCACATTTTGATGAACGCCTCGTCGTCGTAGGAACGCCATAAAGTTGCTTTGTGTGAGTGGTGCCAATGTATGTAATCGCATCATTTGATCCAATGTTGGTAATCCATTGGCTCGTAAATTGTAATCCTTCATCTCTTGCCATGCTGCTATGGGTGCCTCTGCAAAGGGATCATTGAATCCATATTGTTTGTGGTGGTCTACTGTATCTCGAAAAGGATTGTTGGAGTGTCGATGCTCTTCACGTTCTCGCACCATATTGGACGATGACGACGATAAGACCGTCATTGGAATGCCCTCTCGTTCCTTCTCCAAATGCAAATTCAGATCGCTTTCCAACGCTGTTTCTAACCCTTGCGATTGTAACCGGCTGTTGGCAAGTCGGATGCTCCATGGTCGGTAGCGATCCTCCGAGTCATTGGTGGTGGGGCCATTGCGATGTGTCAAGATGCTACCAGTATGGCTCGATGGATATTGTATTTCGGTCATAGTAGTAGCAGCAGCAGCAACAAAGGAATTGCATTATCAGGAGCACCCTCTTATCCAATTCTCCTGATTCAATAAAAGCCGTGAAATAATATTAGCGGAGTTACAAGAGCACATTTGTGTTCCCTGGCAACCATCACCACCACCCGTCAAGCGTGTCCATTGTTCCTCAATTGTCATTTTTTTATCCAAATGTATAAATTCCACTACCCTATTCACTATCCTTATCCTCTTTTTCCTTGTCGTCTTGTTCATTGTCAGAATGATGATCCCCCATCTCTTCATTGTTCTTGATTGGTTCCTGTTGCTTTGAATTGGATCCTTCCGATGATGAAGTGGTAGGTTCTGCAGGTGGTGTCGACTGAGAGCGCACAGAGGAAGAGGGTGGGAAGATTTGGGTGCTTGCATTAGGATTGCGTGCAGGATTGAATTGTTTGCAATGGGGGCATGTATATTCTACAATAGTAAATTAGCGATATTTATATACAACCTGTCATCGTCATCAAGCACTTACGGATATGTGCAATCTCCTGAGGAAGAACAAGACCATTGTGTGCAAAGCAATGTTGACAGATCAACGCGTATTTGGTTTCAGGACCTTCTTCACCCACCAATGCATCCACAAGCTTATCATACCATTGTCGTTCTTTGGTGATAGGGCGTGGAGCTGACATGATCATGGATGGATGTTGTTGTGCTGGTTGCATAGGATGTTGTAGTTGTCCACCTCCTGGTTGTTGTTGTTGCATTGCCTTCGAGGGTGGGACTAGATGTACATTTGTCAAAGATCAATCACACATCCTTTATCCATTAAAGATCAATGACTCACCTCGATGCCTTATTTCCTGGTTTGGACGCGATGTTGGCATACTAGCTGGTCTTTGAGCTTGTTGTTGTTGTTGCTGTTGCTGCTGCTGTTGTTGTTGCTTTCGACGCTCAATGGCTGCTGCAGTAAGATCATATCGTTCCAATAGAGACTTTGTCGTATAGTAAGATGTCTTCTTTTTGAGTTCTTCGAGTTTCAGCTTTTGTTGTGCACGAAGAGCAGCAAGGTTGGATTCCTCATTGGTCTGCTTGCGTGAATAAAAGAGCTTGAGGAGTCTTCGCGTATAATAAATTCTACACAGGTGATCAGTCAGTCATACATAGCATAAGGCCATCTGACACACGCACACACGCGCGCTTACCCAATGGGTATCACAAGCACTGGCACCACGGTTACCGCCAACGTATCCCATGTGTATATATCCTTGTCCGGTCGATGCAATATGACAAAGCTGTACAATAAAAAGGCAACCCATATGATAGAGCTGTATAATATCCATAAAAGGCCCGTGCGTCTTTCTCGTAGCTTGATTTCAGACAATCGAATCTCGGCAGTTTGAATCTTGTCGTCGAGTTCTGACAGAATCTTCTCATAGTCATCCGACTTTGTCTATCAAAACAAGCCATGGGATTAGAAACGGAACATCAAAGGCGCTAGATTGCGCGTCGTTAGGGTAATGCACGCACCTGTTGTTTCGACAAGAAGCCGCCCATGACCAAAGCAGAACTGTGGTGGTGAAGAAGGGGTGTACGCTGATGCACTCGTGCGCTGTGTGAAATTTGAAGTAAACGTGCTGCATTTTCGGAAAAGGTGTCACGTGAATGTTTATGGTGCTGCGTTCCCACCTCGACAGAAAAAACGTATGGACTTGCTTGTTGGCCATTCACAACATGTCATCTCTTGCAACGTTTACAGCCGAATGAGATTGATTGCCCTGTCATCGACTGCTCTATTAGCTTACAGCATGATCAATTTACTGTCCCTTGTCACTCTCCTCCTCCTCCTCCTCATGATGTATACTACCATAAATGGATTCTGTTTTTAGACATTGACAACGCACGCACCCATGAGACGAGTGCTCTTTACATATTTCATTCATGCCTAAAATAGTACCCATTGTTGTGGTGCCCATATATTGGATACTGTTTCCTAACGATGCAAAGATGCCATCTTTTTCCTTGGGTATTGCTATGTTTTGTTTACCCCATAAATGAAAACGTATGCTTTAATGTAAATGTAAGGTGTACGCTAGATAACAAGAGAGGGTGTATCCATGGAGTTGTATCAAATTGGGTTGTCAAAAGTCACGTGAGGAAATCGGGTTGCCCTGCCATTTATTGTTGCTGAGTGACAATGTGGCTTTTTGTACCGCTGTTCTTCCCTTGAAGCATGTTTGTGAACCGACCACGCATTGGACATATTGCAAGACCATTCTTACGACGACATGTGTCTACCAAACCAGAGCAATTCTTGCAGACCGTTGTGCTGAGCAATGGCGCCACCTTCACCGTTCGAACAACATCTCCCAAAGCACAAATTATCCTCTCCAAGGACACCCGCAACCATCCATTATGGAACCCTGCCATGTTGAAGGAAGGCGTACGCGATGAAAGTGAACAACTCTCCAAATTCCAGAAACGTTTCGGCGCTGATTCCAACCTCGGTGATCTGTCATGGATTGAAAGTGATATGGAGATGTCTACAGCTATGAAGAAAGCTGCAGCTAGTGGTGGATATAAGAAACCTGCACCTGAAAAAAAGAAGGGAAGAGGCAAGAAATAAAGTGTATATTCTTTATGTATATTCAATATCTCTGTTGAAACTCTTTTGCATGATGGAGGATGTCGTCTGCACTGGTAATTGCTCTATAAGGTTTGACGGTTGGTCAACTATCCGCATTTAGGGGGATTGGGGTGGAGGAGGAATGTCGTACCTTATCTTATCCAATGGATGCTCCTTTTTCAGTAAATTAGCCAACACCTTTCCTGGGCCAAAGCAAATAAACTCATTGACATTTTGATCCTTGCAATATTCAATGCTCCTATGCCATTCAACAGTCGATGTCACTTGTTTGACGAGTAAGGGAGCAATCTCATCCACACTGTCATACTGACAACATTATATAAGTACGAGCGGTCGGAGACACAATGAATGTTGAGATACTTTACCGGTCTTGCTGTTACATTGGAAATGACGTTTATGCATGGCTCTTTAAAGGGGATCTTGGTAAATGCCTCTTGCATAGCATCGGCTGCATCTTGCACCAATGAACAATGAAATGGTGCTCTAAAATCCATTTTCACCAGTTATACATGTGCCTAACTCTGATCATGTCCCATTGCACCCTTCTACCTACGAGACAGGCAAATCAACAGCTCTTGCTGCAAGGCGTTTGGTTTGAAGAATCCTTGATGCCTCATCAACCCCTTTGCTCGTTCCACTGATAACCACTTGTGCCGACTACACAAAACAGGATGAGTATAGACAATCATCCATCCATCTCGTTCATACGTACACTGTTAACATTTGCCAATTGAACAAGCTCACCACTGGGGAGTTCAGCATTGATTTCTCGGATGGCCTTTTCCAAATCTGAAAGCTTTGCTTTGCGTACCACCAAGGCTGACATGGCTGTTTGACCACAACGATCGGCTACAGCTTGCTGCATCTCTTTGCCACGTAAACGCACCAAACGAACACCATCCGCCAAACCAAGTGCACCCGTAGCGACAAGAGCAGTGTACTCTCCTAGCGAATGGCCCAATGCATATTGACAATGCTTTGCGATATCAAGACCAAAGTCGATCTCCAGCACTTTGAGCATAGCAATCGAAGTCGTCAAAATAGCGGGTTGTGCATTCTCGGTGAGTTTGAGTTTTCCCTATCATTCATTCATGTCAACAATGATCACATCTATCACCTATGCCTTGCTTACCTGGTCTCCTTCAAATGTCAATGATTTCAATCCACCTCCCACAGCTTCGTCTGCTTCATCGAATACCAACTTGGCTGAACGAGGATACATTTCATAAAGATCCTTTCCCATGCCTACAAACTGGGATCCTTGGCCTTTTTTTTTTGTGTGGTAGGAGAGGGCCACATAGTCAATAACGTTGAATAGAAAGCGGTCTCCACACTCGTTGTTTTACCTGGGAATAGAATGGCACGATTCGCTCGTTCATTAGCTGCGAGGGTCTACAAAGTGAAACCAAGAGTCAATCGCGATCCAGTTATTCAAGGCATGCCACTGATGTTTACCGTCCATGTTCGAATATGGGAAGTGATCGGGGTACGTCTCCACGACATGGAAGGGCAAAAACAACGATAGCAGGGCTCTCGTGTCACACACACGCACACAAGGTTGGGGCAAGGGATACTCTCTCACCCAGGTCGACCAGCCATTTCCATATCAGGCGAACAAAAGAGTACGCCACCCAAAAGTAGATGCATGAATTAGCTACCTCCTGCTCCCTCCTCCCCCTCCTGTCAATAGTATAACGCACCTCACCTACATATAAAGCTCACATTTATTTGAATGATCATTATGCTCTTTATCTTTTGTTATCTTTCATGGACTCCAATATTAACAACAGCAACAGCCCACTGCCAAAAGACCGTGCCGCTGCATATACTTTGGTCTATATGAGTATTTGTCTCACTTGTGTCATATGGCAAATCATGAATGCCATAACCCTGGTACACAGATCAAGAAAACTGCTCCATTTTGCCGTGTTGGCCGAAGTTCTCCTAGCATTTATTGTGATATTGTGTAGTCTACTCAATCCATTAGCAGACCTGAGCTGCGATGTGGTAAGTGAGAGAAAGCCCTTTGTTGTTGATAGCTGTTGTTTGTAACCTTCTTCCCTCATAGCGATACTGGGTTTCTATTATTGCTGTCAATCTTGGAGGATGCTGTATACAAAGTATTCTTTTGTACAAAGCCTATATATGCTATGACCATGCAAAATGGCTGCTCTGGGTGGGCTCTTTTATCAATTGCGGTTATCTTGCTTTGATCTTTCTTTATGCAACATTGGGCAAAGTACCCTCCTACAGAGATTCCATGGGCAATTGTTTGGTAAGTCTCTTTTTTTCTGTAATGGCATAAAGATTGTATCACTTAATATCTTGGTAGATGGAAAATCGTAAGTCAACAAGTGTACTTTGTGTGATACAAAGATGACAAAAAAAAAAGTAACGTGCTATTCTTGTGTCATCTAGTCGAATGGCCAGCCATTGCAAAACTTGGATTGGATATTGCAAGCAATGCGTTCTTATCAGTCGCTTTTTTGATGGTGATCTATCGCCATTATCGCCTCTTCGGAAACAGCTTACACAAGTCATTGTTAGCGAGCGGCACCATCTTCTCGTATGTATCGACATCACTATGAAGTACCCGCTGGCTAATGCCTTTATATGATACAGAGTGGGCGTCATTGCTTCCAACATTGTCACTGGTATTCTGATTGCATGCAAAGCGATGGGTGGACTATCAGCTGACTTGTATTCATTTGATTGTAAGTTCTCTCTCTCTTTGATTCATCATCATTAGCTCACAGTATCATCCCAGGGGTAATTACAGGTTATCTTTTAATCAAGCAATTCAAACGTGACAAGGCCAAGTCCAATGAAAACGACCAGATGATCTCGAAAACAATGCAAAGTGACATTGGAAGCACACTATCACGCAATAGCCGAGATGAACACGTTCGCGAATTACAAGGGCTAGAGGCTCTTTCGATGGCTCGTTGCCGCAATTGCACAAATCTCATTTATCCAGACACTGAAATCATTAATATCAACCATGCATCCAAATCGTAGTAGTAATAGTAGTGAATCATCTCCAATGGTATTGCCATGTAGAAAATTTTATAATTTAATTTCATCTTGCATATTTGCATACATGTCCATCATCGATTGTGATATTGAAGGGGGTACAAGTTTAAGCACTTGGTCGAAATGTCTCATTTCCTATCCACGTTTTTACATTAGCGATTGAACAATCACGTAGCATTCGAAGGATACTTACCACATATTCAGAGTAAGGGACATCACGCAAGGCCATCATGGCAGCTTCACGACAAAGGTTTTCTAGATCCGCACCAGTGTACATGTTTGTCTGATATAACAATAGCTCTATGATGAGCACCAAACTATGGCTGGTTGTGCTGTATGTCTTACCTTTTCAGCAATCATCCTTAAATCTACATCTTCTCCCAGCGGTGTACTCCTTGTGTGGATTTTCAAAATCTCATATCGGCCTGTTGCATCAGGAGGCGGAACGTAGATCATTCGGTCAAAGCGTCCCGGTCGAAGAAGAGCTGCATCTAACATGTCAGGTCTATTTGTCGCACCCTAAAGTCATTATGAGCATGTCAGCATGTCGTTGAAAGAAGAAATGATGATACATTACCACAACAAGTACTGATGCAGCTGTTTCAACGCCATCCATCTCGTTCAATAACGTCGATAACACTCTTTCTTGTACGCTATCTCCTCCTCCTCCTCCACTGGATCCATGGCCCATGTCACGCTTTCCTGCCATCGTTTCAGTTTCATCCAAAAAGATAATAGCGGGTGCTGAGGCACGAGCCTTTCGAAAGGCTGTACGGACTATAAAAAAGTTCTTTGTTTGAATCAAGCTAATCATCTCCTATTGACAACTTACTGATCTTTTCGGAATCACCAACGTAAGGCGAGTAAAGCTGTGCTGGGTTGATGGTAAAAAAGGCGGTCCCAGAGCAAGACGCAATCGTCTATGATGGATTTGCTTAGTACACCCCTCAAAAGGAACCCTACTATGACTAATTACCTTGACCAATGTCGTCTTGCTACAACCAGGAGGCCCATAGAGAAGTATACCTCTGGGTGCTTTGAGCCCTAGCCTGGAAAACGCATCCTTGTATATCAACGGCCATTCAACCGCTTGTTGTAGATTCTATGAACCCAATATTGTTAATAAAAGCGAAAAAGGCTTCACCCCATCATACATGTATACCTTTTTCACATCCTCGAGCCCACCGATATCCTTCCAATCCTTTTTCTCTTCTTGAACGGGAACATCTCGTTGGATTGATGGCCGTACACGTCCTAAGGCTACCTTGAAATCCTCCATTCCTAGTTGGAAATTGCTATGAAGAAAACGGTTAGCAAGTGAATAGCTACAACGCACCTCTACTATACGACTTACGACATGGATTGTTGACTTGAAATGCGTTGTAGTGCAAACAGGGAAGCTTCACGACATACAGCTGCAATGTCCGCTGCGACGTATCCATTGGTATTACTTGCAAGCGTGCTTGGTTTGACGCGATCATCAATGGGCATGGTTTTCAAACATGTCGAAAATAGTAGCTCTCGTGTTTCCAAGCTGGGTGCTTCCATGGCTATTTCACGATCGAATCTATTGTCTCCCATAAGCATACATCATCTCTCCCTTTTTCATTCTTTTACCTTCCCGGTCTTCGCAAAGCGGCATCAATGACGTTGGGGCGATTGGTAGCACCAATGACGATAAGGCGATCCCGTATTTCGATACCATCCATCAATGTCAACAGCTGAGCTACCACTCGATTGTCACGGGAACCTGATTGATCACGATGGGGAGCAAGAGCATCCTAAAATGGATACAAGCGACTGAGTGAATGGGATGCAATGATAACAACAACAATGGATAACCTACAATTTCATCGATAAACAATAACACGGGCTTGTGATTGTGTGTCGCTGCTGATTGAGCCTCATTGAATTTCTGCCTTAGCACTTGTTCGCTTTCACCGATAAAAGAGCCAACAACATCAGAGCCTTGGATCACGAATAAATCGGCACCACAAGCCTTTGCAACCGTGGATACGAGGAATGTCTTGCCAACGCCTGGAGGACCATAAAGCAGCACTCCTTTTGGGCATTCGATACCCAATTCATTGATCCAATCTTTGTAGAGGAGGGGATAGCTTACAACGGTGTAGAGCTGATCGTATGCTTTCTCCAATCCTGTTGGCTTGGCTGTCAAATTCAATTGTTGTAGCTTCTCGGTGAGTTCCTCGCCGCTTTCATCGGTAGTAGTCATCTCAAGACGTGTTCCAGGTGAGGTGAGTACAGGTATATTCCTTGGATAAGTGGAAATGACCTATCCATCATCATCATCAATACCGAAACATGCTCTTGTGAAACCACCCCTCCCATTTTCATACTTTGACAACAATTGCAGGCTGAACAATCTCGATCCCAGATTCCACAAGCAAGCCATCCATTAGATTTCTGATGTACTGGATATATACCATCATGAATACAAAAGAAGAGGATATCATTCACTATATCCTTACCTCAATCTTTTGAGTCTCGTTGCCTTTTGACCAACAGAACCCAAGCGTGTCCATTTGGAGCTGATCCGATCCGTTTGCTTGCACGATCACCTGCACATTGACAGCCAGTTGGAAAGCGCGTATGGGTGTAATATCGTTTGCCGGTAGGGTACCACCACCACTGCTGCTGCTATGTTGTTGTTGTATACGGGGATCACAAATGACATGACCATGCTCAATTTCGGTAGGCCATAGACGACAATAGTACGCGATCTAAAGATCAAGAGGTGTCAATGGGCTATCGTTTGCAATGCTTTTCCTTGGACCATTACTTTGGAACAGCGATCAAAGACGCGGATCCAATCGCCTGGTTGACTCTTCAGTTCATGTAATAGTTGATACGATGCCTGTGCAGTGGCGGGTCGAGTGAGGTGGGATGGAAGGATAAGCATTAAGTGCAACTCGAGCAACAAGCAGCTGCTTTTCAAAACGAGATCGGGGGTTGGTGGGGTTGGCAGCAACCAAGAACAACAGCACTCCAAGATGCTTGACCACTTTATCAGTCATGACAACAATTCCAACGCCCACACATATATAAACAAGGCTGTTGTACCCAACACTATCATACGCCCTTTCTTTCTACTTGTACGCACATCATCATCAATGGCCTTTGGTAAGTCTCAAGGATAGTCTTTATTATGTCATCCCCAAAATGAGGGTTACTCATGCATTCATCTATGTAGCTCACTTCATTGCTTTACGCTGTATTCCTTGATGAACCCTTTGGGGTAGGTATAACTAATCACTTGTATAGTAAAAGGATGCCTGTACTGATGGGACAATTGAGACTCCTTTATAGGTGGCATAGGTACATGGCCCTTGGTCGCTATCCAATACGTATTTCAGAAACAAGAGTGTTCCCTGAAGAGCCTTGAGTTCAGATATGACGAGACCGTAGTGCTTTTGTATTCAATCGCAAAAGTTGTTTATGTTGTGTTTCAAGTACCAATATCATCACCAAGTACAAGATGACAAGCCAAGGTATCACAACGGCCACACTTATCTCGCAAGAGGACACCGAATGTAATATTCCCATATCCACACTCAAGATTCATCACACTAAGATTCCCATCATCTCGTGTATCCACAACATCTTCATATGTAAACCCTGTCTCACATCACACAACCATCATGATAGAAACTCATATAAGACATGTTGCAGTTGTAGCTGGTAACAGCAGTCGAAATACACATATCGATTCTCAACGTACTTTCACTCTTTCTACCATCTTCTTTTTATACGTGATTGATCAGTTTTACTCACGTATCTTTACAAAAGGCAATCGTCACCATCATCGATTTGTGCAGCAACCTGTCAAGGACGTGTTTGTGTAACCACCACGTCGCATTTCACTCAGCTCTTCATCTTTCCGTTAATGCAGCCGACACCATCCACTAGGAAAAAGCAACTCCATCACGCTTACGGCATAGGTAAAACATACAGGTGTTTGTATCTCTAAACTTTACAATCAAACGTGGGGTCTTTAATAGAACCATGTTGCTCGGCGGGGTGAAAGCGATCTTGTGTCAAACTATGAAGTCCATCGTGGCCAATCCCAGATTTCGCGAATGTCGCTACCAGCCAAACTCGATCTGGGGGTCGACCTCTTCGACGACGACGACCAAAAAAATATTTTTTGGGCTGTTTGCGGCATTGAACGCGAAACTTTCACACAAGGTGCTGTTGGCCAAGCCGAGCCTATTGCTCTAACTAATAAAAACCCCACGTTTCATTGTAAAGTTTGGAGATACAGGCACCTTTATGTTTGTAAGCGTGGTGCTATATGAGAAGTGGTCTTTGTTCATTGTCAAGTAGCTGGACCCTGACAGAGCAAAAGATGCAGAGGGTCGTGTTGTATAACACAGCTACGTTTGCATGAATGAAAGGGTCAATGTATAATTACTTTATGGATCATCTAGGAACAGGCATGTATTGCCAGCTAACGGCCACTTTTATCCAATCATCGTTGTTGCGAGATCCACTGCATGGGAACGATGCTCCTGCTCTAGACATCCATTTCCATGATTAAAGTAGGTTGATCCGAGCTGATTTGGTTGAGTTACGCTCACACAAGATTACATCGGTTGAGCTACATCGAGCGTGCTTTATGTCCAGAGTGATGTAATCTCTCTTTGACCGCAGCTCAGTCAAATCAGCTCGGATCAACCTACTTTAATCATGGAAATGGATGTCTAGAGCAGGAGCATCGTCCACCTACAATAGAATGCACAAAAGTTGGGAATGCACAAAAGTGGCTATTAGCTGCCAATGTATGACATAAAAGTGAGAGTTGCGTACCTTTCATGCATTGTCCCTGAAGTCCTGACTTTTTAGCTGAGTTACCCAAAGAGGTCCTTCTGCATCTTTTGCTCTATTATAGCCATACTACTTTACATTAAACAAAGACCACTTGTCATATAGCATCACGCTTACAAACATAAAGGTGCCTGTATCTCAAGATTTCACAATGAAACGTGGGGTTTTTATTAGCGCAATAGGCTCGGCCTGGCCAACATCACCTTGTGTGAAAGTTTCACGATCAAGCTTGCCAATCCCAGATTTCGCAATGTCGCCACCAGCCAAACAGGATCTGGGGGTCGACCTCTTCGACGACGACGACCAAAAAATATTTTTTGGGCTGTTTGCGACATTGAACGCGAAACTTTCGCACAAGGTGCTGTTGGCCAAGCCGAGCACATTGCTCTAATAAAAACCCCACGTTTCATTGTATAGTTTGGAGATACAGGCACCTTTATGTTTGTGTGCGTGATGCTATATGACAAGTGGTCTTTGTTCATTGTGAAGTAGCTGGACCCTGGCAGAGCAAAAGATGCAGAGGGACGTGTTTGTGTAACTGGGTTAAAAAGTTTGGACTTGAGGGACCATGCATGGCAGGTACGCAACCCTCATTTTCAGGTCATACACTGGCAGCTAATAGCCACTTTTGTGCATTCCCAACTTTGTGCATTCTATTGTAGGTGGACAATGCTCCTGCTCTAGACATTCATTTGCATGATTCAAGTAGCTTGATCCGAGCTGATTTGGTTGAGTTACGGTCGAACAAGGATTAATCAGCTGAGACATTCGCACGTATGCTGATGTATGGATTGATGTAATCTCTCCTTGACCGTAGCTCAGCCAAATCAGCTCGGATCAAGATAATTGAATCATGGACATGAATGTCTGGAGCAGGGGCATCGTTCCCATGCAATGGATCTCGCAACAATGATGATTGGATAAAAGTGGCGGTTAGCTGGCAATACATGCCTGTTCCTAGATGGGCCGTAAAGTAATTATACATTGACCCTTTCATTCATGCAAACGTAGCTGTGTTACACAACACGACCCTCTGCATCTTTTGCTCTGCCAGAGTCCAGCTAATTGACAACGAACAAAGACCACTTCTCATATAATATCACGCTTACAAACATAAAGGTGCCTGTATCTCCAAACTTTGAAACGTGGGGTTTTTATTAGAGCAATGTGCTCGGCTTGGCCAACAGCACCTTGCGTGAAAGTTTCACGTTCAATGTCGCAAACAGCCCAAAAAATATTTTTTGGTCGTCGTCGTCGAAGAGGTCGACCCCCAGATCTAGTTTGGCTGGTAGCGACATTGCGAAATCTGGGATTGGCCACGATGGACTTCATAGTTTGACACAAGATCGCTTTGACCCCGCTGAGCATATTTGTTCTCTTAAAGACCCCTCGTTTCATTGTAAAGTTTAGAGATACAGGCACCTTTATGTTTTACATATGCTGTAAGCGTGATACTATATGAAAAGAGTTCTTTGTTCATTGTAAAGTAGTATGACTACAATAGAGCCAAAGATGCAGAGGGACGTGTTGTGTAACTTGAGTCCGTCAGCACAGGCGATGCATGATACTTGTACACTATCTACGGAGTAGTTCCAAAAATGCCAGCTAATAACCCAGTCCTCCCAATCATCTTTGGTGCCCAACCCAATGCATGTGAACGATTCTCCTGCTCCAGCCCAGCATGCCCATCCTTCAACTTTCTTGATTCGAGGTGACATGGTAGCATGGCAACAATGGGTGTTGTTGGATCATCATTATCATGTAAAGTGTAAAATGACACACATCCTTTTGCTATACGATTTCTTTTATTTACGCGTGCCTATTGTCTATCGTGAGGGCGATGACGACGATGGGTGGATGGTGTGTATAGGGTAATTGAGTGGCCTCAGTGTAATAGCAGTAGGGGATTTAAACTTGGGGACGGTAGCTCCACGACTTGAGACAACGCTTCTCTTTCTCTTTGTCGCTCGTCTGCTTTTGTCGCCTTCACGACATTGCAATCGAGGTAGGTAATGTGTTACCAAAGAGTACTCTTGTTGACTGTGAGGTAACATGCATTGTCAAGGAGTGAGAGTATGTCCAAGTGCCGAGGAATGAGCGTGGTGGGTGGGTTGGCTATTGCCATGGCGATACGGTTGCGTCCTCTTGTTCGTTGCTATTCTCGCCTTACGCTTGGTGTCAACAGGTACATTCAGAGTCGAATGTTGCAGCCGAACTGGTTCCATTGACGTGTCAGCTTGTATAGAGGGCAAGTTTGGTGTCAAGACTTTGGCTGGTTTGGCGTTTTGTTTCGGCTCAACTATACTACACCATGGTTTTCGGTTTCCAGTAACCAACAACAACGAGTCTTTGTGTCTATGGAAAAGGCAAGTGCAATGAACCAAACAATGAAAAGAGTGTTTATTGGATGTGTGTGCTAATGATGAATTGAATAGGTTTCTTTGGTCAGGCAATGCAACTTGGGGGCATCATCATCATCTCTTTGGGTTCAAGTTCCAACCTGTATCAAGTGGCCGCTGCGTCGCTCTGCACTAGCCAAGTGTGCTGGAAAAGCTTCTTGGAACGCGTCCAGGGCTCTATAGGCCTGCGTTGAGTTGAGGATGGGTCGATGACGATGTATTTTTGGAAGAGCATGGTCATCGTGTTGAGGTAAAAGGGGAGTTGCAACAGCTTGTGAATGTGTTGAACCAACACGCTCTTCTCGTGATAGGCTCGTTCTTTCCCTTTGTGGATTTCTTTTCATGAGGTGGGAAATGATTGGAAGGATGGGGGATCATTCTTTCTTTGGAGAGAATGAATGAGGACACCTATGAGCCTGGACTCTACGTAAGTGATGTCCTTCCTTGCCATGGATCGAACTGACCTTGCGTGATTCGTGCAGTGCTTTCTCAAGAACAAGGGATCGCCCGACGTTGCTCGTATGATGGTGGTTTGGTTTGTGAATTCTTCTGATTTGCTTTCTTCCTTAGAGAGGATCGCCTAACGGTATACCAAATCGTCATCATTCCGGTACCAGATGGTCTAACTTGCCTGCTTTCTTATTTGTAGAGACGACCATTCCAATGATTACGACATTCACAATGACGATTACGAGGATTACCTCAGCTACAACAATGACAATGATAACGACAACGAGATTCAAAAGGAAGGCTGCAAGATCCCATTCTCTTCTACTTGTATGTTTTTGATATTGGTGAAGAGGGGATTGACGACTGCTGACGAGCACGAGTACGAGCACGAGTACGAGCACGAATGATGATGGACGAGGAAGACTACGATGGTGGCAATGTAGCAAGATAGCTAGATGAAATAAAGCATTGTTTACATTTATTACACGCTTGGACTTTGCTAGCTTGTGGGTTACATAATATTGTTGTGGAATACAGTAATAAAGGTGGTCCGGTTATCTGTCATGCAAGAAGTATATGGCTTTTGTGATACATACAATAAGGAGGAGTGGGTTGACCTTGAGAGAAAAAGTGAAGTGATCCCTCCATTGGGTTTCAGGATGAGTGACTACTTGCTGATCGATTGATTGATAAAGAACGCCATTGTTGTTGAGACCAAGTCTTTGGCACATGTTGGATATGGCATCAATATGTATACGTATTTTATGGTTTATGCAGCTCCACTGAAGCGTTTACCTAGTCATACATAGAGACTTTGGAGAACATGGCTAGAAACTTGTAATTTACTTCTTGAAAAAAAAAAAAGAAATTCGATCTCGCCAGCAATTTTAGCATTCGCCTTGGAGATGTATGTAGTCAAGAACTTCGCCGATTCCTTTAATGATTTATCCAATTGGCCATTGTTGATAATTCGGAGGGGACTTTGGCTTCATCGATAATATGCTTTGGTAGGGTGGCTCCCCTTCCATTACTCATCACTTGAATTGCTGCCATGGCAAGGATGTACGAGGCCAGCTTTCCATCAGTGCTTTGTGATCCGTTAGGCTTCCCTTCTGCCGCCATCGGAACGGAAAATTGAAAGGTGGGTTCGCTTGGTCGAGGTTGAGTACTTGTACTCTTCGTAGGATTTGCCATGTTCTCGAGATCCAATCATTCTCGCTGCTTACCGAACACGCATACCAATATTAAGAGTACTGTAGGTATGCATAGACAACATTGCGCCCCATCACTTTATCAGCTCATGCACCTATTTATCAATGCATCATCCCCAACACACAAAAATACCCACGCCCACAATGCACCAAAAAAAGGATGTTGTCGCCGCCGATCATACTTCTACATGTCTCTTTCCTCTGTCATACTCCTTCAAGTACTTAACAAGGTCAAATCTTCAAGGTTTTGTACGCATTCCATTTCTTGCAAGCTTTGTGAATAAGTGCTGATCTTTTGTGGTCATTCATAGTGCTTTATTTTTATCCTATACTCTCATTGTCGATGTATTGTGATATTGTATTCTTGTAACGAGGTAAAGCCTGATCATGTTCCTTGATGAGTCACTACTCATACACGCTACCTTGTTACTTTCGATATAACTATCTCTCCGTGAAGCATCTGCAAAAGTTGGTTTTGGTGCCACGGTGTACGACGGGTGCTGAAATTGACATGATGCATGATTTGACATGGTGCAAATAGCAGGGGAACCACCCCCCAACTCCCATGATGGTGCTTTAACGGCTTCCCCATGGCTATGCCGCCCGATGTACCAGTAGGAGTAAAACCAAGTACTGAACGAAGGCCAATTCATGTATTGCGATTTGCCAAAGAAAAACCCAAATCGGATATGGAATTCATCGACGACTTTATTGAAGAATGGCTCAAAACGCATAAGAGAATCAGTTGGGCTGCCTACTTTAAAGAGGTCAAGGGAAAAGGCTACTGTATTCCAAAGGTTACAAGAACAAAGATAGTCTTAAAGCAACCTACTATGAGTCCAGAAAGAAATGATTTCCTATACCACCTGGCATACTTTGTAAATTGATCGTCAACTACTAGCTCTCTCGCCATCATTCATTTTTACCTTTGTACGCTTGCTTTCTTTGACCTATTCCTTTTCTCTTCCCATAATGATATCATGTTGTATAAAAACATTTGACCATGAACAATGGATACACTTGTCCACGAAGAAGGAATCATGTCGTGATTACTCCTCCAATGACTTCAACACTAAGCAAATGACTGTGGTAGCTTTTGTCAAATGGCAGGTACATACACTGGATCAGGGCATCATCATTGTGTCAGCTGACCACTTCCTTGTAAATTCGGAGCCGAAGCAATTTGCTCGTTCAAGCAGCCTTTTCCTTTCTTGCATCTAGTCATGATTCAGAATCACAACCATGTCCTCATGAGCTTGGAGATGGAGTTCAAGCGGATGGATCGCATGTTTTCACAGGGCGATATGCGTCTTTTTGGTGCGTCTTGGAACGGTGACTCATGTTTGACGTAAGACTAATACACACCCACGCTCTTGTCTAGGGAAGGATACGGAGCATATATTCCAAGAACTTGATGTCATCCGACGAAAGCAAATAGACTTGGCCCGTGACCATATCTCACTCGAAAACATGAATGATTTACCGTAAGTTAAAAGAAATGGCATGAAAAGGCAAAGTCGATTCATTGGCTGATGTCATTGTAGACAACCTTCAGAGGTGAATATGGAGCATGATTATCAGCAAAGCATAGACAGCTTCCACAAGAAAGAATTAGCTCTCAAGAATCTCATGATCAAAGTAAGTGCTTGATTGATCTCATCTCGCCCCCAAGTTGTAACCTGGAATACATTTTAGCTGGATGACTTGGGTGACTCCATGTAAGTATGCAATATGGTATTTGTTTTGATGGGTTCTCTCTCATCCATAGATAGGAATCGCTTTCGACGCCTGTTTGAGCCTACCATGGTGCACGAGTACAATACCCACCATCCAATGTCAACAACATCATTAAGCTATCCTAGCAATACCAATGGTTCTTCTTCGGTCGCTGCTCCAACACAAGACCATTCTTTTATTCCATCATAGTCTTGACCCATAGTGCTACTACCACTCACCACGTCACCTTTTCTTTTCTTTTTCCTCGCCATATTGTCAACTTGTTACCAACAACGCTTTCTATGTGTATATACATAAAGTCTACTTGAGGGTTTTATTTCATAAAGTGCTACTACAACGTTTCCTGCCAATCACATAATGTATGTTTGTCCATGTACCAAACTCGTGACATTCCTTGGCTGCCGCTTGAACGACCTTGTCATACTTGGCATGTGTCATGGACCAATCTTCGCATAATCGAGGTTTCAATGAATCAAGTAATCTCTCCATGCACTCCCATCCAATATCGCCAAGTTTTCCTAGCCATGCAAGAGGGATAGAGCGATGCGAATAATCGACCTCGCTGATATCTTGATGCGATTCAAGTGCTTCATGTAATTTGTGCCCCATTTTCCAAAGGATATCACGTGTCTGTAGAGAAACGGTAACTATCATAAACACGTTAATGACCATGTCTCTCAACAACAAAGCTTTGACTTACTACGCATGAGCCATATGGAAAGACTTGGACCGATATCTTGAAGGACACCGCTCGATTCCACTAAAAAAGAACCAGGTTAAAGAATGCAAAAAGCGCCATCCACCCACCCTTGATCATTTACCTAGTTGAATCCATCCCCCAGGTTTGGTGACCCTGACTAGCTCATCAATCACGGTTTTCCATTCCTTGTGTGTGTAAAGAAAGATTGCATCATGCTGGACTACAAAGTCAAAGGTATTGTCGGCAAATGGAAGGCGTCGAGCAGCATTGGCGATGTGAAAATGGCAATTACGAGGTGGATGACTAGCAAAATGCATCAGCATAAGAATCAATCATTCCACACATGTACAATTGGATTTTACCTGATGGGATATACAATGATATCAGTGCCCGTAAAGTGTGAATTTGGGTATGATTTTGCCATTTCCTTTTTGTCTCAATCAGTCTTACTTTATACATTCGAACGTAGTTCCATCCAACCGTTACCTTCATCCAAAAACCTGGACCGCTTCTAATAATATAATAAAGTTACCCCACTTGCACCATCGATCCACCCTTATGATCATCACCACTTACTTGACATTCAGGACTCTAATCCCATTGTTTAATTCATCTTCGATAGGTGCAAAGAAGTTTCTTGGTGATCGCATGTATAAAAGTTAGCTTCTGACGCACAGACATCACGTCAAAGTGAGAATCTACCTGCCAAAGAGGGACCTGAAATAGTATATAAGAACATGGACACTTTTGATATAGAAAGAAAGAGAGCGACTCACTTGAACATTAAGTGGTTGATCTGCAACCGGTCGATTTCCTCATCGTCGCATGGCAAAAAGTAGCTCTTCTTATCCGGTTTTCGACAGTAATTACGGCCCTCCAAGTGTTCGTAAAGATCAGTAGGGAACTTGGATTCCTGATACCCCTCTTCGACATCGCTGCTTATGTGGGAGCTGATGCCAATGGCTTTGCTATTCACTGCTCAGTTAGCCCTATGGACATTTCGATAATGGTCAACTTACCATCGCGTGAAGCGCATCAAGAAGGTCCTTGGGCCTGGAAAAAGTCGTGCAACAGATGATAAGTGCAGCAGCGACACACTAAAGGTCGACGAGAGTCAAGGGCTATCCCGAAAATTGAACACCAGATGCATGACAGCAGCCGTATTCGATCATCCACCAAAAAGTAGACACATTTTTCTTGATCCAAGAGCAAGCTAGAGTTGCGTATCAATTATCCATGTGGTGCGTGTGTGTGAAAGAAGCTTATCTTTGAGGCTATCTCGGATATGGAGTATCGTATTATGATAAAGATGTGTCGATTTCATGTACCACCATGTCATGTCCTTCTATAGCAGTAGATAGCTTTGGGACAAGTCCTCTTTATCATTAGGATAGCATCATTGAAGGCCATATAAAAGCTGGTTGAATGTCCCGCTGCTTATACAAGCATATTGCCATGGCAACCCAACCCCTATTCTTGCCTTTACATCATCATCATCATCATCATAGCATGACAGCATTGGTACATCTATCAAACGTATATCCACATTGAAAGTTTATTACGACTGCTACCGTTTACATGTCCAAAGAGAAGCTGAGAAATTGGTCTTGGTATAACAATGCGGCTGGGGCAGGTGTGTGTAACATGGGAGTGGATGGTTGCTTGGACGACGTTGAGTGTGGCACGATTTTTTTCTTGGTACCTTCCTCGCCACCACGTAGAATGCCACCCAACACCGAATTGCATACAACGACAGCGAGTCAGGAACGCGTGGTATTGACACAGCAACAAGTGGAAGAACGTACCAAGCAAGGTGAAGCGCTGTTTATCTTTGAGAGTCAAGTATACAAGGTCGACCGTTTCATTCACAAGCATCCCGGTGGCGAGCTTGCCATTCGCCATGTGCTTGGCAAGGATGTCACTGACGAAATCCGTTCCATGCATCCACCACGTGTGTACGAGCGCATGATGCGCCATTACTGCATTGGAGAATACCTACCAGACGTGGTGATACCGCCAACAGAAAGCACGAGTGATACGCCTGTACGAAATGATGATGATGGCGGCGAGGAGAACCAAACAACAGCAATTGATACGACTTGGCAGGGTGGCATAAGCGTGGAAGCCTTTGACAAGACCATCAGCGCACTTCACACACAACACTATACGAATCAACAACATGATATACCAGCACATCAAGGAGCAGATGTGATCAAGATGCGTGTCGCATACAGGCAACTACAACAAGAGCTATTGGATCGTGGATTGTTCGAATGCAACTATTATCGATATGGAAAAGAGTGTTGTCGATACGCGCTGTTCTTTTACTTGGCATTATGGTTTACGCTACGTGGAACGGAGACATGGCAACATTTACTGGGAGCTGTATTTATGGCGTGCTTATGGCATCAGCTGGCGTTTACTGTGCATGATGCTGGACATAATGAGATCACTGGACGTGTCGAGATTGATCACTTGATTGGCGTGTTTATAGCCGATTTCATTGGAGGATTATCCGTTGGCTGGTGGAAGAACAATCACAACGTGCATCATATTGTCACCAATCATCCTGAGCATGATCCAGATATTCAGCACTTGCCTTTCTTTGCTGTCACCACACGTTTCTTTGACAACATTTATTCAACATATTACAAGCGTGTATTTGAATTCGATGCACCTGCTCGTTTCTTTGTACGATACCAACACTATCTCTACTACATCATCCTTCTCTTTGGTCGATTCAACTTGCAACGTTTATCTTTGGCGTATCTATTCTTTCATAAGCAAGTGCGTAATCGGCGTCTTGAATTGTTCGGCATCGGGTGCTGGTTGATTTGGTACAGTGCTCTACTAGCCCAATTACCATCATGGGGTGTCGTTATTGCCTACGTATTCATTTCATACATGCTCACGTTCCCACTCCATGTACAAATCACGCTTTCCCACTTTGGCATGTCTACTACGGATTTTGGTCCTGGTGAGCCATTCCCTGCTAAGCAACTACGCACCACGATGGATGTGGATTGTCCCGAATGGTTTGATTGGTTCCACGGAGGTCTCCAATACCAAGTTGTCCATCATCTTTTTCCACGTTTGCCACGCCATAATTTGCGTCAATGCGTTCCTGTTGTTCGTCGCTTTTGCCAGGAAACCGGATTGCGTTATTACATGTACGACTTCACTACAGGCAATGGTGTTATCCTTGGTGCACTCAAAGCTGTCGCTGACCAAGTGCATCTTTTCAACGACGTTGCCAAGTATAATGCAGGTGTTTGGGCTCATGAAAAACAACATTAAACGTTTGCTTTATTTATTCCCTTTTGATGTATCATCCTATTCTACATAAACGCCTCTTGTTTTGTACCCTTTGGCATGAACGTGTAAAGTCACATGATCGCCCTCTTGTCTTTGTACTCCACTCCTCCCTCCTTTTCCGCATAAGGCACGAGCCACGGGGCACATTGCTTTGGTGGTTGTTCTTTCACAGCTTTCGACATTGTTACTATGGAATTTCCTGAGCTAGGGAAGCATTGCACCTTTGACGGTTGTCATCAACTCGGTAAATGGAGACGCATAAGGCTTGCAGTGTGTGTGTTTGTGTAGCTAACCAATACAGACTTTCTTCCTTATACCTGCTATCGCTGCAAGAAGATATTTTGGTAGGTACGACGACCTGGATACGATCGCATACTTACATTGCCATGGTAGCCAAGATCACTTTAAGCTTGACGATCACCATTGTCCAAGCTTACAGGACGGTCAATACGATGCTCGGTAAGTGGATATGCCTCACCTCAAAGTGTGCGTCGTTCTTGTCATAATTAAATTGTGCCCTTTTGTCAGCGTACCTACTTGCCCGATATGTGAACAGCCTGTTCCAGGACCAAGGGGTCAAGATCCTAATATCTCAGTATGTCAAAAGTAACCTCTACTTTCCTTCTACGATATTCACCATTTGCTTAGGTAAATCGCCATATACAAAACAACTGCAACGACAAACAACAAAAAGCTTCCAATATCTGTCATCAGCGTGCTTGTAATGCAAAATTGCTTGTACCTATGAATTGCTCGGACTGCGGCTATTCTTTTTGCGTCAAACATCGCCTTCCAGTGGATCATACATGTCGCCCGGCTCAAAAGAATGCATCACAAAAACGACCCACACCTTCATCCTCCTCCAAACGGTATGTCTTAATATTGACTAAAAAGATAAGCAGTGGCTAACTTTGAATGTAGGAACAGTAAACAAGAGCAAGAACTGGCCCGATTAACCGAGAAAGCCAACACGAATGTAAGACAAAGAAATTGGGCCTTGTTTTACTAGGATACTCATTGCATGACTCTCTTAGCGATTGACTGAAGCGGAGCAGGCACGATTAGCTGCACTTCGGCGCAAGCAGAAGAAACCCAATTGCATCATTTCTTGATCCCGTAGTTGTTCTTTAGAATAATCAATCAAGTAAACTTTATCTAAACTACTATGCTAATCCAATCACGTGCTTCTATGGCAAATACGGTGGTTTGCGTTTGATAATACACAAAATGGTGGGATGTAATACATAAGTATCTTTGTACGCTTTTGCTCTCGCGAATACACGTTGATCTGCCCATGCATATGCGAAATGGATAAATCAAAATGAATGGATCGAGTTCTTTGATGATGCAGGCTGCTTATTTGATATTGGTGGTGATCTGATAATCGTCGCTGCTCACCGAACACCCATACCAATATTAAGACTAGGTTGACAACAATGACAAGACACCTTTGTAATAATGAGGATGTGCATTAGGCGTACAAATCTGGTAGATTTTATCATCTGCTCTAGTTTGGCCGATGTATGCGTAGACAACATTACGCCTGGGCTCTTCAAACTTGATCCAGGTATATGCGCCCCATCACTTTATCAGCTCATGCATCCTTTTATCAATCATCCCCAACAAACAGATATGCCCACGCCCACCGTGCATAATAAAAGGATGTTGTCGCCGCCCACCATACTCCCACACGTCCCTTTCCTCTGTCATACTTCTTTAGTTTCTTACAAGATCAAATTTCCAAGGTATTGTAGGCATCCCATTTCTTGCAACCTTGTGAACAGGCGCTGATCTTTGTGGTCATTCTTAGTGGTTCGTTGTATATCGTTGTCGTCATTGTGATACTGGATCCTTATAATAAGGTAAAGCCTGATCATGTTGGATGATGCGTCGCTACTCATACACGCTACCTTATCATTTTCAATATAGCTATTCCTGTGCAAAAGCAAGTTTCGGTGCCATGGGTCTACAATGAGCTGGATTGATTGCTATGCAAAACTCAAAAGTGAAGCTAATGTAATTCACCACAAGAATTCGGAGGTCTCACGGGTTCAGTAGTATGTCAAATACAAGTCGAAGGCTGTAAATTGGATCACATACCCATACCTCGTACCAGTTTAATTCCCCAAACAACTCTATGCATTATCAAACGCAAACCACTGTAAGACGAGTTCCAAAATAAAAAGCCATCCATAAGCGCTTATTGAACCTATGATGAACAGCCCCAATTGATTCAAGTGTATTGTATTAACCCCAATTGAGTGAACAAGAGTAAAGGAAGACCACTACAAAGTACAATAAGAGGCATAACCAAATTGGACATTGTTGGTAATAAGGAACTTTATATATGTGAAGCGTCAAAACCACTATGCTCAACTATATCCACGTAATTCCGTCAACATCGTGTCGAGTTGCTTTTGTAGTGTGAGCATCTCGAATTGTTTTGCTGCTGATGAAACTGATTTTGCACAAACAGACGCCCTTGTTAACCAATCAATTTGGCGCTCCCTAGAGACATTGGAGCTAAAAGGTCATGTTAGTCAATGGCCACAACATGATTTCCCCCTTTTGCATTAAACCTACCTGTTCTCTACCAGCCATCCAAATGTATATGCAGCTTGTTCGTATTGCTCAGTGTATCGATAGAAATCCGCCAAAAGTTCAATTCGATCAATGGTATGTGGCTCTGACTGAAGGAATTCTTCCAAACGAGGTGGCATAAGCTAGGTTTCAAAAAGAGTGGTGAGAGGGATTGTTAACCGATACATGATTCTACCCGCTTACCTTTATCAGCTCAGGACCCAGGTTGGCATGGATGAATTGTTCATAGAGGTAACGATGAAGGTCCACGTTATCAACACCAAATACTACTTGGAATGCTTGACTTTTTTGTGATCCTATGAAAAGGCAAATGTCAAAAGATTCATATAGGCGACAGCTATCCCAATTTTCTCTCACTCTTACCAGAAATGGATGTTGATTCCATGGTTTCCTTTAACAATTCGCATAGGCAGCCGTAAAAGGGATGTCGTAGATGCATAAACATCATGTCTTCTTGTTTGGCGGGGAATTCAGATCCAGTGGATGATGCATGTGGAGGTTCTCTCGATTTGACGCAAAATATGACGAGTTCTACTGCAAGGACAGGTTCACCTAGAGCCAAATAACTCTTTGCAATCTCGCGGACCTTTTCGTAGGGGATATGGACTGCTATACGTTTCAAGAGCTGGAGAGACTCTTCAAGGGCACTACGAGCTCGGGGTGCGCTGACTTCTCCTTTGGCAGCTTCAATGTGCTTGTACGCCTTGTATAAAAGTGCATCGGATGCATCACAAAAGGATCCACAATGCTTTTCCAATATATCAATCACAATGTCCAAATTGCCATAGCGTGCCAAAGTCTCGTCAATGATGCCAAATGCCAAATCGCTGCTGATGGATCGTCCGTCGTTGGTTGTGATCAAGTCTTTAAATGTAGATGACAAGAAGCGTTCTCGAGTCGTAGGTTTCAAGCTAATCATACATGTTTAGTCATTGGTACTTTTTTTTCCAAACACTCCATCATTTACCTTGTGAGAACCTTTGATGTGTTGTTATCCAGGAGATAAAGGAAGAATGAAATGGCATCAGATAGTAGCACTACAAGGTCATGCAGCTCGCGTAAAGAATGCTCTTCTGGAGCACGTGATTCGGCCTGGGGATATAGCGTAACGTTACTAGTAGCAGAAGGCATGATGAATAGATGAACTCGGCTGATGAGCATATCATAGTAGTACACTTACAGGTTCATAAATCCTTGAAGTTTACGTAGAATTTGTTGTGTAGATATTAAAAGCTCTCGTGAAAGTAAGCTGTTGTACGAGACTCGACCGGCATCGATTCTTGAAAAGAAATGTGTTAGATGACATGATGACAACGAAAAGCAAAGGGGTTGAGTGTACTCACTTTTCTGAAAGTAAACGCTTGGTCCAAACTGGCTGAATAAGACGACTGATAAAGAGAGCAAGACCATCGTGTCGAGATGAATAGGTCACTGATTGGCTCAAAGACGACCGTGATTGTCCCAATGTTTCTAATAGCTGTGTTGCACCCTTCACCGCATCGGTAGATGTACTCAAAGGTTGTAAAGCTATTCACACCGCTTTTAGCATGATCCATCCCAACACGATAACGCATTGATCCTTCACTTACCATCTGTGTTCATGCTGATATTGGAAGTGCTGCATACCAATTGGAAGCACAATGCTGATGAATTGACGTCGCCGAAGAGTTCAAAGAAATTTTGGAAATCTCTTGGTTGTACGATGCCATTGATGGAGTTGCTCATGAGCAAATGGTGTAAAATGTCCACAGGGCGTTGCTTCATCACAATCCATATGCCGACAGTCGTAAATAGCAAAAAGTGTCGAGGAGATCCAGTAGGTTGAGCAGCTAATTCGTTGAGACCCATTTCTGTAGCGGACATTTCTGCCATGGAAATCACATCCCCATTGATATCTAAGCAATTGGTGAACTCTGAAAAACCACCATGGGCTCCCTAAGGATAAAATGCATTAGAAAAAGAGTCCTCATGGCATTCCCTTCCTTTTGCGAGCAATTACCATTGTCGACATTTTTCCAATATCTGGCGATGCAACAGCAATGAATTGCTTCTCCTCTTTCTTGCCCACAGCAATAAAGACCCCTTGCTTATACAAACTTGAAGACAAATAGGTGGATTCGGGTAACGTGGGTGGTGGTGTGCGTACATGGACTAGCTCGAGCGTATTGGGTGCACCTTTCGACTTGGATCCCTGGCTGTAGTAGGTAAAGTAAAGACGACATCCGGTAGACGTTACTGCCACAAGTTGGTAACTTTTGGCTTCGGCGGGTGTCGTGGGTTGGATCCAAGAAATCTTAAAGTCGTTAATGTCCGTGGATGAAGGGCACATGAGACGAGCAGCTGTGTGGATCTTGTTGTTCTTGACAACATTCTTGAAGGAAAGACCATCTTCTCCTAGATAGGTCACCTACATAATAATCCATGTGTTAGCTACCTGGACCAAACGAACGATCCCAGTGTCACTGACCTGGATAGCTGAACTTTCAAAAAGCTGATACAAGACGCGTCCCTCATCGTCAGCAGCAATGGCGATGCATGGTTCTATTGATAATCCCCTTTGTCAGTAAAAACCCTATACAGAGACCATTTACAAGTACATACCGGATGAGAATTCCAAGAAAGTAGTATAGCTTGCTATTCCTGGACATGCCCTCTTTGAACACTTGCTTGTGAACCACCCTTCTTCTCTCTAAAATGGAAAAACACGCGCATCAATCCAATGACTGTCATTCATGCGTGGAGGGAAATAGACACTTACTCGATAATCCAATTCCCAAACGCGACCTTGTTTACTGAGCATGAAGATACGACCTTGCTTGGTACCGATGATGGTTGAAATGATTTCTCCCGAGGTGGATGTGAACATGTCGGTGCGATAGAATGTCAGCTGAGTTGCTCCAGAAGGTGATCGTTTGAAAGAAATGGCGACGACGTTGATATGCAATGTTGTTGCTATGACGAGGACATGGGTGATATCGGGATTGAAGATATCACGCTTTGGCTTGACCAATCCAACACCAATGATGGGATGAGATTCTTCATATGTGTCTATATCCTTCCTATAGATAACATTGAGTTCAGCACTTGACAACACACTTTACATTGTTGGTGCCTTTTTTTATACCTTTCCATGTAATTCCACAAGTATAATCGATTCTCCACCGTGAAGAATGCACGTTCTATCTCTGGAAAGATGCCTGCCGAGTTGTCTGACTTCCCTGTAAAAACGCACACACACACGTGTCCTATGAGATAAACGGACTCACAACAAAGGGTGACCCCCCAACCCACAAGGTACTTACAGTTGCGTAAATGTTCAAGACCCAATGGAGGCAAGGTGATATTTTGTTTGACGAGGAAAGGTGCCACTGCATTTGCCCCAGGAATGGAATACGAGCCTGAACTGGATGCTGATAATAGTGTGTCAGGAGGAGGAGGAGGAAATAGAAGGTGCAAGTGCGTGAACGTACCCGTGAACAAATCACCCACATCAGGAAGTCGTGTATCTAATGCCCTGACTCGATCAAGCGTCTCCGATGCTTCATGTGCTGCTTTCACTTTCTGTTCAGGAGAATTTGCAACAGGCATCGTGTAGATCAGATTCTGTGCAAGGTTGTCGTTGTCTGGAAGCGCGCCACGGGTTCCCAAATCTGCCGTTTTATACGGTTGACGGCTGGGAGAGAGGAGTGACTCGTTCTTAGCCTTGTCCTTCACTCTGACATTGTCCAATTCGTCCAGATGGTGCAATCTTGGTGGCAACGGCCTGAAACTAAACGTTACGCAGCCGATGGTAAATGGCAAAGAGGTGGATATGGCCTTGAGCTATTCACTAATAGATAGGTTTTATTGTAGTTGCGGTTTTTGCACTATCACAGGTTGCCTTTTATTTTGCCTTCAAGTGGATAGTGGGCTCGCTTGATCCTACAAAAGCCAAGAAACAAGAAGCCAAGAATAAGAGTTCAAAAGTGCTTGGAAAGCTTGGTGTATGTGATCATTGACATAATGGATATCGATATGCATACATGTATTAATATTGATTTCCCTCTTCGCTTAGGTCAAGGATCTCAAGCTGACCGAATATGAGCAAATCATCGCCGCTGAAGTGGTTCATCCAGATGAAATTCATGTGACATTCAAACGTAAGCTTGTCATTGGGGTTGTAAATGACGGGCTTAATCTAATCTTTATTTTTGACAGAAATCGGTGGATTGGATCACATTGTACAAGATTTGCGAGAAAGTGTCATTTATCCTTTGTGCTATCCTGAATTATTCACTTCAGCATCAGGCTTGCTTGGTGCTCCAAAGGGTGTTTTATTATATGGTCCTCCAGGCTGTGGTAAAACCATGTTAGCCAAGGCTCTTGCAAAGGAAAGCAATGCGACATTTATCAACCTCCACGTTTCCACGTTGACCGATAAATACTATGGTGAATCCAATAAGCTGGTCGCCGCTTTATTTTCTCTTGCTCGCAAGTTACAACCAGCCATTGTCTTTATTGACGAAATCGACTCCTTCTTACGAGAACGACGAAGCACCGATCATGAAACCACAGGCATGATGAAGGCTGAATTCATGAGTTTGTGGGATGGCTTGACAACGGGTGATGATATGCGCATTGTTGTTCTCGGTGCAACCAATAGACCCAACGACATCGACTCTGCTATCCTTCGAAGAATGCCAAAGCGTTTTGCAGTTAGACTCCCATCCGAAGATCAACGACGAAGCATTCTCGAGTTGGTAAGCCATTGCACGTCATTTTTCATCTTGGCAACGGTTGTCTCATGATGCAATTGTAACACAGCTACTTCAAGATATCAAGCTGGCTCCTGATTTTGATATGAATGAGCTCTTAAAGCGTACCGCCGATTGCTCTGGAAGTGACCTCAAAGAACTTTGTCGCAATGCAGCCATGATTCCCATTCGTGAGTATGTTCGTTCGGTCCAAAAGGATACAGATGCAACGGATGGCAACCAGCTTTTGGATATTGATATCACCGTAAGTGGATGGATGGGGGCGGGGTTACTTGTTCCTAGTAGCTGAATGCTAAGTAATCAAAATGGATACCTATAGAACATCAACACAAGACCGCTGACATTGGCTGATTTTTACTCTTATGACGAGACCAACTCAAAGACCTACAGCTACACCCGAAGAGATACAGATACCACGGTTCAGCAAGAGAACCTGGATTAACCAAATATACAAAAAGAATAAAAGATTATCATTATACATAATGCTTTACATCGATTACAGTAAGCACATGACTTGATTATCCTCGAGATTCCAATACTACATGCTTCATCCTTGAGATCCAGGCAGCCATAGCACTCTATTTCAGAAGCCATAAACAGCGACCTAATACGTGTCTTGCTTATGACTTGAATGACATTAACATAGGAGTATGTACGTTCATCGGCGGGTGTTTTGGTAGCTGTTGACGCTGCACCGCCTTCGAGCTAGTATCCTTCAATCACGACTCTTGTATGTTGACAACATTTCTCATGCCCATCACTATGCACATAAAGATACGGCATCGTCGCCAACACATTGCTTGCATACCTCATAAAGGATGCATTGTTGGTTTTCGTGATGTAGGTGCAAGGAAGATGTTGACAATAACAACCATGACGCTTACATATTAGCAAATGCGACCTTTCTTTTCCAAAAGCGTTGCTTGAGGGATCCCATACCTTCCGTCAATATGATACATCCATCCTTTCTTTTCATGACCTGGATGATTCTCATCATCAAGATGAAGATGACAATGCCAAGATAGCTTAAAGCAAGGTTGTTTATTATTACCCACTTCCACTTTGCTAGCTTACTTTATCTGAATAGTTACACTGGGGCAAATGTATACAAATGCATGATGATGATAGGCATCTTGGTGATTAGTCAATAGCTGAAGCCTACTAAACAATCGTATGCGTCATAGTTGGCATAGGCGAGGTTTCACAAGCTAACGATTTGACACGCGTAGATTATCAGATTTCCCGCTGAATCCGACCCTTCTCTTTCGACATACACACACACGCACAATGGTTTCCTCGGCACCCAACAATCCGCCTTTCCCCGCTTACCGAGCTACCGATAAGGGCAGTTTCGCTTGGGATAGTACCGTGAGGCGTTGGCCCAACATTATCGACAATGCGTTCAACGACTTTAAGACTGCCATGGAGAAGAATGACAATGCTGATGCGCGACGGGAAGGCAAGGAAATTCTGGAATCCATCACAACCTTGAAGAATGAGATTGCAGGCGACAAACCTTTACGGTATAGATAACGATAAGGACATTGGGAATATCATCCACTCATGGATTATGCTGTTGTTAGCTTACTCTTGGACAAGGATTCGGACGTGGATGACTGGAATCGTCACATTTCCAACTACTTTGCTGGTGTTACGTGGTTCACGGGCACTTGGTTGTTCAATGAGTGCTATCTTTATCGACGTCTTCGAGAGATCTATATCATGAGCCACTTTTGGAAGTCTTATGATCCTTTTGGTGAACAAAAGCTGGCAACATTTCGTGGATCCCATGGTTCGGTGTTTGATCTTGCACGCAAGATGCCTGAAATGATTCAACCCGTGTCAGAGGAACGCAAGGAATTGGTGTATCAAGAGCTTCTTCAAGTCTGCTTGTGGGGCAATGCCACCGATCTCAGCCTTTTGACCAATATGACCGAAGAAGATATCAAGCGCTTGCAGGCTGTCGAAAAGGAGAAATTGGCAGAGCAAAAGAAGCACATTTTGGTGGATAACATTGATGAGATCTGGGAAAAGCTCAAAACACTCAAGGATGGTCGTGTTGATTTCGTTCTCGATAACTCTGGTACGTCAAATTATCGATATCACCTACTTCTTTTTGATTCTCATGCTTGTTTATAAAAAGGTTTCGAGGTCTATGTGGACTTGATTTTGGCCGATTGGTTAATACAATCCGGCAAAGCTTCAAAGATCGTATTCAACTGCAAGACCATTCCTTGGTTCGTCTCTGATGTCATTCCTCAAGATATCCCAATTCTTCTCGACGCCTGCTTGGATCGTACCTTTTTCCCTGACAACGATAAGCGATCCGCTGAAGATTTTGAAGCCTTGGAAACAATGGTGAATCGTTGGAAATCTTATATCCAAGATGGTCGTCTCGTTGTTCGTGCCCATCAATTCTGGTGTACAGGCCTTTCTTATTGGATGCTCAAGACCGAGGCTCCTGATTTATTTGACGACTTGAAGCAATCCGATCTCGTCATTTTCAAAGGCGACCTCAACTTCCGCAAGCTCGTCTATGATTGCGATTGGCCTGTGACCACGCCATTTAGAACAGCTATCGGTGTCCACATGGCAGAGGAATTTACAAACGTTGTCTCTCTTCGCACGAACAAGGCTGATACAATCGTTGGATTGAAAGAAGGCGTGAAAGAAGAAGTTGAGAAACATGCGACTCCCCTTGAATGGCGATGCAGTGGCAAGTATGCCGTAGTCCAATACAATAGATGCCCTCAATAAGTTCACCTTTCTATATATAAAGTTCTGTTGTGGATATGTAACTTTTTTGGCAAATGAACGATTTATGCTTTTTGGATCTAGTAGTATTACATATGCATTGGAAAGAGGAATTATGCTTCTATTTACTATTGGGATGTCACATTGCTATTTGCAGCCAGTGTGCCTTGCGTCAAGAGGTATCTCAGAGTGTACAAATTATTATCACACCTGTAGATATCATTAGATTCACGAGCCCATTCTTTTTGATCACTCATACTTACAAGTTTGCAATGTCCTCCCGAACTCGGCTGATGCTCTTGTGAAGCGTGCGGAACATGGATTGGTATTCTCCACGATGCTCCTTGAGATAGCGACCATGATGCGTCATGACACTCACGATCCACATTAAATGAAATTCAATATGGGGGCTCTTTTCCATGTGTGAGCCGATGAACTGCATAAGCTTGTCAAGGTATTTCTCGGATAAGCTGCGTGCGACAAGGTCGACCGAAGATGGAGGAATCGATTCAAATACAGTATGCAGCACCGATTTCTCATTCAATCGGAATGCCATACACAAAGATCGAAGGTATTCTTTATCTTGCAATGCTTCCAATACTGTGTCAGGCGTGATGTCCGTTTCCAAATCAAAGGGATCAAACAAAATGGCATCATCCAAAGAATAAATCAAAAGACCATCAGTCGTTGCTGCTGCCCATGCTCGTCCCGTGGGTGAAAATCGCACAGCTGTGGTTCGTGCTTCTTGTCGTGTACGTCGTACAGATAAATCGCCTCGTTGAGCACCAGGCAATGTACGATCCAATCGATCTTCCACATCCGATGGATCATCATCATCCATTAACTCTTTGCTTCCAAATTCGGTCATATTTTTTGAATTCAAATATTCTTGTGTGCCATCCAAGGAGAGGTTGCATGATATTTGGAACTTCTTCACGAGAACCTTGGTGTCAATGTCGTATATACAAATGTACTTGCTGTTGCCGCCACCAATGATACTGCTACCATCAGCTGTATAACAAATCGAGTTGAAGCATTTGCCAGAAGATGAATTCTCTGCTGTGGTGCGATCAGCCAATCGTCGACCTCCCGAAATGTCTTTACGTCCTTCAATCGTTCCAACTTGCTTTGCCAAATCAATATCCCATAATGAAATTTGTCCATCCAAAGTAGCTGAAGCAATCTCTTTGCCATCCGGTCGAAAAGCGACAGCCAACACTTCGTTTTGATGTTGTAAACTCTCCACGTGCTTGTTGCGTCCAAAGATATCCCATGTTCGTGCTGTGTGATCCCAACTGCCGCTGACAAGCATCATGCCATTCGAAGAAAAGGCCAAAGAGCTGATAGGTCCTTCGTGTCCAGCAAGAATGTCGAGTAATTTGCCCGTTTGTACGCTCCATAAATAAATCTCGAATGTGTCGATGGTTCCTGCACACACCATTTCACCACTAGGATCGACTGCCAAGCATGAAAATTGTACAGGGTTGGGGCTGGTGAATGTTCGGAAGTTTCTGTAACGCACCAAATCGAATGCTCGCACAGTGCCATCGAGACTGGATGAAAATAGCACCTTGCCTTGCTTGGCAAAATCAACAGCAGTAACATTGCTCTTGTGGTCACTGAATGTCACAAAGCAAAAACCTGATGTCGCGTTCCACACTTTGACCTTTCCATCATCACCACCAGTGGCAATTGTTTGGCCATCCGCTGAATAAGATAACGAGCTCATATTGTAGAAATGGCCTTGTTGCTTCAAAACATAGGTCTCGGATTGCCATTCCCAAACCAAAAGCTGACCCAATGTCGGAGAACCAAACGCCAACCATTCGCCAGTGCTGTTGATGGCAACAGTATCAATCTTATGCTGTGTAATGCTACACAAATGGTGTCAGTCAACCAAAAGGTGTCCCCTCTCGCCTATGAATGATATCCTTACCTTAAAGTATGAATGTTTGTAAATCCAGGGAGCTCATAAAGGCCGAAAATGCCATTGCTGAATCCAACGACCATCAAATTGCTTGGGGCAAAGAATTGACAAGATCGAACCTTGGAGCCCGTTTGCATGAAAAAGTGTTTTGATGCAATTCGCCATTGAACTCGATCTTTACGCTTGTTCTCATCCAATTCCATATCCACATCCTCTTCTTCATCGGAACTATCTTGAGTGAGAGCTGCTCTGCTGGTATAACGCCAATGGAAAAGAGCACCATCCTTGCTCACTGTGTATATCTATAGCCCATAAAGATCAGTATTTGCCCACTTTTTCCATATGGATCATTCTTACATTTTGCATATCTTCAGAGAACCAAGCTCCCTTCACTGCACCACGATGTCCAGCGAGCGCTTGTGGATAATAATCTTTTGGAGCATCCATTCGAAATACGCGAACAGTCATATCAGCCGCGGAAGTGAGTATATACCTAAAAGAAAAGGTCCTTTGATTAGACCCTGATACAATCCCCTCCATCCATAAGATAAAGATGACTTACTTGGAATCGGGACTCCATGTGATGTTAAGAATATCATCATAATGACCACCAAATGTCTTGTGTAATACGAGAGGAGCGTATTCACGATTGAATCCAGGTGCTTTCCAAATTTGTAAATGTCGTTCATCACTGACAGCGATCCATTTACTGTCAGGGCTGAATTCGATCGCAGCGACAGGCTTTTTGAAATTGAAATGGCTGATAACAACACGTCGTGGCAGATTGATGAGTAATGCTCGTCCAGCTACATGACAAGTTCGGTGTTAATGCTCTTGGGTATATGTCCATAAATCCATTCATCGATCTTACTTTCATCCACGGTGATCAAAATAGTTGCTTTTGGTGAAAGAGCCATACGCACGATATTCCTTCGCATTTCAATGGGCAAGGTCGAGGACTTGTTTCTAATTCATTGATGTAAGTATCCACTCTCTTGAATCGACGTATTGAATATGAGCTTACTTGACGAGATCAAAGATCGACACCCGATTGCCCACTGGACTCAGAATGGAGTTGCCATCGGGAGTAAAGATCAGGTTGCCTCGACTGTATACTGTGCCACAAAGGTTGGAGAACTGTTGGAGACTACGATTAGCCAATGCATGGAGTGCATAGTATCGAAACCATACCTTGAACGATGACTTCATGAGGGAGATAGTGACACTGATGCGATTCTCTCAGCTCTGCCACATGAAAAACTTGGATTCAAGTCACGATTGACAGCAAAATGCATTGTAATCCCCGCAATGCTTTTCATGCTGCTATGACCACCCACCACCCCATATGGATAAGATGCTTCCTCTTTGTTTACATAAAAAGCTTATATAAACACTTATTTTATATGATCTCTGCCATCAAACATCTTTATTCTATCATTCTACAATCTCTACAGGCTCTATCTATTATTGTAAAACATTCACAACACTGCCTGGTATCCATTTCGAATACCCAACCGAATACTTGATGCTAGAATCCCATAGATTGGATGCTGATGGTATAGGTGTAAGAAAAGGAATCTCTTTCAGGAGTCGCTTATAAAGTCGCTTTTTGTTTCTCTTGTTCAATCTTCTTCTTCTCGCGTGGATATCAAGCGAAGGATCAAATGACGGATCAACAAAGCGAATCATAGAAGCAGTGTCATAAACGGATGAAGAACTTGGCAAAGGTTGTGGATGGCGCTGTACTTTGGATAGTGGTACAAGTTTTGTAGTTGGACAAAGGTGCATGATATCCACATGTGTAGTCTGATCTCCATACAATTCATCCCACAAAGGTCCACCACCGGTTGTGCTGGTATCATTCGAGGGTGCACCTGCCTTTTGTTCCAATTCACGTATAATTTGCAATGGTAATGGTAGCTGAACACGAGCCAAAAGATCACTACGCCAACGCCATAATAGATTTGCTTGACGTCCAGGATGCAAAGGTTTGAATTCAGGTTTAGGAAGGTCCGGTTCGAGTTTTTTGCCGAGTGTATGGCGAATGATAGCTGCTAAGGGTGGACACAAGGGAGGTGGCGGTGCTGTATGAGGAACATGGGGCACAAGCGGTTCAGGTACTGGAAGATCGGCAGGTAAATGCGTGTGCACATAAGGCTGTATGATATCGTTCTTAGTATGTGATCCATCATTCCCTATACACACTTACGCGTAATAGACGATGCCTTGTTTTTCCACGCCTACCATAGGCAAACTCGAGAACCTTGAGTCCACTCCTGAGATCGCCACGATTAGCTCTCTCCAGCCGGTGCAATTGCTAATGCCCATAATGTGTCATGCTTCTTCCATTGCCAACTTGTGACCTATCTTGCTTTACCTTTCGTGCTTCTCGGCACTTGTTTTTGATTCGTGTCTCATCGGTACATTGCTTATAGCCACGGAATGCGTTTCGTGTTCGGTTTACTATATACGTTCTACAATAAAAACAAACATGTCAAGCGACTTTATCCATACTCGTTGTATATACAAACCTAGCTCGATCATCAAAGAATTGGACACCTTCACATAATATGCGCCTGTATAGTAAGCGAACATACGATGCATCAACCATTATTGAAAGAAATGGTTGTCTTGGATATTGCCATGCCAGACTCTTTAGGCTGGAATCTCCGCTGTCAACTTCTGCGTATGCGAATGAGACAAGCGAGCACCATGCCGACTTCAAATCCAAATGGGCGCCTCCATGTCCCCCTCATTCATACATATGATACGATCATTATGTCATCAAACAAGAAGCCTTTCGATAGCCATTCATTCACAAGGCACCTATTGGATGTTGGCATGTTATATCTACGCAATTACAATTGTATATCTTTTGCATCACATTGGTTCTTCCTACATGACAAAAATAAAAATTTGAGGTATGCCTATGTCTATACATGGGTATCTCATAGAACATCGCCATCTGAAGAACAGCGTTTTTTGGGCATCTTGTGTTGATCGTAAGGTCTTCTTTCCATATAGATCGTCACCGGACATGATGCGTTGCCTGCCATCAAATGCCGTAACGCACAAATGTTTATGATGCAGGAGATCATAGATCATGCATGAGCTCATAACATCTTCCCAATCCTTCCAAGATGAAAAAGAGAATTCAATTTTGGCAGCATTATCTGAGTATACAGTGACTGCAAGTGGATCCGCCATCTGCTTCAGGGGGAAGACTTTGGGCATATTCGGCGTCGTAAGTTTGACTATGCTTTGATTCTTGCTTTGGGAATTGTTACGGACACCCCAAACACCTACCATATTAAACCTACTGGACTCCCCAAGTTACATGCCCTATATAATCAAAGTTCATTATCCTCACTCATCATGCATCTTACTTTATGGAGCCGACTAGGCGCTAATAACGGGTTAAGTCAACCCATTTACTAGGTCCAATGGTAATGATAGCTGCCAAGTCAACCCATTTACTAGATCAATTGATAATAATAAGCACTGTTGTCTTGCACACGACAAGTTATTAATACCATTGGAGCTAGTAAATGGTTTGACTTGACCAGTTATTAGCGCCTAGTCGGCTCCATAAAGTAAGATGCATGATGAGTGAGGATAATGAACTTTGATTATATAGGCCATGTAACTTGGGGAGTCCTGTAGGTTTAATATGGTAGGTGTTTGGGGTGTCCGTAACAATTCCCTCTTGCTTTTCGTAAGGAGATGCAAACCTAACATTCGGCGACGTCGTTCTTTTTTTGCCGTAATAGGAGGCAGTGGTCATTCCATCCTAAGAAATAAGGTTACCGACGCAGCAAGAAATCTATATAAATGGGGGGAAACGATGTGATATTCATTCCTACACAACTACAACAACCTCGTTCCACTCTACTTGCCATGAAGCTCGCTGTACTCGTCCTTGCCATTGCCACCGTCCTTGCCACAGTAAAGGCCACCCCAGGGAATATCCGCAGAGAACAATCATGCTCCGACTACAAGACAGAAGAAGAGTGCGAGGATGACGTCAATTGCGAATGGGTCTATCGTAAGTTACATTCAGTGATATCGCTTCCATTGCATCTGAATTCATCGATGTATATAGGTTACAGTGTTTGTGATGTCCGCGACTACAATTCTCGTTAAAGCAGAAACCCCACAAACGGTGTCACTCTTCCATTATCTTTTTCACAGTCATGAATATATCTACGACCCTTTAAATACGATGATTCGATGTTTTGGTTTGGTGGGATAAGGCGGATTTCGCTCTATGCGGAGGGACATGTTCCTGTTCAAGCAGTAGAGTGGCCTTAAAGTAAAATATGAGCTACATCAAAGAGTACTGTACGAGGTACAAGGCTGTCACATCAGTGGTATTGTTGATTCCTGAATCATCACTATCAACTCGAAAGAGATATTGCTTTACGACCAGGTGCCTAAGCATCAGGTTTTTTCACTCATCCCCAGTACGAAGCATACTTTTTACATACATACATATCAGTAAGCAAGTATCAAAGGTTACATGTGGCTTTATTAGGATATGAATTGGGACGGTAAAAGACATCTTTGATCAAACATCGAATGATTAAATATACTGTGATTGCTCGCTAATATGTTTTATAATCCCGTACAATACCGATTCATTATCAACAAAGCAGTGGTAAGCATGGCATCTGTTTATCTTTAATGGATAAGAGTTCTACTCTGTAGCTGGGCTAGCATCAACATCCTCTTTGGACTTGTCAGGTTGTTGTTCTTCTAATTGATCATTGACAGCGGGCTTTTCATCGTTACCGGATGATGCATTACCTTCTGTGGATCCATCGCTCTTATTCTCCTCTCTTTGTGTCTTCAACTTTTCCAATTCGATTTCAAGGACTCGGATCTTCACATCGCGCTGGGATAAAACCTTTTTAAGATCGTCATTTTCCTTACGCAACTCGTTATATGCCTTTTGGTACTATGCATAAAGAAAAACCTGGATGAGCTTTTACTTGCTTTCCCTCTTTGGAAATGCCTAAACTTACATCCTTTTCGTTCTTGGGTGTAGAAGCACCACTATCTTGCTCCTTTGATTCTTCAACAGCTTGAGCGGTGGGAACGAAATCCTGCTTCTCCTTTGCTTGGTAACCAGCTGAAAGATCAATCTTTTTGGGATCGGCGTTCTTGCCTGCAAACCATTCATCCGCTGTTAAAGCTGGCTCATCACTGACTGCCGGAGGATAAATGTCTGATTGGAATGCATCCGACTAATGAGGACGTATTAGTATATATATCTATATCATGCTGTTGAGTATGTACCTTTCTTGGGACCTTGAAAGAGATGGGCTCGATCATATTGGTGGTCAATTTGTATGCTCTGGCAATTTCACATTCATTGACGTTCAAGGCACGCTTCGGCATGAATGCAACACCTAGTTGGAAAGAACCCATTAGTGGAGCTTGAAATTAATAGCAGTAATGGATCACTTTTCACTTTACCCTTTTGTGCTTCAACATCCCGGTAATCGCTAAGACGATACAACTCATCGTTTTCGAATTCATAGTAGGTGATGGTACGGTCACTATACAAGTAATACATGTGAGTCCTTTTGTATCACGCTTGCTTTTGAAGTATACATACCCTTTGCCGGCCAAATACAGGATGCTGTTATCGTTATCATAGAAAGGCATGATGACACCTGATGAAGTATCGATAAACTCAGACTTCATGGGCTTGCTGAGATCGTCGCTGTTCCAGAGATTAAGCTGGCGATCGCTCATTTTCGAAAAGCCGGTGGTGGCAAGACGATTCGATTCTCCGAGCCAAACGACACGAGATCCCTTAATACCTTGATGACCTGGACCTTCCTGAACGACTTGATTGCTTCGGACATCAAAGATACGGAGTCGTTTATCACGGCAAGTGGTGGCCAAGAGCGAGCCATTGTAATTCCATGACATGCTTTGAATGATCTCGGTATGTCCAATAAGTTCTTGCTTCTCTTGTCCTTTCTCAATATCCCACAATTTGATGGACAAATCAGTACTAGCGGATGCAAGCACATTGCTGGCGACAGGATGGAATTGCACATGACCAACTTTGCTACACACACACATAATACATTCAATATCTTCTTGGATCTTGTTGATTAAATCCCATTTCTCTTACCGTCCATGTCCTGAAAGCTTAAGCACAGGCTTCACTTCTTCAAGGTCCTCGTCGTATTGCTCGGGGATGCTCCAAATCATGACCTTGGTATCCTCAGAGCCAGATGCAACAATATAGTCGTTGAAAGGGTTGAAATCCGTATCAAGAACAGGTGCAGTATGACCATGGTAAAGTGGGAAGTTTTCAGGCAACTTGCCTACATACATTTATGTAAGTGGATCATAGAGCTGCTTGATAACGCATCCAACCTACCAACAGTAGACAACGGAATAACAGCAAACGCGCCACCTCCTGAAGCTTGCCAGTTCATAGATACGAATAGCTAAACATACACGTCAGTAAACCAGATGAACAGCCATGGCATAAAGAATGGACACTCACAGGATTCACTTGCACCATGTTGGTATCCCAAGCGTTGAGACTAACGCGAACATTGTCATAGCAATAGTCGCGCTTGGCAGCTGTACCATAGACATGACGATACTTGGAAGGTCGAACAAATCGGTTCATTGTGTAAGGCTACTTTGTAGTCAGCAACAGAATGTCAATGAGAGCAAGAAAAGGGATTACTACCTAGTCGTGGAAGATGAGGGTATTCAGGTACTTTTTAGCGGCGGCAATTGGACGTCAGCAATTTATCTAGTGTCGGTACGATTTGAGCAAGCTCTCTCCTTTTATCCTCTCAATCATAGTGTGTGATTTCGCTTCATGTATCTCATACTTTTTGTTGCAAAAATAAAAGGGTTTAACTTAGAGCCAACTTGATATGAGACTTATGCCTTTATTACAAATACATTTCATATGATGGGTTCATTTCAATCACATCATCATCTTCTCGCTACTGCTTTGGATCCGTCATGTTGAAATTAGTTATCTTGCAATAGACACGTGCATCCACATTGTAGATAGGCTGTTGCCACAGCAACCAAATTTCTTTTTCATGTATATGATATTGATTTACTGTTGCCATGGATACCACAATGATCACTTTGGGGGATTCTTGCACCCATCATGTGACTTTACTCCTCTCCCAATTCAATCCACCACAGCCAAAGATACACCACACTTTCTTTCAGAAAATGATATCTGAACCCAACAAGCCAGCACCTCTTCAATTCGACAAGACCATATTTCATTTCACGTTGCATCCTCAGGAGAACCTTGTTGCAACGGGCTTGATCAACGGCAAAGTTTATTGGTAACGATTGTCTACTGAGATCGATCTCGTGTATCAAACCACTCAGTCTCCAAAGTCATCGATACGGCATAGATCAGCATGATCAACAATGGATGGTCAAGCCTTTCAAAAAGTCCTGTCGTGGTGTTGAGTTCAGCCCGGACGGCAAAGGTATCTTTAAAAAGAAACAGCATGCATTATCCTTGTATCATGTCATCTTATTTCCGTGCTTAAAGGAATCTACAGCATTTCCAAAGACAAGACAATTTGCCTGCTTGATACAGAAACCGGAAAGGCAATAAGATCCAAGGAAACAGCACATGAGTAAGCATGCATGAATCGATCAAGGTGGCAACTTTATGTGTGCTGATCAACTTGTGTTATAGTGCGCCATTAAATGCATTACTATGCTTGAATGAAAATATCCTAGCAACGGGCGATGATGATGGTATTATCAAAGTAGGTATATTGGAAGGTTGAGAAAAAGGGATACTTGGCTCACGCAAGTGTTAGCTCTGGGATAACAGGAAACAAGATGCTGTCATGGTATACAAGGAACATGAAGATTTCATTGCCGATATGACCTATCGACCTGACAAGAGAACACTAGTTGTTGCAGGGTAAAAAAAAAAGAGTGTGGATATGCAATGGTTGGCAATGATTTTAATGTATGGTTGTTGATTAGTGGCGACGGCTATCTTTCTACTTGGGATATCAGAAAACCAGACGTAGCCGCCATGTCGGATAATATGGAGGATGAGCTTCTCTCTGTGAAACTCTTAAAGGTATTTGTGTATATCCTGATGAGGATGATAGGCAAGAAAATTTAAAAATGAGATGCGTAGAATGGAGACAAAGCAGTGGTTGGATCACAAGAAGGCATTCTCAGTTTATGGTCCTGGGGTGATTGGGGAGACTATAATGATCGCATCGTCGGCCATCCAAGTTCGATCGATACTATTTGCAAGCTCGATGAAGATACCATTTGTACAGGAAGCAGTGACGGCATTATACGGTAAGGAGGAATGAGGGATTTGATATGGTAAAATAGGCCTCTGATATGGTTGTTTAGTATTGTTACCATTCTCCCTAATGAATTCCATGGTATCATTGGTGATCACGGAGAAGACATGCCTATCGAACATATACGCTTAGCTCATGATAAGAAATACCTTGTCAGCAGTGGGCATGACAACGCTTTAAGATTCTGGGACGTGGCCTACCTCTACGAGGAAGAAAAGGAGGAGGAGGAGGAAGAGGAAGAGGAAGAAGAAAAGGAAAAGGAACAAAAGGATGACACACAAGCTGCTGAAGAAGAAGACGACAGTGACAGTAGTGTAGAACAAAAGCCAAGTAAAAAGAAACGAAAGACGGCATCAGGCCCGAAGAGCTATAAGGCGCAAAAGAACGCTGCATTTTTCGCTGATATGTAAAATTCCCCCCAATTGTCATTAAATAGAGTATATTTGAGCATGAATTTTCTATATCTTTTTGGCTCCTATGCCACCCTTTTTCTTTTCTCGAAGCTCTGCCATTCGCTACAATTGCAATGATAGGAATCAATACACATGACTAATCATCTCACTCACGCAACAAATATGTACCTGTCTTCTTTCTTCTCGACGTCGTTCCATTTCGGCTCGCTTTTCATCCTTTGATAAAACAGATGATTTGGCTAACAAGGACAAAAAGTGAATAAATTGGAACTTTGGCTTAGGATACAATCATTAGACTCACCTTGAGATGTTGCAGAAGAAAGCTTAAAAGGCTCCCCTGCTTTTCGAATTCCTGGTGAATCGGTAGACGCTCCAAAGGATGATACTGCATTTGCCGGCTTGATCGTGTCTGGTACAACGGATGTGATGGGTTCTGGTTCATTTGTCACAAGGGTATCCAATGGTTCTACGTAGAAGTCAACAATGAATAAGGCATAGATAAAAGCACAAGTAGGAGCTTACCCCATCCATCACCATCAGCGCTATCAAAATTATCCATAATATTGTCATCGTCCCATCCATTCATGTCTCTCAAAGGAGTTGTTGATCGTGGTTGTGTTGTATTGGATACTCGGGTAACTGAATCAGAGCTTGCTTGAGGAGGTGTATTTGTGTCCCGGTATGGTTCATAAGTGGGGGATTGACCAGCATCAGCAATTTCACCACTAGGTGTACCGAACTATACGATATAAAAGATGCCATTAGGATTTTGCCGCACACATGCACACATGTTAAAGCCTGCTTACCCTAGCACCTATAGATGATACAGCCCATCCTGCTAAGCCTTTGGTTGCTTCTCCAAACACGCCTGACATTGACAATGATCCAACTTGAGAGTTTGCAGCAGCTGCATCGCCATTGGAAGCTCCAACAGTAGAAGGAGACGATGATTGAGGTGGTGGTGGAGGAGCTTCTTCAGGCTATATAGATGCCAAAGTCATGATGTTAGCATATCAATAATACGCGTGTTCATCAACCTACCATTGTACTGGCATATTCTTCTATGCGAGATATGAATGCTTGGATTGTTTTGAAAGCCTGAGTTCGTACGGATCTGTACACGTTGGTTTCAATGGATCCGGATACCATCCCTTTCAATGCTCAATACTCACTTTTCCTTATCAATCAACACCAAAGAGATGGCAGGAACAATACGAGACGAACATTCTTGAATATCGTAGGTATCCACAGTAGCTACATGAACCAGCTTCAGTAAAACTCTTCATAATCCTCAAATGTTGCCTTACCCATGAGCGCCATCAAAGCAGCAATTCTCGCGTGGTGGAAACCATCTCGTAAGCCGCGAGTAAAAGCAGGCACCAGAATTTTCTTACGAGTCTACCCATTTTGCTATGAATACCAAATCATCATCATTACACGAATCAAAGAATGAGCTTACCGCATCCGAAAGGTTCCTTGCAATCTTTCCAAGGCAAATGGTGGTGTTTGTTCGAATGCCAGGCTCCTCATCCACTTGAAGTTTTGCCAAATACTTTAAAAGATCATAGTTGATGACACGCTCGCTCAACTATTTCAACACGTTGATCAATGGTTTTGCATATCATGGGATCGTGTTGCTTTCGTATACCTTGGGGACCAAGTAAAGGATCGATTTGATGGTCTGCTCACGAATAATGGGCACTGTGTCGGTGAAACCCGTAGCCTGAAAATCGACATGTCGTTAACGAAGAAAGCGTATAGGATTGTTGTCACACCAAAATACTAACCACATTCGGGAATACTTGATTCGTCACGGTCTTGTTTGGGATATGATCAATGAATTTGGGCATGTTTTCAAGAAGGCTGATACGGATGGCTCGATCAGGTGAAGCAAACATGCGTACAATGGGCTCCACAAGCATCTTGGCATATTGTTCGGTATCCAAATGTTGACCAATTTTCAGAATCGCATTCAATGCCTTTGCACCACCTAAGGAAAACACCCATTAATTTCATGTCCATCCATTTTCACACAAATGGCCATTTCCTTCCTACCTGAACCAAATTCAAAGGCTTTGAGTAACTCGGGGAGAATTTTGTGTGTCGCAAACTCAGTTGGAAAGCTGTCAATCGAATTGTCTAGTTGACTAGCAGCAGGTTGTTAAAAGATTTGCATGACGTTTTATCTTTGTGAATCAACCTACTTGAAAAAGGCTTCCTTCTCGCGTTGTTCTTTGATGCTGATATTCTCAAGGAAAACATTAAACTCGATGAAATCGTCGGTGAAAAAGCTGCCTGATCGCATTCCATCATCAAGAAAAGTGCCAGCATCCGCTCTTGATCCAGGCGCGGTACTTAGTAATTCACGATAGACCGAATACATGGATGTTGGTATGTTGCCACGGTGCGAAAGCAATTTCTCGGTCGAGTCGAAATGATGATTGTACGTTTCATAGATCAAGCATCCCAAATGATAGGAATCGGTGGCAGTGGTGGGAATACTGGTTTTGATATTACATTAGCACAAGGGCACCTTTGCAGGAATATCACTCACTTTTGAATCACCGTCCACCCTGATTTTTTCACTTCTGGTGTCATATATTGGTGCGCTTTTGGAGTAAGCCCGCCGAGGGACTGTCATAAAGGCATTAGCTCATCCCATTATAGTAATCCTAAAGTGGATGATCACACGTACCAAAATAACAGGACTTTCCTCCTTCATTGACGACAATACTTCAAATCCTCCAAGCTTCCATTCTCCGGCATCATTGGTAAAGATCGATGACACGTTGACATTGCCATGTACCATATCACAATCGCAATTGAGGAACTTGAGTGCATTCTTTACAATAGATCTTAGTATTCCCTTCGTGATCCAAATCGATCGCATTATGCTTACCGCCACTTTGTATAATCCCCATAGCAAAAGAAGAGCGTTTGGATTCTGATTCAACTGGTTTGATAATGGCTCGACAGGATCTGTCACAAACATGATGGCTTGCTCAGTCTAGTAACGAGATGGCTGTGAGCAGTTTGCCTTGAATAGATATGTAACTTTAAGTATACCTCGATACCATCCACATAGCGCAATAGATCTGGATGTCGCATAGTTCTCATCCTCTTGAAGGCGTTGCGAGCCAACTGGACTTTGTCAGGTTGTTTGTTGCAGTCAAACATAAAGATTGATACGTTGGACCCATCTTCCTAAGCATGACAAGTCAACATTGGGTTGTGTGTGTGAGCGTGTGCATGAGGTTGTTTCATTGTGTACCTTTTTCGTGCCTTGATGCAGCGACCAGATAGAGTGCTCATCAAACCATTCCACTTTGGCACCGACAGAATAAGGGAACGATGCCGATTCTTTTCCTAATAGTGATAAACCGCTCCTAACAAAGCCTGAAAGAAACGCCATGTCGATCAGAAGAGGGCAAATTTGACCTCCACGAATGGGATTGGTTTTAACAGTCAGCTTTTCTGCAAGTCATCTGACACCATCCAAACAATAATGATCATCCCCCATCTTTGAAATGAAAGTCTTATTATCATCAAACATGGATCATTTGCAATACATGAACTCTATTTCTATCTTTGCAATCCCATTCTAGGATGAATGATTTTAGATGTGTGTCGCACACTGTCGCGATGGCAATGGTCGCCAGCAGCATCACTCAAGGAAATTCACTTGAATCCCCGACATGTCAAATGACACTTTTATAGAATTGACATATCCCCTATATCATAGTGATTTGGCAGCTTCATTTTGCTATGGTTTCAAATATTATTATCATGGACACCTTATGAGATTCAAGTTGACTGAACCTCCAAATTCGTTTTCTTTTATACAGAAACCATGACATTAAAGTTGTCTATGGCAACGCAACGTATCAGCATGAATCCCAGCATCAATTACTTTTTCACGAGAAGGGAACAACGAGAGGTTTAATTTTGGAGGGGGGATATCAACATTCATTTTCATTGTCATCACTAATACTAAATAGCTTTATTGTTGCCGCTTACTCTTATTTTTATAATAATGAGTGACCCAATTGCGTACGAAAACACTGGCCTTCATCAATTGTCTGGAACCCCATTTACGGAAGAAAGCATCATGAGCAACAGGTTGTGACAAGAAGTCGAGCATCAATCTGACGATAGGCTTGAGTTCAGATGTGGTATAACCCGAAAGATATGCGATTTCTGGTGTCTGAATGAATGACGTTAGTATCATTGTTGAATATGTATAAAGAGCGTATCTCTCTCTTACCCATGAGCCATTAGCGAGCATGCGTTGAGATAACCATAAAGCAGCAGCAGCCACCTTGGAAGGAGGGATGGCAATGAAACGATGATCCACACATGATATCTCCATAAAGTATTTTGAGAGCATTCGGCTGTGTAAATCGTAATCTTCTGTTTTTGACGCTCGGCGTAAAAAGTTGAGAGGATTTGAAAAGCAAAGTTTGTAATCCAACACTTGTAATACAAAACGTTCGGCTTTGATGAGATCTTCTTCCTTGATATTCTGATCGTCGGTCATGAAAATAAAGTCGCGAATACGAGGTGCTGCCACTTCTTCAAACTTTGTTGCGATAAAGAGAGCTGCTAAACCAACGAGTTGAAGCTTTCCCACAGACACGGATCGTTTGGTGAGGAATCGATCAATGATATTCACAGCGAGGAAAAGCGTTTCTGGCAGCAACTGAAATAGATAATGAACTTCGACCACCCAATCGATAAGGACACCACGCATCTTCCAAGTGATTTCATTCTCTAACGGATCATTGCTCGCATACATTGGACTCCCTAATGTGGTAATCTAGATAATGAAATGAATAGCTTGTTCATTCATCCAATACAGCGTATCAAACGTACTTCACTCTTGCGTAAATGGTCAAAGATATCTTCTTCATATTCTGCCACCAGCAATGGATCGGTCCAATCCATGACATTGTTCTCACGCAGACGCACTTGTCTCGCACGTGTTTCTTGTTTGACTTCATAGGCTAATGCTGCATCACACACTTGCTTATCATCCTCCGTCGATAATCGTGATCGGTCTATGGTTGGTACAGGTGCTGCTGCTGCTGCTGATGATGATGCTGATGGTTTGGGTTTGGCCTGGAAAGGCGTTGATGGTGTCGTTTCTGCTGGAGGTACGTATTTTCCACTAGCAAAACAATGTCGAATATGATCTGGAACAATGATTGGCAAGATAGGGAGAGGTGGTTGTCGTCTATGTTGCTGTTGTTGTCGTTGTTGTTGTTGCTGTGATTGATCTTTGCTTTTATATCGTTCAGCGTTGTCATCCAAGAAGGCTTTCACATCATCGTTGGTTTGCTGGGTATCGTTTTGACGATTGGTGGACTTTTCAGTCAATGTCTACACAAGGAGTCGTACCAATACAAATTGAGTCAATGCATATACATACATACATACATACACACATACACACACACGTACCCTTTTGCGTTTATTCATACACTTGTCCAAAAGTGCTGACCGTTGCGTCTTTAACCCAAGCTTGTTGCTGGACAAGGCTGAACTCTCCATCTTACGACCACCCAAAGATCGCATTGGTGCATTTTCTTTGTCCACATTGTCCTTCTCTCGCAGGTCTCGGCGCCGCTATACATGGGATTGGGTTAACCAAATGAAATGAGATGGGGGTGCAAAGCAACTATGCAGAGGGCACATGCTGCAATAAGCTCATACCAGCGTTAAGCCTTGATTTTCCATGACAGAAAAGAGAGCATTCACAGGAGAAGAGAGAAGAGAAGAGAGAGAGAGGGGCAAGCAACCAAGGTGACGCGCAGATGAGAAATTTGGATTTTGTTTGCTCAGCTGACAATGAAACGCGTCGTGCCGAGTCGATATCCAATTATCTATTTATCGTGTTGTTGAGGCTTGCAATAAAGGATCCTTCATCACTTGAGTGGGTGTGTGATACTTCTCATGTGGCACATTCTAATCATTAAACCAACGCAAGTTATCCATCAGGTTATCATTGTCTTTATTGATCGTGCAAATGCAAAGTACATATAAAGCTCCCTGATACTACTGGTAGAGATGACATTGATGCATAGAATTACAATTCACAAACACTACTGGTGGATGCAATGCCATTGAAAATGCAGGTGTTGTTGATGGGTATATATTGGGATGTGATCATTTTAATTGCCTCCTGTGCAATCAAACCACCCATCAATGCTGCAATATTGGCTGTTTCTTGGTCGGCAAACCGGACACTAAACACACAATGCTGTTTTAGAAAAGAGAGATACTTGTCTTTTGTTCGATGCACTTACAAGTTGTTCGCAGCTTTTTTGAATGCATCGCTTTCTTCGATTGCAAGTCCAAGTCCTTCCATCAGGCTTCGCGTTTCTTGTTCCAAGAGATTAACATCCGTAGAGTTGGTGCCACCTTGTGCCCCTGAAGGAGACGTTCATTCATTTAACCTGTGATTCGCCCATGATGATGATGCCCAAACTTACCTGGATATCTTCCATGCTTATCAAAGAACCGCTCAGCTGCTCTGAATATCAAGTAATAATACATGTTTTCATCCATTTGGATTGTGTTTGCTATGGAAAGTAAATTAGATACGCTGTGACCATCGTTACCTATGTAAATCAACATACCAATGGTGTCTTTTGAAGGTGCAGTTACATACTCGTCACGTAGTGTTCGGTAACGGAGCAACTGAATATGAGCAGCATTCTTGCAAAAGTCATCAATCATCTTGTCAGGCACAGTATCTTCGGGCACGTCAATCTCTCGTAACAAGTTCCGCACTCGACTCTTGACCGCTTCCAAATCAGATAATGCCTTTTGACGATAACTAAAGTATATCAATAAGTCAAAGGATCAAAAAGGAATTCCCATGGTTGTGTCTCATACATGTTTTGTAGTGCCATATATCTTGGAGTATCTGATTTCATATCAGGTAGCTTCCCGGAAAGTGGTAGCTGGCCATGTCCTTCATTGGAAACAAAGTCCTTGATGGCTCGTGCGACAATCCAAAATGCATTTGACTAAATCAAGATCGTTAGTGGATTCATCTTTGTATCTATAATAAAGGTCATACCTGTGCGGAAAGGTTCTCGCAGCTTTGATCATCGAAAATATTGCGTACATTGGACGAGATCTATAATTACGCTTCGTGTTAATGATCGTGTGGTGAAAAAGGTTCGATGAACTTGCCGTGTTTGTGGTTGCTAAGCGCCAAACGTTGGCTAAGGCTTCTTCAAAGTTCTCTTCATCCACTGTGCGCATGCCTTTTCGTATACATTCCTTCAACTGATTGCGTTCACTGTAACTAGCAGGAGGTTGATTGTCATGCTGTAAATGAGTTAGCCAATAACCCTTTAAATAGGTTCTATCCCTCCAAACAATACCTGTTGCTTCCATTCGTTGACGTATTTCAATAGGATGACAACGAAAGGAACATGACCATGGTCTGTCTGATCGAGCTGATCCAAATCAATCGTATCCACATAATCCAAGAGCTCCGTGAAAGGACAACCCAATCTCAAATCAACCGCGTTTTCAGGATGAGTATCAATGACTATTCGAGCCCCCTGATGAGTAGCTGCTTTTTGCATGAAACAGGGATGTTTTTTGCTTACCTGGATGTTCTGGTGCCTGAATACGGAATACTCCGCAAAGACCTTTACTGGATACAGCGATAAGGGTGATCTTTGAATGGTCGCATAGATCGGATAGTGTCAACATGTCCTTTTCGTGAAGATTCGTAGCGATGATCATTGTGAAATTGTCAAAGAGCTCGGGCTGATTGTGGATAAGCTCGGTGGGTGACTGACAAAAGAGGAATCAATATCATGCACTCGCTCATCATAAAATAGTAACCGTACTTTATGCATTGAAGTGACGGATGCATCTTCATTCAACTCTGCCAATAAAGCTGCTGTACATTCGGCGCGTGATCGTCCAATGCTGGATGGCTCGAGGAAAAAGTTGCAACGCAAGTCGGTGTCGTTGACAATGGTATCATCAATCACGGTAACGTTACCAACGCCTTATTCATCCTATTAGTACTGATATACTTGTTGAATATCGTATCATCTTACCAGGCAAGACAAGGTTCTTTAACACTTCACAGCCGGTTGCAGTCGCGTTCAGAAGGCAGATTTTGGCATTCTCCAAAGCTGTTTGACCTGTGGAAGCCCACAATCTGAAATGAAGCAGAGTAAGCTCATGGGGGTCCAACTCGAGTGCATTGGTGAATCGTTCTACCTCAATTGTCTATCATATTTCTGGGTCTTGAGATCGTTGATGGGTACTGCAGCAATGGCTGACATGACGAAGGAAGAAGGTTACTCTATACGCTGACGACAGCCCATAGGCGGACTTATGCTTGAGTTAGCTCACTTGGCGCTGCGAGATGTTCCCCTGATGCTTGGCTATGCATTTGTAATCAATGCATCTCTTAATAAAGTACTCCCATCGTCCTGTTTTTCATCCTCTTTCAGGTCATCCATCATCATTGTTTACGTGTTTGGAGAGGGGCAAGTTGAAAGACATTGATCATTCCCGAGATAGTGTTATCAATTACATTTCTTTTTATATGCAGTAAAAGTACAAGTTTCTAAACTACCCTTATGTTGTTGTTGATGATGCAGTAAAAGTGGTTTTTGTTGATGAATTCGAATCATGAGCACGTAATGTATGATAGACAAGTCCTTCACGAGTAGCATAGTATTTGGGATGTGTGCAACCGGGAATGACGCATCGATAAGGTTCTTCCCCGTAGTGTTCATCTGTAAGGTGCTTGATGACATTTGTCTTTCGATTGAATTTTTGATGACAAGAAGGACATTGTAATGGTGGATAAATGGCATTCAGTCGTGAGTCAATGTGTGGTGAAAGGGTAATCTTTTTCGATCCACGCGGTGCCCTATTGGTGGATATCCTTGGAAATGATGATACACGCCATGAAGGTGAATAAGCGTCTGATTTCCTTGATGATGGCGTATCCGGTTTCGGTGATGGTGATGAAGATGATAAAGTATCGACGGGTGTCGAGATGGGTGAAATGCAATCTTGTTGTGTGTAAATGTTGTCAGTGTTGGTGGTGCAAATGACGAGATGGGATTGTTGTACATGATAAAAGAGAGCGGCACGAGTTTTGAATACGAGGTCGCAATGTGGATGCAGACAAGAGAATTGTGGTATAGATGAATGCCGTTCGCGATGATGATTTCTGGCCTCGGTGGATGTGGTGGAAACGTGATCACATAAAGAGCATTGATGAGGCGGATATACAATATCAATCAACGTGGATAATGAATCATGAGGATTGTCAATACTCAATGGATGCTCATAGCTACGATTGTATCCCTTAATGGGTGGTAGGAAATGCTGTGGATAAGCCCATGTAGAAGAGTAACACGTCTGCTGTTGTTGTTGTTGTTGCTGTTGTGGGATACGGAAAGGTTCCACTTTCAATACATGTTGTGCTGCTGGTTTGGCTTCCGACGACTGTACACTGGGCACCTGGAAATGCGTAGTCTCCATCATGGACGTGCAATGCATCTCATTGAAAGCGTTGTGTTTCTTGTTTGCCGAATGAGCAACACCAACAATACACGTCTGTCGTCCCAAATCACCCCCAAATAAAGTAAAAAAAAAAAAAAAAAAAGCAAAGGTGACTTTGGATCCATAACCTGTTGTATGCGCTTGAATGTGACTTGATAGGTCCCTCCCACATCTTTATACCACACAACACATGGCAATCATGCATCATTGTTCAACCACACTTGTCGAATAGCTTTGACCTATTACGAGCAATGGCAGGTATAGGTCAATTGATACCATCAACATTTCATTGTCAATAAAAATACGTTTCTTAAACTAGCCATACTTCTTATCTTTATGATAGACATCCTCCACCTTGAATTTGACTATTGAATGGTGTATGATAGGGGCTGTCTACCTGGGGTATCATAATGGATTGGCTGTGTAATACTATATCTATATATGTATCCATCCTCAAAGCTTTGTCAAGAGACCAAGAGCATCTTCCATGTCATTATTCATCTTTTCGTATTCTTGCTGCGCAGAGTCCATTTGTCGTTTACTCTCCTATAGTCAAATGTTCAATTGAAATCCCCCATCATGGACATAATATCACTTACAAGATCAGCTCCCTTCTTTTTCTTTTGTGTCTTGGAAGCCAAATGAGGAGTGAGTTCACCAAAAAGGTCATCCAGTTGCTCTGACAACGCTTCATTTTTCAATTTTATGCTTTTGGAGCTTCCTTTTGGTCTCTTGGAGATCTTGCTTGCCGACGTTGTCATTTGTTTGCTCAATGGACCCCGAGACGACTGAGAATGGGATTTCGACCGTGATTTGGGCGTGATCGCTTGCTTGGGCATGATGAGTAAGGAAAAAGATATAAGAGTAGGCGGTTGATTCTCTCTCTTTTCGGAATCCTGGATGCCACAGGTTGCCAACCCAGCCACACGGCGACCTCATGCGACCGACAATCGGGATTATTGTTTCCTGCACATCCACCTCGGGCGCACCATTAGGTTAATACTTAGTTTTACATGGCAAAAATGATCCATTACCAAATAAAACAAGGACATGCTCGATGCGGTGGATTGGATACTGTATTGTTTGGCTGCACAATGGGTTGATTTTTTGATTGAAGAACTAGAATGAGGTAATGGGATGATTACACCTATACGGCGCATGCTGCTGTTTGGGACCATCATCATTTGAAGAGAGCGCATTGCTATGCACTCAACATGATGAATGAACATCAAAGAATCTTTTAACTTTTCTAATCCACAACGAATGTTATCATTCACACTAATATCCTCATGGACCACTGATACGAGAACTTTTATGCATGCGCTTTATGTACGAAGGGTAAAGTAAAGGAAGCAATGTACAAAGCATTCAATGGGGTTATTTGCAAAGGGGTCGTGTAGCGTATTAATCGCTGATGATACATTCGACTGGATAGTTCTTTGCGAGCGATTCAATATAAGCTTTGGTGCTGTTCGACATTTCACAAGTGATAAAGTAGAGCTTTCTCAAATTGTTGCCCATGGTGCTAAACAACAACTCAGCTTCTACCTCGGTGATGGTGATATCCTCGTTGTATAGGAAAGCAAGCGATTCAATCCGATCCAAGGTTGCAAGAGCGTGAATCACCTTGGCAGAAAGTGTGGAAAAGCAAGCCAAGCCGAGGTGCGTAAGGAGGGGAAGACTGGTTTGAAGTTTTTTGATAAATGCACGAGTCTCTCGCTCATCAAGAGTGTTGCAACAATCCACAGTGAGCCTTTCCAGAGTGTGAATGGTCAACGCGGTAGAAATGATGTCAACTGCGCCGGCATAGTGGTGGTGTCCACGAAAGAAAAGTTGTAGCTCTTTGAGCGTCTCGGAGTGATTGCAACGGTGATGAAGTGCCTCTAATAATTGCAATTGGCATGGTTTTACTGCATTCTCGGTAAACTCGATATCGATGCGTCGAAGTGATGGCAGCTTGTACTGCAAGGTATGCATCATCGATCCTCCAAAAGCATGGCAGATATGAAGTAGCTCCAGATGTTCCAGTGCCTGGCATGCGTTGAGCCAATAGCTATACCCATCTTCGTAGTGTAGAGAATCAATGTGTGGACGAAATAGCGGTAATGCAAGGTGTTTGAGTGTCGTATTGTTGGATAGAAGGCGGGTGTTAAACGTTTCCCAATTTGGTGCAAAGTTGGAAGAAGGGTGCTCATAACCAACACAAACGGACTCCAAAGTCGATTGGTGCTTCAGCACCATATCGCATTCAGCTTGGCTGAAATCCGATACGCGATTCCAATAGCAACGTAAACCGGGAGAACCTTGATGATCATAAGATGCTGCTAATTGAAGGTGATCTTTGGGATGAATCTTGTCGTCGTCTGTTGTAGTAAGATAGTGCATAGATAGGTGGACATGGATGATCTTTGGACACAATGTAAGAATGGCTGACATGAACGAATCATTCTTGTAACATGTAGCCAGCTCCAGATATTCAATGTTGGGTGCAAAAGACAACAATTCTTGAATGTCGGAAGGGTGGATGTCTGCTGGACTATCGATGACAAGCGAAACGAGGGTGCTGAGGTTGCTCCATTCCAACACTTGTTCATGTATAGGCACATGAAAATGGCTTCGTTCATCACCACAAGTGAACGCAAGATGGCTGACATTGTATTCTGTTGCCAGTAGAATACTATCGACAAGATTCATTTTGGGAGCATGGATATTGATGAGAGCGAGGGTATCAAGACGCCACTTTTTGAAGCAAGACTTCAACTTTGCATGCATGACTTCTGGGCAATCAATGTTGACGTTGCGTAATTCTGTGGATAGTACATCATTAGCTCCTCCATATGCTCCCTTGTAACATGTTGCCCATCAACCTACCAAGCTTTTGCAATAAAGAACATGACTTGAGTCGATCCATGACCTTCATCATAGTATCCATTGGCTTGAACTTGAGTCTAGCTGTTTTCACAAAGTGGCCAACGAGATCGATAGAGGCGAGCACACGTAAAGAATCGCCGTCCACTGTAATATCGTGAAAGGGGTGTGATGCAGCCAGTGGTATGACATGTCGCCAATGACGAGATACATGAAGGCATTCAATGCAGTCCATCGGCCTCAATTCAGAAACAATGCAGGCAACGATCTCCCGTGGAAGGCAATTCATACTGGTCCGTGAAGGAAAGAGTTGACAAGAACAATAGATGCTGGGGCTCAAAATCAAGGTGAGCTGCATGATGAGTGAACCCAAATGTTGTCAATGTCACGTGCCCCGACAAATGAAAACGAGAATGCTCTTCCTCACCATACCATCACTTGCCCTTTGTCATTCATAACGTGTTCTTATACAATGGCTACGATGAAAATTGTTATAACAAGGATAGACATCAAGAATACACCAGCTATTCGCTGCATGGAGGACCCTGTGTCTTAACTCAGAAAAAAAGCCCCTTGGCACACAAGGTCATCTTTTCGTCTTTTTAGTTGGCCTATTGTGGCCATATCCCTCTTGAACCTTATAACGTGAATAGTTTTTGATCCTCCAATCGGTGTTAAGGGAATAATAAAAGGTGGGGCATTTCACTTTGTCGTATCATACACCAGCTCCAATGATCATCATCCATGTCGTCGGCTGTGGCATTAGTGAACGTGAGCGTGTTTGTGTCACTTGAAAGTGGCTCCAACGTATGACTTGACGGAGATCATCCATCAGCAGCGATCATTTTTCGCATATGCGGTAGATATCAAACAAATCCACAGGGTCGGATGAGGGTGATACAAGATTTCCCAGTATGCATAATTCTACACACACATCACGCTTTCCTTTTATTTCGCATCTCTTTCTCTTATTCAGAATGGATCAACAACGCCCACCCGCCAAAATTGATGAACAAGACGGTGTTTGCATTGACTATATCAGCAACCTTCCCATTGAACTTCGTGCAATCGTTGTGGCACAAGCGCTGACCACTACTGAAATCAAACCAAGTGAACTTCGGGAGTATCTTTTGGTGTCCCATTTATGGCATGAAACGATCCTTCAGCATGTTCATGGTTTGCAAGTCGTGAGCGTATCCGACAATGACCTTAGCCAGAGCGACTATGTGCTGAAACGAATGGCACCCAATATTGCTTCCTTGCACGTTCGATATGATGCCATCCCTGCATACCTTTTACTCCAACAGGCACGTTTCTCATCATTGACATCACTCAGCTTGCAATATGAGTACGTATCACATGCACATGTTATGGGCAGCAGGAAAAGATAAATATTTATGCAAAATATGTAGGTCACAGCTTGAAGATCGAGCTACAGTATTGAGGTCATTGGCTACCGTGCAATCAACCTTGACACACTTGAAGGTCATGATGGGAGAATGGGATTGGGATGAGCTACCTGCGTATTCAATTGGAGACCTCCTCGAGACATTTCCACACCTTATTTCGTTCAGCTGTTGCAATATCGACAGCCACTTCGATGCGGCACCCACAACCTGCCCAAGCTTGAAAGAATTGAAGCTTGCGCACTTTCAGTACGAGTTTGACCAGGATGATATTGATGACTTGACAAGCCGACTCCCATCATTGGAAATATTGGGGCTTCAGCCTTGTGCTGATATAGCCGCTTTATCATTGATCCAAGACAATTGCCCGAAGCTCAAGGTCATCTTTTACAATCATTGTGGCCACCGACCGATCTACATGCAACGGATTACCTACAAAGGAATCAACAACCGAGAACCCATCAGTGGAGATGATAATGACGATGGCCTCCAATTGCTCGAGATTGACCAGGGCCCTGAAGAACACTTACTTGAGGCGCATATCAGTGAGGTGATTACATCGATTACTCGCAACTCTGACAGCCTACAATTGCTCCGTCTTCGTTATCATTCGGAAGCTGATATTACCGATCATCATTCACTGTATGCGGATGTCACATTCAACCACATGACCAGCTATACCCATGACATTTTCAATGATGAGGACATGATTCTTGCCATGGACTTGATACGACGATCTCCTCAGCTCATGATCATTGAATTGCATAAAGGGTACCCAGAGTATGCCGACGACAACGACAGCACACGTTCCATTCCTTCATCCCACCGATGTGATGATCTCAGCCAGTTGTTTACCATCATGTCAGGACTACCACATTTGGAGGTGGCCGATGTTCAGGTCAAAGGCGACAATGCAACTACAGGTGTTGAGCAATTTCTTTTGTACCATGGCTCCATTGATTCCAAGTTGCGTCAATTGTATGTCCCAAAATCGGTTCACTTTTCGATCAAAACATTGGATTGCGTGACCAGGGTGTCGCGCTTGGAACACTTGACCATGAAACCCATCTTTCAAGAGTGTGCCGATTGCTGGTTTGGAGAAGTTCGCAAATTCCTTGAGAAGCTTGCAGAGCGTTGTCGACTTTTATACAGCCTCAAGCTTTATGATATACATCCACACCACCTGCAATGTTTGACACGCTTTCCGAACCTCAAATCGTTATCATTGAAAATGAGCCTCACTGACGTATCCGATTTGTTACGCCTTATGCAATCTCCCAAGCTCGAACATTTGGATGTCGACTCACGTTCAACACTTGGAACGATTCATGAAGAAGGAGAGGTGGCAAACACGTTGAAAAATCGATTTGATGACATACGCATATGCTAGAAATCTGCTTACGCCCACCCTCAACATCTCTCATTGCTAAAGTTGAACACACTTGCTTCTTTACTTGCTTATAAAAGAACACGGTTATTGGATTGCGGCATTACTACATAATTTGTTGATGGAAGCTTATGTATTTGGATCATGAAAAGAAGAAGGATTCAGCAAAGTTTTATGTGATGTACTTGAGCTGAGTGTTCCTAGTTGATGGATGATGTTCGTCTTTGAGAAGAAGGTGCGTAAAATCCCAATGATGAAGGCCTTTGGACCACGTTGGGGTGTAGAGATGTATAGAATCACATTATGCAAATGTTTGGCTACATTCATTTATCTATGTGTGACATTAAATGTTTGGAATCTTGTGCCTCAACCAATATTTGGGTGGGGGAAGATTGTGGGAAAGGGATGTCCCAAAAAAAACAGCATGTGTGGTGCGTGTGGGGGAGGTGTGCACGTGATACGAGAGGGAAGGAACAAGACGTCACGTTAATCCTGGCTGAGATATCGGACATTGGCTGATTTCAAAAAGAGGTTGCAAGCAACAGCTTTTGAGAGCACCACTTTGACGATACGCGTCTCGGTTCCTCCTGCAGTTGCCCGATTACCTCTATTCGCATTGGAGTACGGTGCTTCATCTCTCTTCACTCTCATTGGGTTAATCACCAACACGCACTACTTGTCATAAATCTGTATTCGTTTGTTCGTTCCAATGTCAGACGAGCCATCAGCTTCTTCCGCCTTGCCAACAACAGAAGCAACAACAAGGTAAACAGCAATGATAACCAATGCTACCAAGGTTTATCATAGAACTAATCGTATCAAAGTCCTAGAATGGATACAGACGAGCAGGAAAACAAGGATGCACAACCACAAAGCGCCAAGTCTACAGAGACTGATACAGTTGCACCAGCTACGCCTATGAATGTGGACAATGCACCTTCACAAAGCACAACAGACGCAAAAGATGCAGGTTCACAGCAACAGCAATCATCATCGATTGAGAGGAATGTTACAACATCCCCTGATCAAGCTCCTTCTAGTTCAACAGCAACAACAGCAGCAACAACGACGCCGACGCCGATATCATCAGTTCCCCCAATCCAGGCCATTGTTGGAGATGAATCCAAGTCATCGATTCAACAGCCATCATCATCATCATCATCATCCCCAGCGATTACTAGTACACCTATTCAACATCAAGAATCTACACCTGTGCAACAACCCCCCACTCAGTCGTCGTCTTCTCAGCCGACATCCACGCAACAAACAGAGCCTAATGCAACCAAGGATACGCAATCATGGCCCCAAGCAACTACTACGGCACCATCATCTACATCCAATCAACAACAGCAACAACAAGAGCAGCCCACACAAAGCGGTCAACCTGAGCCTGTATCAACTTCGCCACCATCATCTTCCAAACAACCCGTTGCTACGACAACGGAAGCAAATGGCTATCGACCACTCAATGTGAAGGATGCATTGACGTATTTGGACCAAGTCAAGATTCAATTTGCTGATAGACCAGAAATCTATAACCAGTTTTTGGATATTATGAAGGACTTTAAGAGCCAATCGTATGTATATCTATATTCTATAACCCTGAAAATGATAGGTTATTTACGAATTGTTCGTATTTAGGATCGATACCCCAGGTGTAATCGAACGTGTATCCACCTTGTTCCAAGGTCATCCAGCATTGATTTCAGGATTCAACACCTTCTTGCCACCAGGATATAAGATTGAATGTTCTGTGGATGAACGTTCTCGCAATGTGATCAAAGTGACAACACCTTCTGGAACCACAGCAACGACCGATGGTGAACCATTAATGCTTTCTTCGAGTTCCACCACGGGATATTATCAGCATTATCGACGTCCAACGGGCCCTGGTTACGGTTCCCAAGAACCTGTCTCCATGCTGTCTCATCCCTCCATCTCCTATCACCATCAAACAAGACATCAGGAAGATCCGCATACACGTCGTACACCTGTCGAATTCAATCATGCTATCAACTACGTGAATAAGATCAAGGTATATACAATGCAAAAAGGAATGCATATACCTTTACTCATCGTCTCCTTCTAGAATCGATTCTCATCCGAGCCCGATACATATAAGCAGTTTTTGGAGATTTTGCAAACCTATCAAAAGGATCAGCGACCCATCCAAGAGGTGTACGCTCAAGTACAAACCCTTTTTAACGGTGCACAAGATTTATTGGATGAGTTTAAGCAATTCTTACCTGAAGCCTCGGGTGCGGATGCGAGTGAATCGATGAAGGCATTGTTTGGAACGACGGCGTATATGGGTAAGTGAACGAAAGGAACAAGGAGAAAGTACACGAATGTTGACATGTACAACCAAAGGCAAACGTGGATCACTTATGACACCCGGTCTTGGCGAGTCGGCACGTAAGAAACGTATGAGTGGAACATCGACTGCAGGTTTATCCAAGGTAAGGACTGGATTATGGATGGGTGGATAGCATTCAGCTGACAAGATGGTTTTGCACACACACACAGTTGAGCAAAAAAGACATTCAAGTGTCAGATGTACGTTCAGCTCCAGTGGATATGGGAGAAGATGTGGATGATTGGCAACCTGCACAGGCGACTGTATCAGCAGAGGAAGCAGAATTTTTCGATCGCGTCAAAAAGTACATCGGCAATAAGGCAACGTATCGATCCTTCTTGAAGCTACTCAATCTCTTCAGTCAACAAATCCTTGATCAACATCTCTTGGTGACACGCGTCGAAAGCTTCATCGGTGGCAATCGTGAGCTCTTTGAGTGGTTCAAATCCCTTGTTGGTTATAATGAAAAGGAGGAGATTGTGGATAATGAACCTCGTTCCAAGGATAAGCTGGATCTCAGTCGATGCGAATCTTATGGTCCCAGCTACAGACGTGTACCTAAAGAAGTAAGTGTTGGTTGTTAGGCCTTTGCTATCAAGTCAACTTATGATTTGCTGCTAGTGGCGTGGTGGAGTATGTTCAGGCCGAGATGCGTTATGCAATGAGGTGCTCAATGATCAATTCGTGTCGCATCCACGTTGGGCCAGCGAAGATACCGAGTTTGTGGCATCAAAGAAAAATCATTTTGAAGAAGCACTTCATCGAGTGGAAGAAGAAAGGTAAAGAAAACAATATTTTGTACGATTGGATAGAAATGCTTATTATTGGATGTCAATGTGTAGATATGATTATGATCTAAGCATTGAAGCCAACTTGAACACCATTGCATTACTCGAACCCATCTCCAAAAAGATCTCAGTCATGAATCTTGAAGAAAAGTCAGCTTTTCGACTGCCCCCTGGCTTAGGTGGACCATCCAAAGCCATCTATCAGCATATCATCAAAAAGATCTATGGAAAGGAACGTGGCATGGATATCATTGAATTGGTCCATAGCAATCCTGTTGCTACTGTTCCAATTCTCCTCAAACGTCTCAAGCAGAAGGATGAAGAATGGAAACGTGCTCAGGTAATTGTTGCATACAAGAAATCAAGCAATGGCTTTTATTGATATATGTATATACTTCTTATATAGCGAGAATGGAACAAGATCTGGCGTGAAGTAGAGAATCGTAATTATTACAAAGCGCTTGATCATCAAGGTGTTACATTCAAGAACGGCGACAAAAAGACAATGTCCAGTCAAAGCCTCTTATCAGAAATCGAGAACATCCGTAATTCACAACCTGAGATACGTCATTTCTCAAAGGGGAAATCGGTTGTTGTTCAAGACGGTGCGAATCAGTTACCACCTCAGCTATCATATACATTCCGAGATCAGCCCACCTTTAAAGATGTTACGCGCCTTATTTTTTCATTTTTGGAACGACAAGAAGTCTACAACCAGCATGAATGTGATAGCGTGAGGACATTTATTGAGAATCTGATACCACTTTTGTTCGACCTTAATGACGTCCTTCCTGATGAGAAACTACCGGAATGGCCTGATCTTGAAGATGAAGGGGAGGATACTATTATGGCCGAGGCTGATGATGATGCTGTTGCGCCAACCAACGACGGTGACGCTGATTCAAGGCCACTTCCTTCGCCATCAAATCAACCTGATTCAAATGATGATCGCCAAACATCACAGGATACGGAGATGCAAGAAAAGGATGAAAAAGATGCAGCACAAGGTGAATCGGATGCTAAGGACAACACCCAATCCATGGAAACAGACAAGATCTCCACTATCACGCTATTTGGCAACGACAACTTGTATTGCTTTTTGCGATTATTCCAGGTATGTGTGCATGTCCCTTTCTCTTTGCCAGCAATACAAAACTCATCCAATCGTGATTGATAGCTCGCCTATTCTCGCTTGTTGCGCTTAAAACAAATCGATGCTGCTTATCGCAAACACCCACAAAAGACAAAGAAGGAATACAAGGCAGCAGTGGATGTCAATTCAGATAACGTCACGCTACATGGTAAGTATGGCTTTTGTTGATGGATTGGGACACAGCTACGTACTAACTTGATTGTATCAGGGGTGGAGATGGATTTCAGTCATGGATACTATTATGCATTATTGGACTTGGTGGATATCTTTTTTGACGGCTCCGTTGACCAAACCACGCTTGAAGAATGCGCACGTTATATGTTTGGAACAAAGGGCTACATGATCTTTACGATTGACAAATTGGTGATGCTCCTCGTCCGCCACGTAGGTGTTTGGATTATTGCTATGTGTACGTTTGCATTTAATAACCAATGCATTTGCAGGTACGACAAATCATTACAGATGACCAGTCTCGGGGTTTGGTAGAGGCTTTCCAAAAGTTCAGGAACACCGATCAAGAGCACACTGCCCAGGAACTAGCTGAATACAAGTCAAGGGCTGAGAAAGATATCATTGGTCTCGAAGAAAACATTTACGGATTCACTTTTGTGAGTATTGATGATGAAATCATTTTCTTTCTGTGGCCATGGCTAACATTGCTGTGTTTGAATAGGATCCCACAACTCGGATATTGACAATCCAGTTATTGGACGAAGAGGATTATGCATTGGAGACGGATGCACGCATTGCATACAACTCGTATGTTGTGGATTTTGCCGACTTTAATGTACCGACAGCTGGATTAGATCCCTCTGCACTAAGGAAACAATTCTTAAAAAGGCAAGTAAAAAGGCCATGGCAAGTGAAGGTGGGGGTAAAAAAGCTAACCAAACGATTTTTGATATATAGAAACATTAATGGAAAACGTGAGCGAGAAGACAATGACGCCTATGTGTATCCGGGAATGCAATACAAGATCAGCAAAGAATCGTATCACATGTTTTATATCATCGATACCGAGGATGCCTTTATCCGTAAACGAAAGCAACGACGATCAGACGCATCTACTATTGAACAACGACAAAAGCAATGGGCTTCATGGCTGGAATCAGAGAATGGATGGCATCGCAACATTGAGAACAAGAACCAAGCACAAAACGAAGCCAAAGCTTTATTGGAAGGGAAACCAAAAGCAGCATCCAACGGTGATGAAAAGCCTCCTGCATCACCAGACATGCAGCATCAAACAACATCTTCTAGCACACCTCCATCATCAACCATACCATCATCATCTTCCCCTCGACCCGAACACCCTTCCACCCCCACAAAAACACCTGTTGAACCAGGAGCATAGTTTGAAAGAAAAAAGACTTTTGATATAATAACATTTGTACAAACCACCGATCACAATGTTATGCATTGAAGGGACATAAGATGGTTGGATATTCAAGCTGCGAAAATCACATGATCTAGCAATCTTGGCGTTTGTGAGTAATTGCGCCACTGATCCGACCCGCTTAAAATATCCCTCATTAGACTAGCGTAATTGAATCATGAAAAGTGTATCACACGGGTTATAGAATATAGCAATCACAGGGCATTTGGATTACATCCTACTGCTCTCAAGGGGGTCAGGGTCGACTTAAGAACAAAAAGAGCTGTTGTGTACTTGTCAGCCCACAGTGTTGGGAGGGTGAATGGATGTAGATTGTTGTATCCCAGAAAAAGCAACCTATTCTGGAAGTGCCACAGTTAAATAGCCACAGGTCTAGGCAAGTCGTGTCGCATGCTTTTTCTCTTGCTTCCCACTTTGCTTTCGTGTTCCTAAAACCGAGATTACGACAACAGCAGATTACAGGAACACTCTCTCCTTTTTTCTCGCTACCTCATTTCACCGCGTCCACGCGCTCCATTTTCGACTTTGTCCATTCGTCGTAGTTGCAGCTCATTGAAAACTCATCTCTTTATTGGAAAGACACTATCACTACTTGAGAGAAGACGCAACCAACGATCCATAACAGAATACGCATGTCCAACTGGAACAGAGATAACGGTGCTTATAATCTTGATTTGAGTAGTATGAATCCTCGTCATGGTATGTTGGTGATAGGGATGATTGATTTCATCAGTGATCAAAAATGATTGATGATGATGATGATGGCATTGTTTTTGTATATAAAAAGGTGATGGTGGAATCAGTCAAGAGGAAGATCAACTTGAATTACTGGATCACCCAAGGCCGTCGTTCATGCCTCATGATTCGTTTGCATCACTGGGTCAACCGCTACACGTTTCAAACAGCGATAACGAATCGGCAGATGGTCGAATATGTTATTCAGACAAGGAACAACAACCACTACAACAACGATCGCATGATCAACAACAACGACAAAGACGACGAAACAAAAAATCAGGAGGAGGAGGAGGAGGAGGAGGAGGAGGCAACCTGGTTTCCAGGATACGCAATACGTTAATGGGACGAAAGACGACGACAGATCAATCACCACGCCTGATTTATATGAACAATCCAGAACGCAACAGCCAAGAAAAGTTCATCGGCAATCGTGTATCCACAGCAAAATACAACATCATCACATTCCTACCCATTTTCTTATACGTTGAATTCAGCAAAGCTGCCAACTTGTTTTTCTTATTTATTTCATGCATACAGGTATGTCCATCATCATCACCATTGCTTGTTGTTGATCTTTATTCATTTTGTTGACATTATTGGTCCCCTTATTATAGCAAATCCCTGATGTTTCACCTACTTCACGATATACCACTCTTGTTCCTCTTATCATTGTCCTTGTAATCACAGCTATAAAAGAGGTGATTGAAGATTATGTATGTACCACAATGTTCAACAACATTATGACTACCTTTTGCTTTATGGCTGACCAAAGGTGCGAGGGTTGATATTTTAGGGTGTGCATCGGTCAGATCGTGAACTTAATGCGAGGAAATGCAAAGTGCTGGAAGGAAATGAATTTGTGGTGAAAAGCTGGCGTGATATCAAGGTTGGCGACGTGTGTCGTATCGAGGCATCAGAGTTTTTCCCTGCCGATCTCATCCTACTCAGCAGCTCTGAACCTGAAGGCCTATGCTATATTGAAACTAGTAATTTGGATGGGTAAGGTCACTACATGTACATGTGGAAATAGGATTAACAAGCTCTTCTTTTTTTAAGCGAGGTCAATCTCAAGATCAAGCAAGCGCTGCCTGAAACGGCACACTTTGTATCACCCCACCAAGTCGCATCCATGCAAGGCGTGATCAAATCTGAGCAACCCAATAATCGACTCTACACGTACGATGGAACATTGTCACTCGAGCTCAACAACGGGACAACAAAAAACTTGCCTCTTGACCCGGGACAAATGCTTTTACGAGGTGCACAATTAAGGAACACAAGTTGGGTTTATGCTGTTGTCGTATTCACGGGTCATGAAACCAAGTTGATGCTCAATTCAAGGTACTTTTTTTCTTTCTCTTTTGCATTCAAGGGTTTATTTGTTATAACATGGCTCTGATACCTTTGTAGCAAAAAGCCCACCAAGGCATCCAATGTCACACGTATTACCAATCGCAACATTTGGTACCTGTTCACCATGCTCGTCATCATGAGCATCATGTGTTCAGTGGGTTACTTGGCTCTATCGGTAATTTGGAAATGACTTGGTCTTGTTGCATGGATATGCTAATGAAGAAGGGCCTATAGATGCGTGATTTCGACCAATTGGGTTACCTAGCACTCGCAGCGGGTGAGCGAGCCCGAGAATTTGGATTCAACATTCTTACATTCATGATCTTGTTCAATAGCTTTATACCCATCAGGTATGCAAAGGAAAGAAAATTGATTGGGAGGGTCCTTTTTTGACTCATGAAGGCATCTATAGTTTAATGGTAACCATGGAGATCGTAAAGGTCGTACAAGCTACATTGATCGGCAGCGACTTGGATATGTATTACAATGCCACGGACATGCCAGCAGTAGCAAGAAGCAGTGGATTGATTGAGGAGCTTGGACAAGTCGAGTACATCTTTTCTGATAAGACCGGCACGTTGACATGCAACCAAATGGAATTTCGAGAATGTTCAATTGCTGGTCTATCTTATTCCACTCATCCTGATGCTGATCGAAAGCCACAATCCAATGATGATTCTCAAGCCCAGTATTCTTTTCAAAATTTGGAAGAGCATTTGCATACGTCTATCCATGCCAACGTGATCCATGAATTCTTATCCGCACTCATGACCTGCCATACGGTTATTCCTGAAGTCAACCAAGAGACGGGCCAAGTCGTCTATCAAGCATCATCCCCTGATGAAGGTGCACTTGTTCAAGGTGCCAAGGATGTCTTTGGTTACAACTTTTATGCAAGGCGACCCCATTCCATCAACTGCAAAGTTAAAACTCAGGATGTCGAGTACCAAATCTTGAATGTATGCGAATTCAACTCGACGAGGAAACGCATGTCAGTGATTGTTCGTGATCCCAATGGCAAAGTGAAGCTGTATTGCAAAGGGGCTGATACGGTGATTCTCGAGCGCTTGGACAAGAACAATATTTTCGTTGATAGTACTTTGTCTCATTTGGAGGTAAGATGGCATTCAAAGTGGATAGATGGTGGTCGCATAACTCACTTTCCTCCTATGGATATATAGAACTTTGCATCTGAAGGCTTGAGAACGCTATGCTACGCAATGCGTGATATCTCTGAAGAAGAATACGCAAAATGGTCGCAGATTTACGACAAGGCAGCAACAACATTGGTCAATCGTGCAGAGGAACTCGATAAGGCGGCCGAGATTATTGAAAAGGAAATGTTTTTGCTTGGTGCAACAGCCATTGAAGATAAGCTTCAAGATGGCGTGCCTGATACAATTCATACGTTGCATGAAGCCAATATCAAGATTTGGGTACTCACAGGGGATCGTCAAGAGACAGCCATCAACATTGGCTACAGCTGCAAATTGTTGACGGATGAAATGGATCTCATTGTCTGCAATGTGGATAGTCAAGAAGCGACTCGAGACTTTTTAACGTCCAAGCTTGCCGATGCTCAACACCAGGAAGAAAATGGAGCTGAGGTAAAAGTGTTAGCGGGTGAGAGCACGTGACACAGGTACTAACATCCTATACGTTACAGCCGCTTGCTTTGGTTATTGAGGGCAAGTCTTTGACATTTGCTCTTGAGAAGGATTTGGAGCGTACGTTTTATGAGCTTGCTATCAAATGCAAAGCTGTTATTTGCTGTCGTGTATCCCCACTACAAAAAGCACTCGTTGTCAAGCTGGTGAAAAAATTTTCAAAATCAATATTACTCGCTATTGGGGATGGTGCCAACGACGTATCCATGATCCAAGCTGCTCATGTCGGTGTGGGTATTAGTGGTGTGGAAGGTCTTCAAGCAGCACGAAGCGCTGATTTCAGTATTGCGCAATTCCGATTCTTACGCAAATTGCTGTTGGTTCACGGTGCATGGGCTTATCAACGTCTAAGCAAAATGATTTTCTACTACTTTTATAAAAACGTCGCATTGTACCTCACGCAATTCTGGGTAAGTTTATATGCAAGAAGAGAATGAAAACAGCTCATGATTGATGATCATCCATTATTAGTATGCCATCTTTAACGGCTTTTCAGGGCAGACATTATACGAATCATGGACAATGTCTTGTTTCAACGTGATTTTTACGATCTTGCCTCCGATGGTGATTGGTATCTTTGATCAATTTGCAGCAGCACGCCTTCTTGACAAGTATCCTCAAATGTACATGTTGGGCCAGCGTAATGAATTCTTCAATCAAAAACGATTTTGGGGATGGATCATCAATGCCATCTATCACTCCGCTGTACGTACACTCATGATCTCATGGAAATTGATTTCCCCTTTCCCACTAACAAGCATCGTTACTATAATAGCTACTTTATTTATTGGGTATGGCAGCATTTATGGATGACGCCAAGTTTGCAAACGGATGGGTTGGTGGTCAATGGTGGGTAGGCACAACCATATTCAGTGCCACGCTCGCCACCATCTTGTATAAGGGTGCTCTTATCACAGAGTAAGTTGGGCAAGTTTGGGGGTGAGGAAATTATGAAATAGGTGTCTCACAAACACGTAACTTTAATACTTTAGCATGTGGACCAAGTATGCTGTGATCGCATTCCTAGGTTCGTTTTTGATATGGTTTGTGTACATGCCATTTGTCGCGTATGTCGGACCACTGGTGCCTTGGGATCTCTTTAATGAATACGTGGGCATTGTTCCCGAGCTCTTTGGCAATGTGAATTACTGGTTGTTCTTGATCATTGTGCCTTTGATATGCAATCTTCGTGATTACCTGTGGAAATAGTAAGTCAAAAAGGTAGAAGTTGCTGCATAGAAGATACTAAATTCCTCTTTAGCTACAAGCGATTGTATCGTACTCGCAGCTATCATTATGTTCAAGAGATACAAAAGCTCAATCTTCCTGATTATCGCCCACGAATGGATCGTTTCCGACAAGCGGTGAACAAAGTGCGAAAGATTCAGCGTCTTAAGCAGTCGCGAGGATATGCCTTCTCTCAAAGTGACACCGATCAACGCAAGATCATTAGAATGTATGATACGACACAACAAAAACCAATTGGTTGAAATCAACCGAGTATAGTAAAACTCGTCTTTTTTTTCTTTTTTATACTTGTATTGTAATCTCTGGTCATCCTTGTTTTGATAAATGTGTGATATGATATTAAGTTTATTCATCATCCCATTGTTCCTTAAGTATTGGCTCGCTCAAATAGCGATCCGCCTGGATTGTATCGGGTACATCATTCCAACTAAGATTTTTCCATTCATGGTCCCATGTATTCACCGGAGATCTATATCGCCATGACGACTCGTTACAACCCTTCCATGATATAGCAAAGTGCGTTGTGAACATACCCATCGTGGAGCCATATCCCGGTTCGCTTTTGAAGATTTAAAGCAGGATAGCGATTTGCAAGTTGTAGAGCAAGCTGGATGACACGTTCAATATCGATATCTTGGGGTATATGACGAATGACTGAATGCAGTAAATCTGGTTCTGATGCAAGAATCTCGGAACGCCGTAAAAGGATAACCTAAAGGCGATAATAGGATCATCAATACCTGGTGATACGTATAAACCAGAAACTTACAGCACTTGCACAATACACAGGCATCAAGGGCGGACTGGCAATGAAAAGATCAAAAAGCCTTGCAACCTTGTCAAACCGTACAAAGTCATGGCTGTACCACGTCAGAATCCAGCTGAGCGCATAGTAAGGCATAACATGACATCTACATAAAAAAAGGTGGATCAGCCATGCCCATTTGCTCCACCATGTGTATCTTACCTATTTAGAAACAATGCCAATTCGGCGTCCTCAAACTCGATTATAGAGCTCATCAAGTGCAGCTGTTTTGAAATTGGATCAAAAGAGTCGAGCATCGCATCTGTGTATGGGTGACCAATATGTTAAGGAACGTTTGATACTTGTACTCTTTGATGGCATATTACAATTGGCGAAAAAGGATATCTCAAGTAAAATAATGCCGTGTTTTCAGCAGCTGGGATAGCATCTTTCTTTCCGAGGACGAGTAAAAAGCAGCTGCAAATGTCATGAAAGCCCTAATACAAATCAATCAGGATCCCTTCTCTTCCCCATCATTGAATGCTTCATGACCTGCCTGGTAGTATTTGAGACGTGGATTTCGCCATAATATTTCAACGATCAAATCATGGAGCTCTTTTTGTTTCCGAGCTTTCTGTGCCGATGAAATACCTGCTTGATGTATGTAGTTTAATCCAACCATCCCCCTTTGTGCCGTACCAAGTGCACACACATACCTTGCGGATAATAATAAAATGATCGCTCGATATCTTTGGCGATTTGATGTGGATCAGCCAAGTCTTCCTCTGTGTATACGTTATAAGCTACAGAGCAGTAATCCAGAGAGCCAATAATCACACTTGCCGCTTCCTTTTTCGTTCAAGTAACAGCCATATTGCGTGTGCAGTAAGACAGGCCTAGAAGCTATTGTGAATACCAAACATCCCATATCGATCAACTTGTTCCCTACCATACACGCTGTCGGATACTATCTAAAAGAAAACCACCTGGTACTTGTGCCAGTCGCCGTAGCTCGTTGAAATCTTGCCTTGCCAATGCCGACAAGATCTTCCCTGCGTGTAGCCGATGATTCCAAGAGTTGACTATGGGTCCATCGTCCATGAGTTTCACTTTGTCGATTGATACCATTGAAGACATTACCAATAGAGCGACCCACTTTTATTTGGCGATTCACTGATAGGTTATGCATAATAGAATAGTAGTAGTGGTAGTAATAGTAGTAGTAGGTAGTAATAAAAGCAATCCATCCCCCCATTGATCAAATTTGTCCGATGCTCATATGCACGTCAGAAGTCAGGTTCAGCTTTGGATGTCCATAGTGCATCTTTTGCTAGCCGTATTAGTTTGACGGGATGCACTGATTCAATCGGGACACGCTATGTGATACCATGCGATCACTCAATGTAATAATGTTACGTGGGCTGTATCATGGATCAATGTCAAATCATTCTGGTATCCAGGATACGACGTACCATTGGTAATGCTTCCTAAGTATTGAGTGCCATGTTCTTATTAGAGTCAAGGTACATGGTATGTATGATGAGCACTCATCGTTAGCAGGGTGGTACTGATGCATAATGGGGTATCATAAGAGCGTTCGGATGCATCTAACACACAACACCGCTTATGCAACTCAGATTCCGAACATGATCTCGATAAACGATGTGTCAATGAAATCTATGGCAACCTTAAACAATCACATCTTAAATGGCAGGTGGGTGTAGGGATGTCGACAAAACCTTCATTGTACACAAGTGAGATGTTCCTCTGGATCTGATGATGACGTTTACATATGAGGATTTGGTGGATACACAATAGAGGATAGAGTTGATGGGGCTCTAGCACAACCACCCACCATTCTTTCATAAAGCTAGATTAGGATTTCGATGTTATGCCACCTCAACCACCCTCCCCTTCAAATACAAAATGAACAAGTATTCCATTATCTCGCAAGTTTATATCCTCGAAACAGGTGTAATGCACTAAGCTATTGATAACGCTGGAGAACGACAGAATTCAATAATCCGGAATCCTTCAAAGTTGCTTCCGAGTCCGTAAGCTCTTTCACAGGGAATGATGTCTGCAATATGTATGATCTGTCGCTGGGTCGATTCCTGATGAAATGGAAAAGCAATTAGCAAGGTGGAAGATACATGCATCCAATGCTCATCCTTACGCATCAATATAACGTCTAATGTCTCCAATAGTGTGTGTCTGGTTGAATTTTGCTACCAATCTAAGTAGTGAAAATCAGTATCAGAGCATCTATATACCTAAACCAATATAGCTTCCATTGTACCTGGAGCCATCACCGAGACGGATTTGTAATTGTGTTGTTGGCTGAGACTCATCCACTGTTACAGGTTGTTCTGTCGAAGCTGTAGAGGAAGATGAAGCAGGGAATGTGCCTGGAGTGGATGATCGGGACGATTCAGATAAAGGTACGGGGCTGCCGAGTCGATGACCAGCGCCTTCAAATGGTTTTGGTGGTGCTTTGGGAGGTGGTACATAATCCTCATCTTGTTTGCGAGCGACACGAACATCCACAGGTTGACCATGACGTACATTGAGCAATGACAAAGGTGCACGACTATACAAATATACGCTGTTAGGAATAGAATGTATACGTATTTCGGCTAGATAACTTACCCGCTGTTGATAGCAGCAAGCATCGTTTGATTTGCAGGATCATCATATCGGAACAATGGGCCATCGTCTACACTGAAACCATTGCGCCAGAAGGTCAAATATCGAGTCACCTGATGAATGGATGTAAGTGACGTTGACTAAAGGTAATGATGTTGCATTGTAGATTGCATACCGGTTCCAATTCAGTTTCGCTTTCATCAGGTTGATCAGTGGCAATCACCTCGGATGGATCCTCTTCACTACCAAGCTTGTATCCTGTTCCCTTGAAGTACTTTGGTTTGGATGATCCTCCGACATCAGCTTCCTCAGGTGCAGCACCTCCCCTATCAACCAATCTTAATACCTCACCCATTCGTCATATCCAAATCCATGCACTTACTCTGCTGCCTTCTTGAGAATTTGATTCACCACATCATTTTGCTTGTTGGGTCCTTGCACTACCATACCCCTAATAATAGAGCACATAGTATGAGAAGCTACCATCTTGATATTCCCTTATTCTTCTACTACATACGATCGTTCACCACCAGCAAAGAAATTCTGATGTCGATCATCGTCGGATTCTTCATCGTGGTCGCCATCACCCAAGTCGCTCAATGTACGCACCCTATATGGATTTGTAAGCAAGGACGCATGATTGTATCTACATGTGTGTATCTTACTTGCTTCTACCAGCAGAGGAGGAGGAGGATTTGGACGTTGTAGGTGGAGCAAGCGAAGAACTAGCGGGTGCATTGCTGCTGGATCCAGTCAAATCACTGGCGGTAGTGTCGTTTCCTGGAGTAGCTGCCGAGTTGTCTTGGTTGCCGAATTCGTAAAACTGGTCGATGGCTACCTGTATAGATAAAATGAGAGAGATGCACAGGTGGATGGGAGTCGTTTGTTGCTTACCTTGACATCCCACCCAGCCATTTCCAGAAAGAATTGGGCCTGTTCCGAGGTGCTACCCGTTGTGTTGATAAATTGTTGAGTGAGCTCGTCGCGATTAGCCATGTTGGTAGTGTGGAAGACGCGTAAGAAGCAAAATGGATTGATGCACTCACCCAACTCAGATTCCCGTAAATGGATGTGTGGGTGCCCCGCCAGTCAAATGACAAATTCTCATTTATGTCATATCACGATACATTTACATAGCTCGTTAGAATACGGTACAAGATTGAGCCCTTTGCAAATATATAAAGAAGACTCTTGGATCGAATAATGTCGTTGCGAGGGATGCTTTACCAGAAGCTGTCATTGACTATGGGAACATGAAACCAACAAGCGTGCAATCCTTGCTACAACAATAGTACTTTATTACAATCGTACATGCTATGTTTATAGAAGATTCACGGTAAGGATTCATGCGCATGACTGATATTACTCGAGTGTGTGTGTGTGTGTGTGGGAGGGGAGGAATGACATGGACATCACAACCAGAAAGGTTGTCAACTGCTGCTGCTAGGTGACGAGAGCGGAACGGGGATTTGCAACAAAGATTGATTGCGTGTACAAACGCGTTGGACCAAACTCCTCCTTCTTCTTTCTACAACTTAATATGCCATCCTCAACAAGTGAAAACGAAGTCCCCAAGATCCCTGATGTCTCCCTTGCTGTGAGTTACTGCCCTTGTAACGCCTCACGTCTTTTGCTTAATCGCTCACACACTTGTAGCATCACCGATTTATCGCTCAATACGGCCCTGAAGACCAAAGGGATGACGCAAAGCAACAACTGTTACGAGAAATCGAAGCCAAAAGTAAATCGACACGAGGAGAATATGAAAAGAACAACAAGCTAAACGTGTTTCGTTGCTTGTAGATATGGCACCTTTCTACAAATATCTAACGGAGGCACTCAAACTCCCATTCGACTCAACGCTTTATGCACGTATGGAGGCCGCCAACAAAGAAGAGCTTCAACGATTCGATGATAAGGCTCAAGATGCTGAACAAAATATGGGTGAAACTGAGGTCAATGAAGCATTGCTCGGTAAAGCTGACTATTATGCAATGATTGGTGACAAGGTACATATATCACTTTTCGTTTCTTTACCTTATCCTATCTAATCTTTACTTCGTTTAGGAGAACGCATTGGAAAAGTACAATGATCTTTTGACCAAATCAATAACACCCGGCACACGTATCGACATTGTGTTTGCGCTTGTTCGTATTGGATTCTTTTACGACGACAATGTTATGGTGCGATCGAATATTGACAAACTCAAGGAACTTGTGGAACAAGGTGGTGATTGGGATCGTCGCAATCGTTTGAAGGCATATGAAGGTGTCTATTTGATGTCCATTCGTGATTTCAAGGGTGCAGCTCGCCAATTCATTGATACTTTGAGCACATTCACCAGCACTGAAATGATGTCGTACCAAGATTTCGTAAAGTACGCTGTGCTCACCAGTGTGATCAGCATGCAACGTGTCGATATCAAAAAGAAGGTAACAAAGAAGGATTCCATGTTAGAGTCCAAACTTATGAATGGGGCTGTTATTAGGTGCTTGATTCTCCAGAGATTCTTGAAGTGATTTCAGATATCCCATACCTTGAAGATTACATGACGAGCTTGTACAACTGCAATTACGCCCAATTCTTCCGTGCTCTTGGTGAGTAGAAGCCATATTGGATATACGATCTTGGAGAAAAATACTCATTGATGTCTTTGGTCTGTAGCAAACATTGAGCAAACACATTTGCGCACATCACGATACTTGTACCCTCACGTCCGTTACTATGTGCGTGAGATGCGCATTGTCGCCTATGCTCAACTCTTAGAGAGCTACCGATCCTTAACGATGGCAAGCATGGCACAGGCATTTGGTGTCACTGAAGAATACATTGACCGGTACAGCCTATGAGAAACCACATGATACCCCAAAGATGCTAACATTAGGTTTGACTAGTGATCTTTACAAGTTCATCGCCGCCGGACGACTGAATTGCGTTATCGACCGAGTGAACGGTGTCATTGAGACCAATCGACCAGATGCAAAGAACGCACAATATCAAACCGTCATCAAGCAAGGCGATCTTTTGTTGAATAGAATTCAAAAGCTTAGCAGAGTCATCGATGTTTAAATTGAGGATAAAATACGTTTTACGGCATGTATCACATTAACGCCTTTGTCGAATTAATGGCTGGGGACAGCAATCAGCAATCAAATGATATTTACGATGCTTGCATAAGAATTGTGTACGCATGTATACAGCCATTTGCCGTTTATACATAGATACGCTTTATTGTAGGCATTATGATTATACGTTTCGATAATTAATAAGGGAACTCACTTTTTGCGTGGAATGTGTGTGTGATTGTGTGTATAAGAGTTCGTGTGGGAGAAGCGTGTATATAAGGGATGAGGTACTAATAAGATGGATACTTTTAAGGGTCTCCGGCAACAACCGTCAAAACACATGACACCCGCTTTTCCAAAACTCCTTCAGTGCAACTAGATAACTCCGAAACAGCTGCAACCATGGCTACCATTACTGAATACCTTCAAAGATGGCTGTGGGTGCTTCCGGGCATGAGCTTAGCGGACGAATGGTCTAGAAGGCGACCATCTTGGCTTGCGAACATAGCGGTACCCACACGTTACAGCCATCTTACCACTTTGTTTGGCGAGGGCATTACTCAAGTGGCTGTTTGATGAAACGGCAGTTAGCTAGACCTATCACTGATGCCTTTATGGTGTACGCTTGAGAGAATGCTACAAGATGTTATTTTGCAACACTATCATATCCTATATATGCAATAAACTTTATTCGTCAAAGCTAATTACATCGCGAACTCAATGGGTGTAATGCGTCGTCTTTGATGATGATTTTTGGGCGAGGCTCGTATTTCAGACATTGAGAGTCCCCTTTGAACGTCCATGATTGTATGACACAAGCTGTCACGTATATTCTAAACAAGAGTTGGTCATCCTGAATAGGTAAATATGCCAGGCCATTGTCTACCTGTAGGTGTAATAATCCAGCAATCAGCCCTTTTGTGTCATCATACATCGTTCTTGTTGAAAGTGGAAGCTGTATACTATTGGAGTTTGTGTCGTATATATACGTGCCATTCGCATACAAGCGTAAAACGCAGATTTCACCTTGGGTTTCTAATATGGGATCATCAAGGTCTTAGAACAAAGGATGTACCATTATTTTTGTGGCGTACTAACCAAGTAATTGCACAGTACGGATGTTCAACTTGCAAGCTTGTTCGGTGTTGAGATGGTACGTCTTGATCAAGTTATTCAACTGCGCCTTTGCCGTGATGGCAAGTTTGGTCTTGTCGTGGTAATTATTTGGATCTCTTCATATGTCGCCCAACTTCTCCCAAATCCAAGTCCTCTTCGTCACCATTTGTTTTGAAACAGAACAAGCGTAACTCCAACTTGGGATTGCCCATGGAAATTGCTGCATTCTTTCGAAACCACGTTGGCACAGTATCCGCATGTACTTATGTCACATACAAAGGAGTCCCGAATTTTCCCCCATCAGATTGAGAGGTTGCCTTTAGGCAGCAATGAGCACACCAAGTGGTAAAGAAACAGAGTGGGCTACATAATACATAGATGAACACATCATGAGTGCCATCATTTTGGGGATTACCTAAAGACTATCCTTGAGACTTACCAAAAGCCATTGATGATGGTGTGCATACAAGTACAAAGAAAGGGCGTATGAGAGTGTTGGTGACAACAGCCTTGTTTATATATGAGTGGGCGTGAGAATTGTTGTCATGATGGATCAAACTGATAAAGTGGTCAAGCACCATAGAGTAAAAAGTCAAAGTGATGGAAAAGCAACGGTTGATAAATTTGTAGGTGACATAAGTATGTGCGATGCATAATGCGCAGCGGATTCACAATTATACGACTTCAGCTACCAGAGCTAGGCCACATCATTGCTATACATAATTCAAGCACACTACTATAGTAATTGTCCTTTCAACATGCAGCTGTTCATTGGCTATGTAGATCAAGGTTCTGTTAAGCTACATGAATATGGGTTGCAGACTCTTAAAGTGTATCCCAACTCCCTAATTTGTGTATTTCTAAATGCAAATGACTGTAGCATGAATCACTTTTGATGATGTGAATTACCCCAAAACGCCCTGTTCTGGTATGGTGCAGAAGCTGTTTTGAGCAATGGCCCAGGTTTTCCTTAAATCATTTGATCCTATTGCACGGACCGGTCCGTCTCGGGTATCACAAAGTTCCCGTCATTGAAGATGGGGTCTCACCGATGCACCAACGAGAATAAAGATCATTATTATCTCCCATGCCAACCATTGCCGATACAATTGATTGTGTCTTTTTATCATTAGTATGCAGCGACATTTGGTATTCAAAAGCATAAAATTACAGGTATTGTTTTTATGTACAAGCTTTGAAGGAGGGAAAAGATACAAGGCGGAATAATGGTGAAACGTGAAATTCCAATGAATAGGCCCAACAATGTAGTGAAAGGGGGTTATTCAGTAAATATCGTTACTTCTCCAAAGATCTTTGACTGAGCTAACATGATTCATCTCGGGATAGTACCGGTGAGGGACATGATCATATCCCATGGGTGAATAAGGATTACCGTAATACGAGCCATATCGGATGCGGTTCATTAATCCACGAAAGAAACCAGGTCGATAGCCTCGTCCACCATAGTAATTATAAGGATAATAGCCTCCGCCACCGTAACCACCGCCACCGTAATAGTAGGAAGATCCAGGATACATGTAATTGCCGTAAAGATAAGGATTATGGTGATGATGATAACCTGCTCCTCCATAAGAGCCGTACGGCATGCTATACCCTAATGATGATGATTTGATGTTAAGGCTTGGATCATTGATGAAAGCTTTTTGAGTGTGATTATGTACCAGAGTAATAGGACATGATTTGTGTGTGTGGATGATGTATGTATATAATTGAAAGAAACACGTAACAGTGAAAAAGGAGATCGCCTTTCTTATATTCTCGGTTGGTGTATTCTTTGGAATTGTCAGCCGATGTATGACAAGAGGTCAAGTGATTTGTACCATATCCTTGAGCGATCTCGCTTGTGTATATAAAAATGATCCCTTTAAAGTACGGGAAAAGACATTCACGTCAACTGACGAGCGCCCGCCAATATGTCTGTGTTCTGTAATACTGATTCTCGTGTAGCCTATCTTTCTTTCCCTCTCGCTCGCTCTCTCTCTCTCTCTCTCGTTGACCCATTGCATCATTTGATTCTGAGCGCACAAACTATGTTTGGATGTATCAAGTTCCTCCTTTATCAATAAACTCGTCTCCTTTGTGTTGCACTAAGCTTTAGCCTATCAGATCCTTTTTGCTACCATATCATATGATCCGCTCTCTCTCTTTCTCTATTTCAGACGACGCGTGTGTCTCTCTTTTTCATGAAGGCATTCAACATTGCTACCATCTTGTGCCTGCTTTTGGCCACTCTCGGATACGCCCAAGTTGTCCAGGTTACTGACGACAATGTCAATTCACTTGTTACGTCTGAAAGCGAATGGCTACTTGAATTGTAATTACCTTGGTTCTTTTCCTGTAACAAACAAGTTGGGCTCACAACAGGTTTTCTTCTTTTCGTATCCTAGCTACGCAGAATGGTGTGGTTACTGTCGCAAGTTCGCACCCAAATATGAAGAAGTAGAGGATGCACTCTCTGACAGCAGTGTCCAGGTTGGCAAGGTGGATGTTGAAAGTAGCCCCGGGCTTGCTGCAAGATTCTTTGTTCAACGCCTACCCACGGTCGTCCACATCAAAGATCATCAAGTGCGTGTGGTGCCCCATGACAAAACCTTGGACTTGGTGGGCCTTATTAAACGGGAGGAATGGCAAGATATTAAGCCTGTGAATGCTATGACTTCACCATTCAGTGCTGTGTAAGAAGGACGTGGGATAAGGATGAAAGATTAAAATCAAGCAATAACCAACCATTCCTATTCTTCTAGTGGAACGCTTGTAGGATTCACGGGTCGTATGGTCAAATGGGCTTCGAGTCTTTCCCCAACGATGATGGTGATCTTGATGCTTGTCTTATTGGGCGTCGTGGTTATTCTACCCATTTACATGCCAAAGGATGGTGACAATCAAGCTCAAAACGATGAGCAAGCTACAGAGGATACTTCATCGGTCACAAGTGCAAGAAAACCAGAATCTTCTTCATCCTCCACCACCACTACCAAGCAACGCAAATCCAAAAGAATTGACTAGTTAAGCTTTTTTTACTGACAATAATACTCCTCATCTATCATGCATACGTATACGATCTTCATCCAGGGTAAAGGGATGTGCATTATGGGATATAAGTGTGCCTGACTTTGACATTTTGGGAGTGGGTATCACGTGATGGGAGGGATCACTCTGGGTGGTGGTGGATTTACTTGTAGCCATATGACGAAGAGTAAAAGGAGCTGTCAATGTCATTTTGTTCTCTTGGCTGCATGTTTGGCCCATGGTATAATCCTCAGGTTGTTGTTCAAGTGACGTACGGGTACCATCCTGTTGCATCATTTGCTGTTGCTGAAGCATCTTTTTGGCGTTGACCATGACGCGAAGTGCACGAATTTGCAAAGCCGTTTGACACGTTAATGCCGCTGTCTCATATACCATACTTGCAGTGGAAATGGTGAGAATTTGATGAAGGGCGTGGGTGGCCAATTTAATCAAGCGTGGCATATTGTACATGTCGGCAAGAATGAGTAAGCGTGATAGGACATGAGGTTGATGTTGTTGCGTTGTCATGAGGTGGTCGGTATAAATGTACTGAAGAAAAGCCAATCCAACAGCGTACGTTTCTGGAAATAAGAGTGTCCTATGTCGTTGTTCTCCGGTATGGTTGCCATGGTCTTCCTTCAAGAGTCGATCGAAATGTTTCCATCGTCGCGCAAGAATTGATGAATTGACAGGAATTGCTTTCTTATCAGAGGTCACAAGATCCACATCGGCCATACTTGGTTCATTCAACATGCTCAAGCCAAGTTCTTGGGCAATGGGTGCACACGTCGAAGGGGGATGTAGATAGATACCAAATGCCTCCATATCCACAGCAACAATATGATCAAAGTTGACTTGTCGCCGATTGTAATCATCAAGAAGATCACGATCTCTGTGACCGAGCACATACAAAGTTTGGCTGTTGTCTCCTAGCACACCACGATTCCACGAGCCGGTGGATAAAACGTTGCCGGTATCAATGCGCATCCATACACGATTGGATAAGTTGAGTGCCCACATATGAAAAGATCGATGCGTTGGTGTAAGATAGGTGCCTGTAAGGATCATGTGATGACCAACAAGATGTCCCATAGGAAAGCGTAATCCAGGTGGTAGTGCTGTGCCAGACATATCCGCTGAATGATCTTTGGGTTCAACATGGTTTGTACGACCCGACAAATGAAATGTTTGTAATGAACGAATCACATCGGTAAAGTTGTAGTTGGAATAAACGCAAACGGCAAGTGGATCGGTTGTTGCTGTGGTCGTATCGGTAGTGTCGATATTATAGCTGCTAGTTGCATTCCATCCAAGTGATTTGTCATAGAGTGGTGGCGAACAAGCAATAGATCGGTAGGCACCATATTGGCCTTCCAATGAGCAGCCTTGTATCCAAATAAATGTCTTCATGTCGAGTACGTTGACTTGCTTAATATAACGATTGGTCATATCTTGTCCACCCATGACGACCAGCTTGTCATGCGCAATCACTGCCAAATGAGCATAACGAGGTTGCGGACTGAAAACACTCGGGCCAATCTCAGGATACGTCCAGGTCATATTGGTAAGATTCAGCAAGCAAACATCATCCAATGCTAATAGATCTTGGGATCCTCCTTTTTCCACATGGCCCATACCACCAAAGACTACCATATGATTCTTGTATACACTGGCTGTATGGAAATAACGCGCTCGTGGAGGGGGTGTCGAGTCCGGAGAAGGCGCATGCCGTGTCCACTTTAACGTTGAAAGGTTCAAGACGTACAGATGATTGGTCATTTGACGAGAAGACACCAATCTTCCTCCAAAGACATACATGGAATCGCCAACAATGACGGTCGATGCTCCAACAAGTGATGGTGGAATCTCGCCACTCGTACGCTTCGTTTCTGTAATGAGATCAGCTATCGATTGTACTGCAGGACTCATTGGTGTATGTAGGTATGTGCGTTGTATATATCCAAGTGAGGGAGAGAAAAAAAAGAGAAAATGAAGTATGTAAATCGATTTGTTGGTGTACTCTTGGAGTGTCAATAAGTGAACAGCAAGGAGGAGGAAGAACACAAAGGAGAAAATGAGAAGAGGAGGAGGAGGATACAACAGCAACACGAGGCTCTAACAATCATTCAACTACAACCACCATGATCTTGTTTACATACGAGAGAGAGAGATAAAGAACGAGATTCATTTCACATCAATCAATAGTCGTTTCTCTAGAATGAACTTTCCTTCCTTGTACTTATTCTCCTCGTTGTATGCTTTAACCTATAATAATAAACGTGGATGTTGAATATCATTGGTGAAGATGAATACCTAGTGCTACTACTATAATACCAACATACATAGGTCCATCCTAGAGTGGTCATGCATTTCTCACAGGAAATGTCCCTGACACTGTGCATTCCAGTCGTCATGTTTCGATCCTCAGTCGCACCTTGTAAAACATTGACCCTATTATGCCAGTAAATCAGTATCACATGGTATTGAGTCATTAGAAGGATGAGAGTACATACACGTAGTTAAAGAGGTAGGCTTGACCATGTTGACCTTGAAATTGCTGCAGTGATAGTAGGATGCATTAGCCCTGTTATTAACCAAGGCTTTTTGTTGTTGTCGTTGCTTTGCTATTGCTCCTCCTTATTTCTATCGAATAGACTCACCCTGGACTCGATCGCATCCCCAGTAGTTAGGTGGGTTTTGCATTTGGCACATCCATAAATGAGCGTTCCATCAAGATACGTGCGATACTTTAGACCCATCGAACAAGTCTACACAAAAGGATACAGGTACATTGTTATCTTATGCATCTTCATTAAACGCTTGTTTGTGGATGCTTTACTTCTTAAAGACGCAAAGGCATACGCAAGGGTACAAAGAAGTTGGCAAAGTAAGAAGTAAGAGTGAGAAAGAAAGGGAAGAAAAAAGAAATCGCCCGTTTCGGGGTAAGAAATGAGAAACGCCCTTTTCATCGCATTCTCTCTCATTATGCGTGCGTGTGCCTCTTTTCAGGTTGTTGATTGCGGCAAGGCAAATACCATTCACGACTTTGATACAACCAACATGATTTGTTCAAATTTAACACTCATAGTAGTGGTTCCTTTATCATTTTGGATACTTGTAAAAGGAAAACAAATCGTTTCACGACAGATCATGCGCATTGAAGATAATCCGTTGCAACTCAACTGCGGCAAACTCCGCGAATGGATGCAGGTATAATGTTTGTTTATTCACTTTTCTTTGATTCAAGTAAGGATTTCAGGTATCGATTCTAAGAAAATGCATTAAGTAAGTTGAAATCAGGTTCGATAGTGTTAGAGCTACCTCGCGTTCAAGTAATGTCAGCTTTTCGGAATCAGTCTCCTTTTCTTGCCGAAACCGCGTCATGAGGGTCTCAAGCTGCGAGACTCGATTGCTCAAGTCGTTGCTGCTACTATGATGATGTGCCTGGATAATACTACTTGATCCCCTTTTATCCTTATTGGATGCCAGCTGTGGATGATCGGGATCATATTGATGGAGCGCCATTTCCAAGGTCTGCACTCGCTGCTCAAGGTATAATACACGTTCCTGAAGTTCTCGCTCACGCTGTTTGCGTCTTTCACGAAAACGACTTGATGCACCTGCATTTCGACGACGTTTTTCTGCAAGGATCGCTTCAGATGATGTAGGTGATGTCAATGATGATGATGATGGCGGAGTGGGTGATATGCTGTATGATGCTGTTGTCGGTGGTAATGAATGATGAGGTGGTGGTGGGTGCTGAGGATGTGATGATTGGGTTTGTTGGTTACTAGACCATGGAAGCGAAGTAATAGGAGGTAGTTTTGGTGGCAATGAATGAGACACTGAAGAAGACATGGTATAAATTAAAGCACAAAAGACATTCATTGCGCTCTCACGGACCAAGTGGCCTCTTGTATGTCCATGTATTCGATTGCGCCATTTGTAGTCCGCTATTGCGCCATCGTGCCGTCACTTTGGATCCGCAATTCCATGAGCGAATATGCATCGAATTACCAAATAAAGAGCATAACTTGTCAAATACGCCAATCGCAAGTGGCCTAACTATAGGAATTCTTCATGTCATCACAAAAGGGTACTGATAGGTATGCAAATAATTTATTATAGAGGATGAGGATATATGGAAGGAGAATAGGGGGACATTATACTATCATATTAAGAGCTTGCTTTACAATCCATAAGACTGACATTTGCAACCAGCCATCTATAATGTGCCTTGTAAGCTATGATGATGATGATGAAAATGCAACATGATGCACTTGCCTATCCGGTGACGCATAGAAGCTGGCCCAATGTTACGATAGTGTTGTGGTGATAGGGTAAGCTCAGGATGCGTGGAAAGATACTCCTGACGCGCCTTTTCAGCAGCTTTCTTAATGGCTTGATCTTCTGGGTCCGTTTTGTAAAGATCACACTTGTTGCAATGCCTGCACGGCTCACCGGGTATTTCACGGAAATGTTCGCAAAAGTGACCGTAAGATTCTAGATAACAAAAATTCAATCCAACCATACCTCTTGAAAGTCATGAGGTCACAAACGTAATTTTTGCTTACCTTTACGAATATCCTTTCGACAAACATAACACATGGCATAGCCTAAGTCACACAAGCGCTTATCAGTGGACGAAGTTTTATGAACTCTGATGTTACTTACCACATTGACATACAACCTTGTTGCATCCATCCGCTTTTTGGAACGAAAGATTGCATACAGGACACTGATGAAGCCGAGTAAATGATTTGTCATATATACAATTTGAATCATCCACCTACCGTCCTCTTCACCGCATCTACCATGGCCTATACAAAAAGCTGTGTAAGATTGAAACAGCCATAACTTTAAGCTAGACTCGCCTATTTACCTGCTCGACATAAAGACGCAATCCATCCTTTTCCTTTTCAAAGCATTTGTGCAAGCCTCTTACTATCTGATGGCACTGGAGGCAGGTAAGCTTGCTGCATTCGGGATGTCGACAACGAAATATGGTACCACGTCGTTCGCATGCTATCCGATCATAGGCTGTTTCCAAAATATGGCTGATATCGCACTAAAGAGATAGATAGTAGTGGTGAATACAGCGAAGGAGATCATAGATGAAGATAAAAGTGTACCATAAGCAACCAGCGTACTGCTATGACAATCCAAGATAAGGTGGTGGGATGGAGGGGTCGTAATGATTCGTCTAATTCAGCATAGCCACATGCTTGGCATCGCACCATTTGTCGATCACCTTCAAAGTGCTCAAGTAATGATCGTTCATACGCCATCCACATATCGGTAGGAAGTATCCTTTGCAACATGCCATTTTGCAAACAACCATCACAGCCATCGACAGTAATACAGGGAATCCGAGTCACTCCGCGCAAATTGCCTTGACCAAAAAGACCTTCGGCAACAAATCGTTTGATACAATCATAGCAAAACCCATGTTCTCCTTGGCTGCAATAAATCAGTTGTTCAAGAGCATAGTCGCCATAGCAGCATCCGCATTCTAACAGCGTATCATATTCCATGGAGGCGTTGATTTGCTGAGCCAGAATATGATCCTTCTCCATTTGTGCATCGAGAGCACGCCGCTTGATAATGTGGATATCGTGATCAAGGTCGATTTCCAAGTCCGAGGATGATGATGATGATGATGATGATAATGAGATACGTGGTGGTTTCCAATGTCGAATCAAGTTACGAAGCGTCCTCCAAAATCCTCCTGCGCCCATGTCGCTTAATTGGTCGTAGCTCTTTACATAGTCCCAATTGTTTTCAGCCATTACAGCACGAATGGATGATTTGCAAATCTAAAAGTAATGCATATGATTCGTCAACACGTGATATTTTGTAGAAGGGAAAAGACTGACCTTTGGGAAATCTACTGCAAGCTGTTCTAGAGCTTGATGCTTGTATCGATCGCTTTTAATCATATCCGAACGATGGAACTGTGCATAATCCAATCTCTCAGGCCATGTTCGCTCTTGAAGCATCTCTTCAGTAACTTTCTCGATATAGTGGTGGTCGTAACTCTGCAGCTTCTCTCGTAAATGCCCGACCTGGCAATCCGGAAAGATCTCTGTTGCAAGTATTCGCAATGCGTTGTTCATGCACTCCACACGATCTTGCTCTCGATGGGTGCCATGCTTGTTTGTAAAACGACTGATGGTGGTGTACTGTCCAAAAGACATTGAAGAAAGGCTGTACATGCTTGGCTCTAAACCCAGCAACCAGATTTAGTTCATGTGTCTCAGCCATGTAATAAGCACATGGAAAAAAGTGCTACGCCGTCATCTAGATGTTGCATTAACCTTAACAATAAAACTTTGTTGTTGACAATCAAAAGTACATTGGAATCTTCCTTCTTATTTAGGCATTTACTGGTCATCCATACGCATGAACATACGAGGACCATGTTGGTTTATTACATTGATTCATCCAACAGCCGCCTATAGCAACAGGCTTCAAGACAGCCGTTTTTCTAGACATCCGCTGGGTTGGTTTTATAAATTAGCCGTCCGACTTGGAGGGGTGTCCCATTCATCCACTTTCTTGTAGCCATTATTCCTGCCTATTTTTTAGTGTGCTGGTGGTTTCCATGGATACTAATGATATGGATGACCAAAGTAAGCAATTTCATAATTTGACTTGAGACATTATACAGCATAATCAATCTTACATTAAATCCCTCAACCAAGTGAGCATCATTCATCACCATCCAATAATGACAGGGGAGATGGCTCTCTGTTTCATTTCATGCATTTAATGAGCTTCAGGATTTTGGCACCTTTTTTCTTACTTTTTCTGTCGTCGGAAAGAAATGGGAAACGCGTTGAAGAAGCCATCACCACCAACGGCGGTCACATACAGTAGCAGTAGTGATGATACTCCTATGGAGAGCGATGGAGCTGACATCAGCATCCGAATAATACCAGATGACGATGATGCGTCAAATCATAAGAATGATCATCGCTCTCTTGCTTCTTCTAAACAACACAAACCCATGCATACAAGCTTATCAACAAGCGCATTATCCTCTTTGGTTCCCAGCATTCATCGCAATAACTCTACACCACCCTCCTTGTCGACCGAGTCTCGTACTCGTGCTACCAAATCTCTTTCTTTACGATCCATATCTGTCAAGAGCTGGGCGCATAACCATGATCGATATGAAAGCGGAGCAAGTACAAGTATACCATCTCCAACCACCACCCACGATAGCATTGTCAGTAATCCCAGTCGTTCAGCTATGGACATACTCTCGGATGCTCTAAAGGTGGCACAATTGGAAAATGACCGGAAACCCACTTTTGATATAGGCGATGACTCTTTGCCAAAGCATGATTTCTTAGAAGAGTATCATGAAACTATGGAAATTGACGAGATGAGCGAAGCAGACATGTAAGAAAGAGAGGATGTGTATGTGTGACTCTTAGCTTCTTATTCATCAACCTTTTTAGTGAGCAGAGGCGATATTATCTTTTTCAGCGAGTGTGGCGTCAACCTTTCCAATCACCTATTGAACACCCTGAATTCATTATCCATTGGGCATGTGGGGCAGGTCCTTGGGAAAACAGAGTGGTGCAAGAATATCCTCAATGTAGAGTGGTGGACATCGACTACAAGCCGCCTATGATGCTGAATGCTACGCCAAGTCCTCGAATCGAATACCGGCAGCTATCAATAGCAAATCGAACCAAAGATCATGGTCTCGCGGATTACCAAGACAACACTGTGGACTTGATTTTATTGCGAAATATCTGGCTTTTAGGTGCAGATACCTCTCAATGGCGAGAAATCCTAAGACATGCCTTTCGTATATTGAAACCAGGTGGTTGGATCGAATTATATGATCAAGGTTAGTGCGAGGAAAATGGTGGTTGATAGAGACACTCAATGATATACGTCATTTACAGATCGCCCTGTTGTCGTATCATCCGGTGATCCCCGTGACAGCAAAAATATATACAAACTCGAAGGATGGCGATCCACTGCTCGAACCGTTTTATCCGTGGAATGGGTGGATGTGCCACAAATCAAATCGCTTATGCTTCAAGCAGGGTTCACCCAAATCAATGACCAGAGTGTAGATCTTCCAGTAGGCGAATGGCCACGTACACCAGGTAATGGCTTTGTTAGATTGGATGGGAAGAACAAAGAAAAAAGTGGGCTTATGGATGGTGTTGTAGATTTGAAAGAAACAGGGTACCTTGTCAAGGACCTTCGAAGAAGACATGCCAAGCATTTGAAACGGTGGATATGCGAAGCTAATCATATATCGGAGAGCGAGTTTAATGATGTTTTGAATAATGCACAAGCAGAAGTAGAAGTATGTAAAGGTCACACCAGCTGGCTATGCAGCAATGCCCAAAAACCACCTTAACCCGCTTCAATGTACTATATTATATCCCCTGTTGGCAGTCGAACGACGATGAATTCCGTAATCGGCTATCACTATTAATAAATGTCTTATGTATAAAGATACGACAAGTAGTTGGGGGATAAAAGGCAATCATCCTATCAGGAATGATGTATCCCTAACAACCTTATTGGTTCAATACCTTTCGTAGATTGACTTTTGTCGGAAAAACATGTTTATTGTATTATTGATGAAGGTGGGTTCCTATATCTTTAGGGATAGCTTCTGTTACATCTCCAAGATCGTCGATCACATGTTGTACTTGCGCATCCTCTGGCTGCCGTTCAAGGCCTGATTGTTGTCGGGCGCACGGCTATCGCTTTTTTCGTAGTATGTGTTTTTCTTTAATCGCTTGGATGGTGGCTGCTTGACTACACGGTAGTACGTTGGCAGCTCACCACGATTGAAAAAACGCCTCAAGAGTCTGATGTCGTCCTTGGCTACTTGTAAAAGGATTGGCAATGCCGAAAGGACTGGTGCCGATTACTCGTTCTTGGGTAAAAAGCGGTATACCGTACGATGATATGCTTCAATGGCGTTGGACGTTCTCGCACGGCATTCGCGGAGCTCACGTCTCATAGATGATTCAGCATTGAAAATCATGCTTCGGATGGAGGGTTGAAGCCACCATTTTATCCACTTCCATGTTGGAGGGAGCTCTGTGATCATCGTCAGCAACTGGAGGTTGAATTCCTGGTTGGACGTGGTTGTGCGCAACTTGTATGTAAGCGTATCGTAAAAAGCGCTTGTGATGTTCAGGTGGAACCATGTTATGATTGCTGCTGATACGTTGCACTGACTGCATCCAATGCATGTAACAGCCTTTCAGGTAACTGAGCCCATCATTACGGCCTGTATACATGGTGTACGCAGCCAAAAACCCATTGATTTGCGCTTGTGAGAAGTCCATAATGACACCAAACATTTTGCCTGGGTTGACAAAATCAAGCTTACATGTGGTGAACATGTGAAGGAATACTGCTGATGTGCCTTTGAGAATAACTTGAAATAGCAGCTACGTGTTTTGCAAATTCAGGCGAGCGTATGACCGAAGAAGAGAGATAGCATCCTTCCACAGCTTCACGTGTGACGGCAGTGACGAAGGTTGACAAACGTATCGATTGTGGGAGTCCTGAATGCGATGCGGAATGCTGTTCCATGATATTGGCAGATGTAAGAAAGCGAGAGTTGATCCCTTTCAACCTTGTCGAAGAGTAGTGCGAGTGGATCAGTTTTTGTGGTTGGCAGGGCAACTTGTTGCTTGGCAAGCTTCGCTCGGTTGGATGGCTTGGCGAGAATTTGAGTCGATACCAACAGCAATAGCTTTTGGCGGTAATATTCACGAAGTGTTTGCCGCGAGAATGGGTTCCTGACTGGGCATGAAAAATTTTAGGGTGCCCGTTGTATTCCATATGCATCGCTTTTCAGCTATGTTATCCTTTCGGGCGTAACTCAGTGCCCTCGCAAATGACATTTTTCCGTAACACAAGCATACCATGAAGGCGATCACTGGGGTCTTCACGAAGATCACATTCAATATCGAGATTGAACTTGACATAACCCGGCTTAGGATGTTTATCATGTTCAACCTCCACATTTGAGCAAAGCTCGGTGCAATCGCTTAGAGGAAGTCGATGCTGAAGGTATAGTAGTATTACTTTTAGAGTGCGAGAATACTTACGTGTGTTGTGATAGTAAGCGAAGTTCGATAAAGTGCCATTTATGTATGAGGAAAAAAAACCTAGTTGAGAGTAACCTCTAGCAAAATAAACCATGTTGGGAATAATGGATGGATCACTACTACAATATGTATCTGAGAGGAAGATGAGGATTGTGTAGAGATGGCACTTACGGTGACACGAGATCTTTTCTATTCTTATGGGTGGTTGCAGGATGACTCCACCAAAGTCAGACACCGCAATTTGAGAGCAGATACGCCAAACGTAAACCCGACAACCATTCCATGTTGCTACAACAATCCGTGAGACGATCAGCTACAACCTTAATGTCAGGCAAGGGTGATAACAGTACTTTCAAGCTTCGTAGATCTAACCTGCTGAACCTTAGGCATTGCGAAACGCAATCTGGGCACTCTAATTTCGACCAAAGAGCTTGCAACGTCCCTTGACGCGGTCAAACTACTGGACGGCTCTTGGCATATGCCTAACACCAACAGGGATCCTTATCAAGAATATATTCAACAGCATATTCCAGGTGCTCGATTCTTTGGTATTGACGAGATCAAGGACACGACTGTTGACTTGCCGCATATGCTTCCTGCTCCTGATGCGTTTGCTGCTGCAGTTGGTGAGTAGATGGTTTACGTTGTACATCCATCATTTACCTAATAAGAAACGACATGATAAGGAAAATTGGGTATCAGCGAACAAGATCATGTTGTCGTATATGATTCCGTTGGGCTGTTTTCGGCACCTCGTGTGTACTGGACCTTCAAGGTAAGCTTTTGGATAATAACTTCAACGATGGTTTATTCATTTTCATGCAGGCCTTTGGACATGAAAATGTATCAGTATTGAATGGAGGGCTACCCAAATGGATCAAGGATGGTTATCCAACCGAATCTGTTGAGCCAAAGTTTGAGCCTGCAACGTACAAAGTGCCTGAAATCAATCGAAACCTTGTATGGGATTATGATGCCGTTCTGGGAAATGCTCGTCAACAGGGCAAAGTCGCTCAAGTATTGGATGCTCGACCACAAGCACGCTTCACTGGACAAGTACCAGAACCACGTCCGGGGTTGAGCTCTGGCCATATGCCTGGTTCCATTTCTCTTCCATTTGACAAGTTGATCGAAGATGGTTCTTTGATGGATCAAGAAAAGCTCCGCCAAGTTTTTCAATCAGCCAATGTTGATTTGGAGAAGCCTATTGTTGCAAGCTGTGGTAAGTCTTTTTTTTAATCGAAGCTTGCTCAAATGGATTTACATCCTTGTTCTTATAGGTAGTGGAATTACGGCATCGATTTTGTATTTTGCACTTGAACAAATAGGTGCTAAGAATATCGCAGTTTACGATGGTAGTTGGACAGAATATGCTGGCAAAAAGGATAGCATAATTATTAAGGATCAATAAACAATGCCGGTTGTTACGGTTAAATGATAAAAACGAAGTTGATTATGGTCAATTGGTGTTCAGGGCTTCTTAATATTAGTTAACAAAATGGTCATCCACATGATGTGATAGCATGTCAATGATGTCAGTGATAAATCTACACAACACATTATGATTACAACTGACAGCAGTGTTAAAGTATATCGTAGCAATTGTTAACATGCATGTGTTGGCTTTATCCTTGCTTTTTGCTTAAGGGAATGAGGGGTCTACTATCTATACATGTGAAGGAGGGCGAATATGGAAAATGCTGTGAGCTTTTGATGCTGACGTGGAAAAAAGAAAAAGAGGATGATCTTGACGTTTACTGCTTGCCAGCAACCTTGACAATATTAGAACCATTCTTTTCACGCATCACAAGGTCCATCTTGCTATCCTTATCAAGAGTGATTTGCACCTCCACCTTGGTATCCTTGCCCTTGGAAAGAGGAAGACAAGCTTCAGCCAAGCAAGTTGCGGGCTTATAGACGACCTTGGTGACAATCTCAGGTTCCTCTTCAATGGGTTCCTCATCTTCCTCAGTCTCCACAGGTTCCACAGGGATCTCCACCTTTTCAATGACTCGCTCGGCTTCGTGAATAGCCAAGTAAGCATGCTGGGCATCGGCGACACCAACTTCAAAGGTACGGCGTGCTGGGAGAGAAGTACCACTGGGAATAATGGTAACGAAATCACCATTGGCGTTCACCGTACCAATAGCCTTGGAAGTGTGTGGAGCAACAGTAATGACAGCTTCTTGTGATGCATCAATGGTCTCCTTATCATAACCAGCCAACAAGTTACCCTGAAGGGCACAACCACGAGCGACAACTTCATCAGCCTCGAGTTCTGTAGCACGGACAACGGTCTCATCGGATGTGAAAATCTCACGCATCTTGATGGCGAGCTTAGGGATACGTGCGGAACCACCAACAAGGAGAACTTCATCCACTTCGGAAGCATCCAATTGAGCCTTATCAAGGACTTGTCGAACGACATCTAATACCTTGCTAAAGACCTTGTTGGCCATAATTTCGAATCGCATACGGTTGATTGTGCCATGGAAATCAAGACCATCACAGAGTGATTCAACGAAACAAGGAGCAGTGTTGGCACTGGAAAGCATCTTCTTAGTCACCTCAACGGCACCACGGAGTTTGGCAAGTGCCTTGCGGTTGGATGCAATGTCGACTTTGGTCTTCTTTTTGAATTCAGCAGAGAAGTGGTTGATGAGCAAGTCGTCAAACGATGATCCACCAAGCTTAACGTCGTGAGCAGAAGCGAGAACAGAGTAGAGACCCGATCGTACAGTCAATGCAGTAACATCAAGAGAATGGCCACCCAAATCACAAACAACAACTGTCTTATCCTTCTTTTCAGACTTGTTGGCAGCTTCATAAGCAAGGACAGCTGCTGCAGATTCGTGAATCAATTGGAGAACGTTGATGCCAGCAGCTTCAGCGGCTTGGGTAAGAGCCTTGCGTTGGTTATCATCGAAATGAGAAGGAACAGCTAAGACTGCACCAGAGACAGCGGTACCAAGAAAAGCTTCAGCAGATTCACGAATATGGCGGAGGAACTTGGTTGACACTTCGGAAGCAGTAAAGGTGACAGTAGAATCAGGAAGTGTGATATTGTAAGCAGGTTGACCATCCTTTTCGATAACGGGAGCAGCCGAACCAGGAAGATTCTCGCTTTGGCTGAAGCTATAATGAGAGAAGAACAGGATTAGGTTTTACAATATTTGGATATCAATCAATCATAACTTACCTCTTTCCAAGCTCGGCACGGAAGTTGGCAACAGTCGTATCAGTGTGGCGAGCAATATCAGATTTTGCTTGAGAGCCAACCACCTTATAGCAAGTAACAAGTTAATACATGTATTCTTTTCCTCCAAAGACCATTGTTTTTATACCTCTTCTTCACCATGGAATGCGAGAGCAGAAGGGATCTGACGATCACCCTCTTCGTTTGCCAAACAATCAGCACGTCCCTCCTATCAAAGACAAAATGAATAACCTTTTCTCGCCTTCAACTACATTACGTACCTTGTTCAAGTATGCGATGGACGTATACGACGTGCCAAAGTTGATACCAATGATAGCGTTCGAATCACTCATAACGAAAGGTGCAAAGGAAAAGCGAAAAAAATAATTTTCGGATGGCGGCTGGTACGTTTGACATCGGAGCAGTCTCAGCAAATCAACATCCATTCAAGGATCACATGATCTGTATGACCTGCAACTGCATCCATCATCAAAATATAGCGTTTGTGGGAGATGAATGTATAATAGCTCTAAAGAATGAACATAAAGTATCTTCTAAAAACATAATTTTATTTGATAAAGATGTATTGTTGGCTATTATAATGCTTCCATTTTAGTGCCTTGCTTCAAGAATGACTTGTCCCATAGGCAGAGTCATTTTTGGATTCTTTGGGAATGTAATAGGACCTTCAGGAGCCATCTTATAGTCGCGAATAAGGAACGAAATAATGGTCTTCATCTCTTGCAATGCAAACCAACGGCCACTAAGTTGAATCTTGTTTAAGCATACTTCCAATCAAGTTACGCAGAGTCTATATAGTACTTACGGGCAAGCATGTTTGCCTTCACCAAAGACCAAGAAATCATCACCAATCCTTGCTGCTTGACGATCCGATCCAACAAATCGGAATGGGTTGTAGTTTGTGTAATCATCTCCTTGAATCTTTTGGATGCTGTTGTTTCGATGGTTATACCAAGTGTTGATAATAACATCCTCGCCTAAGTTTAAATAAATGGTTAACCACCGTCGTTGACAAGTTGATTCATCCATTGCGCCCTACCTGGCTTGATGACAGCTCCGCAACTAAGTGTAATGGGTTTCTTGCCGAGATAGGTGTGACCAAGCGTCAAATAATCATTTCTCATACGCATGCCTTCTCGGCAAGCACTATCCAATTTGACGAGGTCCTTGATTACTGCGCCAGTAAACATCTTGGATGGGTCCTTTTCATCAGGCGAAATGCCATGTTGTACAAGCACCTCTCGTTGCTCTTCAAGAAGTTCTTCAACGACACCTGGCTTGGAAAGAATACGATAAAGAACCACAGTCGAATTTTCGCTTGTTGTATGGATAGCAGCAAAAATAAGTGCGATGAGCCATTTTACAAGATCTTCAGTGAGTTCATCCACGCTTTCACCATGGCGCTCGGTATAGTATGTTTCAATGATGATCTGCAGCATGTCGTCCTATGTATTCCCAGTCAACAAAGTTAATTCAAGAAAAGGAGTGGGGTAATGCTTGTCACTTACAGGTCGTTCCCATGAAGGGTCAGAGGCAGCTTTGATGCGATTTTTAATCTCGGGACGTAAAGCACTCTTAAGGACATGATGATGTCTCTTCATGCTCTTGGAGAATTTACCCATGAGCCTAATCCCAAAAGTGTCAGCAAATACATGATTGATGGGATTATTGCCATCATAATAGAAACATACCACATGCGGAAACGATTGAGACCCCAGTATCTTTCCAAGAATACACTATCGATAGCAATTTCAGCGCCCACCTCGGTGGTAATGTTTTTGAAGCTTTCAACAACTTCGGGGATGCTGGCAAGCTTGGTTCCTGCGAAAATGGCTGCACTAGCCTTGCCGACCATATGCTGGACCAAAGGATAAAGGTGTGGCAAATGTACAGGTCCTAAAGGAAGAGTTAAGCGTGAATGATATAAAATCGTTTGAGGATTGGCTTACCTGCGGGGAAGTTGGTTAAGAACTCTTCACGACCCACATCGAGCTATCAAAAAGAAGCATTCGTATTAGGCAACTTAAACAATCGTTGGTTAGTGTAATACAATACGTACGAATTCCACAGCTCGAGGAGTGTAAGACTTGAGCTGTGTGGTGAGCTTCATCACGACCTTGCGTAGCATTTCGATGGTGAAGGTGTTGTCATCGATATCAGCCAACAAATGTGGATCGAATCGCTACACAATAAACAGCACGTGAGCGTTTCAAGTTGGCACATCATTGTACACGAGGTGTTTTACCTTGTTCACTGAAAAGATAAAGTCGAAATCACCATTCATGAAAATATCACGGACATATTCCGCAGCAATGATGGTTTGGATTCGTCCTTGAAGGTGAGCACGGAAAACAGGACCATACTCTTGACTCCATTTTTCGACGAACGCCACAGGATCACGGTTGAAGGAGGGTGTGGAACCAATGAGAGGCCAAGTGTAGGGCACAAGTGGGATGTCATCCTAGATAGCACATACAACAAGCGCACTATTTGTTAGCTATGCAAGTCTTAAGGAATAATATAGAACGTTGTTCATCATACTCTTGATTTGGTTACGCGGCGGTATAAGGTGTATAGCGATACGACGGCGACTGATCCAGCGATGATACCCATATGGCGACGATCCATAGTTTTCAAGCGGGAGATATATTGGTCGATGATGTCAGATGCGTTGTTTGGTATAAGAGAAGACATTTTGAGAAGAATATAAGTATGCTCGTTTTCATCGTACAGAGGTTGCTTTTATATAAGTGATTTTTCTAATCCGTGCGGAAATAGGCCGCCTCTCTCGTCCGAAGCGCTTTATCAAAAGGCTCCCTTCTCCATCAATCCCCTGGTGGTTTCATCCAATCGGCTGTGTCCGGTGCATCAGGCGCCGAAACCCTCCGGCGCAAAACACCGCGAATAAATTAATTGCAGTCTCTTCGGCTGATCACCACCTTTGGAGTAGTGCTGAGATCCACAAATGTAATAAGCAAACACAGTGTTGTAGTATCAATCTTTAATGCTTTATAGGTATCATATCCAATAAGGGCTCTTCCTGTGAATATCCAACCCCGGTATAATGTTCATGCCAATCACCTAACCCTGTTACCCTCTCTCTCTCTCTCTCTCTTTCCCTCTGTGTCCAACATTGTACCCTCCCATTCTCAATTGTTTGCCAACCATCGCCTGTGAACGAGTCCTGCTTCAACCCATCATGTCAATCCTACAACCGCCTTGATACGAGAGTCTTTGACTGAATGGCAAGTCCATGGCGTGTGCACCCCACTACAACACTCGCGTTTCTTGACACTACACACTCTCTTGCACGCTCCTCTACCACAACCAATCGTAATAGCAGTTGCCATTAGCGAAGTCTTTATTCCATTGCCTCAAACAGCATTCACAACCTTGTCACTCTACTACAACACACGTTCCTGCTCACTCCTCTTCCACAACAAAACGTACAGCAGTTACTATAAGCAAGGTCTTTACTCCATGGTCTCAATCTACGTGCGGCAACATGCCTTGCAGCCTTTTTTACGTGTACAGCAGATAGCCATTGTATAGAAGCAGCTTTATTCACGTATAGCATTTTGTATCAATACACACAACTTCTCACGGATATATGGATATGGGTTATGGCTTGGTGGAGGCCCTAAGTGAAAGCTGTGGGACCGGTGATTGTCATGCATCCAGGAGTTATCCGCGTGTATGGACCACAGCAAGTAGTGTATGCTTTTATCTTCAAGACTTGTCATACCTTTAGCTTCTCCTTCAATTAACTCCCAGTTATTGCATCTTGGTGTATCAATCTCTTCATCGCTTTTATGTACATTCATATTACACATAAATGAATAGTTCCGTCATCAGAGTTGTCAGGAATCTCAGTAGACAAAAGTGACTAGCGGCCATTTCTTGTTGAATAGAAGACTATCCTTATGTTCTTGCTTACGCCCATCACGCATTTTGGGTGTATGAGTGCTGTGTTAGTTAATTGCCGTGCCATTTGCGACGGCAGTATGCCCCCATCCAAATAAAGCAGGATATCAATGAAACCAGTGATCCTGATTGTATATGTGGATATGCTGTGTGATAATTCTTACCTTGGCACAAATCTGTGAAAGAGCACACGGCATGATAACCGCTATAATCATGCAGCTTCATTGGTCAATCAAAAAACGTCCGCAATCTTAGCCAGTAAGTGCAGGTCTTCAGCGTTTACCACTCCAAACCACATTAACGATGAAGAAAAAGGTATGCATTCTGGCGTAGCCTTTATTTATGGTTTACAATTCAGCTTCTAAGTTGTTGCTTCTACACCTGCTCATGTCATAGGTACTGCTCATGGGAAAAAGCGGCTCAGGCAAAACGTCTATGCGATCTATCATTTTCAGCAATTACATTGCACGCGATACACGTCGTCTTGGTGCTACAAGTAAGGTGTCTCAGTGAAATAACACGGCAGAAGATCTCATGCATGAAAATAGTCGACGTCGAGCATTCCAACGTCAAGTTTCTGGGCAACCTTGTGCTTAACCTTTGGGACTGTGGAGGGTATAGTAAACGATAGACTCTGCTCCCTCATTTCTCGGGATTAATGCGCTTTTGTAGGCAGGAAGCCTTTATGGAAAATTACTTTGCATCACAAAAAGACAGAATATTCAAGAATGTGGAGGTGTTGATTTACGTATTCGATGTTGAGAGCAAAGATTGGGCAAGTGATTTGCACTACTACCAGTCATGCTTGGATGCAATCCGTGCCAATTCTCGAGATGCCCGTATATTTTGCCTTATTCACAAGATGGATTTGCTTCCTGAACAACAACGAGACGAGGTAATTTAACTACTATGGGATAAGTGATGATCATGTTTTGATATTCGAAAATCATGTAGATGTTCAATGAGCGTATTACTGAATTAAGACAGCGATCGAGACCACTCCAAATCCAAGGATTCAAAACATCGATTTGGGATGAAACATTATATGCGGTAATGCAAACCTATAGTTGACTTCACAAGTGAGGATACTCATCCTTTCCGACACCTCTACTAGGCTTGGTCACAGATTGTACATTGTTTGATACCCAACATCCGTATCCTTGAATCGCATCTTGATCATTTCTGTCGTACATGTGATGCCGATGAAGTTGTGCTATTTGAAAGGACAACATTCCTGGTCATTGCCAACGCTGCCACTATTCAACACCAAGACTTGCATCGCTTCGAAAAGATTAGCAATATCATCAAGCAGTTCAATCTCGGATGCAGGTAATACCATTGTTTATATCTTGGATCTCGACGTCGTTGGTAACAAAAGGTATTAGTCGATCACAAACGCGGTTCAAAAGTATGGAAATTCGTGGGAGCACGTTCACGGCCTTTATCGATGTTTTGACCAACAACACCTATGCGATGGTTATCATGTCTGATCCCAGTATACGTAAGTGTGCATACTTGAAAACGGGCTCACAGCGGCTTTGTGCTCATGCATTTCATTGTAGAATCGGCTGCTACATTACTTAATATTGCCGCCGCTAAGAAACATTTTGAAAAACTGGAAGCAACTCGATAAATGTAGTGTACATGATTAGCCTTTTTTTCGCAAAACTTAGCATAGATATCCTTCGTTTAATTGTGTTTGATATATATATATACACGGCCCGATGCATATGTAAAGATCGATTGTGTGCAGATATAGCATGGATGTGTTATCAAGTAGACTAGGGGGGTTGGGATTTTACGTATTTTGGGATACCTCTCGAAAACCAACATACGAGCGGTACAATGTTGTGCTTAGCATTGTTGGGCTAGTATGTTGACGAAAACCTATTGCAAATGGATCTTTAAACAAGCAGAAAATGGCTGGAGGGAAAAGGAGCTCAAGAACAGCTATCACATGACCTCCGTTTCCATCATTTGAGCCGGTCGTTTGATTTGATCTGGACATAATGATACCTTTTCCTTCTTCTTTTCCCAAAACCCCCATCCACTTTTTACATACACTCTAATGCACAGAGAACTGCTACACCGACACTCATTTCCACCATGCCAGCAAGCAACATCTACATGTAGTACAGCTGGCATTTCAAGTATCATGGATAAACATGGCAATGGTAATGACCGTTTTGCCGCCACATCTCCAGATACAATGGCGAGAGATACAAGGGTGATCCCACCGGATGAGTTGGACCTGGATGTTGGTACAAATGGAGTGCCACAAGACTTACAATTAGTCACGGACATGGAGCCATTTGTCAGTCCACTGACAGAAGATAATTTGCTATATCACACGAATTCTGTAAGTCAATGTTTTGATGCTCGACATTATTGTATCATGTGCTAAATTCGTACGGCTTAGCATCCATCAAGTGAAGATGCACGCTGTAGCTACGTTGAAGCATTTGTTACAAACCAAACTCGTATGCTTCATATAGAAGCCGAGCTACGGCGTCGTACACAAATGGAGATTTCTTCACTTGTGCCGCTAGACACGCTCTCTGTGAATGAAGAAGTTGTTTCGGAACGCGTCGTGGATGATCATACACAACACCAATCAACCCGTGCATCGTTAACCCGCTCAAGTAGTCTCACTGGCGGTCGCAGTGATAGAGGATCTCCTCATGTAAAGAACAGCAAACGACCGGTTTGGCTGCAGCTTTTATTCAGAAGACGTAGCGCCAACATGCCATCCACACCACTTTCACCTCCACCCGTCAACTCCTCGCTATTGGAGAGCCATGAATTGCCAAACAGCCCAGCAACAAGTAGCGCTTATCAGCAGTATCATGAGCAAACAATGACAATGCTACACGAAGACATTCACAATTTTACCAATGGGAATTTTAGATCTGCACAGCGTGACTCTGGCATCTCAATATCCTCCACATCACGTGGGACTCATACCAAACGTGCTAGGTTGAGTCTCCATTTTGCACCCCAACTACGTTCAGTGCGTGAGGAAGGACAACAACCAGCACAACATGACGATTTGCTTGCATTCCGGTATCCACGAATGATTCACAGACGAACTTTACGCGATGCGGCCATGCGTTTACTTTCATCTACGGATGATCAGAATGATGACCAGCTCAACAAACGTTTCTCAGCTCCTGGTATATATTGTCCATTTCAGCTGGCCTAGGAATACTTATAACAACGCCATCCTGTACTCTTATAATCGAATGCTGGCCATGTGGCCATATTAAAATTACATCTTGTTGTCATTTTAGCAATAGTGTGAATGAGGCAATCCTAGTATCATCTTGTGGAATTGTGCATGTGATTACTGCGATAGGCACATCAAGCATTCTTTCTATGCGATGGCTCTTTTTGTCGATGGTAACCTAGCACCCATATGCAGCATCATAAGTTCTCATTGATGTGGAAGGATGCAATGCTACACTTTTAGGTCCCAAAGCCTGATTGGCCGAGACAACCCAAGCAAACCACAAAATCATGATGTTGCTCTTTCTCTCTCCTCCGCCCCCTTCAAAAGACAGCAGCACGCGACAATGAACGAAGCACAATCCAATGCCAGTGCTTGGCCCGATCCACCATTCCTTTACAAACGATACACAGCAGACAATCTCGACAAACTTCACAGTGCCAAAAAAACGGGTGCTTTTCCTGATACGCCTATTACCCAACCCCTGTACCCTGATTTCTCCCTCAAAGCACTTGAGCCTCCACCGCCACCTTCCGAATCATATACCATCTTTGATCAACGATGGCAAGTACACGAAAGTCTACAGTCGTTGAGTGATATGGGTGTGCGACAACTTTTCCCTGAAGGAAATATCGGTAAATGTTACTATTATGCAGCAGACTTCTGGGGCGTTGGTATTCATGTTGTATTACAAAGATCCTATCCGAGAACTCAAGAAACTTAATCGGAATCTGATGGCCCAATATCTACAGCTTTTACAAACGCTCGTTGAAAACCCTCAAGAGGTAAATGCCGTGTATTGTATCTAGCAAATCAATCTCATTGACATTACGTGCTGTTATTCTAGTATGGGCAAAGGATAGAAAATATCAGCACTATCTTCATCAATATGCATCATATCCTTAATGAATACAGGCCACATCAAGTGAGTTCAAATCATGGCATTCAAACTTGAGTATTGATTTACCTGTATGGGGGAACAATAGGCAAGGGAGACTTTACGGCTATTGATGGAGAATCAGATTACGAAAAAGAAGGAAATGGCAGCTGCATTGAGAGAGTAAGTAATGTAGAGATCTATTGAAACTTTGTCAGAAACTTATCCAACTCTTGTATAGCAAAAGCCAGAAGATGCTACGCGATTTACAAGCATACGGGGAAGATACGACGAAGCAGTTGCTCACAACTGATGAATCCCAAAACCATCCACAACCATCAGAAGCAATTGACGCATCAAATTATAACGAAGATACAACAATGCAGGAGCATGAGAATACCCAGATAGACATGAATCGACACCGTCAAAACATGCTCTCTATGATCGATGATATTCAATGATTGATTAGCGTAATGGAATTACATGGTTTGGTCAATAAAGTAGCAAAGCAAATACAAATGATCTCAATGTCTTCTACAATTTATTGCCCTTCCTTATATCTGCTGCTTAATGCAGCGCAGATCTCATCCACGGTTTTGGTTTCTTCATCAGTCACTTGAACTCCATCTAGCATAACTAATCTTGGTCGGCACTTGATACACAAAGCACGATAGCTTTGTCGTCGCTCATTCCAATGTTGTGGTAGAGCCTGCATGAATGAGATATCGCGAGAAGTCCAAGTCTGGTCATGCTCATTTACAAGATAGCTTGCAATGCTGTTGACATTTCGTGTTTTGACTGGAGGATATAATTTGGCTGTAACGGGGTTTTGACGCAAGTCCAAATGCTGAAGACGTCCCAATGATTTTATCGTTTCGAGCGTACTTGAGAGGCTGTTGATACGATTGTCGATCAAAACAAGTTTACGAAGATGTCGTAGTTTTCGTAGAGCATGTATCTCCTTCAGGTAGTTGTGGCTCAAATATAATGCACCAAGATTTGGAACACGACGGCTGAAGTCCTCTGGTAACTCTTCAAGTTGCACTGCACATAATTCAAGATACTCGAGAGTGAAAAAGTCAACAATGTCAGAGATGTGTTTCAAAGCATTGCCGGACATGTAGAGCTTTCGTGCGGCACGCAAGTATTTCATGTTGATCTCCCTGGTGTGATCGTATAATTAGAATTCCTTAGCGTAAAGGGACACAAGATACTTACACTCGTTGACCGCCCTGGTCCCGCATAGAAAAGTTAGCTAATCTTGGAATGCACGATAGACCAATGATCCGCACAATTTGGTTGTCATCCATGTACAGCGTACGCAAATCAGGAAAATTACTTCCATCAAATGCTCGAAGGCGATTATAGCATATACGTAGCACCTTGAGTTTCACCATTGGACTTTCAAGATGAATCCACTTGATATCATTGTGATCTACGTATTACGACGATAAGTTTTCTTTAGATCAGCTGGATTCACATGGTAGTTACCGAGCATCAGCACACGCAAGTTGACTAAGCCCTCAATCGAATCCAGGCTCTCGATTCGGTTAAAAGATACATCCAACGTTTCCAAATTTTCCCTAAAGAATACCATTGATCAGTACCTAACCATCGTGCAAGGAAGTGAATTAATAGCGCTTACATTCTTGTTGCTTGAAATACCAGTTGCTTGATGGAATTTGCTCTTAAGTTCAAATGAATAAGCCCGCGCATGTTCTTCAAAGGGCCACATGAAGATATCTTGTTGCTTTCAGCATGGATCGTGCGCAAGTGATGTAGGTGGCTAACTCCTGAAGGCATAACCCGCGTTAACAACGTTAGTATGTTGAACCACGTCTCAATAAATTTCCCATTTAACATACCTTCAAAGCTATTGACGGCATTATTGCATATGTCTAAATATTGTAGATTGGACAAGTGCTGAAATCCGCGAATAGTTACAAGTCGATTCGTTTTCGCCTTGAGCGTTTGGAGTGATTTTGGCAGTCTCGGCATATCTAGTAATGCGTTATTGGACCTAAGTTATAGATCAGTATCTTGTACTTGTAGTATGCAGTATTCTCTTACACATCGATAGCCTCTAGGTTTGGAACTATATCTTCAAGATCAACCAAGGTGGTCAAATGCTGGTAACTCAAGTCGAGTGCGCGCAAAGTCCGCCAATGCATGAATGGCTTAATAGAGCATATCCTCTTGGCGATACATTTGATCCCGTGTTCGAAATCGACCTCAGGTTGAAACTTGAATCTCGAGCGCAGCTTGTTCAGCATTATCTCCTCATCAGCTTCTTGATGGATTTCCAAATCATGTTCCTCGAAATGTCGCAATAAGCTTTGTACAGCGTCGCTGTTTCCACCCAAAGATGCTCCATCGGTATTGTCATCTTGATCCACCTCTGTAGATGGTTCCTGCGGACGCTGCTTCTCTTCAGGGATCCAAGGCTGGGGAAATTCTCTTTCAGTGTCACGAGACAGCTCGCGCCATTTGGCATCTTTCATCTGCCTCTGCTGTAACCAAATATCAAATGTACTTGCAATGCTAAGGTTCCTCCCTTCTGTTTTCACTCTTGTGAGTATATAGTCATTTTCTTTTCTAGAGATTTTTCAATACCTTGGTTACGGGTATGCAATGTTGGTATAGAGGGTCCACCACCGGTATTTGAAGGATTCCATCTCGCTGTGTCGTCTGCTGTAGATCTCTGGATAACTTCCTCTTCATTTTCTTGAACCATCTCGAAGCGACCGGAGATTCCTGATTCCTCAATGCTGCTGCTTATATGCGATAATTCATCAATTGCGTCATTGTCTTCGAGAGCATTGTCTTCGATCATGTGTGTGGGTTCTTTGTGAACATTGTTGCTCTGTTGATATAGTAACTCGTCTTGGTCGTTGGTCCATTCCTCAACAAAGCTTGACACCGAATCGTCCTCATCCTTGGCAATCACTTTCTGAACCTCCACCTTATCCTCCAATGCCTCGCTTTCATGTAACTCATGCGGTCTCAACATGTCAACATTGTCAGAATCGCTCGCTTCGAAATCGGTCAGCTCGTCAAAGCGTTCGAAATTCAAAAGTGGCCTTTTCATAGGTTGTGGTTGTGAAGGTGTGCACGTTTCTGAGAACGAGCTCTCGTTACTTTGGGATGTATTATGTGAAAGCATTCACTACCAGCACGTGTGTCGTATGTAGATGAATTTTGTATTTGAACAAAGAAACCTGAATTATGGACGCCATTGGTCTAGGCTAAGGTTTATACAATGAACAAATGAACTCGAATTGCCTATCCGCAATAAAAACATGCGCTTTAAGTTCGGTTAAACCAAAAATATAGTCTATTCTTATGTCAACACGATCGCCCTTGGTGAATCCTTCTAAATGAGGCATCTTGATGGGAAATTTGGCAAGCTTTCGCACACCTGGATCAGTGGTATAGCGTGGTATTGAATTGCCACCATCGTAGACGTAAAGATCAGCTATAAAAGTTTGCTTAATACATGTCAAAACCTGATTAATAAACCTACCATCAGTATTATGCGGATACACTGCCCAAAATCTTCTGCTAATCTTAGTGTTGGCTTGTACTTGCTGGCCTTTGCTCGCAATCACATCGAAACGTGTTGAACATCGTTTGACCCCATCACTCGTTACTACTGCGGTATCTTCCAAATCCAATCCCTCTTCGAAAACCATCCGCGTGCGTAGTCCATACGTATAGCGGAGTATCTTGCTTGACACCAACTTGGGCTTGGTGATATAGTATACTGCCCCTCGAGCTACAGCGATATCACCACGAGGCGCCATTGCAATAATAGGAATTCGCGAATGAAAACGCTCTTCCACAATCTTATACAGATAGTCTGAGCAGCCAAAACCACCAACAAGAAACATTGCATTCACGTCTGTGCCTGCCAGCTCGAGTTGATCTTCAATCAAATCGATAACTTGATTAAACACCGGATTGTATACCTTGTCGTTGAGCTCCTCAGCTTGCAAACGGATGCATCCATTCTGGTTCAATAGATGGTTAATGACTGCAAATTTTGCGTTTCAATGCTACTGACCTCTTCAATTAACGAGCTCGGGGCCCCTTGACAATGCGATAATAAGCTAATCGGTACAGGGAGGAATTGGTCTTCATTGCCACTAAAATATGGCTATACATGATTTGACATTTATTTACATGCGAAAGATTCCATTGCATATTTGACGTTACCTTGATCTTTTCAGTGAACGTATCCATCATAGTTTCTACTGCACAGGATGATGCAACATCTGCTGGTAGCTTCAATTTCTCCATTAACAAGGCACGCATATTGCTGTCAATAAAAGAGCTTCCACAGGATCCTCCTGATGCACTTGTGATTTCCTCGAGCGACTTCTCTTCTCCTTGTGGCCAATGCATGTGACTATAATAGTACCCATGAAAAGAGGGGGACGTAAGCAACGAGCATGTTTTGCAATTTTGACAGCTACTTACTATATAATAAGATCCACTGTGCCACCACCTGCATCAACTATCATGAAATTTTCTTGATCCTGCACGTTCCAATCGCGAGATTGCTTTTCACAATAAATGGCCGCTGCCTCGGGCTCAGTTACCATCACCAGTCGTTCGGGAGGATCGCTCTCTTGTATTATATTTGCCTGTACCATAGCCTCACGCATGAGAGCTTTCGCTTGATCATCCCATATTGCGGGAACAGTGAGGCACTAACAGCTTTGTTAGTAAATCTTAATTGGTCCGAGTAATGTGCATAATCCTTACATAACGATATTGTTCACGACCATAGCGATTTGCTCCTGTCTTTTCCATTTCCTCGCATACATAGTCATGAAATACTTGAAGATAATCCGCAATCGCATCCACGGGCGATTGATCAGGCAATAAGAACGAGGTATCTGACGCTTTTTCGGTACCATAGTCGCTCGCTAAACAAAGCTTAAAGCGCCGAACTAGGCTCCCATCCACTCTAGGCTACATACATCATCCATCAGTCTCCTTGCTATGTTGATATTGACCAAATGTATCAAACCTGCAAGGAAAGTCGACGAGCGCCTTCACCCCAATCAACAAGTCGATTCGAGCGTCCGCGATAATACAGCAAGCTTGGCACCTTGGCATAAAATCCAGAGTGTTTTGGCCATTTTACGATATCATACACTTCCTCATCATGTGCGTACTTGTAACAGCAACCCTACTTAACAATACCCAATCCATAAGCAACTCATCATATGAGATAATAAAACATAGTCGACTTGCCGAAAACGTAGTCCCTGTTCTGTGACATCAGTATCAGCAGCTACGCATTCCTCGATCCACGTTCATCTCTTACCAAAGTCAATGGCAATGATGACTGGAAATGTTACAGCCAAAGGCTCTTCAGTGTTAAGTTCGCTTGCTGGTCTGTATCTCAAGTCGGGAGCCATTCAATCTTGGATAGTAAACAAAGCAGCCAGCAAAGGTGCATAACAACGCGGGATTTCTTGCTGATCGTTTGTCTGCTCACAACCTCCTTCAACCAATAGAATTAGTTCCAACACTGTATTTTGCTCTAGACATTATGCTAAGGTAGACCTACATAGGAACGTTCCAATCCTTGTATCACCAGGCCTTGTTCTGAAGAATCCAATACAAATTTGCTTCATCATGCTACTATTCGAGTCTCACTGCACATGCCTGATAATACGAAAGCTGCTTATCCAACTCCGTTATGCCACTGCAACATTGCCGGCGATTCCCTTGACCTTGCTTTTTATTCTTTCTTTGGGATACTCTACATGTGTTCTCATGTCACTGCATGAAATCTTGGCATCATAATAGAAAGGGGGAAGCGGCGTTAATGCTACATGAGATGGTCAATATATATCTATTCATACATCTTTATGAAGCTCATTCACACATCGGCTCATTGTCCTCTTATTGCACACACGTTAAAAATTATGGCCTTATCACCGATATGGAGGATATGGACAAAGAAAATACATTCTTTGTTTCATTATACTAGATGAAAGCGGTGCATCTCGGATGAAAATGATGCGCTTTTTATTACTAACCTACACGCTTAAAACAAGACATTATACAAGATAGTACTCGTAGTCTACGCATGACACACTATCAGAAGTTGAGTAATCGGATCCACTAGCTTTCAGCCTTGATCGCAATTTCGTTGGCCGGAGCAGACTATGATATAAAGGCCGCCACGCTGTATCTATCTCTTCTCGAGACACCAACATGAACTACAATTGGCGCACCATCGATATTGACCAGTATGATGAAGACGCATACACTGAAGACGAAATATTAGCCAGCTTCGAATCGCAAATGCCGGCTGACCAGGCTGAAGCATTGGCACAAACGCAGAACACGGATGTACGCAATTTGTTGACGCGGTAAGTAGGTGGTCTTTCGTACCGAATTCAGATAGATGAAGAAACTAATACCTATGACTAGTGGTGAATACGGCAATGCTCTGTTGCGTGCATTAGAAGACCCACCTTATGGCCGTCATCTCACTCAAGCAAAAGTAAGTTCCAGCGACAGTATAACTTTTAAGGCTCCAGCATGTGTTTAACGCGCTAGTCGTTCATAGGCAATCATCACACAAACAGTGGTTGATACACTAAGCTTAATCCGAGCAACCGACATTGAATCCACTATATCCACCTTGAACTTTGATCAGAAGGACCTTTTAATGAAGTACTTGTATGCTGGTTTGGCGAAACCCGAGGTGTACAACTCAGGAGTTCTCTTAACATGGCATGAAAAGGTTGGCTGAGTAGAATCCATAAATAACTATGTTAGTGATTAACCGAGGATTATTGTAGTTGACCAAGATAGCCGGCACAGGTTGCATTGTGCGTGTGATGTCTGACAAGCGTACTGTCCTTTGATGTTTATACACATGTCACTAACAAAGTATCACATAAACAACATTTTTTTTCACCTGTATCGGTTTATTTTCGCTTGTGGGCTTGATCTATTGTGGTTGGTTTGCTTCACTCTTAAATGCATATACTTACCTCCTGAGAATTCGGACATTTGAGTGTGGATCTTTAATGGGGTCTGGGTGACAAGCGGTCATGGAATCCCTGCATCAATTACCCAACAGCAGGTTTACGCGCTCATGGTATCACAATAATTGCAATGCACTAAATTGACATACACATCAGATGAGACGTTGGCAAGTCTTGGCTCGGATTATACTTTCCCCTTCTAATACGCTGGATTAGGTTAAAAAGGCCATAAAAGAGCACTCTTCCCGAACCCCAACTTTTGTATTTTAACACTTCTTTTACCGCTATGGCAAACAAGTTGCATTTTTATGATATTGCTCAAAGAGTCGTCCAACAAATTCGGAGGTATGGACCTGGTGTTATCCCTAGAGCCATGTTCGCTAAAGAGGAAAAAGTGAGGCCGAGTCCAAAGCCCATCAAACGCTACGCAGCTATCCAGGCAATGCCAACAAGGCTGAACGCAACAAGGTATACGGTATTGAGCACCCTGGATCCACTGGTGTGATTTATGTGATGGATCGTGCCATGCAACATGGTTTTACATATGGCGACTCGTCCTGGGGTAAGGCGCCATGTATACTACTTGCAGCTGTCTTTGTTGTGTCTAACCATGTTCCTCATAGCCAATTTTGGACAGGGTGCACCAGAAGGTATGGTCAACGATTACAACTCATCAAAAGACCGAGTTTAACCGAGAATGCTTAGTTGGTCATATTGATGGTTGTGCCGAAAAGCCAAGCAATATCGAGATACCTGTGGAATCTTACGAGTATGCCCCAACTGCTGGTATTAAACAACTGCGAGCTGCTGTTGCCAACCTTTACAATGAAATATACCGCCAAGATAAGTCATCCAAATATACATATGAAAATGTAAGTGTATGCACCGTAGAGTAAAGTACCAAGATGGATAGCAAAGTTCCATACGCGTACTTAACCCATCACTGTTTTCAGGTGTGTATCGTCCCTGGTGGACGTGCTGGCTTGACAAGAGTTGCAGCTGCTATCGGTGATATTAACGTTGGCTATTTCCTTCCAGAAGTAAGTGTATATGGTATGCCTTTTGTAACTAGCATAGGCTAAGATGATGGATGATACCAGTATACAGCCTATGAGCAGATGCTCTCAGTTTTCAAGAAGTTTGTACCTATTCCCACTACCCTGGACGAAGAGAATCGATATCATATTGATCCATCCACGATTCGAAAAGAGATATCGAACCGCGGTCTGGGCCTTATTGTAGCCTCTAATCCCCGTAACCCAACTGGTCAGTTGATCGAGAACGAGGAATTGAGGGATCTGGTTACTATATCACGAGAACGACATGCTACCTTGGTCATGGATGGTAATGAACCCTTTCACACGCCTTATTACATACATATTAATAGTATCACGCGAATTAGAGTTCTACTCGGCTTATATTTACTCGCATGACGAAAGTGAGAATGGAAGAACCGTCAGCATTGCTGAGTTCGTCGAAGGTAATATTGCTGGCTGGAGAATCAGCAATTTACGTCCAGTTGAATAATACCTTTGTGGGTTTCCGGTAGATGTGGATGAGGATCCAGTGATTATCATTGATGGCTTAACCAAGAACTTCCGAGTACGTAAAGAATGGTTGACATCTTATGGACATCTGATTGAACAATACGCTGGTTTAGCTTCCTGGTTGGCGCGTATGCTGGATTGTTGGGCCTAAAGATGTCATCTCCTCGATGCAAAGTTGTGGATCATTCCTGGAAGGTGAGTCATGAGAGCTTTTATCTTAGCATCTTACGACTTACAGATCAACGAATGCTCGATAACAGGAGGTGCCAATCATCCACTTCAATTGGCAGCTATTCCTCTGCTTGATCCATCGACGTACAAAAATGAAGCCAAGTACTTGCAAGCCCATTTTAGATCCAAGCGCGACTTTGTTCTTGCACGTCTCGCCGAAATTGGTCTCAAGGTCAAAGTGCCACCTGTTGCAACGTTCTATGTCTGGCTTGATTTAAGTGCCCTCCCATCACCTATCGACATTGGGCTTAACTTTTTCGAGGAATGTCTCAAAGAGAAAGTGTAAGAAACTAGATATCCATTGCGATTACGGATGGCTGTAGCTCACATGCGTCTTTTATAGTATCGTTGTGCCTGGAATATTCTTTGATGTAAATGTAAGTATCATCGCGAGGAAGTGTAGACAAATGTCATAAGACCGGTTGTTAACGACGTTTCTTTTCATTAGCCTGCAAACCGACGTGAATTATTTGAGTCACCATGCCATCACTTTGTACGTCTCAGCTTCGGCCCTCCTATGAGTGAGCTCGAAAAGGGTCTAGATGCTATCGAACGAGGTAAGAGGTGTTGAGTTGACAAGAACGTATATATATTAAGTTGGCTCACGAAACTTTTTTCAGTGGTTGCGAAATTCTCTAGTTAATTGTGATGCGTTTCCGCTCTCTTTTGGCTATTCAATATCAATCAAATAAATGATGTATCATTGAAGGACGGGACGAAAAAGAATCCTGCGTATCATAGTTTGCAAGGCATAAACGATAGGCCATTGATATGCATAGAATCGTAAGGTGCACGAAAACTTCCACCTTCTCTCTTATTTGTTGTCAAACCTAGAAGCAAAAGTAGGATTATATAAACCTTGCCATTGTACATACATTGCTTGTCATCCACTGACTCTTATCATCTGTTTCTCTGATTAAGTATAAATAGCTGGCCAACAAGTCGTGATAAGCACAATCGATCAGCCTTACGCTTAATCCTACCCTATTGCCGGATGATAAATTCAGTTGGGTTGTGGTTTCCTCCATACTGAGCCGAGAATAAACCTTTGGCTTTTGATGCAGTGCATCATGATTTGACCATTATGAAGCTGACAATAGCCAAGAGACGTTTATAACCCTTGGCGAATGAAGTATGCAAAACAATATACGACATTTATGTCGAGCGTTTTTCTGATAGCGTGATAGGCATGTTCGTGGCACCAATAGCAATGCAATAATGATGATAATAGTAAAATATCTTCACGTAGAGAAGTCGTTTATTCATATGGTGTTGTTGAGGTGTTCGCAAGGATTAGAAATAAAAGGTGTGATTAAAAGTGATAAGAATCAAGTACTGTGAGATTGATGTCAGTGTTTTAATACGGGGCCAGCCCTTTATATACTTTTGTCTACTATGTGGTTGTATTCGTACGATGATGTTTGTATTATTGAATCAGTATTATTGTAAATGTGGAATGCCTGCATTCCTATCATGTTGCATGAAGCATCTATTTTCCGATGTTGCCAGGGATACAACAGTTGTGGGGATATTATTGCGTGATAGGAATGTGGATGTAAAAGTGTCAAACGGGAGATCAACACATACACTTTTTGCACCGACAACAAAATGAACCTCAATCTTGGCATTGGCCAATACAGACCGTTAAAACACTCGCTGGTAACACTTTGAGTGAGAAACATATGGTTCAGTAGGTGAGTTGGTATCTGCATGGATGCGGGTTGTTAAGCCGCAGTCAGCAACACGGACCTCAATAGTCATCATCACCATAGGTTTCGATTTCCAATTTTGGTGGGATCGAGCTTTCGCCTCCCGCAATATAGTTTCATTAACTACCAATAACTAACAATATCCAACTGGAATTACGACGAGCTATTCTATTGCTGGGGTGAAAAATTTCCTCTTCCACCACCACCGCCACCACCACCACTCCTCCCTTAACATCCTACTAGCCTCTCTTTTTGGGGGGGGGGAGGTAGTGGTAGTAGTATGATGTTGATGTAATGATGATGATGCACAACTTGAATGCTTGATGGTGATCATTGTGGCTTTGTGGGAAATAAAATTGCAGAGTAGTAGTCATAATTCACATGCACTTCATTGCACATATTCGTTTTTGCCTAGTCCTCCATTTTCTGCTATTGCGCTACTATCCCGGCTAGTAAGCATTGCCATCTCTTGTCATTTCCTGTCTCTGTTCTTGTTAGATCCTGCCTCCATTCCCTCATTCTAACCACCCTTACATTTATCGCTCCTCCTTTTGCACATGTTGTTATTAGCTACGAATTGAGAAGAATGCCTCCTAATGCCTGTGTACTGCTGTACTGTTTGCCAATAGAAGATAATAAATCGTTATCAGCTCCTAATGCTTGTTTGACTATGACTATATTACGCCTTCCACGATTGTTACAATCCCATACACATGCACATGACATGATGCATCAAAGATAGCCAAAAAGCCTTATGATACAGTGTGGGTTGTTCCCTTGCCTGATCAAACTAGAAGATGTAGTGTATCATAGATTTCGGCAATTAACACTTATCAGCATCAAAAATTTGAGCTGGCTCATCAACAATGGTATTTCATGCAGATACCTCGTTATTGCAGCATTCACTTTTCCCCTTAGTATGAAATACATGCAACTTATTGTAATAAGGGAATAGCCATTTAATTGAAGGGATGAAATATACAACTGGTAATAGATGAGCTAGAAAAACTATATACTAATGATTGGCGCCATAATCCCATATGCGTACTTCACCGTCGTCAGAAGCAGATATAATTTTAGTATCTCCAAGAGCCACAGCAGTTACAGGTCCACTGTGTCCTTCCAAAGCATGCATGCATTTTCCGCTTTCCATATCCCAAATACGTACTGTTCTATCGTGTGACCCGGATATAACGCGTAGGTTATCGAAAGCCAATGTCCATACACCTTCGACATGACCAAAAAGAGTACGTAGACAAGAACCGGCAAAATCCCAAAACTTGATTGTGTTATCAAGAGCTGCCGATACTATGATTGGTGTATCGGATAAAGAACCAGGGATTGTATCGGCTAATTGTGCTGTAGACCATCGTTGATCACCTTCTTCTGATGCGCATGCAGGTCTGAAAGGGAGTTGTCGACTCGCACTGCTGCGATTGATTATATCTTGAGAGCCTTGTGATGGTAAAGCTTCTGTGCCAAGTCGATGTTTGAACCCCTTTGGGCTGGGTAATACAATTTGCACCTGGCCAACATGTCCTTGTAGAACCTTGATGCAAGACCGTGTTTGTAAATCCCATATCCTAATGGTGGAATCATCGCTCCCGGATAACAGTTGGTCGTTTGGACAAAGACGCACAGAGTTAACCCATTCTGTATGGCCAGTTAATGTGCAACATTCACCGGCTTGGAAATTCCATACGCGTATAGTACAATCGGTTGATCCACTTGCAAGCAAACGTGAGTTGAAATGGAGACCAAGCACACCTCCTCTGTGTCCTTCGAGTGTTCGTATACATTTCCCAGTATGCCAATCCCATATCTTCAACGTATGATCCATTGCGCCGGTAACTAACTTCATGTTGTCAAATTGTAACGCCCTTACGCACCGTGTATGTCCAGTCAATTGTCGTAACTCTTCTCCAGTCTCTAGGCTCCATACACGCACCGTTTTATCATAAGATCCCGTAATTACGACATTATTCGAGTCGCAAAACTGAACGCACATGACACCATCCGTATGCCCTTGTAAGATGCGCATACTGTAATTGTTTTGACGCCAATTGCGTTCCACCATAAGTCGTTCGCTGTATACTTCTTTCCATGGTCTCCTCTTGACTGTTGTTGATGATGGCGAATGCTTCTCTGTAGGATACAAATCTCCTTCAAACGCTTCCACTGAAACACTGGTCTCTAATTTGGCTCGTTTTGGTGCTGATAAAGTTGCCTGCGTATCAGATCCGCATGCGATATGTAGAGATGCACTTTCTCCAAGCCGATCTGTTATTCGTCGTTTGGGCTTTTTGTCGAGTAAAGGAAGACCCCATCCACACTTTGTACATTTCTTGTCGATATGTTGTTCACACATTCTGTGCCACAATGCATCATCATCGGCAAGGGACTTCCATGATTGTGAAACTTGAGCAGCATGGCAAAGCGACTTGGCATCGAGATACGAGAAGATGCGTAGTGATAATTCATGAGGAAGTATTGAGCTGAAATCGATTCGTAGTAATGGCTTAATCTCATCATACAAGAACGATAGCTGTGGCATACAACATGTTGATAGTAAGCCTTTCAATATAAGAATACGCTGTTCAGCTGGCGCTGCAGAGAATAATGACCAGATATGTGTAATCGCTGCTCTGTCTGATGTTGGTAATCGCTCCATTTGCTACAAGGAGTTAACATGAGTTGTCATTGTTCTCGTTTCGTGGTGCTCCACTCACCCTCTGCACATCTTGAAAGTTGAATGAATCAGGCATTCGTCTCCTCGTCAAGTCTGGTCGATGTCGATAGCATAGCTTTCGTGAGTTCGATACTTGAGTAGGTACATGGCGAGATAAGAAGCTGTGGTGTATCTCTGGTGTACTTTGGTGGCCTGAGTAATTATCTTCACTATTCATGTCTGAAGAAGGAGGACCCCGAGCCCATGATCTCATCATACAAATTATAGCTGTGCTGCACCCCAATAAAATCATTCAATTTTGTTTTCGAGAGCATTGTACATGTAATTACTGTTAGGTTAATATCAAAAAAATCACTATAGCTACAATCCAATCTTATTATCTATTGCTACGATCAACAGATGATTCAGCGATATCCTTTTCAAGTTCCTTGACCTTCTCTCTCGTCTTTTCCTTCCAATTAGGGTCGCTTTTGCTTAGAACTGCAGGTGGTTCAGTAGCTGACGTATCTTCGATCACGATATGGCTATCTTCTTCCCATATTTCAATTCGTGGATGAATCGAATGATGATAAGCCTCCTCAGCTTTCTGTGCTTGTTCTTCCGTCACGCCAGGTATGTCGGCTACTTGCTCAGCTTCTTTCTCGGAATGAGGCTGTACAGGTAAATCATCATCATTAGATGGGTGGTCAGAAGATTGAAGGCTCTTGCTACGGCGGAACATATTTCGTAGAGGACTGGAATAAGATGTAGCATCTGCATTATTTTCATCCGCAGCTTCTTCTTTGTTTCGACGGAGCCAACTTCGCACGCTTGAAACTGAAGCTTCATTCTTTTCCACATTCGCATTGGCTTGCATGGCACCTCGGGGGTTTACAGGTTCCAAAAAGCGGATACCTTGTAATTCAGTATTGCTTGGAGCAGTCGATTGTGAAGCACCATAATGATCACCCGGTATTCTTTCGTCATCAGAGTCACCAGGTAGAAAATCTTCTTCTGCTGTATCATCGATATCTATCGTATACCCTTTGTGATCCATAGTGTCGCCGGTATACGCTGCTGATTCCTCTTCTTTTTTACGCTCAATAGTGTTGATCAACGTATTACGCTGGGTTTCACTCATGATTGGACTTTCCCCAAGATCACCATTCTCTGCCTGACTGCGTCTAAAATTAAGTGGTTGACCGAACTGCAATTTAGGTAGGCGAACGACATTGTTGCTGCCAGTGCTAGTAATTGATAGGGTCCGTGTTCTGATTCGCTTGCCGAGTTGAAATAGTGGGATCGTTGTACCATGGACCAAGGTTGATGCAAGCACAATAAATAGTACCACAGGGCTGATCAGCTCGATAATGACCGGTTTTTCGACCTCTTCTTCATAAATAGCTTCCATTTGTTCTTTGGCAATCATCGAGAGAAAGACTGCGCCAACACCCATGGGACCAAACCATCCACTGAAAACTGCCTCACGATATGTTTTGATGGCTGGCATGAAAGGTTTAAGGGCGACAACGATAGGAAGGCGGCGGAAAAGCAAGATCAGGATAGCAATAACAACCAATCGCCAAGGAGTGAGGCCTAACTCCTGGTTTCCAAAATCAGACCATGGCTACAAAATACCCACCATTAGTATTATTAGCATACCCAACTTGCACGTGGTATACTCACAATGATTGCCCCAATGTAAACAAATACTGCCAAGTTCAGCATCATGTCGATCACATCTTGAAAATGAGCCTCCTCTGTTTCTTGACGAAACCAATCATCCCATGAAAATGCATTGCCAGCAGCAAAACAAGCAAGAACGTCATCGCTTCCTGAGAAACCGGTCATACTCATTAAGAAGAGCTAGGAAAGATATATGAGTTATCCAAGCGTATAAAGTCATTGAGGCGAATTACGTACTGCAAGTGCGATAGCAAAGCAAAGGAATGATGGCTTGTCAATCAAATGACTATGCAAATATACAGCAGTGAGATTCAGCGCACACCTATTCAAGGATTGTCACAAAACTTACTTGCGTTCAGACCATTGTAGGATCTTGCGAGCAACGTAGCCGACAACAACACCAATAATGATTGATAGCACGATCTGAAATAGACATGTTTCATAGATCCATTTTCCAATAGCCTTGCCCGTGCCAGGTTCGCCAATGAGAAATATAGCCAAGAATAGAAAGGGAAATCCCATTCCATCATTACCGCCACTATTATCATTATTAAATCAAAATTTGCTCCTTGTTATTCGACTTTCGTTCATACCTTTCTGCAGAGAGTGCATTGCGGATATGTGCAGGAACGTGCTTTTCTGCAAAACGTCCCTTCACAACAGAGTTTGCTAAAATCTATTTTCAAAGTTCAGCCCATCTGGTGTTGATTCATCTTGTGTATCGCTATACTTACTGGATCTGTAGGACATACGCATGCAGCAATTACGAGAGCGTTAAGCTAATGAAAGTCAAAGTAAGTACGCTAAGAGAACAATCAGCTACAACAAGATACATACATAATCCAATGTTGGTATCAGCGCCCAAATAAATAGACCGCTAACCAACCACATGAAGATCATGATTGGTATCATCAGCATAAAGTACGTCAACCACTCCTTCCGCAGGTAATGCCTGTTAATTCATCAAACATTATTAGTTAAGCGTAGTCTATGCCTTGAATGTGATATATACTTTGGTAAATCGATCCCAACGGCCATCACCTAAACGTGTATCATTAGCATTAAGTCATTGAAAACATCATGGTTCTTATTTGGTACCTGAATAGCGATGACACAACGAGTTATCTCTTTGGTGATTTCATCGGTGTCGTTCCAATCATATGGATTAAATCCGTTTGCAACTAGCGGCCCTGCAATTATGCCCACGACCAAAGCAACAACTAAGCTTATGGGGTCAGTACAACCATATACATATTAAGAACTTGAGAAAGAGACTTACATGCTTCTGATATAAAGAGCCGCTCTTTAACGAACATAGATACAAAGCCAAAAATGACAATGAAGCCGCTCAGGACAGCGATTGCGATTGTGAATTTCGAGAATTCACCTGGTATAAGTTCAACTGACATTCACAATTATCGTAACTGACTCTATAATACAAGGTAAAGAGGATGATAGTGCGAGTAAGGTAAAAGAAAAGAAAAAAGAAACAAGGAACTGAAAAGAAAAAAAGGAAGAGGAGGGAAAATGCCGTTTTATATCTGTTGGCCGATAATGTTGTTCCGACATTGCCACTCTCCGCATTTGATGAAATCCCTGTTCTGCAACATGTGGTAGATGATCAACAGGTGTAGCTCACCTGCGTCCACAATCTTACGCTGGTTAGTGAAAACCCTTTTGAGCGTTATGAGGTTCTCATGAGTACTCTATGATATGGATCACACTTCAAATGAAACATGATCTACCGCGTAAACGGTTGCAACAAATTGCCGCCATTGGAAACTTGACGTGTGTTACTGCAGAACAACGATCGCTAGCATCAGTGATATCTGTGACACAAGCGGAGCTATGGTGGCACAGACTTGACGATTAACCCTATATGTCGAATTGCAGAGCGCCAAAACGGGGCTACTTTACCTGAAATTGTGGAAAATTGAAAAGCAAATCCCAGGTACACTTCAAGCCATCGTTTACTCTTTCTTTTGTGTCCAAGCTAAAACAATTCCTTGATATTTAATACATATACAAAATCAATTTACTACAAAGTTGGAGAATAATTGCTAATCGTTACTATCTTTCACCGGATAGGGAATTGTCATCGTTTCGAAAAGTAAGCTCGGCTGGGATCCCGCCGATAAGCCGAGCCCGATTCTTGAATGTGCGATTATCAGTGCACCTGGTTTCTAAGATAAATTGTCGCAAATAGTAATGAGCTCCTTGGTGAATTTGGCTATTTCATATGCTTCTTTGGCCAAGTCCCTTTTAGCAGCTGCACTTGCAGATTCAGGAGATTGACTGAAAGAGTTGTCACGGATATAGAGCAGAGTTTCTTTGGAATGCATGAGATTGGACAATACTGAGGTTGTCTGTTGTCGTTGTGGAAACTCGGGAGCGTCAAATGTACTTTCGCAAATTTCCATGACATCCGTTACAATGGTGACGATAGCAGTGATGATTTCGGCCACACTCTTCCCTTCGTCAGGTGAGCGCAATGCAGTGAGCAATTGTTGTATGATCTTCACGATGTGATCTGTCTCCGTTTTCAAGTATGCCTACATGGAAACATCATGAATAAAGTGTTATAAAGGTTCTTTGAAAAAGATACATACCGATAATTCTGACAAGTTGCCGATTGCTTCTTCCTTGGACAAAGCAGCATTTTGATTCGAAAGGCCTTTGTCAAAAGCTATGGTTTCATATTCTTGCGACGTCCTACTATCTTTCATCATCCCCAGCGTTTTGACGAGATCGACAACAACTGCCGTTAAATGACCTGCTGCTCCATCCAAAAGACTCACGGGACTAATTCCCATACCCCGTGCATGATTTTTTGCGGCGTTCAACAAATTTGATAATGCTGTCGAAAACTGACTCTTCAGGGAGACCAACTTTTCTGAAGTCACCACAGTTGAACGGCCACTGTTTTCATAAGATTCAACCTGCTCTGTTATCAGCTTGCAGGTGAGGACGATGCTTTGCATGACAAAAAGAACATCAGATGGCTTGCTTGACCTTTGGCGATATATTGTTAGCTTTGCGGCCATGAATTCCTCGATTTTCTTTGCACAATACCTTGCCGTTTGCAATAATTCGTCGATAGACGTTTGATACGAGACGACATTGGCATGGGAGATGACCCCTTCGTCTGTTGGCTGCAAAAATTCGCTTTCAAGTGCGCTCTGCTTCGATAAAACAGGTCGTTCAAAAGACGTCGCTGTATACTACGGTTAACTATTACTTCTCTTGATATACTATCTTCATTTACCCTTTATCGTACGTAGCTCGATCCGGCACTTCTCATATTTACTTTTCCATTCTTTAACCTATAGATATCGGTTAAAAGCTGTTTACTCTTTCGTTATGATACAATCATACCTCCATGTTCAGTTGTCGTGCCCGATCTTCAGCGACTTCTGCAATAGCTTGTAGATCATTGTTTTTGGATGATAAAAGCTTGGTTTGTTCAAGCAAATGGCTGATTTCTTCTCGTACACCCTCTATTGCCTATAGGAGAATGTTAGCTTGGGATTTGCAAGTTAAACCATAATCTTACACTCTGCTGATGATTGTAGTCTACTTGTAGCTGTCGATGTTGGTCATCCAGACGATTGTACTCTTCCTGTAATTGTCTCAGACGAGATTGCAGCTTTAAATTGGTAAGCGTATGTTAAAACCAAAGCTGTTTCACGTGTGTTATTGTTATCCATACCGTTTGTACCTGACCGCTGTCACCATCTGAGCTCTCTTGATTACGTTTTTCTCGCAGTGTCTACCAAACGTAACATTAGCAATGGGATATACTTTTTCATTGTTAATTCATACCATAACTTCATCCTCAAGTTGACGGCATCGTTTTGTAGCACTTGCGAGTTGATGTTCATAGTCTGCCCGTACTTTTTCCAGAATGTCTGTTGCCTTTACAGTGTGTTAGATAGGCACTTAAAATCTCATGTGTCCTATACCTTATCGCCTAGTCCCTTATTATCGTTGTTTGCGCTGGTAGGCGTTTTGTTGGATACCATGTTTCCCAAATCCGCCATTAAACTATCAAGTGACTGGAAATTGCTCTCGCTTCCAGATGCGCTTCCACTGCTTAAATGCCCATTGGTAGCTGCGGTCATGGATGGTTTCGGAGGCGATCTCGATGGCTGCTCATGATGAACGTCGCTTGAATTATTCATCGATGTATCTTCAGCGATATTCCTTGTGCTTGAATACTCTTTTTCTTCATCAGTAAGCATAACCGTCTCAACATTGATCGTTCCTTTAACAGGTATAATGTTTGTCGATTGACTGGCTTGGGGTTTGCTGGCTGGAGATTCATGCTTGTTGATATTCGGAACTGGGGGAACTGGGGGCCTATTGGCGCCCTGCAAATCAAATCAGCAAGCAGCACCGGAACGAGAAACCCAATTGATTATTGTACTACTCACATCTGATTCCAGAACATAGTTGTATCTACGAGCAATTTCATGATACACATCACTTGCTAAATCTTTGAACCGTGAACTCGGAAGTGTAGCGAGTTTTTGCCTTGCTTGATTGCGTCTTGGATGGAATTCTTCACGAACCGCTAGGAATGGCACTATTTCCGCATTTAAGCTTTTTTTGTAATATAAACAAAACCTCAATGTAGTTATACCTTGCTTATCTTCGGCAACCCTTCGCATCATTTCATCATACACATCCATTGCAAGTTCATGAAATTGCAAAGCGTTGAGCCTTGAGAGTTTTTGGCGAGCAGAAACGCGTTGCGGAGGAACACCCTCACTTGCCTCTATATACGGCGACAACATTATCAAGTAGATCAAATCACCTTGGACCAGACATACCTTTGGCTAAGAGGGATGCCAAGAATTTCTTCAGTTCAACATAGTAAGTCCTCGCTGCTGTCTCGTAAGCAGCCGTATTTCCAGAGTGAGCGCGCCCAGAAGCTGAAACTGTTGAGTGTGTTCCAGATTGGTGACCGGTAGAACGAGATGAGCTCGAGTATGATCGGTTTGGTGGTGTCGAGCCCCAATCATCGTGGGATGACATGGATTGTGGTGGTGATCGTGAATAGGCCATTTCAGTTGCTATTGAACAAGGAACAGCCCGAAAAGAACGATCTCCCCAGGCAGGTTACAAGCGGAGCTATTGGCTCTCCGGTTCCTGAAGCTGGATTTATGTCATGCATCTATATCATGCGCGCATTAAATTTTTATTATCTTTTTTGAAGGCCTTTAAGGAGCCTGTACAATTGCAAATAATGTGAATATAGTCACTTGGGCATCATGATGCTTTTTAACTTTCATGTAGGACCAGGGTTGATGATACACTTATATATGGTATTGGTCAAGAGATATCACATTAGCTGGGAGGAAATCTACATGGAAGCCTGTTTTATCCGTATTTCATCAAGTAATGACTTGCTATCATCATAATACTAATAGATAGTTATTAGCAAATGTCATCCGCATATGATTACTACAATGCGACCACCTACAGGGTACTTGTAATCTTGAGCGACTTTGGCATATTTTTCGGCCTCGTCCCATTTACAGAGCACTGCATTCTCTCTTGCTAGGAAAAGCGCCGCTTCTGCAACTTCTTCTTTGTAATGCTAAGCATGAGTATTAAATGAGCACAATCAAACATGTGGCATCGTGATTTCCAGAATGTACTTGCCCCCACTTCCTGGTACTTTTCGAATGCCCGCTTGAAATACTGTGATGCCATTGCTTTCTTCCCCATCTTGTCAAACACCCGCGCTAATTGAATCAGAACACCGTGTTTTCCTTCATTGTCACATTCGGCTGCCCTAGTATAACATCCAGCAGCATCCTGATCTTCCTGTAGGATTGCGTAGCATGCCCCAAGAGCTTTCCACATGCGGGCATCGTAAGGTCTTTTTGAATTGATAGTTAATGGGGTGTATTATTGCACCATTATATGAAATAATTACCTTAATTCAGTTGCCTTCTTGTAGTAATAAGTCGCATAGTAGGGAAGACTGAGTATCTCGTATGCTTGACCCAACCCATACCACGCACGGTAATCTCGACTATTCACATCTAGCATATATGTTTTGCTTAGTATCTATCAACGGAGCTTTGCTTCCAATTACGCCATACTTATTGCCCGCCGATAACATTCGATGGCAGCGTTGGTATTTTTCATCTCGATATAATCATGTCCAAGAAGGGTCCAAGCAAGATGGTAGTTGCGATCAAGCTTTAAAGCACGCTTAAAGTATTCCACAGATTCTGCAATTTCACGTGTGATACTGTAATAGTTTGCTAAAAGGAGTTGATTAGGTTTCTTTTTCTTTTTCTATGTTGTATAATAGACGTACCAACTATACAGCAGGTTTCAGGTCGATATCGATCAATCCGTACACAGTCATGAGCAAGCAAGCTCAGTTTATGTCGCGAATCTTGCAAGTATAAGAGATTGGAATAGATATCCATATCCTCAATTCGATAGGGCTGTTCCTTGCGCATCTCGTCAAAAAGAGCTTCGGCTTCATTGTAGTCTATCACAAAAATTAAAAAAGAGCAATATACGAGGATTCATGTAGCATTTACCAAACATATCGTAGCATGCAGCCGCAAGTTGTGATTTGATATATATACTGTTCGGGAAACATCCTGCCAGCGGCCTCATTAGCTCCCAAAATGTGTCTGATGGCAAGTGCATTTCTAGGGCAAGGCGTGCAAGGAATAAATCTTTCATGATGCTGTCCTTCATCTGCTTTGCTAGCGTAGCTTGTAGATCGAGAAACTTTTTCGCTGCACTGTAAGTAATGCATTCATGCTTGTACTTGAAATGCTGGACTTACATTTTTCCTTGTAGTGGCAAGGGACCCGAGCTCCATCCATGCTGACCAATTGTATTCATATTGATTCACTGATTCCAGAAGTGCTGATGCTGCCAACTTGTCAAGCTTGCACTTGCGGAGAACAATCCCATATCTGCTCAAATTGGTCAATTTCTCATTTGCTGCTTATAAAGACTACTTACAAATAGAGTCCAAAAGCATCCAATTTCTTTTTGTCATGGAGATCGTGAAGCTCTTCGTAAAGCGAGTTTAATTCTGTATTTTCAGCCAATGAAGTCTCCGAGGCACCTGATTGCGAAAAGTGAGAACCATTGATTTTGATTTGTACATCCAAACAAACCGAGTATATCTTGCGTATGTTCCTCCTTCCGTTTCTCTCCAGCCTACAATAAAAATGAGAATCCAATAGAAGTTATCCCTTATATTGCCTTTGATAGGTACCAGGTATTTCGCATAAAGCTTCAGAAACATCAGCTTCGGATGCGTGTAGTTGCTGAGAATGAACGCCACGTTGTCGTATTGACGCATTTGGAACAATGCTTTCGCATACTGATACTTGTTGTACTCTTTTTCTGTCAAAGCAGGAAGCGACGATTCGTAACTTGTTGAGTATGTCGCGATCGAGGCGGCATGATCGGCATTCTGTGTATAGCTGGAGTCTTGGTTGAGATGTCTGTCGTCTATGCCATCAAGTATTTCTGCAGCCCTGTGCAAGCGATATTATGAATGAGGGATACGAGACTTTGGTTCCTCTTGTACCATTTGCTCGAGATATACAAACAACGATCAGAACATATCAATAAAGCTTGCTGCAGATGTGTCTTAAAACATATGATCTCGGAATCCGATCGCTGCATGTCGTTCGTGTCTTTTCGGGTACGTTGCGGAGAGGAACCACATCAGAAATTCGCCTCCTTGTAGCCGCTTGCTGCAAATTCACTTGAACTCCCGACATATCAATGCCTGCCCTATACAGCAGGCCAAACATGGCCATGTTCCATCATTTCACTCTGAAACCTATAGACGGATTGACACTGTATATAAATGAATGATGTTGTTAATTGGGAACATTTGACGTGCTGATGCGAGTCACCTTATTGCCCTGACCTTGGTGGACAGAATATTTCGACCTAATTTTTGCTTTGGGATAACGTAGATATGCCATTGCTTGATTAATAGATAATGGGCATTGCCACCTTGTTCACCTAGAATCATGATTTACGCATGAAGCAAGGCTCTTTTTAGAGAGAGACGGGAATTACTGGTGAAGAATCCTCAACAACCTATCAACCCATCACCAAACATGATATATTTGAACAAGCATATTCAAAAGATCCATCATCTAAAAGACTAAAACTACCCTCGTTCTATCCTTGGAACAGCTTAATGTTTAAAGCAGCATAGTAATGAAGATGAACACTTGTATCAAAGAATACTTGTTAGAGGCAAGTGAGGTTGACACACCTTTTATGCGAGTGACATTATGCCATGCATGAAACACAATGGTGCCAAATGGGACTCCGAAGAGTTTATTCTTTCCGCCAACCTATAAAACTTTTTTGAGGTTGACTTCGGGATACCCATACTCGACTTTTAGAGTTCCTTGCAAATGGTTGAAGTAGATTACGATTATTTAGAAGCTACTCTTTGCAATCTATCCGGGAAAACACCTCTTGCAGAGCGTTTCCGTGCGCTTTTCACCCTTAAGAACATTGCTGATGCACGATCAATTGATATCATTGCAAAAGGTTGGTCGAACTTGGGACGATACCAGGGTTGTAATTCGCTAACTCCGGATACTGTAGCCTTAAGCGATGAATCAGCTCTGCTTAAACATGAATTGGCTTATTGCCTTGGTCAGATAGGTAATCCGACTGCAAACGATGTATTGAGTCGGGTTTTGGGAGATATGAACGAAGATGAAATGGTGCGACATGAGGTAACCACTGTAAATCACTGATAACGAGTGAGATCATACTAAATTAAAACACAAGGCGGCCGAAGCAATGGGTGCTATTGGTTCAAAGGAATCTATCCCTGTCCTTGAAAAGTATCTGGATGATGCCAGTGAGTCGGTAGCGGAGACCTGCGTTTTGGCGATTGACAAGATTCGCTATGACCACGACCCGAAGAATGTGGCTGAGAGGGAAGCGAACAAGAGCTTATACAATTCAGTGGATCCTGCACCGCCAGCCACGACATTGTCCGTTAAAGAACTTGGAGAACAGCTTGTTGACACTAGTCTTCCCCTTTTCAAGAGATACCGTGCCATGTTCGGTTTACGCGAAATTGGAAATGCCGAGGCGGTGGAACAGCTGGCTAAAGGATTGAAAGATAAGAGCGGTAAGCATACCAGACTCAACGCATATGGCTAATTTCTAATGTTTTTTTTCGCGCTGAAGCTCTCTTTCGACATGAAGGTATTTAAGGGCGTATTCTGTCGATTTTCGAGGTATATGGTAGTTAATGGTGAATGGTTTTTTCCATAGTTGCCTATGTTTTTGGACAGCTCCAGCATCCAGCATCAGTACCAGCATTGACCGAGACATTGAAGGACTCTAACGAACAGTATATGGTGCGCCACGAAGCTGCTGAAGCCCTTGGATCAATTGCCACACCAGAAGTGCTTCAAACACTGCTCGAATATAGCAAGGATGACGAGCGGGTAGTACGAGAAAGCTGCATGGTTGCACTTGACATGTACGAGTATGAGACTAGGTGAGTGATCTTGTTACCACAGCTACTACAAATAGCGTACTCAAACTTTGAATCAAGTGGCGAATTTCAATATGCAAACGGCCTAGAAGCTCAAAACAAGGACAATATGCACTCCTTAAAATTGCAATAAGGAAGATTTGCCAAAATTCAAGTTTATCCTCGATGCCTTCGAAGTTGGTTCACCGTCATAGAATATAATGCTTTAATAAATCCTACCCGGCCTTATGGAATGCATTTAGTCTTATTAATGTCTTATCTCAAGACACGACACTTTAACAGCGTGTGCTTCGCACCAGACTACACAATCCCATTATCCTACGGCAAACAGGCGTTGACACTCATCAACAACCGGTTTTCTTAAGTAAATCCGGTCATATTTATTGTAGTGCTGTTTTTGCATGGTGTAGTAGCTTTACTCGATCGATATCTAACACATCTCCTTGGCGGAAGGCTAGTACTCTTTGACTAACTTCATTTTCCTTATCTACCCATTATGACAGTTGGTGCCAATATCGCCTCCTTTTAGTTCTGGCTGCTTTTGTACTTTGTCTCGTGCTTCGAGGAAAAACGTAAGATCGCGGATTTGATCACAAAGTTCCCTGGCAGCATTCTTTTTTTCAAGTAGCTTGCTTCGTAGTGTCTGACTCTCCGATAGTAGTTCAGTTGTTAACTGTGCAGCCATTTAGTATCCTTATACGCGCCCATAGTGATATACAAACCTTTTTTTCTGCTGTCAAATCAAGCTTTTGAGATTCATTGCTGATAGCATATTGCTCCGTTTGATGCTCCAATGTATTCTTCTGAGCAACTGCCTTTCTTGCACGTTCGGATTTCTCGCAGTTACGAGTTATGATATTCTCATTCATGCATTTGCTTGCATGAAACTCCTTCAATAAACTTTTCACCTGGTTAGAATGTACAGAAAGTTGAGTGGTCAGCCTGTCCAATAAATCTTCATAATATATGCGCTGCGAATCGAGTTTTGTTGTTAACAAGGATGAAAATTCCAAAGATAAGCTCTCCATCTTATCCTACATATTTGTATTTTAGAACTTAGACGACTGAGTTGATGAGTTTTACATACTTCGGGGATTGTATCTTCATCACTATTTGAGAGCTCAACGATCTTTCCATCCACCATGTTCTGTATTAACCTATGGACATAGCTTTTAAAGAAAGATCAGCGACCAATTTCCCATGGTTACTATAATTCGCATACCCATCACCGACATAGTCCCAAACACGTTGCGTCTCTATTTCTAGTGCATATGGATGACTTGTATCCTTATAATGAAGTAAGGCGTGGTTTAAGCCATCATCTTTGCATCCTGCATGCCCACATATCAAGCAGATCCATAGAGATTGCGGAGAGCCACAATCAGCACAGCGAGTAAGGTCTGACGCAAGTGAGCTACGCTGGTCAGTAGAAGGCATAGAAGGAGCACGGGCTGTAGAGATTTGCGAATATCGGCATACTGGACAACTTAAATATCCATTAGTGTGCAATACACAGTTGTATCATTAAAACATACCTTCCATCACCCCATTTTGAAAGGCAATAGTAATGAAATGTATGTTGGCAAAGAATGGTCAGCAGACTGCTGATACGTTCGTCCATGGCCTCTAAACAAACTGGGCAAGTTGGCGCTGTATCCTCGTCGTATTGCGGGGTTGGCAGAAAAGGAATCGAGTAAGGGGCCGAAAAACCAGTATTAGCTTCTATTGAGTCGATAAATAGGACTTGGCAAACATCAGGCTGTTTGTAATGAGACATGTGTATTATTTTCATCTTGAGCACTTATCATATTACCTCCATAGAAGTAAACGGACGATTACTATATTGCCAATAGTATTCACGAGCAGCTTCCAAATTGCGAAACTTCATAAGCAACGTACAAGTGGTAGAACTCTGATCGCTAAAATTATGCATTAGAGTATGATAACCATGGATATTATTCCTAGAAAACGTTATACCGTATGATCCAATAGTGTTTCACGAAGATATCGACTGGACACACAAAGTTGAGCAAGTCCAATATTGAATAATACGAAGGTATATCGGTGGTACATGTGATGATATCTTCGCAAATAAAGGTATTGCTGCCGAAAAGCTTGTCTTTATCGGTGCTTATGGTGGCTTCAGTGATATTGCTATATAGACGCAGCACAGCACGATGAGGTTCGGATTCGGCTGCGATTGGAAAAAGTACGCCTATTGGAGAGACGTCAATTTGCGAGGTGTCATTGCTTCGCATGCCTTATTATGTGGGAGTATCTTTATGGAAGAACGAAAAAATTGCTGAGCTTGATAAGTTGCAGCCAGAGGCAAGAGGAGCTGCAGAGACAGCATCATGCATACCTAATCCACCAATGAAATTACGTGTAAAGTGAGGGTTGGGATGGCCAGCGGTTTAAAAATGACGTTGTCCTACTCAAACACGCTGAACACCTCTTACACGTTATATTCCTATGCTCAGGGTACCTCAGTTGTTTAACAAAAATGCTGCAAGATATGTATCTACACGCCCAGTAGCAAGGTCCTTTCGTTATGTTTCCGTAAACACTGCCACTTGGAATCGGAATCGGACGTGTTCATTCAAACCTGTCATCACGATGGCGACTGTTGCTACCGCAACGATTTTCATGGCGTATAATATCCATCACAATGTGTATGCACTTGAGCCACCAGGTAACATAAATGCTTCTTTTAATATAAACACACAGTTACTCAAGTGCATAGAAACTCCTAGGCACTGGCGATCAGATTTGCCAGGCTATCATGCAAAATGATTTTCGACAGTTGAAAAGGTAAGAAGTACTCTGTGTATAGCTCGATACTCAAGCGACATCCATCAGACTTGCAGATGATCCAAATTTCAGTCCAAATGTGTATCATCAATACGGTTGGACACCATTGGTGAGACTCGCTACGCTCTCTCAGAGTTCTATCCGCTAACTGCATCGCACCCAGCAAGTTGCTGTGATACAGGATAATGAAGCCATGGTCAAATTCCTGCTGGATAAAGGTGCAGGTAGGTATAATGATACATTTTTATATGAACGAGCTTATTGACAAATGGATCAACAAGATCCTAATCTTGAGGATCACTACTATCCAAGGTCGCATCAAGCAGCGAATGTTCGTCAGGTTGACTTTTCTGAGGACCTACTGCCGTATCGTGACTATAGAGAGTACACGGCTTTGCATTATGCAGTTATTATCTGCAATCCAAGAATCGTCAAACTGCTTCTGGATCATATGGCTGACCCTTTGGCTCGCAATTCTCATGGCCTTACTCCTCGTGAATATCTCTATTATGTGGAACGATTTACAGGAGAGCAGAATATAGAGATAGATGGTTTATTGCGCTCTAAAGAAAGGTCATATCCAGCTGACAAGGCTGCTCATGATGAACGACAGCGAAAAGCACAATTACAGCGAGAAAAAGAATATCGCAAAAAACACCCTCTGGAAGATGCGCTCAAGGCTAAAATTGTTGGTCAACTAGGGCCTTTACATGCACTAGCAAGCGCCATTCGTCGAAAACAAAATGGGTGGCATGATGAAGACCATCCTTTAGTATTCATGTTCTGTGGCTCTTCTGGTGTTGGTAAAACCGAACTTGCTAAAGGTATACGAATCGCCACGTATATTTTAGATCGCAATACTTACCAACTTCTCGTAGCTCTTGCCAGTTACCTGCATGGAAAGCAAATGGACAAGGGATTCATCCGTATCGATATGAGCGAGTTTCAGCATAAGGTACCATGACATTCCTCAAGGATGAAGCAAAATGTACATCGGATGCTATTCTAATATACTTACATTAGCATGATGTTTCCCGGTTCATCGGATCGCCACCTGGTTATGTCGTAGGTGATATGGTAATTCTGTTGTATGATATGGCTGATCACCTTTTGTATAGGGTTATGATGAAGGAGGGCAGTTGACCGAGAAATTAAAGGAGTGTATGTTAACTACCTCACAGCCTATCTTTGAGCACTTTAATTGATTTATAAACTAGGTCCAAATGCTGTTGTGCTCTTGGATGAAGTGGAAAAGGTAAACAGCCGAATATCGTAAAAATATGCTCAATCTAATCTTTGGATAAATTAGGCTCATCCAGATGTGCTTACAATCATGCTACAGCTATTTGATGAGGGACGTATAACCGATGGGAAAGGAACGACTGTGGAGTGCAAGGATGCAATTTTTGTAATGACTTCAAATCTTGCACAACATGAAATCGCCGACGAGGCTGAACTATTGCGTCTCGAAGCCTCTGTATCCAACGATGCACAAACTACTGGCACTGCGACAGCGGCGTCTTCTGGTGCACATGAAACAACCACTGGTCATAATGACAATGACCAACACGAAGAACTTGCTGATGACGGAGAGATATCTTTATCAAGGCAGTTCATCGAAAGAACAATCTATCCGATCCTTTATGAACATTTCAAACGCGATGAGTTCCTCGGTCGTATCAACGAAGTATTATTCTTCCTTCCTTTCAGTGAGGATGAACTACGTGAGATAACCTCCCGAGAGCTACGACGATGGGCAGACAAAGCACGTGTCCGCCATGGCATCACCATGACGTGGGACCCCGATGTTGTGGATGTATTGGCTGAAGGATATAACATACGTTACGGTGCACGAAGCATAAAGTACGAAGTGGAACGCAAAGTAGTGAACTTGATTGCAAAGGCGAACGAAAACGACGAGGTCATGGATGGCGGCCGTGTACATGTAATTGTTGATAAGACGGTTGGCAATAAGCGGCGTTTATGCAAATTAGAGATTCCCGAACGTGGTGGCGATGATAGAAAGCCAGCCAGTGGAGGTTGGTTCGGCAGTAAAAAGTAAATGCAATAAATGAGCACTAGCCAATTTTTGTACTTTTCCTCAAAACCTCAGCGCCCTTATTAGCTCACGTTCCTCCATGTGCGAAGCTTGTACGATCATTGCAACTGTGAATTTTCATTATATTGCTAGATCATATTAAGAGGGTGTACAATGCTATCAGTACTATAACTGCTCTGCACGAAAGTGAACGCCACTAAACTCCATGTGCAAATGAGAACCAAAAGGTAGACAACCTTCCAAAGCAGCTTCTGAAACGAGCGAGTTCATAGTTTCGGATGCACTTGCGTCGTTTTCTAGAATATTCGCTGTAATATCACAGAGTTGATTCCATATGGTAGAGAATACTGCAAAAGATGTTGTTGTACCAGGAATTGCAGGATGGTGACTAGGGATGCTTTTATAATTATATTAGTATACAAAAATCATGTGCTGTTCTTCCACCATACCTGTCTAAATTGCGCCATCCGCATTTTGTAACATTATCATCAGCATCAATCGAATTCGATTTGGACACACTATCGTCTGCAGAAAACACGGGATGGGCCTCAGTGATAGTAGGGCAGAATGGTGGAACTATCATATGGTCATCTGTCACATCGCTTGACATGGTTCTATCAAGTGGTGGTATCACGTTGCCATCATGGGACGACTGGATATAAGGAGCAGCTTGCTGTGGATCAGGCGCGATATCACGTGACTCCTGCGTTGACGTCGAATGGCTATCCAATAATCGGTGAACTGCTTTGGCAAAGGAAGCAGCTGATATTCTTCCATCATGTGATTGATCAGATAAACATTGCGTGTCATCTATGAAGGTCCCTGTCCCGTCATGTGCAGGAAGACTTGTAAACCCATCAGAAATTGCCACAGAAGACGACCGCTTCCCCGTATCTGAAGAGTCTGTATCAGATTGACGCACCGAGACACATGAATCAGATTCGGATAATTCAAATGTTGTGGAGACGGAATCACGACGTATTTCAGATGTTGATGACGAACCAGACTCCATCACAGAACTAATAACATGCCAACCTTCCGATGTTGGTGAAGAACATTGGCTCGCTTTAGAAGATTGGCACAACGATGTATCTGAATGCGAGCTTGTCTCGGCATCTAGCAGATAAATTTGACTCTTATAAACTTTTTTTCTTTGAGCAAAAGCCATGATGACGAAGTAAAAAGAATAAATACAGCCATAGGTGCAGACCACGCATGAACATTAAAGCATGCTGCTTTCACGACCAATGAGAATCCTCCTCTCATTGTAGAACACCGCCCACGCCTTATTGCGATGGCAATGACTACGTCTTATTACGATGACGATTTATAACAATCACGATCACAGTGACTACGACTACGACTACGACTATTAACATCGACGATGATGACGAAGACGGCAATGAAGGGGATTATTATTACGCCCAGTAGTTAGCACTGGGATAGCTCTATTATCAAGATCATGTTGCGCTTCTTGCATATGCTATTACGTACATCTACTCAATATTCTGATTCACTTTTGAACGACACTTGTTGGTAACGAGATTTTTCAGCTTACAGACACATAGAAGTGTACCCAAGAAATTTCAGAGTATCTTCTTCGGTATGAGCATCATCTTCAAAGCTACATATACAATGAAATCAGTATATGTAATCCTAAGGATTCACAAGAAAATCACCCGGATTGATGTCTTGCAATTAATCGTTATTCAAAGATCGACTTTGCGCTTCGCGTACAATCATTTTGATTTTGACAGCAATCGATCCCCAATTCGCCTTCTGCCTTGACCGCGCCTTGGCAGATACACAGAAGTTAAGGAGGATACCAAGTTACAAAATGTACTTCCACTAGGTTATACAATAATTGTAATCATAATATCAAGCACGATGAACAATAAGGCATTCGTTTGTGCTTATATACGTTGGTCTACTTGTTACATATCACATGTTTAAAGCTCACTTCGCACCCACTTCCATGTCCCATCTAGGAAGGTGCGGGATTTCGTCTCGCTAGAAATTATGCGTTATGCCTACTCCTACAGCCTACCCTAATCACGCCTACAGTGGCCGTACGGGAAAAGACGTCCTTAAGCCATAACTTTACAATGAAGCATAGGGTTCTTATTAGAACAAAGTTGTCCGGCGTGGCTGGAAGTAGCTAGTGAGTAAGTGTCAGGTTCGTGGTAGGCAATCAGGGATTTAGCGAATGTCGCCATCAGCCAAAAAAATTTTTTTTGGTCGTCGAAAAAAAAGGTGATGGAGTGGAGCTGGATGGGGGAATTTTGGGATCATCGCTGTGGAGGTTCATGTTCACGTACAAGAACGTTTCCAGCACGACCAGCAAGTTTTCTCATGACTGGCCACGATTGACGGAAAAAAAAAGTTTTGGCGAACTCTATGTTTCTCGCTTTAAGTGGTTCCATGGTCACCTTTATCGACCCACGTCAGTAAAATGTACCCGGCAAAACATAGAGCCGTCTTTGTTACACAAGGCCCCAGACCCAAAAAAATTGTTTGCATGTACCCCAAACTCAAAATATTTGCAGCCTCAAAAAAAATTTTGAAGATGGTAGTCGGTTTGATATAGGGGTACAAAACGCTTGCTGGGTAGGGTACAAAACGTCCGGTGGGTAAAAGTACAATACGTCGGTGGGTTAACCCACCGACGTTATGTGCGAACTGGGTTGCACACAAATCGTCATCCCATGGGCGAATATTTAGACGTTCTTGGAGGCAAAATGAAACGTATGAGGAAAATAAAGCACACTTTTGGTTATCCAATGTAACATTTAGGCTTAATCAGTATCGAGGAGTTTCCCTTCTATGAAACTGATGCAATAATGTGATTCAAAGGCATCCGAAAGAGACCACATTCTAGAGTTAATATCATGTTTCGTCCTCAAAGGTGCTCAATAGGTAGTTTATACGTATTTAATAACATCTTGAGGTAGATTCCTCACATTAATAACGTTTTGCGAGTTTCAAAGTAGTGATTTATTTACAAATACCTGTTTAATGCTGCATAGCCGACGTAATGTAGAAAATTAGAAATATTAATAATACTTTTGACGTTCTTTACACCGTGATATACCTTACCCACCGAACGTTTTGTACTTTTTACTCACCAGGCGTTTTGTACACCTATGTCAGCCTACTTTTAATTTTTTCATCCCAGCTACAATAGTTCGCCTGACCGTGGCACGCACTAACATTTACCCGGAGTTTTTTTGTACATGTATCATTGGCGTTATACGAAGGCAACGACTCAGTGTCTTGCGCTCTTTGCATCCTTTTCTTCCACGTGATCATTGCACTGCTGTTGCCAGTTACCATAATTTCTCGCAAGGCGAGGAGACTAAGAGATCACATCCTCACAACTACATGACGTGACTTGCCTCTGACCGCTGTGATGCCTTACTCAAAGTTGTCCACAAGGATTGCTTTTATAATTGTAAACAAAGTTTCAGATGCCGTCGACTTGAGACTTGTCGAGAAACAGAAAAAAAATTCGCTCCTGTGGGACAAAGGGGCATGTTTCATATCTTCTCTGATCATCTTGTGTCACTAACCAAAGTTGTAGAACAAGAGTGGTTTTATAGTTGAATTTTCAATTTCAAGGGTGGTTGACATGTAGAATGCTGAGAAATGGGTAACAGAAGTTCATATGAGAGTGATCACGTGGTCAAGAGGTACAGGAGCTGGTAGCTACATTCGCTGAATCGCTTGTCTTGCATATCAACCTTGATACTTTGTTGATGTATGCCTTGAGCACAAGGAACATTTTTGCTTTTGGGTCGTTGTCGAAAAAAAATTCAAGAAGGTTGACCTCCCGATCCAATTTGGCTGGTGGCGACATTTGCGAAATCTGCGATTGACAACCCCGATCGTGAAACTTGCACACATGGTTCCTTTGACCCTGACGAGCAACCTTGTTCTCATAAAGACCCCACGCTTGATTGTAAAATTTGGAGATACAGGCACCTTTATGTTTTACCTATGCTCGCTGTAAGCGTGATGCTATATGATAGGTGCTCTCTGTTCATTGTCAAGTCGTGGTATGAATATAATAGAGCCAAAGATGCAGAGGGTCATGTTTGTGTTAGGAGGTACAGCAAATTGAAACCCGCTTGCTGTGACCAACCTTCACCATCAATAACGCAATGACCTTACCCTTAGCTCTTGGAGAGAAAGAGAACGAGATAAAATTTTATGCCGTCTCGTAATCACGGTCATATATAAAACGATTATCAGGTGAAAAAGTAGTGCTTTTATTACGGGCATCTGGCTCCTGCCTGTTGGCATATTAGCCGCCCTAAACCGAAGATCAATCTTGAACGCGATGGCGCTGTTGTCCATGAGTTGCTCTTTCTTGACTCCATTGAAGTACAGATTTGTGGTTTCGCCGCTAAGAATACGATGTTATTAATGATTAGGCAATTATATATATCCTCGTACTTACTATGCTAAACGGATGATTGTTCCGGCAAATAATGATTCGAGCAAGGAGACCAGATCTTGAACAGGAAATCGTACTCGCTTCCATGTCCACGCAAAACATCCTTCCGGTTTTCAATTATGTTTAATCTAAAACAACCAACAATCAGATATGTTCTCCAACTTCAAACCAACAGCACTTACACGTTGTCAAAGCAACGAAGAATCTCCTTTCTTGCTCGCCAAAAACGTGCATCCTTAAGATCATGCAGGTAATCCTGCGCTGAATCCATGTCTCGTTGCGCAACTAACTACAAAAGACAGTCCGTGTTTATCACTTGAATTACACGGGCAGGACTAGCTTACCTTGGACACCACATTCCAGGTGGATTTTACGCGTTCCTCCAAAGGAGTGATGGACATTGTATGCTTGTTATTAATGAACACCCTAAGTCCTCCCAAACTTCGTGCTGGAAAAGTTTGGCCTGGCCGTCACCATCACCCAGGTCCAACGTTAGGGATCCGCATTTGCGAGATCGCGTCTCGTTCCAAGTCGGAATTCCGTCGCGAGATTCTCGCGAGAACACATTGCACCTGAAATCGTGGACTTTGCTATTTGCCCCATGTCAATTCCAGCACTCGATATAAACTATGGCACCGAATCCACCTTTTGCGGATCCTTCACGGAGATATAGCTATCTAGAAAGTAACAAGGTAGCGTATATGAGTAGTGACTCATCAAGCAACATGATCAGGCTTTACCTTATTATAAGGATTAAACATCACAATGATGGTCACCATACAGTGTAGCACTATGAGTGATCACAAAGATGAGTGCTTAATAACAATGTTTGCAAGAAATCGGATACGTACAAAACTTTGGAAGTTTGGCCTGTAAGCAACCAAAGAAGTATGACAGAGGAAAGAGGCGTGTGGGAGTATGATGGACGGCGACAACATCTTTTTTTGTTGTGCACGGTGGGCGTGGGTATTTGTATCTGTTGGGGATGATGCCTGAGCTGATAAAGTGATGGGGCGCATATACCAGGCTTAAGGTATAATGTTGTCTATGCATACATCGGCCAAATTAGGGCAGGTGATAAAATCTATCAAGGAAGTCAGTCATTTCTACTCCTAATGCACATCCCCATTAATACAACGGTGACTTACCATGTTGTCAACCTACTCCACACTCACACCTTCTTTTTCATAGCATATCGACGTTGTAGCAATATTTTCTTCATTAGACCTCCTCGAGAGCACCTGCCTTTCGCTTGTTAGGGGTGGCATGTATCGTCAATGCATGCGGAAGTGAGAACTGGGGTGTGAGCTTGGACGCAAAATGCTGCGAAGTGGATGACTTGTCTTTCAAGCGTTTCTCAAACAACTGTACGCTTGAATAACTAATATGGCGATTTGGTTACATAGAATCATCCCCAATTAGCACGCGTTTTGCGTTACGTTTGCCAGTAGTGTCAACTCTAATATGGCTAGCAGTTTGAATGGGATCATGCAAGCTTGAACAGGAACTTCCTGTTCTCTGCTTGACAACATGCCGTCTGTATTGGGAGCCTGGAAGTTTTACTGAGCTGCATGAATCCGGGTTTTATGACTCATATTCTTGCCCTCGCAGTAGTCATCGCCATGTAATTTGGAGGCAGTTTCTACCATTATTGCTCGCATGTCCTACAGGAAGAAGAATACGAGATTACCAAAGGCAGAAGATTTTGTAGTTGATATGATTATACCCAGGCCATGCTTCTGAGAAGTAATCATGACATAAGTTGAGTCACTGCTGCTTGCGAGATCTCCTCTCGTTCCAAGTCGAAATTTCGTCGCGAGAACACATTGCACCTGAAATCGTGGGTCTTTGCTATTTGCACTATGTCAATCTCAGCACTCGACGTAAACCATGGCACCGAAACCATTTTTTGCAGATGCATTACAGGAGATAGCTATATAGAGAGTAAGAAGGTAGCGTATATGAGTAGTGACTCATCAAGCAACATGATCAGGCTTTACCTTATTATAAGGATTCAATATCACAATGACGGTCACCATACAGTGTAGCACTATGAGTGATCACAAAGATGAGTGCTTAATAACAATGTTTGCAAGAAATCGGATACGTACAAAACTTTGGAAGTTTGGCCTGTAAGCAACCAAAGAAGTATGAAAGAGGAAAGAGGCGTGTGGGAGTATGATGGACGGCGACAACATCCTTTTTGTTGGCACGGTGGGCTTGGGTATTGTGTCTGTTGGGGATGATGCCTGAGCTGATAAAGTGATGGGGCGCATATACCAGGCTTAAGGTGTAATGTTGTCTATGCATACATCAGCCAAATTAGGGCAGGTGATAAGAAATCTATCAAAAAAGTCAATCATGTGTACGCTTAATGCATATCCCCATTAATACAAAGGCGGCTTCCATGTTGCCAATCTACTCTTAATATTGGTATATGGTTATTTGGTAAGCAGGAAGGATGATCCGATCACCTTTGATATCAGCAACCAAGCCTCACCTGGCATTGCGCAATCGTAGTTTGAAGAAAAAATGATGCAAAGACAATCACGCTCGCGCACGTTGTTATCGCTGAAGGTGCCATCGGCTTCCGTTTCTGAAGCGAACACTCATACGAACATCCTCGACTACTATTTTATTTTTGGAATTTAACACAGCAAGTGATTTGTGATAGCCGGTCTACGGCATTGTTTGATGATGATGATGCATGAACATACATGGAGTACCCCAGTTACTCAATTCACGTGAGTCAATCTATGTGCTTGACAAACCTACATCACAGAATCTAAAAACTACATATCGCTATCTCAACTTTTACATTGTCAAATGAAGATGTTAAGTTTGTGGCGTCAATTATCTACGTGCTTTTGAGACACCGACAATGATAAAAGCATACAAACACCACGGAGAGTCTTCTATTTAGCCAAATATTAACATATACTATGCGCCTGATTGTACGCGAAAATTATGAAGAGGTTTCTTCCTATGTTGGTAATTGTCGCAGTTGCTCCATCCCACATAGATACTTGACTCACAAGCGGGTGTCATTAGCCTACTATGTCAAAGAACGAATCAATCAGTTTGCCCCCACCAAAGAGCGACCATTCGTGCTCGGCCTACCTACTGGTTCATCTCCTATCGGTGTCTACCACAAGCTAGTTGATTTTAATGCAGCTGGGCAGTTGAGCTTTGAGCACGTTGTGACATTCAATATGGACGAATACGTAGGATTACCGACGTAACTATAATATATGAGTAACAAATGCGATGGAATATTAACACTATAACTATGTAGGGATCATCCACAATCGTACCATACTTTTATGTGGAATCATTTATTCAAACATGTTAATATCAAGAAAAACAACGTTCACATTCTTGATGGCAATGCAAGTAACTTGGACGAGGAATGCCGTAAATTTGAAGCGGAGATCGCAAAGCTTGGTGGCATCGAGCTGTTTCTAGGCGGTAAATACGAAAGTGGATTGCGTTTTGGGAGCAAGGGCAAAGACTAGGGATGAAAGATTGACCTTGCACAGGTATTGGACCGGATGGACACATTGCATTCAACGAGCCAGGATCGTCACTCACATCACGTACCCGTGTCAAGACTCTGGCGTACGAGACGATTATTGCTAATGCGCGATTTTTTGGAGGCGAGGTATCACGTGTCCCGAAACTTGCGCTGACGGTGGGCGTAGCGTACGTGTGTATGTGTATGTGTATGTTATTCAATGGTATTTGACTCAAAAACCCATGTGGTGGCATATGAGTAGCACAGTAATGGATGCGCGGGAGGTAATGCTTGTGATTACTGGAGCGCACAAAAGCCTAGCATTGGCCAAGTGTGTGGAAGAAGGAGTGAATCACATGTGGACAGTCTCAGCCATCCAGATGCATCCCAAGGGCCTGATCGTGTGTGACGAAGATGCTACTTTGGAGTTACACGTCAAGGTAAGATGGTGTAGATGATGGATAGGACATAATAACATATTAAATGGACCACCTATCAGACCGTCAAGTACTTCAAGTCAATTGAGCATGTCCACCATTCCATTATTGGTCCCCATAACCTAGGACTGCAGGGCAATCTCCTACGTAACATGGTTGATACTAATCAAGCGGCTAAACGACGGAGAAGACTAATGCTCCAAAACTTGCTGAACAATGATGATGACGATGGACGCCGTCGCGAAAGCTCACCAGAAGACGATGCTGCAGTGGCAGCAGCAGCAGCAGTAGCAGAAGCTGGCCAAAAGAGAAAAAGAAGAAACTCAGCCTACTGGCAGGAAACTTCGGCTGCGCTTGATGTCAATCCTTAAATTTTATTTAGCTGGGTTTCGATCGATAGCATACAGTACAATGCGAATAAATTCATGCAAGAACTCTTGTACTTTGGCTCTCACCTACCACGACCCGAGGGTAGCTTTGGTTGGATAATACCGTATCCTTAGTAAAATAAACACAATTCGTTCTCAGAGAGGCTTTTATTTTGTGCTCCTTCGTTCATCTAGCTATTTCCATAGCGATGATGGCGCTTCAGTAATAAACCAGGTTGTGGGTGAAGATGATGCCTTTTTGGGCACTTGCTACTGATACCAATGAGCTATTACCAATATTTAGCGATGATGCTATGCCATTCGTAAAGATCGATACCCGTTTCTCTGACCAAGATGATGCATTACGACATTTAGAATATGATTTATTAGAAAACGAGGATGTTGTAGGAGGTTCACTCCGTGCATATAGACCAGATCATAGTTCTAGCATATTCAACCACTATCCTCATACTATCAGAGTAATGTATGCATATTAGAGGCAGGTACTTTTTAGTATGCGTGATTTCCGCTATTGGCGACAAAGAACATAGAATGATGTTGGAAATGCGAGGATGGACAGAGCTTCTCTATTTTCTGTTTACCCACGGTGCTTTGTTAGTCTTATACGACTACAGCTTTAAGGCAACTTGATACATATGCACTACTTATACAACCATGCGCAAAATGGAGGGCACGTATACATTTCAAAGCCTTTACTTTTTACTGCAACGATGTACACATGAAAATGGATCAAGATCTTGTAGGAAAGTAAAAAATGAACCTGACACCTAGTTAGAGCTTAAAGGTGGGAATATAGAAATTTGATTATGACGGGAAGGTGCTGATTAGTGTATGCAACGTCAAAAGATGCCTATCTCCCATGTTAGTTGACTCGGATAAGCGGCAAAATGCTTGAAACACCCGATGCTTCTCTTGTTTCCATAGGGGTAATATGTACGGGTCGATGTCCGAGCAAACCATGTCTCATGGATTTTAAGCGATATAACGCTTAGAAAACCGTTATAGGTGGCAAACGATTGTGATTAATAGATATGACGTGAGGATGGGTGCGTTCAAAATGGCAAGACTGTGCACTGTCGTCCGTGCATTTGCAGATTGCGATTATTGGATCGGAGCTCTACAAGAATAGCAAAAATGGCAAGTGCCGGATACCTACATAGGTCACGAGCGAAAGATAGAAAGGTCTTTTATGGTTGTTGTTTCACTACAGTCTACGGTTGACAGCCATATGCCCGCATTATCTTTCCCATGTCGTGGTCGTGGAAAACAGTGTGTTACATACCAGATAGAGCAAATGTTACCACTCACAGTAAGTCTCGGACTTTTCGATGGATCAAGATGTGTAACTCAAGAGGAACCCCCCACGTATATAAACCGAGCTCACTATATGACATGAACACCAGAGACTCAGTCATGATTGAAAAGTACATTGATAACAAGAAAGGAACAAGTAACGATCCCGAAACAGTATCGCAGGGTAAATGGGGAGGGTTCACTCGACGTGCATAATATACACACGTTAAACTCACAGCAACCTTTACAATCAAAGACTCGTACGCAAACAAACATGGCTTATTAGCTGAAGATCCTATTGACCGATCCCAAGGAGGCCATGCGTTTGGCGCTTATTATAACATTGTCTGTGCTGTATGTGGCACTGGTATGCTAGGCTTATCACAGGCAATTGCACGTGGTGGATGGGGTGCCATTGCTTTGCTTCTACTAGCTTGGTGGATGGTTTCTGTAAGTCTCAGCATGGATGGTGAATTTATCATACTTACAATTTCCAATGTATGCAGTATGGATCTGTTATCCTTATAAAATGCTTGTATCATCCCCGGAAGCAAACGACCCGTATCAACAGCTTCAAAGACATTACAGAAGATGCATTCGGCAAGTTGGGTGGATGGCTATGCTTCTTCTTCATCGCTTGGGTGCTCTTGGGATCTCCTATTCTTTATCTGGTATTAATTGGACAAAATATGAACCAAGTATGCCGTGGTACAGCTGGTGAGATTGGCAGCATCCCTTGGACTATTATCTGGTCGGTGATCATAGCTATACCTTTTGTGTTGATGAAGACCATGAAGGAGGTGGCATGGACAAGTTTGATAGGCACGACAGCCTGTTTCGTAAGCGTCATCATGCTAATTGTTATGGTCGGTATCGATTCACCTACGCATGCTGTGAATGCTGTGCGGTCCAACATTATCTGGGAAGGTTTTCCTACTTCACTGGCGACGATTGGTTTCAGTATGGGTGGCAATGTTATCTATCCCAATGTCGAAGCATCCATGCGGCGACCTGAATCATGGGCCAAGACCGTTGTCATAGCACTGACCACATGCGCTATGCTCTATATCGTCATTGCTGTACCTGGTTACTACGTGTATGGTCAAGATGTAAGCAATCCACTGTACAATAGCATTACCGAAGGTCCAGCCCAAACAGTGATTATTGTGTTGGTGACAATCAACATTCTTGTGAGTGTGCCCATCTTTCTCACATCATTCGCCCTGGATATCGAATCAATGGCCAATGTCACGGTTGCACGATATGGCAAGTACCGCGAATTTGCATTGAGAGCTGCTATTCGTATATCAACTATGGTCTTTTGTACGGTCGTTGCATGTGCTGTACCATACTTTGATTATCTCATGAGCCTCTTTGGTGCTTTCGGTTCTTGCACCTCTATTTTTATCATACCTGTATGTATGTGATGCTGACTGAATGGACATATCAACTAATGGCAGTAATAGGTGTTGTGTTATTGGCGACTGACTGGATTTAAAAACAAGTCTATATGGGAGAACGCATGGTGTGCATTTATTCTGGTGTTTGGTTTTGTCGGTTTAATATTTGGAAGCTGGGGAGCTATAACAGATCTCATCCAGGCCTTCCGCGAGGACTCTGCTGCTGCTACAACTGCTTCCTAGGTAAAGATTGAAGACGCATACACATATTTTACTGTACGGTCCCCCTGTCTTCTACCATACATGTCTTTTCGATACATTACATAACATTTCACAAACTCGTCCAACAAAAATACCTGAGTATCTATAAACCTATGAGACTGATAGCCAAAATTAGTAATAGCTAAGTCATCAAAGTATGTGTATATATGCTTTGTCTTTACGTCATTTGTACAGCTATGATTATATGGAAGGCAACGTTATTTCCATTCAACGAAAGGCATGTGGAATAGACGTGAAAAGGGGGCGTCCGTATCAATAACCAACCTCTGGTTGTCATTGGGAAACCTATTGAATGCTTCTGAACAAAGAGTCAGCGCTCCTGCCAAACACAATCAACACCATCCATTTGTACAACATGCCATCAATGTGAACAAGGACCGCTTACATTCTCATGCCCACACAAGACATGTATCGGCATTCTTCGCACAAAAAAGGGCACTGGATGAGACCGACAGCTGTATAAAGGCGATAAATAGTAAAAAAAACACTGCAGTGAATCTTTTGGGGGCATCGATATTGCTCCTTTTACATCCGATCCTCTTTTGCTGCATTGGTGCTGTATGGCTTGCCATCACATGGCGTATCTGCCAGCTATTTTTATTACAATCAATACGCCTTCCATACAAAACAGTCTATTTACAAGGTAGACATGGGGAACTGGATGCGATCAAATTCTCTCATTGGTATTTCAGCTTGGCGTCGACTCTTTTATACAATGGCGCCTGCTTTCTTTCATTATCCAGCACTTCCTTGCTTGATGAATGAATTCAGACGTTGCTGATTCTCGGCTACTCTTAGAGGCTTATCATAGACGCGATACTGAATGTTATGTAAAAAGAAAGAGCACCAGAAACAATAATATAGTAACGCCATCATATGAAGAGTTGACGCCAAGTTAAAGTTAAAATCCTTCACACGCGAAATCAAAAATCACCAGCCACCATATCACTAAAATGACAACGCCATCTTGATATCCACAGTCCACATATGAGGGTGTATAGGATGATTGTAGGATATGAGCTGCATACTATTGAGAAAATGAGATGGAGGCGAAAAAAAGCATAGCAACTTGACTATCTTTACTGAACACACGCCCCTCTTAATTTTTTGGGTCTGAAACTGTGGCTGGGGTGTGCGTGTAAATAACCAACCCCCGAATCATGCTGTGCCAAATAACTTACCTTTCCCCTCAGGAAGAGCTGGTGGTGCGCGTCTTGCCATGAAATCTGAGACCTTTCGAGTGAACGCAGATGTATACCTGGGGTGCAGTTTGCTCTACTGGCGATCGCGAATTCAGGAGCCCTCTCTGTGTTTTGCGCCTGATGTGTCTATCCATCAATAGGAAGTGCCGCAATTAGTAGTGACATCTTGCCACGAAATCTGCGACCTTTCGAGTGAGTACAGATGTATACCTGGGGTGCAGTTTGCTCTACTGGCAATCGCGAACTCAGGAGCCCTCTCTGTGCTTTGCGTCTGGTGGTGATGGTACATCATTAGGAAGTGCCGCTGTTAGTAGTGCCAAGTCGCGTCAAATCGGTCACCTTCCGAGTGAGTTGCAGATGTATACCTGGGGTGCTCTACTGGCAAACCTCAGGATCCCTCTCTGTGGCTTGCGACTGTTACTAAGAATTGACTGTATCGATCACTAATGCAGCTTTATTACGTAGATACCTTTGATGGCGAACTCTGTCAACCGGTTTTCACCTTTCGGAAGGCAATGTGCACAGTTCACTATTCATTTATTTATGGGTGTTATTCAGGGCCATAGCACGCGGTCATCAAATTCCCCAGCGTCTGTTCTTGCTTGTATCCGACCCATTCATCCCTAGGTATTCTCTCCCTTCTCTTTCCCACTGGAATGTTGTTGTTTCTTCAGCCAAACACATAGCCCAATCCCTGATGTCTCTGTCACACAACTTCGTCGCCTATGGCATTCAGCTTGGCAACTTATGTTGAATCGTCCACGCCCACCTGAAGTTCCTTGCCCAATTTGCTTCCTCTATCCACCTAGTTTTGAACTCGCTTCTGGAAGTTACCGCACCCCATAAAGCGTTCTTACCTCTATGTATTAGATAATCATCATACGTTGATAAATGATGCCCTTATGCTTGTAATACAGAGAACGATATATTTTTCGGGTATACATGTGTGTTTTGTTAGGCGTTGGGCGATGAAATGAATCACTGCGTAGTATATCACAAGGAAGTATGGCAATAGGCATAGGTCGCAATAAACAAGGCCATCTGAGAGTGAAAATGGTTCTGGCGTATTTGATACAGTGCAAACAGCAACCTTCCCCACAATGCATGTGACTGCAATAGCCGAAACTGCTCTTTGCTTCCAAACACCAAATGGCGACTCTTGATCGACAATCGTTGGTTATAGGTCTTATCACCGGATCACTTCTGACCGTGATAGCTACCTTTTACCTGTATAAAGAGAAAGAAGCCAGCGCAAGAAGTGTTGTTGATGGTGTTGATGGGCTAATTGGAAACACACCTCTTATGCGAATACGAAGTCTTTCTGAAGCGACTGGTTGTACTATATTGGTATGATCTATAAGCTACTGTGTGGTCGTTATATCGTAGGCTAAATATTCCTCTATTGTTTGGATGTATAGGGCAAGGCGGAGGTATGGCTTTTGCGGTTTCATGCAGATGTTGTTGCTGTCAAACTCATACAACGCAGTTTCTAAATCCGGGAGGGAGTTCCAAGGACCGTGTCGCACTCAACGTAATTCGATCCGCTGAAGAGGCCGGTATACTTAAGCCACATCGAGGTAGCACGGTTTTTGAAGGCACCGTGGGATCGACTGGTATATCGATTGCAATGATCGCGCGGGCACGTGGATATAAAGCTTGGATTGTGATGCCGGATGACCAAGCTCAAGAGAAATACCAACTTTTAGAAAAGCTTGGTGCCACAGTGGAAAAGGTGCGCCCTGTCAGTATTATTGACAAGAATCAATTTGTAAACCTGGCACGTAGACGAGCTGAAGAGTTTGGCGAGGGTGATGTAAAAGGTTACTTTGCCGATCAATTCGAGAATGAGTTCAACTTTCGTGCGCACTATGAGAACACTGGTCCAGAGATATATCGACAAGTGGGGGACAAGTTGGATGCATTAGTTCTCGGAGCTGGTACTGGAGGCACTTTATCAGGGCTTGCTATGTATCTTAAGCCTCGCATCAACAAGCTCAAAGTTTTCCTGGCAGATCCATTAGGTTCAGGATTGTTCAACAAGGTTAAATACAATGTCATGTATGCACCACAAGAACAGGAGGGTACGCGAAAACGTCATCAAGTGGATACGGTTGTCGAAGGCATTGGCATTAATAGGCTGACATACAATTTTAACATGGGACGCCATCTCGTGGACGATGCATTCAGGGTAAGCGATGAAGAGGCTGTCAAAATGTCCCGCTTTCTGGTACGAGAAGATGGCCTATTCCTTGGAAGTAGCTCGGCAGTAAACTGTGTGGCTGCTGTAAGAGTGGCAAGAAAGCTTGGTCCCGGTCACGTGATCGTTACGTTGTTGAATGACTCTGGCCAACGCCATCTCACTAAGTTCTGGTAAGTATCTCATTTATCTAGCGCCTTTGCACGGGATTTCCATTAACGTTATTTATTACTTCTATAGGAGTGACGATTACCTGAAGGCTGCTGGCATTCCCTACGTGTTGGCCAACAATGAAGGCCTCGATGACTTTATCGAATAGGATATCTTCGTTTGAAATAAAACCTTTCTCATGGTGCTAATAGATTCTTTATTTGATTGCCTTTAAACTCACATATGTATGCAATAAATCATGATGATGAAAGCGGTTTAAATTCTACTACTAATGGCATGTCCGGCATGTCTTCTTCTCCTGAATAGCTCTCAAGTATTGACAGATCTAGTGTCATCTCCCCTAACACATTATGTATCCGTGCAAAGAATGGTTTGAACAGCTGGAAAGTAGTAAAGGATCAGAAAACAAATGTACCCAGGCTAACTTTTTCGATACATACTGTTTCAGTTACAACTTTATCACCTTCCTTCTCCTTCATCTCAAGGACATCTTTGGCCGTTTTTCCGAGTTCCCTACTAACCACCTGGTACCAGTGCTAAGTCATGACAAGGTTCGGCAAAACCATACACAATCAGGATGACGTACCTCATCTGGCCAAACAACAACCAAGTCCTCAAATGTGGATGGATCACGAATACGGGCCAATAAACGCATACGCATTCCAGTAACTTTTAGCTTGAATATCCGTTTCACTTGACCGGTAACTATAACTGTATCCATGTCTGTAGTATCTTTCTTGAGCATCTTTCTAAGCATGCCAACAGTCATCCTCTCAATCTCTGTCGCGAGCGTTTCATCCACAGCAGTAGTAGTGGTCGATGTCGTATGTGTTGAAGGTGATGACCGGGATAGGGGCAATTGAGACGCTTGCCTCGAGATTAATCCAGCATCATGCGTGACAGAGGGAGCCATTGTCGGAATTACTGTATTGGTTGTTATTGTGGAAGATGCATAAGAGGAAGTGGTGTGTCTGGATGCAGCTAACGTCCGCTCCAAAGCCTCCAGGTCGTCAATATCCATATCATCGCCAAAGTCATCTTCGGATGTTTCTCCTACTGGCATCTCAGGTTCAGGCCTCATAATTTCTGAATTCACTGGCAAATCCGAAGGAGCCAATGATGGCGAGCTATTGTGTGCTTGTCTGCCTCTATTTTGCAACTCATCAGCTAAAGAGAAATTAAAGGTATCTGACTACTTACGTGTCTGTCGTAGTCTGATCAATTTCAATCCTACAGATGAATGAGACCAAGAATGAATAAGGGATTAGCTGCATACAAAAGTATAAAAATTTATGCTGTCCAACCTTAGTTGCTGCTTGAAACGCTTTTCGAGTTCTGCTAACATGTTCTGGCCGTAAAGCGAAGGGACTTGTCCGCCCAATATCTTGACATTGCTGGGCTCCAGCAGCAGTATCCCTCTGCGTACCTGACATGATTTTAACAATAACTGCATAAGGGTGGCCTATATTGTTAATATGTTGATTTAATGTATGAACGATAGCTACGGCTTACCTTACAGCCAAATGGTGTTTTAAGCTGTAATCCGTTGATTCGTTTCATCTCGATAGCCACGATCTGGTGAGTACCATCTGACAGGGTCCAACGAAGCATTCCACGTGGGAAGTTGACGTCCGCATCCGTTGCACGGCGCGTGTAGACTTGACGCACAGGAGTCACCGTTGCAAGGTCGTTGAGTAATGAGTGGGTGGAATGACTCATATCCTTCGTATCCACTATCTGCAGTACTGTGTTCTTCGCTGGAAATACGTTCAACTGATCGCTACCGAAATCGCTGGGAATCGTTGGGAGGCATGTATCAGCCATGTCCCTTCCTAGAAAGTCGTGCTTCAATGCCTCGTACATGCGTTGACGATCCCCAAACTGCTCTGCTTGTGATTGCTGCCATGACTCCACATATTCTCTTTTCGCTTTCACACCAAGTTCGTTCTCGAGCATACGCAATAACGTATACCAACTGTCAGACATCATGATAAGAGTAGCCGTGATTGATAGCCTTCAGAACCCATCTCTTTTAATCCCAGCCTCTTGCGACGATCATCCATCTTGTTGATCCACAAATTGTACACAATCAAAACTTCAATAAAATTGTGTATTGGAATGAAGTTTCTAACTGCTTTTCCATTCAAATAGAGGAATACTACGGACACCCCCGATCACCCATCTCGAGCACCCCTTTGTTTCCTGGGCAGTGTAGCTTCATCACATAGACTTCGCCTATCTGTGAATAATATTATGCAAAGAAAGTGATCATTTTTTTTAGTGAATTGGGATCTTGTACGCCTGGCAATGTTTGGGAAAAGTGCCATGATTCGAATAGCGTATCTATGCCGTTGGTAAGTTAAAATAGGGAGAAACCAAATAAACTGGAAGTGCATTAACTGGACTCGATATTCATAGCAGTGGTCGAACATGGATATGCATACAGGACTTAGCCATGTGCTGATAATTATAGTAATACATGTCTTGTATTTGCAACGATAAACTGTGGTTGTTCGTTGACATGGAGATCTATCATGCTGCTGTGTGGGGCAGCCACCCCTATTGAAGAGGCCTTTAATATCTAATTTGCGGTCCACATGATTTGGTTGCCCTTGCCTGTATAAAGTTGCGTGCGACACATCCTACAATGAAGACTCTTACCTTGTGATACTTCAATAGTGTCCTTGCCTCGTCGTATCTCCATGCCAACCGTCCCCATGCCATCTATATTGTGCTGCTGCTGTTCCATTGTCAATTGATAGTACTTGTATTGTAGATCCAATGCTATACATACCAATGAATCTTTCCGCCAGCAATAATAGCAATAATAAAAGCGCACTGCCAAGGAATGTAGTATCCGCACTGCCTTCTAGCCTCCCGTAGGAACGTGGCATCAAAACACCGGTTTTAACGGTGACATGAAGTCCCTCCCCAGCCGAATTTAACACCACTAGCCGTGGGTCCAGCCATGTTGCCAAGAAAGACACCCATCGTCTTCCAAGTCGAGTAAAGTATAGCAGTGCAATGATGGGGAGCATATACTTGGTAGTCCAGCGTACGAACAGAGGATGCATTTTTAAACCGAAGTCGCACCGTGAGTCGCACTGATTTCCGCTAACACAATCATGGCCTTCCCCCCTAGACAGTACACTCCATCCCTTGACGTGCTGCTCTGATAATAGCCTTCTTGATCCTGTCGTTGCACATCTTCCATCGTAAATGCATTTGCATGCGACATATCCCACAATGAACACTCTTACCTTGTGGTGCTTCTCAATAGCATTCTTCCTTCAAATAAGAGCCGTATCTCCATGCCATCCATATCTCCATGCCAACCATATCATGATGCCGCTATTATTCCATTGTAAAAGCTCGTTAATTCAGAGCACTTGTATTGTAGATCCAATGCTATACATACCAATAATGAATCTTGCCGCCGGCAATAATAGCAATAATAAAAGCGCACTGCCAAGGAATGTAGTATCCGCACTGCCTTCTAGCCTCCCGTAGGAACGTGGCATCAAAACACCGGTTTTAACAGTGACATGAAGTCCCTCCCTAGCTGACTTTAACACCACTAGCCGTGGGTCCAGCCATGTTGCCAAGAAAGACACCCATCGTCTTCAAGTCGAGTAAAGTATAGCAGTGCAATGATGGGAAGCATATACTTTGTTCTCCACGAAAGGTCAGAGGGTGCATTTTTAAACCGAAGTCGCACCGTGAGCCCAACGTAATATCCGCGTATCACAACATGGCCTTCCCCCTTAAGACAGTACACTCCATCCCTTGACGTGCTGCTCTGATAATAGCCTTCTTGATCCTGTTGTTGCACATCTTCCATCGTAAGTGCATTTGCATGCGACATATCCCACAATGAACACTCTTACCTTGTGGTGCTTCTCAATAGCATTCTTCCTCCAAATAAGAGCCGTATCTCCATGCCATCCATATCTCCATGCCAACCATATCATGATGCCGCTACTATTCCATTGTAAAAGCTCGTTAATTCAGAGCACTTGTATTGTAGATCCAATGCTATACATACCAATGAATCTTGCCTCCAGCAATAATAGCAATAATAATAGCGCACTGCCAAGGAATGTAGTGTCCGCACTGCCTTCTAGCCTCCCGTAGGAACGTGGCGTCAAAACACCGGTTTTAACGGTGACATGAAGTCCCTCCCCAGCCGACTTTGACAACCACTAGCCGTGGGTCCAGCCATGTTGCCAAGAAGACAACCCATCGTCTTCAAGTCGAGTAAAGTATAGCCGTGCAATGATGGGAAGCATATACTTTGTTCTCCATGAAAGGTCAGAGGGTGCATTTTTAAACCGAAGTCGCACTGTGAGCCCAACGTAATATCCGCGTACCACAACATGGCCTTCCCCCTTAAGACAGTACACTCCATCCCTTGACGTGCTGCTGTGATAATAGTAATATCGCCAAAGGGAGCCTATTGCTTTCATCAGTGCACTTGAAGGTGACAAATCCTAAAATGATCACTTTACCTTGCGGCATTCACGAAATCATTCCATTGATGCTTGCAAATAACCTTGTATTCATCCGATCCAGTATGTGCTGCTGCTGCATCATTGTAAGGCTCGTGAATTAACTGGTCCTGCATTGTAGATCCAACACCATACATACCATTGAACCAACGTACACCTTTAAGATCAATATCTTGTTACTGCCCACAGGTATCATCATCCAACAAGTTCGATCTACCATGAACACAATGTGAGATGCCAAGGGAAACCAATCTAAACGCACTTTCTTGTCAACATACCCAAAAGAGGCAGTGTAAAGAAGTGTTGTTGTGGACAGCTTGGGAATGAATACACGCGACGCCTCCATTAGATCTTGTAAACGAGATAACAGCAACCTACACACGAGCTTCAGTACCACAATGTCTAACTTGAATTGTAAAAGAGCTGCAGCGATTGACCGTACCTGTTGTATGGGAATGGAAGCTTGAAACATGGGTAGATTGCGCGCGTGCTTGTTGTAGTTGAAAGGGTCGCCATTGATCACCGGTTCACCCATCTAGGTCTTGCATTAAAGAGCATGACAGGAGTTAATGCGCTGTACTTCGTCAATGGAGTGTGTCTCACCTTGAATGTGTAAAATGAGAGTGGAGAAAGGTGGGATGGACTCTTTTTGGTTCCTCTCGTCGTCCTTGATATAGCCACCCAGCTCCCCACAGATCCTCTTGTGAACATGCACACTCGTATACCTCGATCAGTATGGATCACTACTAGTCCCTCATTACGTATCTCTACGGCAAAAGTGACACCAGCCTTGGCTATGCAGCCAAATTCCTGAACTTGGAACATCCCATGTGTAATCATGCGTCAAATGTGGAGGAGTAAATATTCAAATATTGTATACATGTATAAAGCAATTGTCTCTGCCATCATGGATAGCTTTCGCATCAATCGATGTTTGTGGTATGAAGAACCAACATTGCCCAAGATTATCATCAACATCCGTTTGGTTTGTGCAACCTGTCAACAACATGTGTAACCTACTCATCTTCTCCGTCAGTCCGACTCCTCTTACACTGCATGACAATGTATATCCTAAACGAATTAATGGATGACGGGAGAATAAATGCTACACTTTCTTAAATGCCACCATTTGGGAAATGTGATACTGGGTCATCTGCTCTCATCCATGCAAAGCGAAAGACCACCAACTACAATGATAATCATCCATCGATCATTGGTGTTTCTTCGAACGCAATAATAGCATCTGAGGTTCTAGCGTATGTCTAACGTCAAGGAGCTATTCAAATAACTGCAAAGGGTTCCATTGTGTACATAATGTCCAATAATCATAGCAATGATAGCCATTGAACGCGATATTCAAGTACTACACATATGGATGGATGGCAGCACCCCCATCATCCCAAAAAAGTCATGATCATCATTCGAATCATAATGGATGCTTTGCTCACATACTTTATTGTTGTCTCATTCTTGCCATTCCTCTCCTTTGTATAAATAAGATATCATACCTTATTCAATAAACCTCAGGCTGTTTATCTTTGTGCTCTACTCTCAGTCCTTGCGTAGTCTTAATCTTCATACCTTGCCCATTTAATCTTTGTCTTGTCTTGTCGCTTGGTAAGTGATCTTACAGAGACGTGTTGTGATCGTGTACCTAACGGCCACCTTTTCTATTATAGATTAGCTCTTGTTATCAGTAGCTCTTGTCCCTGTCCTTGTTGCTTGTTACCTAGTCCTTGCTTTTACCAGGTTAGTTGTATACGGGATATCCTTATACAATTGATCCAACATTCTTAGTTTAGTTTTTGCTATCTTTCTTGTTCTTGGACTGAGCCTCGTCTCTGAAGTCAGCCTTGCATAACAACCATCACGCTCCCTATGTAATTTTCTATATCATCAAATGCCAACGCCATCTTGATATTCACAGCCCATCATTTTCAGGAAACTGTGCTACTCTATAAATCTAACTAGGACCCCGGCTGCTCGCTTCGCTCGTAAACGTCGACGGCTTTAGGATAATGCGTACATCCACTGTGCAAGTTTGTGCTTATGTTAGGTTTATTAAGAAATACAATGTCTATTGGGATAATTATACGTTGGGATAGAATAATACACTCATTGTGTGAGATTTGGATACGTGTGTTTGGCACGTTGCTGTTTATGGTGTCGATGTTGTCAGCTCAACAGAGGTCAACATCGTTCTTTGAAAGGGTTCATTCAGAAGCAAGCTCCGTTTCCTTTTTAGTGAACTACAACTATTAACTGCAACTACTACTAACTCCTATGCGATTTTAGTATAGTAGTGATGATGATGAAACTCGAAATACTGATATGAAAACCATCTTCATCGGGCGTTTCGTTATTTAGGTAAATGTCGCTTTATGCCATAATATTAGGCTCACTGTGTAGGTTGTATTGAAAGGCCAAAGGTTGTACTGCTAGACTAGCGTTTGTACTGAAAGCCCAAAGATTTTACTGTGCTCCATGAATCTGTATTTTGTATTTGAAAATTGTACCATGTCTCGGCAACTTGTATATTTTTCAAACCTAAAGCACTGTGTCACACGTGATGAGAGATAAGGGGCTTGGTCAGGTGTCAATAATGATAAGAGTCTGCTTGCGGATCATCCAGCGCAGCTTTAAGTGTAGACAGCTGCGATATGTGACTCACTGTACGTTTCTTTAATGAAGGTTATCGGTTTGGTTAGGTAAGAAGTGAAATACATAGAGAAGGCCACCTTGACCATCGATCACACATGTAGCGGCGGCAAAGATAGCTGCTATAACATGATGCAATGTGTTGCACATGGACACGAGATTGCTGCACTTGCCAACTTGAAGCCTCCACTACAATCCGGCAAAGGTTTGCTCGCACGAAAAATGAACCCGTGGACCTATTCTTCTCGTACTAAAGCTCCTCAGATGAACTTGATAGCTACATGTATCAGACGGTTGGTCACGATGCTATTCAATACTATGCAGAATGTATGGATGTACCTTTATACCGCGGTGAGATACGAGGTACGCCTATCCACCAAGAGAATAACTACGTCGCTACGCCTGAGGACGAAACGGAGGACCTGTACAAGCTATTATCTGAAATTGTGGTATGTTTACTCTGGCTGTCATTGTGAGACGGCGGTTGATGTATACAGAGAAAATAGAGAATCCATCCTGATATTCAAGGTGTGTCTGTCGGTGCAATTCTATCAAATTACCAACGGGTTCGAGTGGAACATGTGTAAGGGAAATTTGGGCACCTATCAAACACACAGATGATTCATAAACCCCACTCTTTTCTCAAAGATGTGATCGTCTTGGACTCAAGTCACTGGCCTATCTTTGGGAGCGCGACCAAAAAGAGTTATTAAAAGAAATGGCAGACTCGGGTGTGCAAGCCATTCTCGTTAAAGTTGCCGCCATGGGCTTAAAGGCATCTCACTTGGGAAGGACTATTGGTGAAATGTACCCACTACTGTGTGAATTGGTAATCCCCTCTTGTGTAACAACTATTCATGAAATGTAAACTGACGTAATTATATGTTAGAATGATAAATATCAGTGTCATATTTGTGGTGAGGGAGGTGAATACGAAACTTTTACTCTTGACTGCCCGCTTTTCAAGAAGCGCATCATAGTGTAAGTTATTTTGAAGGAGGAAATTGGAGGAATCACTCCTCACCTGTTTTATATTAGAAATGATACCCAGACGATCGTTCATTCGGATGATGCGTTTGCACCTGTTGCATATCTTAAGTTCAAGCACTGCTCTCTCCTAGATAAAGAATGAAGGCTCATGGTTCTCGCTTATCAATGAATTCAAAATAAATGTTTTTGCTGGATACGAAACAGCCAATGGATAACGATCAAAATCAAAGCAGTAAATTTGTGTCAATGTAGTTATAAGCTCTATCGTGATTATCTACGTAATCTTTTTCCATGTCGGAAGTTCATGACCTTGCTCAGTATCATCCAGGATCATACTATTGGTTCTTCCACTGATGGCACTTGTATCACGCGTAAATGTTGATACTTCGTCACCCAAAGGAATTCCTGCAGGCAGAATCGGCCTTAACCGTGGCCAGTTGATGAATCGCATGCCATGCCGCAGCATGTAGCGCCAACAGAACACCACCACCGTAAAGAAAAAGGAAAGTAGCAATATGAAGGTATTGGAAGTAGTTGAAGCAGCGGAATCAAGTAGCAATAGAGAAGGGAAGAATAAAATGACAAAAAAGAGCACAAGCGATAGCACCAGAACTACAGGAACAACTCGCAAGGGCCAAGCAACCTGGAACTCAAATGGACTAGCGCACGGACCAGCCTCTACTGTGTACAAGCCCAGAAACAAGTCGATCCCATCTTGGCGTGAGCCATCCATAAAGTTGTTCTTTACGTAACGAATTAACGAGTTGTTCAAGTCATTCATTGCTCCTGCAAAGGTACGTCGTCCAGTCCTATAATCTTGTCTAAGCAGACCATAATCGCTTTGATGGTGTGACATTTATCTTACCGAGTGTAATCTGTTTTAAGCGCTCCTGTTCCAGAATAAGCAATGCTGAGATGGTCTGCATTATCAGCCCATGCTTTGCGTGTCTCTTCATTAGCAACAATCAATCATTGTGATGTAATGTTATTATAGTTACCATTATTGAACATGTCCATAAATTGTGCATTTCTTTCAATGGTGTCAGCCGGTGAAAGGATTCCAACATAATGCAACTGCTGATTGATGTTCCACCGTGCTAGCGTGCTTTGTACCACATTGGTACGGTCTAAGCAATCCATGCAGTTGGAGCGAACGACAGAAGTTTGCCGACAACAAAGCGTACGATCTTTCGCAGTATCGCAAAAAAAACCTTGTCGATGGAGTTCAGGTTCAAGCTCATCTATCAACGATTGTACACGATCCCATTTCATTCCACGGCATTCACGATGAAAATCGAAATGTACATATTGAAGGCGAGAGTCATCCAGTCGATCAATTATTCGCGCATAAAGTTGACCCATTGGATACTCGTATCCAGCCTTATTGACCAAGTTGAGTAATAATTGTGGGCCATATATCCGAAATTGTTCATTGAAATGCGCACGAGATACATCCAATACCTATATCAAGCCAGTTAGGTTATAACTACATTTGTTTTTCTCGCTTTCTTACTTGGTTATCATCAACATTTGAGTTAAACCACAAGCGAGGTACATAGCGGATGTTCGGAATTTGACCCCATATAGCAGGAAGTGACCCACGTGTCTGAACATAGGACATGTGCACCGTGCCAGTGACTTGATTTGGTTGACATGATATTAGCTGTTCGGTTTCAACAAAGTTGCTGGCATGACCATTGCTGTTGAGACCTCGTGAGAAGTAGCGTGTACCAGCATGCTCTCTGCTCCGCCGACTGATGAGTGCAAATTCGACAAGACAGCCTTGAACTGTCATCTTCCTGACATGGACAACTATGGCGTTTGTCAGTAAGCGGTAGATGCTACTGCCCATTGTGTTACACCATGCTCACAGCCTTGTATGATTGGAAAAATAAATTGGCTTAACTAAAGTGAAATTTTGTTACTTGACGTGGTAAAGAGTTGACATCTCGTTTTGACTTACATCACGGTCCAGAGTTGTCAATTTTTCTACGAGATAGCGGTTCCAAAAGAAACGAGGATCGGCCTATGATTGGAAAATAATTGAAAGGAACCATCAAGCAAAAGACATGCTGCTAACTTACATGCATCCACATAGGACCCCTGTTTTCATCACCTTCTTTCTGCTGTTGGAGTGACCGTGTCAAATCATATGTGTAAGAAAAGTAAAAGGAGTTTTGCTTTAGATGATCTTGTAGCAGGTGTATGTACTGCTGCTCGTCGCTGAGTTGGCTATTCGTCAAGTGGGACAAGTCGCGTGGCAATGGTAGTATTTGAAACGTCGTTGCACGAAAGATTTCATGGCCGTTGAATACGCCTGCACATTCACGCCCAAGAGTGACAATCATGTACTCGCCTATAAAATGTTCAATAAAAAATCCATGATCTCAGCGTTGTGGTAAAAGAATATTCATATCACCATTACCTGCATGAAGACGAATGAAGCCCATGATACTATATACATCCATCTCTTGCAGTATATGAGCGTGTTTGGTCGCTGGTGCTAAGGACGCTAATTATGCATGCATTGGTATCTCTCAATCTTTTCTCAGCGACCCCCCTTTTCCCCGTTCTCCCGTGATGAGTACCATATACTTGCATTTCACCCGAGACCCGATCCACTGTCAAGATCTTTGACTTTGTGTTATCCTGCCCTTCAACATGTCCACCGAGCGTTCGAAATATATATGAGTCTTTAGTGATAGCAAGTCGTAATTGCCCAAGCGTCATGAAGGCGAGAGATGAACGGAAACCAACTGAAGAAAGAACCCGCTTAAGCCAAGTTTCACAAGAATTTAGCCAGTAACATACTCGATGAGAACATTTAACAAGCGCAGCGCTAAAAAATCGTTCTATGTACAATCAACAGGCATAGCGTATCCTATACGCTCCAGTGGTTTATGCGAACGGTCGCAGATCTTCAATAGCGATATATAAAAGTGAGCATACGGCCAAAATCCGGGATAGTAATGTTTCCATACACAACATGTGGATACTACTAGTTTATTGAGTTTCTCCAAAAGCGAGCATACAATAAAGAAAACTATAGTAGACCCCAATAACAGAGAGAGCGGCTAAACTTCGGCTTCCATGTACATGGCCTTGGTTGAATATGACACGTGACATGGTTTTGCCCGGGAACTTAAATAGCCGAGCGCGTTCGTCGGTTGTAGCAGGTTTAATAAGCAAACTTTCAACGCACAATGGCAGTTGCAGAGACCACACAGCAAAAGGACCAACCAACTGAACCTGTGGCAACAAATACATCGGTTATGATTGATCCAGTTACTGGGAAGTCGATCCCAATGAAAGACGGCAAGCCATGTCGCGTGTGCACAGATTTCAAGACATGGTCAAAGCTTGAAAAGGAGAAATCCAAAAAGGCACATGTCTCGGATTCCAAACCTGCAGAGTCAACAAATACACTGGACCAAGACAAACGTTCAGCGTCAATAGCAGCAGTTGGCAAGGAGGCAACCGAAGAGGAGTGGCGTAAAAACAATTGCCCTGCCGACGTTGAAGCACTGGGTAATGCCACATGGACGTTGCTCCATACGATGGCAGCTTATTATCCTGATCGACCGGCACCTTCACAAATGGATAGTATGCGTACCTTTATTAATTCATTTGCAGATAATTATCCTTGTTGGTTCTGTAAGGTACGCTTATGATGGTAATGGCTATGGGAAATCTTATACCTAATGATTACTTACAATGCATAATAGGAGGATTTTAAAAAGTCTATGGAGAAGGCACCTGTGCAAGTAGGCAGCCGAAAGAAGCTCAGTGAATGGCTTTGCGACCGACACAACGAAGTTAATGCCAAGCTTGGTAAAAAGCAGTTTGACTGCTCCAAGGTGTTTGAACGATGGTTGAACGGACCGCCCGATGGTCGATGTGATTAGATTCCCCTAGATCTACTTAGATAAACAGCTGCAATAAACACATCCGGCTATAGTCCTGTGAAAAGTTGAACTTTGGATACAAAAACAAGTGAAACAATAAGCATCTGTGACATGACATCCTGAAAATACGAGGAAAAATGGTTGTGCTTGGGTGATTTGGTTATGGTGCACCCTATGGTGATTATAAAGGAAAGGCGGGCTCTTCTTAAAATGACCAATAGCCGAAACTTCCGTGCAACAAGCTCTATCAAATATCCTTATATGTTATAAGCCATAGCTATGTTAGCAGCAAGACATGGCTATAATCATCGGGTGTAATTCCGCGTTTCCGCACGCCACATGTTTGTATTTGACGCAATGCTGCGACATTAGATATCTGACGGCGGCTGTATGCTTTGGAAGAACTGGGCCTATTCTTCTACTCTGTAGGCACCGCACATGCATCAAAATGGTAATCCGATGCGGTATATCCTTTCAGGTTATAGCTTGGTCTGCACGATAGCCCCATGTCAGGAGCTATCGCAGAGCCTATCCTTTGCGTGCTGCACCATCTATGGTACGTTTTACATTTCATCCTCTCGTTCTTGGTGCCTGTGAAAACATAGATTACCAAAGACTCCAAGTGGGCTTTTGTGGATTGGGACATCAGTGTAACATTCTTCTTGCCCTTGTTTTTTCTAGTGGCATATATGGAAACCGTATTATGGCCCCCACTTGTCATTGCGTGCACCTCTCGCTCCCAACTTGGCATTTGTGCCCCTGCATCTTACAACCATGCTATACATATAGTACAGCCTATAGGTAAATGTACTACACCCCAACATACAAGACTTTACGTTTGGCAGTAGACTATTTAGATCTAGCTATAGGGTACCAATGTCAATATGACCACTTTTCAGTTAGTAGTTAGCTTGACGAGTATGTAAATTATACTATGTAACTGCATTACACACCACGCGGTAAAGGCAATTATGAACTGTGTATTAAGGAAATCAGCACGGAGTCCAAGATCTTGAATGATGTTTTTGAATAGCTAGGGCAGGGGTCTCGGCAAAGAACGGGGTACCACGGTTACGCCGTATCGTTACAACGAGCTTATAGACACAAGCACGCATGTGCGCGGAAGGGGTCAGCGCAGAGAATATTAGCACAGTGAGCAAGTTGAACAAGGGCGCAATGCAATTTCCATAAGCGAAAGCGTGGATTGACTTTTTATGGTAATAGTTGCACCATCCGCTTGCTCTGGTGGTACCCGATGTCTCGAACACGATCTATGTTGTACGTCAAAGTGCACATCCTCGCGTTTTAAGGTTGTAGTGGTACCAACACAGAGATCCTTGTCCACATATATAAAAGAAGCTCTTTTGTTCATGACATTGTCCAAGAATTACAACCATAACAATACATAATACAACATAAAACTCTTCTACTATGGACTGGTTTCCGGCAACGCCTTCGTCCCGATCAGCATCACCGCTATCAATGCAATACTACGCTCCTCCTCATCAGCATATCACCTCTACAGCATCCTTGCCATTAACCAAGGAGAATTTATCTCGTGTTGCATATGCACAGGCAGAAGAATGTGAACCATCTATCAGCATGCTTGCTCGTTATTATCATGATCTATCACTGCCACCACTACCAATGTCACCACGACGCGAGAGAAAATCATCTTCGACCACTAAAAGCATCCGCTCATCAGATACCGTGTTAGCATCACCAAGGCTGTCTCCATTTCCGTATCACAATGATTCGCTTTTTTTGCCGATGGCTGAAAAACAACAGCAACAACATCTTTATCATCAGCAGACGCACCACATCAATAGCCAACCATCACTCAACAACTTTCAACAAAAGCGACGTTCCAGCGCAAATGAGCCTCATCAACAAGCAAGCCTATTGTCGATGACTCTACCGCGTCGCCAAGTTAGCGCTCCTCCAGTGGATCGAGCAACACGAAGGCACCATGAAAATAGCTTGAATAATATCAAAACGCGGTGGCCTGGTGCTTTTCGTCATTGGTTCGCAAGGCTATTTCAAGGGAAGAAGCGCACTATGGCACAAGAAGCTTCTTCCACCAGACAACACTGTTTAAGTGAAGACTCACCTGTGTGGTACAGCCAATTTGCAGGAAATCCGTTGCCTCCTACGGAACGGCCTATGATCGCTGCTTAATTTCTAACTCTTATTACCATCATCGCATGAATTATCGCATTTTTGGTTTGACTCCTTCTTTTCATCATGAGTGTTATGTATTGTGTTTTTTCTTTCATGCTTCTTGTGTACCTTCATGTATCTACCTATCATATAGTTATCCCACCATCATATATAAAATACGTGATATTTAACATAGTTTCTGACCTGGGTCTCTGTGGAACCAACTACATGCGAGACTGGGTCGTGTGGTATGTTGGATTTCGTGCTTTCCCCCAATAGTATTGTCCTTCCCGTTATAGCATCTCCTCGAAAGATCGCTTTCAAAAGATAAGAGATAGCCTATCAAGTCAAGTTCAATTAAGGATCGGTCATTGTTTATTCTTTCGGCTCACCTGCTGGTATGTTACAAGCACAGTAAGATACACCATTGACCGACTTTGCAATCGACTTGATTGGATTTGTACGTGTACTGCCCCTCTTTGCATTTAAAATTCGCTCGCCATGAGATCAGTTGAGTTTTACTGGTGCTGAATCGAGTAACCTACATGGAATAAGCTGCTCATCACCGGAGATAACCAGTTGATTCGGATACATGAAAGCTTTAGGAATCGCATATAGTATCATACTCAATACAGTCACATGCTTGTTGGGCGCCATCGACATCAGGCGGTTTAACCCATTTTTAGCGGCTATACCAAATATTGCATTCGACAGCAAGCTTTTAAGAGGATTGTGTACATGCGGCGGACATGCATAATGTTTGTTGTGCTGATAGATGGTTGATGATTATAGATGGTTTGTTGGGTACAGCCACCTTAACACGCGCTCTCGGCGTAGACTATAAGATCTTGATGATATGGACGAGGAATACAATATAGCGACAGCCATGGTATTGTATTGTACTATAAGGCCGTGAATGGCGCCTTTTTTTTATTAGGGGCTGGTGATATCGATAGCAAACTGAGGGAGTTGACTTTCAAATGGCTATAGTATTGATCACTTTGAGACATCAGGGAGTGAAGACAAAAGGTATCCTTTACTGCAAATAGTGATTGGACGGAAGCCACGATCACGTTATCATTTGAGCAAGCCTGTGATCAATGTCTTCACTCTAATATTGTTAATGTTTACACTTTAATCGTCAAAAAATGTGTTGAATATCGCACAGAGAAGTGAAGCATGGAGCTTTCTATCAGGCTATCTTTTCTTTTCATAGGCTCATTGCACGGTGTAACGTTCTTCCTTGTCACATATCGCGTGGGAAAGCTAATACTAGACATCACCTCCCTACCAAAATTGAGTAATGCGATGAACGCAATATAAGGATCTGCATACGGAAGATCAAATGCATAGAGAAGTTGCGAATAAACAGCCAGCGTGGCCAACAGGTAGAGTAGGTAATTGAGTGCATAATTCTTCACACATATAACATATGACGTGATACCGCTTATGCAGTTGCTGCAGTTGCTGCAGGTGGTCAAAGCACACAGTAGCTGATATGGTCTGTGCATATCAAGAAGCAGCGTTTAGAGTTTGGTAACATGTACAACATCGATCACACATAATGGGCATATCAAGTTTTTTATTCGTTGTAGAAAATGATTGCCTTGTTGCAAAAGTTCGCCTTATTGGAAATGAACCGCACTTCAGAGCAAATTTCGAAGGTGAAAGACGCAACGGCATTACAAACATAAAATATTCAAATCGGGAGAAAGGAAGGGGAGAAAGGAAAGGCAAGGAGTTATCTCTGTCTTGACCTTTGCTTGAAGAACAACCAAAAAAGAGGGGGGGAAGAAAACAGAAATTGTTTTTTGGATTTTTGTATGCCATTTTCCAATTGTTTTTGTCTTTTTTTTACCCTTTTCCTGCTGTTTTTGCTGGTTTTTCATGGTTGTTAACACAAGTTTTCGGCATCGACCCCCATATCACAGGCACGTTGTTTGAGATAAGTGTACATCTTGTACTGCAAATCAAGCAAGGGTGAATCGTTGCGGTCGATACCGGCGTTCGCCATATCCGACAGGTACGACTGAACACCGACAATGAGATGCAATAATGAATCCTCCTGATAATTGTACAGGTGCTCAATGTTGTTTTCATCACCTTGTCGTTGTTGGTCATCTTCTTGATCAAGTTCCATCACATTCTCATCTTCTTGTTCGACAAATCCATCCGGGTGGTATTGGTCATAGTTACTGTCGTAGTAATCTGCAGTCAGGGCAGCAGCAGCAACAGCACGATCATAGTCGCCAAAATAGGATTCTTCCTCTTGCTGAATTATATCGTAGTCAGGAAAAGTGTAAGGCTGATGTTGTTGGACATTGCTGCTATTGTTCATCTGCACAGGAATGGAGGTACTACTGAATGAGCTTGGTCTAAATTTGCCGAATGAGAAGATTATGAACGAGAAGAGAGGTCTTCGAGCAAAAAACAAGTGCGAAGTATTAAGAGCGAATAGAAAAATGTGATGTTAGTGCTTTGAAGACCTCAATAGAACAAGATAAGAAGGAAGAAAGAGAGGGAAAAAGAGAGAAAAATGAGTGTGTGAATGAATGTGGTGGGTTACTTGGCTGGTTAGAGTTATGGGGAAGGACACAAAGGTGACCGAATGGAAGGATACCCGATAGAACGTAAGATTTGGATTCCTTTTATACCAATCACGAGTTGTGTGGCACAAACCATAATCTTGCTCCAAGGTCATCCATTACCTGTGGCCACATAAGAAAGAAACCCCCCTTACATACCGACTCTCCATTTTATTGGCTGCTTGTGGCCCCCTTCACGAGGATCTCATCAGCCCTAATAAAAGAAGACATGCCCATATTGCCGTAGCGGTTGTTATCACAAAGATACGGACCTTCCTATTTGCACCGCCACTCTGCATCGTCCTTTGTTGAAATCCAGGTGGAACAATGCACCAACTTTTGGCACACAAACATCAATCGCTTTTGCCACACAACCACCATAGACCACTCATCACATATCATCCCGGTCTCGCTCTTTGTTGATACGACCTTCATCAACGCTGAAAGGCTTATTTATATCTTAAGTACCTGTTGACCTTGAAATTCCACATTCACCATAGACACAGCTTAATCATCATCGCTCAAAGATGTGTGTACTTCAACAAGTATGTTTGGGATGGGCATACAAACCTTTCCTTTACCATGGATGAGTCCATTTATCAATTGCTGAGGCTACAGCTCCTTCGATATTCGATCTAGTATTCTAAGATGCTTGGCCATATATCAATTCAATGATCACGGCTTAGGACAACAATCCCCACGCCCACATCCATGTACATAAAAGCATCACCCCACATCTCTTTCGTCTATTTGATTGTATACCTCACCAAGAGCTTCATCGTTTGGCAAATGGCAATGATAGCTTTGGTTGTCCAAAGGAGGATACTCATGTAGCGTTGGTCTTTGTAATTATCTTTGTAATTCTCTATTGCGTTATTACTGGTGTTCATTGTTGTCTCTGTGTGATGTATAACATTATTCTCCTCTGATCCTTGTGCTATACGATTATCGTCATTTCAAGTTTGTATGAAATTATGAATCCCTTTAATATTTTGTGATCTTGCTATTATAATCGGAAGGATAAGGGGGCGGTGGGGGCTGATAAGTGGGTTGCTGCTGATAGTAGTAATCTTGTTGGGGGTACTGCTGGTACTGTGTGAAGCCGCTTTGCAGTGGAATAGGTTGAGGCGGGGTGTGTTCTATTGTTCGCCCGAATGCGCTGGCTGTGATAATTGCTGCAAAATAGACCTAACCCCAAAATGGCATGTTGATGCATTGCCCATGGTGATATAAGAATCTTCACTCTTACCTGTAAAGCGTTACCGACAAAGACAACAAACGCACCAAAGATCGTGAGATTGCGTACAGATGCATCACAATCCCCACGGTCTGTTCCCAATGGTCCGCTCCCTGGAAGATCATAGTACTCTGTATTGCCTGAGCTGACTTGACTCAGGTATTGATTGCAACTTGCCACTGTTTCGTCACGGAGAGCAAGTAGTGCGATCCATGCTGCGAACGTAATGCATAGTACAACAGCTGCCATGACCCAGTATGATATACAAAATACACGCAAAAGGCGTCTATTTTGCTGCAAGTCCAAAATATAAGGAATCGTTTGAGCAAACCTTCATTAGTGCACTAAACAACGCATGATCGGCTTACTTGCATGTTGCTGAATAGACCCAGGAGCGTGCAAAAGAAAAAGATGGCTGAGATGGCTACGCACAGATATAAAAATGGCAGAGCTACGTGCAGTTCACTCTGGAAGTAACCAGTGATCACTTTATGTTGTCGGCCGATAATAAGTCAGCGGTGGCAATGCTGGTGGGCGAAGTACGTATGCGTTTACCATTTCGTTTGACCAAGAGCCATATAAAGACGCCACCATAGACTACCTAGAGGTCTGGAAGTTAATGCTTGCTCATATGTTCAAGAGTCGGTTGCAATAAGGTAGTAATCTTACCAGTGATATCCCTGAAATCGTTGTGATAGCCGATCTTTAATAAAAAGTTTAAGGGATCAGTGGCAAGATAAGAGGTGAAAATGAGACATTATACCTAAGTGGCAAGCAGAAGCAGCAGTTACTGATATGTCGTCGCATCGCTCAGTCAAAAAAAGTAGAAAGAAAAAGAGAGAAAGGGAAAGAGAAGCAAATTTTCAGGGTAACCTCGTTTAGACTTGTTGCACAATTGGATGGATGTCGCATGTTCAATGTGCCAAGAAATTATAGCCCACGTGAACCTAATGCTAGGTATGTCGTCATTTTCTCCATGTCGGCATAATTTTAATAGAGACAAAGGGAAGCTCTTTTTTATTGATCATTATGTATAAGCTGTGTTATTGAAGTGGTCAGGCATGCTAGAATGCTAGTTGGTCATGGTGATGAGTCATCAACAACAGCTCATAACTCACCACTTAGGGTAATCTTGTTGAAGTTGACCGATGTATACGGTATCAGAACCACACGCATTACTGGAAATAGCTATTTCAATAGAGCTTATTGATGACGGTGTCAGCACGACCTTGTTGCTACGGCAACCAACCTTTTATTGCTTCGGCGCTTAAATACGCGTCCTTGAAATTATGTTCGTGTTCCATACGCGTCCCAAATCCAGGTTGCCTTTTTTTCTCGCACCCACACAATGTCACAGCAGCAGCATTTCGAGGAAGAAGATGAAGATTATGGACCATTGCCTATTTCTCAACTAGAGGTACTTGCAGCTAACGTGTAACATGTTTTAAAGAATCTGACCCTCGACAATCGAACTCTTAGCAAGGTGGCATTTCGGCAACTGATATCAAAAAGCTGCAAGAAGCAGGATATTACACAGTGGAAGCCATTGCATATGCACCGAAAAAGGCGCTTATTACTATCAAAGGCATTTCGGAAAACAAGGCAGAAAAGTTGTTAGGGGAAGGTAAGGAATCAATCATACGCTGACAAACTCATGAAACTTATGATGGTGGATGCGTGTATAGCTGCAAAAATGGTCAATCTCGGATTCACGACTGCTATGGACGTACACCAACGGCGACAAGAAATCGTTTCGATTACAACAGGATCCAAAGAATTAGACCGTGCACTTGGAGGTAAGGAGGAATGGCCCTTTGCTGCGGAAACGTTTCCCATTTGCTGAGTTGGTTCCCTACATAGGCGGTATTGAGACAGGCTCCATCACTGAGATCTTTGGTGAATTTCGAACGGGTAAAAGTCAGTTGTGTCACATGCTTGCAGTGACAGGGCAAGTGAGTATCTGCATATGAATTAGCGGATCAATCACTAAACATACGCTATCGTTGATTATTAAGCTCCCAGTAAGCATGGGCGGCGGTCAAGGCAAATGTTTGTATATCGACACAGAAAGCACCTTTCGTCCCAGCCGTGTCCTTTCTATTGCTCAACGGTAAGTGCCATGTTCGCTCTATACCCATGATATAGCTATTTATTGACTTGTACAATAGTTATGCTCTCAATGGAGAAGAAACATTGGACAACATTGCCTACGCACGTGCCTATAACACAGATCACCAAACCTCACTACTGATTCAAGCAGCGGCAATGATGGCGGAGACCCGGTTTGCAGTGTTGATTGTGGATAGCGCAATGGCTTTGTATCGAACAGACTATGCTGGGCGTAGTGAACTTGCAGCACGACAAACCCACCTTGCACAATTTTTACGACACTTACAGCGACTTGCGGATGAGTTTGGTGTGGCAGTGGTGATTACCAATCAGGTTGTGGCTCAAGTAGATGGTGCGCAAGGTATGTTTAATCCCGATCCAAAGAAGCCTGCAGGTGGAAACATTATAGCTCACGCTTCGTGTACAAGGTAAGATGCATTAATGAAGGCGTCATGGAAAAGACAAGGTTATCTAATTACTTTGTCGGTACGCAGATTATACCTGAAAAAAGGACGAGGCACCACACGCATATGTAAGATCTACGATTCACCTTCGCTGCCTGAAAATGAATGCCAATTTGCCATCTTGGAGGATGGTATCGCCGACGCTTTGGAATAAGAGACGTTCCTACTCCCGCTATTGATGATTACTTTTCTAAACTCCAAATTGCACCAAATTGTACACCCATATAATTAGTTGACAATTCCCTTCCTGCCACCATCACATTCTCATATATCATTTGACATGTTCTCCAATTTTCTTGTTTGCTTTTCAAAGAATTTATGGCCATCGTTCCATTGCTATCATAGCTGTTTGCATATCCTTAAAGAAATAAACGTTTCCACCGGAGTCACTGATTTCCACCACAGAGTCTGTATTGCTATTGTTTGTCGTTTGCCGAGGGACGAAACCAAATGCTTCAAGCTTTTCACGCAATGGAACCTTGACATCGACAAAGATCCATTGGACAGGATTTCCTGTATATGCATGAATGCTTGCTCGAAGACCTACGAGTGTTTGCAAGGCTGTTGAATCCATCCCCTGTACGGCGCACATATCCATTATTATCGCACGGAGAGTTATCTGACGCCGTTGGGATGATAAGAGGCTGCGACATTCATTCCACGCTTGACGGGCTTGGATCTGCTCCTGATCATTGTCGTTGAAAGGGGCAGGACACGTTTGTGTTTTAACAGCTTGGAGGATAGCTTCAGACACATGACTAGCATTGGGATATAGAATTGATTGTCCAGGACGAAATACGAGTACATCTTCAGGACAATTGGGTAGATATTGGTGGTTGTCGTTGCTGGAAGATGTAACATTATTCGTCACCTCCGGTCGTGCAATATCAAGAAGGAGTGAAGCAAGTGCAAGTCCCACAGCAGCATAAATGCCTGTTTCGACGTCTGTAATAAAAGCAACACCTACAGCTACCACCCATATCCAGAAATCAATAGCGCGTGCTTTCCAGAGTTCTTTGAGATAAGCTGGTGATGATACCAAGTCTGATACAGCGTGAATGACAATGGCAGCAAGTACAGCATCGGGGATATAGTAAAATGCTGGAGTCAATACAAACAACGCCAGTATGAGCATAAAGCCACTAAATGCAGCAGCTAATGGCGTCCGTGCACCTGAGCGATTCATAATAGCTGTGCGGCTGAATGCACCTGTACAAGGATATCCCCTTTTGCATTTCACGTTATACACCAATAATCATTGCCAATTCTCTCATCGGTATTCTATCTTACCCAAAGAACGCGCTTGCGATATTACACATGCCAATCGACACTATTTCTTGACTTGGCTCCACCGTATAATTGGACAAGCGGCCAAATGTTTTGGCGACGGAGACGTGTTCCATAATCAGCATCATAATCATGGGCGGTATTACGTGTATGGTCTCACGGATGACGTGTGTATTTAAATGTGGTACACCAAGTGCATCAAATCCGGAAGGCACTGTTTTAATCACTCGGATTGGCTCATCCGCTGAAGCATGGTGTATCGCGTATGAGAGTACTGTACCAATCGCCACCACTAATCCTGCTCGCATGATTCCCAGATAATAAAAGATACGTTTTGATGCCTTTCGCGCTGTTGATGCTGTATATTGCACGCATAATATCTTGACAGTATATAATGTGATTAGACTTAAGAGGCCAAACACAATATCAGGGCAAGTGGATGAAAGGTGAGTAACAAAATCGGATAAGACTTGAAATGGCGGTTGGTGTGTGTCGACCATATCGCTTGTTCCATTGAGTGCCGGCAGTTGCGACAGAGCAATAGTAATAGCAGATCCGGTCATGTATCCACCTACAGCTGGGCCAGGTATGAAATCCACAAGGATTCCTAGGCGCATCAATCCAATTACCAATGTAATACAACCAGCCATCAATGCAAGTGTAGCACCCACTTGATCAGCCGAGATGGTTGGGTGTTTCTTCATTACCTCGCTAATAGTCTGACCTACTAGCAATGAAACAGTGGCTACGACAAGATCTGGATATGAGTAATGCCGAAAAGGGGTGAAAAATCTGTAGCTTACTGATCGGTCCCACGCTGATATCCTTGGACGTGCCAAACAAACAATATAACGTAGTACCCACAAATGATGTGCTAATTTTCCAGTGAGTCATTTTTCTACGTATACCAATAATTGGCTACATCATCACTCACTAAAGGCCATATTGTGGATCCAAGTTAGCCAAACGCGCATATGCCATGGCTTGTGGCACAGTAATGACGCCCACTGTCATCCCTGCAATCAAGTCTTGGCAAAACCACTATACGCATAAGTTTCATTGGAATGAGCTATTTCGATAATGAATCATGCTGACAATAAACTTACAGACACGTTGTACCGTTTAATCCATTGAAATAGCGGGAAAATGCGCAAGAGGTAGGAGCGTAGATAGCGGATGATACTGAGCTTATCGAACGATGACGCTGCCGTTGTTGTGGGTTGTGATGGTGTGGATTCAAGTGCAGCGTAGTTTTCTACTATGGGGTAGTCTAATCTCTTCATAGCAGCCTCAAAATGGTGCACACAGAGAGGCAGGTAATAAGTAAAAGGATATAAAAGTGGAAGAGATGGATGGGTATAATATAACTGTTTTGGACATCCAGTCATAGTGCGCGTGTGTACTAGAAACACTCCTGCACCCACCCCCTTACTTGCAGGCTTTCCACATTTCTATCTTTGTCCTATACGCATGTCACCGCACACCACCATCAATCCTACACATATTCATGAGACATTGCTTGAAGGTGTACTTTATTGTGACAATGATGGTCAATAATCAATGATAGATGATGTTCAAGTCGCTCCGCAAGCGTGTATCCACTACTATGGCTCGACAACAAATAGTGATGCATGGTGAGCTTGGGTAGTAAAACTTCGCCTCTTGGCTCATGCGCAAGCCTATTTTTTTCCCTCTCAGACTCATGTGCTCGGAAAGACGGTTGCTTTGATATCATTCAAAAATGGATTTCGACTTCGACGACGATGTCTTTGTTAGCAAGGAAAAAAGAACGATCCCTGAACAAGAACCTTACACAGCCAAGGAGGAAGTTGATGGGGTACTTTGTCGATCTTTAGTCATTGGGAAGAACAGTGGTTATTGACATGCTGCTAGTGGTTTCATAATTTTGACAGCTATGAAGATCTCATGATGCAGCGACATGGACCCAACCAGCTTAAGAGCGCCATTGAACACGACTATATGTATAAACGCTATGAAAGGGCATTGGACGGTGCGCTCAAGTATATCGAACTTGCCAATACAGAAGACTGCAAAGTGAGCTCGACCCGAGAAATGAGCGAGATCGCTATTCACTGTGCTCTCCACCTCAATCGCATCGATCTCGCTGAGCAACTCACGGATACGAAACAGGTCTGCTGAGACTCGTGTGCATGTGTGAATGAATGTAAAGCTCACATCTATATGCCATGTATAGGTATCCATGGAGACTGGTAGCATTTTCTTGGAAGCCCGCGTATACGCTGCTTGCCCCCACCGCCAAGATGATGCAGTATCAGCAATTGTACGATACCAAAAGCTACGCAAACAGGATTATCAGGCATGGCGTCTCTTGGCTACCATTATGCGCTGCAATGACGACCAAAGTATGAGGAACCATATCGCCAAGCTCGCCATTGAACGTGCCATTAGGATCATGACTTCTAGTCGCTGGGCCATGAATGTTCCTGTTGTCAAGAAACGCTATGAACATGAATTATCCATCCTTCAATCTATTCTACACGACATCCCAGGTGGTGATGCTAGTAAATTCCTTGCATGGATGATGGAGGAACCTCTCACTGATGAACGCATGGTCCAGGCTGGCCTTACCATGTTCAAGCCCGATGATATAGACTTTATTTTTAGACAAGCAGCAAAGTATAGTGATCAAGAAAACGAAGAAGATAAAGAGCGTAACCCACGTGAGCTTTAAACTTGAAATTGTTGAGGAAAACAAGAAGTTTACACTAGTTGTATAACACGTGTTCTTTTCTTTAATTCGCAAAACCAATAACCATCACCATTATCCAAAGATACATATAAAGATAATTCAATATTGATCAAGCAACATGAGCTGTTGCCCATGTTCGAGTATGAACACCAATCATTCATTCTTGGGCTTGCTCGTTGTTATCCTTGGGAGCTTCAGCCGATTTGTCTTGCTTGTCACCATCTATGGACAATATGTCAGTGTTACGTTTTATAGTATTGAGTTGATGTTGCTTACCTTCTTGCAGATCGGAGGTCCAAAGCGTCAAGTTGTCACGGAGCAATTGCATGATCAAGGTCGAATCCTTGTAGGACTCTTCGCTCAATGTATCGAGTTCTGCAATGGCATCATCGAAAGCTTGCTTAGCAAGGTGGCATGCGCGATCAGGCGAATTTAAGATTTCATAGTAGAAGACGGAGAAGTTAAGAGCCAAACCCAAACGGATGGGATGCGTAGTTGCCAACTCCACTTGTGCAATGTCGGTAGCTGACTTGTAGGCTTCGTGAGCTTCGGATGCGGCAGTCTTACGATCTTCGCTGGTAGCGTACTCGGCAACATAACGATGATAATCACCCTTCCTATAAACCAATAGTAAGTCATATGATCTCTTTCATTATAGAGCGACTTACATCTTGTAATAAAAGACCTTGGCTTCACCATCAGAAGCAGCAGGGATGAGACAATCCTTGAGCAATTGAAGAATGTCATTGCACACATCATAGAGTTCACTCTCAATCTTTTTCCGGTATTCCTTGATCTTGTTGACTTGAGCCTCGTGGCCCTTGCTCTCTTCCTTTTGCTCAATCGACGATACAATTCGCCAGGATGCACGGCGGGCACCAATCACATTCTTGTATGCGACACTCAACAGATTGCGTTCTTCCACAGAAAGATCGGGGCTCATCTGCTTAAACACGTGTTGCATGAGTATGGAAACGATCCACGCATACATACGCGTCCCACCACTACGCTCTCTGACGACTATTTCCTATTATCCACATAATTACCTTGGCAACTTCCTTCATGTATGTCACCATTTCTAAACAACGCCAAAACGATCATTAGCTTATGTTCAAGAAACGAGTAACAGCGTGTGAAGTATATACGTACCATCATAGCGTTCGGCCTGCTCGGCAATCTTGGCCATATAAACCTACATTTATAGATGTTTTAATATGTTTACAAGCTTCTAAAATCCAAAAGACAAGGAGTATGGAAGTAACAAGCGAAAGCACTTGCTCTCATCTTGTCTCGAGCGTTGCAATTTGGCGCTACCTTATCTTCGCGTTCCTAGATAGAAGGCATATTTAGTTATTCAAGGTGCTAATAAAGCGTGTACGAGATTGACGTTAACGGATGACAGCTTACAGTTGACATTGTGAGTATGAGTGATTAACGTTGAAAGAAAGAATGCGTAGACGTCAGCTACTCAGCGGGCTTGATGTGAGACGCGTCTTACGATACTCAGCGACCAATAACAAAGAAGTTCATGTGTGCTGGGATTCTGATACACAGCAGCGCCTAAAGTTTGAGTCAACCGCTTTTGGAATGTCATCCTTTACTGTATCGCTATTTGCACCATGTTTTATTCATTCATATGGCGTATCATGTTGTCAATGTTAGGTGGTTTTAATTTTTAAAACCATTGATGCTTACAGTACTCGAATACGCAGGCGTGCCAGCATCAAGCGCTAGCGACCCGGTTGCTCGTTTCGCTCGTAATATTGGAAATCACTATCTTTGAAGTAATACTTACATCCTATGTGTGTAAGTTATGTTCATGTGCATTGTATTGGTTGACTGCTGTGTCTTTAAAAGAATATTTCAGGAATGGTTAGCGGCATGGTGCTTGTTGTTGGGAAGGATCTAATAGTGGGTATTTGGAAAGTGCCTTTCATTAATGACACCGTTACTGCTATTTCCCAATTCTTAGATACGTCGTGCACGATGCGTGATATGAACCTTTTCCATTTCACTTGATGATTGTTGGGGGGTTTCCAGCTTTCCATCAAAATCGCACAAGACATCACGTGCTACTACTGCTCTCTCTTGCATGAATGACAAACGTCCCCGCTATCATGTTACCTTGGATTTTCATATTCGGCTCATTTTACATAGAAAAAGACTAACACCGTATCCCAACAAGAATGAGCTCATTCGCACTTGAAGTGAACAACTTATAACTTCCATGTCGGCTCGTCCCCGACATACAATACTTTCACCTCTCATGATGCAAAAGCGTGTAGGCTGTAGCTAGCTACTACATTCTTGCACTTGATTTTCTCGGAAGGCACATTTTGACCAAAGCTATGTAGTATGTAAATCTTGGTATGCATATGAGAATTCGTTTCGTAAGATGGGTAGCACTGGTTAAAAGTTATTACCTCTAAGGAGGAGTTCCGAGGATAAAGAGTTCAAAGAGGGTGTGACAAGGTCCTTGTAAATCTGGATTTCCCACTGATGCGGGGAAAACATGTTGACAAAATCTACGAATGAAACGCGGATCATCCGGTATAAAACTAGGAGGGTCTCTTTTTGCTTTTCTTCCCAGTCTCACACGCTTTGCTCTGCGACAAATCCCCCCACTCTATCAATAATGTCTCAATCTGAAAGTGGACAAGTTCATATGTAAGATAAACCTCGTTCATGTGCAACAACCGAGAAACTTGCTATTCAAGCTCCAACATCTCGATGCTTAGACACAAGCTCGTTACCCCTCGCGACCGCGAAGTGGAAGAAGCCGGTGCCGTCATGAACAGATACAGCCGAATGATTACGCAGCGTCCTACAGCTGGTGCTGGTCAAGCACAATGTAAGCAATCAATGTGATAGTGTGAAAGTCGAGTGACACCCATTCAATTTCATGTATGGAATGTATGATATGCTAGTGTATGCAACGGGGCTGAAGGAAGAAGACATGAGCAAGGCACAAGTGGGTATCACCAGCTTGTGAGTAATCATCCATCCATCTTTTCTTAATCGCTGAGTTCTAAATTTTTGGAAATAGCGGATATGATGGCAATCCATGCAACATGCATATCAATGATCTAGCAGCCAAAGTCAAGGAAGGTGTTTGGAGAGCTGGTCTTGTGGGTTCAATTTTTAACACCATTGGCGTAAGCGATGCTATGCCCATGGGTAGTGCTGGTATGTCGTTTTCTTTACCAAGCCGTGATATCATTGCCGATTCGATCGAGACCGTCATGAGTGCTTTATGGTATGATGCCAATGTTTCAATTCCTGGCTGCGACAAAAACATGCCTGGTTGCATGATGGCTATTTCTCGCCTCAATCGACCTGCTATTGTGGTATATGGTGGTACCATGAAACGCGGCAAGGGCACATTGGGCGCTTGTGCAAATCGTGACTTGGATATCGGTAATGCTCTTGAGTGCAATGGTGAATTTATTAGCGGCAAGATCAACGAGGAGGAGCGTAAGGACATTATCAGACATGCATGCCCTGGCGCTGGTGCATGTGGAGGAATGTAAGTACAGATGAAGCCTTGTCAACCAATCATAAAGGGTGGGAATTGACATGTTGAAACATTGCTGGATGGATTACAGGTTCACAGCCAATACCAGTAAGTCATGGATTAAATAGGCATTGCTGCCTGTGTATTATAAAACGTAGCATCCATTAACACGAGCTTGAATAGTGTCAAGTGCTATCGAAGCATTGGGAATGTCGTTGCCCTATAGTTCATCCGTTCCAGCTGAAGATCCCGCCAAAATTCAGGAATGTCTACGTGTTGGTCCTGCTATCCGCAACCTTATTCAAAAGAATATTCGACCCAAGGATATCTTGACTCCAAAGGCCTTTGAAAATGCATTGACTGTGATTATGGTGCTTGGTGGATCCACGAATGCTGTGCTCCATATGCTAGCTATGGCCAAGGCTGCCGACGTCCCTTTGACTATTGACGACATTCAAGCCATCTCCAGCAAAACACCTTTCTTGGCTAATTTGCGACCAAGGTAAGTAAATCATATCGATCGACACATCACACAGCATGGTGAATTGATGTTGTGGATCATAGTGGCAAATACATTATGGAGGATCTACATGATATGGGAGGTACACCTGCTGTACTGAAATACCTTTGGGAGAATGGTTTGATCCATGGTGACTGTATGACAGTTACCGGCAAGACCATGGCAGAGAATTTGGCTGAAGTTGATGGATTGAAGGAGGGTCAAGATATTTTGCGTCCATTGTCGGATCCAATTAAACCAACAGGCCATTTGACTATTCTACGTGGTAATCTTGCGCCGGAGGCAAGTATACTTTTTGATGTGATGAGCCATATACAGGAAGTCCTCACAACGTGTGCATATGGATATAGGGTGCTGTTGCCAAAATTACTGGCAAAGAAGGTCTGTCCTTTACTGGTATAGCACGTGTCTTTGATGAGGAAGATGAGATTTTCCGAGCTTTAGAAGAAAACAGAATTCCAAAGGGTTCCGTAGTCGTGGTGCGCTACCAGGGTCCAAAGGGTGGTCCCGGAATGCCAGAGGTAAAGCCAAACTTGGAATGCATTGTAGTACAAAGTTCGCACTAACTCATACCGATTTTCGTGTAGATGTGTAGGTTTCGTGGGAGAGAGAAAAAGACATAATGGCAAACTCACGCTTACATTTTTCTACCAAAAGTGAAACCCACAGCAGCCATTATGGGTGCAGGATTAGGCAAAGACGTTGCATTGATTACCGATGGACGATTTTCAGGTGCATCTCATGTAAGTCAAAAAAGCACCATAGCTTGCACAAAGCAAATGATTTAATGCAACTTGCCATGTTGTAGGGCTTTATCATTGGTCACATCTGCCCTGAAGCCCAAGTTGGTGGTCCGATCGCTCTGGTTCAAGATGGTGACGAAATAACCATTGACGCTACAACCCGCGATATCAAGGTCAATGTATCAGATGAAGAGTTGGCTCAGCGAAAGAAAGCTTGGAAGCCTAAACCACCAAAGTATACCAAGGGTGCCTTAGCACGCTACGCCATGACCGTCAAGAGCGCCAGCGAAGGTGCCGTTACGGACGAATGGTAGTAAATAATGAAACCATCATTCCATTGCATATTCGCACGGCTGCACCTCAATGATCCTATGTCAAATGTGTATGTAATAATAAATGGCTGAATTCATATGATTTCATCATGATAACGCTTAATGAGAGAAGTGTACATTCTGCATATGTATTTGGACATTGTAGATCAAAGTTTGATCAACACGTCATTGCAGGCCTGGGCACATAACAAAACCCCGACCACAGGTTGTACTGGTATATGGAAACCAAGAGAATGGTCATACAAACATAACGCAAGCAAAGACGACACTTGTTGTCGTCAAGTACATTTGCCACAGTAACCTGTGCATGTGTAGGCTCATATTTTAGTCATCTATCTGTAATGAATAAAGCAGATGCTGGAGTGATAAATTCCGATTGGCCCGAGAGACAAGCTGGGAACACCGGGAAATATTGGGGAAAGATTACTGGATTTGGCTTAAACAATCGATAATCCGATTCATGAGTTTATTTCGATGATACAAGCAAAAGCGATTAGCTATGCAAGATGGAGTGTATGTATCAAGGGCAATATGTGGGTTGGTGGATGCATTGTGTATGTGTGGTTGCGGTTGTGTAGTGGGCATGTTTGCTGGATAAAGAGATTTACAACATCTCCTTGAGCATGGCTTCAAGCTTGCGACCATCCTTAGCAAAGTTGCGGATACCTTCAGACAACTTCTCGGTAGCCATGGCATCCTCATTCATATCCCAGCGGAAGGCCTTTTCGTTTGTGAAGTAGGCAACCTTGGGAATCTCCTGAGCCTTGGCCTTCTCAACAGAGAGCTTGGCAGAGATCTGCTTAGTATCCTTTTGCAATTCACCCAAGAGAGCAGGAGAGATAGTCAAAAAGTCGCAGCCTGCCAACTCTTCAATCTCACCAGTGTTGCGGAAAGAGGCACCCATGACAATAGTGTTATAGCCGTATTGCTTGTAGTAGTTGTAGATCTTGGAGACGGAAAGAACACCAGGGTCGTTGTGGCTCTCATAGGTCTGACCAGTGGACTTTTTGTACCAATCCAAGATACGGCCAACAAAAGGCGAGATGAGAGTGACACCAGCTTCGGCACAAGCAACAGCTTGAGGGAAACCAAACAAGAGAGTCAAGTTGCAGTGAATGCCATGCTCCTTTTCCAAGATCTATTTCATCGCGTATATGATATTGATAAGCAACCTACACACATCTACATTTATCGCAGCACACGGTTGTCCAACTTACAGAAGCAGCCTGGATACCTTCCCAGGTAGAAGCAATCTTGATCAAAACACGCTCCTTGTTAATACCTTCCTCCTCATACAACTTGATCAAACGAATAGCCTTGGCAACGTTGGCATCACGGTCGAAAGAAAGACGGGCATCAACCTCGGTGGAGACACGACCAGGAACAATCTTAAGGATCTCCTTGCCAAAGTTGACCAAAAGCTTATCCACAGCCCATTCGAGTTGCTCTTCAGGGTTGCTACAGGTACATTTATTGTCAGCATGTCGCGTCTACGGGATAATGCAAACCCCGGACCTCGGGGTTGGGGTTTTGCGGGAAATAACCATGCTCGTATTTACCTGCCCTTCTTCTTGCCATACTCGATAGCATCCTTAATCAAGCCAGCGTATTGGGGCTTTTGGGAAGCTGCAAGAATCAAAGAGGGGTTGGTGGTAGCATCCTGAGGCTTGTATTGGGCGATAGCTGTAGACAACACGAAAAAGGACCGCGATTAACAACAGGAACAATTTTAAGGGTCACGCAAACATGTATAGAAGCTTACTCTCAAAGTCGCCAGAATCGGCAACGATGGTGGTGTATTGCTTGATTTGTTCGAGAACAGAAGCCATGGTAAAGTGAAAAATGAAAACGGGAAAGAGATTGGGGAAAAAGGCGAGAGCATGGTTCCACTGCCTTTATGTGTGCTGATCTCGAAAATCAGGGAGCTGGGATTGGCTACAGTACGGTGACGTTTTTGTGTTCCCGAACGCCAAGTAGTGTGGTTGATGTTTACAGATAACAGGACGACAATACAACAATCACGCATGAGTACATGGTTTCACAAGAGTTTGACATAGCCACTATGTAATCCGTAGACATCGCGAACCATTCACTTATGAATTATAGTCCGTATTTTCGATTCTTCCATTTAATATCGATACAATGATGGCTATCTTCGTTTTCACTGGTTGTTACTAATCTTCATGTCATATGTCCCATTTTACTTTTTCTCTCCGCCCCTTCATGCTGCGATGATGCCGCTTTCGTAACATTTGCAATTAAAGCTATAAGTAGCGACATGGATGAATCAGCACACCTCCTTCGCACTATTACTAGCTTGAACATGGATTCAAATTACATTGGCTACAGCTTGGTTTTGATTGGCCTTGTGAGCCTAAAACATTTGACATGGACTTGCTTTCAAATATTGTTGACACCAGTGTAAGCGACGCAATTGGTTCAAACATCACCTACTCAAAGGTATGCTGCGTCTACGTGGACGAAGTATCAATCTCAAGATACATTGCTGCTACCATCATTGTGTTTATGAAGGATCATGCATATAACCGCGACATTGTATGCTATTAGCCAGATGAGCTGGATCATATCTTACGACGCATATATTGATGGGCAATAGATAACGAGAAACGAGTGCAAATGAAACTGCCAAAGGAGCTGTAGGTGCCCATCTGATAAGCAAATCTTATGGTGACAGCAGCATACCCTATTTCAGTCGCCTCAATGTGATGTTCTCCTGCTTGATAGCAGATAAGTATTTGAGATCTCTTTTTATTGTTAATGTCCATCCTAGACAGACTTTTGCATGAAACTAAGAGGGATCATGGAAGTGGATGACTCTAAATGCTATTGAGGCATGAATGGGCAACAATGTTGTGTGTGAATTAAGCATACTAGTGAATCCTGCAATTGGCCAATAGCAAAGAGCTGTCGAGCTGTCCTACGCTAAAACCAGCGGTGGGTGCTTTTTTCTTTTGTTGCTTCGATCGTACAGTAAATACTAAGAATGGAGCCTTCAACCGTCGAGAAAATGAAAATGGGCGCCATGATGGGTGGCACTGTAGGCCTTTGTGTTGGCTTTGTCTTTGGCACCATCAACTTGATTCGGTAACTTCCACTATGCAACATTTCGTACACTGCAATTTACCACACGCGCTCACCTTTATTCGCGTCTGGTCATTCACTTGTAGTTTCGGCAGTGGTACCAAAGGACCTATCAACATGTTAAGCCAGTACATGATTGGATCGGCAGCCTCTTTTGGTTTCTTCATGTGTAAGTACATTATAGGATGAACAAGGATATCAGCAGCTTACATATGGTGGTATACAGCTATAGGCTCGGTTATTCGTTCCGAGGGCAGGCTTCCCGCGGGCGCAACTCCTTTGCAATGGAATCAGAAACCACTTCCCATCCGTATCAATAAGCCAAATGAGGATTAAAGATATGTACAAACTTGGTTTATTTCAATGAAAAGCAATATAAGCTGCAAATGATGTGATGATTGTGATACAAGGATGATATTTTAGCAATATGGAGGGTCTTTACTACTTTTTAGCATCGAACATTTCACGTAAAAAGGACATTCGGTTTGTTTCCGCCTGATCCTGCATTTCCACCATATGTCGTAGCATAGCAGCCATTTCCTTTTGCATATCCATCCAACTTTGATATAATTCTGCCCATTCCTGTTGTCGAGATCGTTGAGCTTCCACCCAGTCCTTCATCCACGTTTCTTGCTTTTTAAATTCATTGGACAGCTGTTCCTCGTATTTACACAGATTCTCAGAGATATGGTGTCGCTCTTGTTCAACCACGTCTTTGATTCGTTCTACCATATGTACATGGCCGTCCAGCGTATCCTCAATACGTCGTTGATTGGATTCCAACATCTTCGCTACCGATTTCTGTTGTTGTTCGCAATTGTCGTTGGCAACATCTCTCTGTGTGACAAGAATTGACTTGATGCTATTCAGAATGTCCTTTTGCAAAAAGATCCACATTATTAGTAACGCGCTCTCATGAATTTTACACACACATTCTTACCCTAGACTCCTTGCAAAGCTTCGTTAACGAGTCATCATCCTCCATTTTTCCCTGTCCAAGATCCACGCGGCGCCGTTTGGCAGATGATGTTGTCCTTTTGCTAGCAAATGAAGCGTTTTTCCCTGGTCGACATCCTGCCAGCAAGTACTATTTCCACACCCAGTTAATGTATGATCTACTTTATGATTACTCTGTGACGTACCGCATCGTAAGCTTTCTCCATGAGTGATTTGATATTGCTGTATTCGCCATAAATGCTGATAAACATGGGATTGCTGCTGCTATTCAATAATCCATAATGCGCCTCCATAAGTACCCTGAACCGCTGCTTCGCATGATGTCCAAAATAAAAGTTGTATAGACCAGTTGCATTCTCGGGTAGCTTTTTCATAGTCTCATCACAGCGGGTCGCTACGAGTTGCCATTTTTCTGCACGTTCTTTGGGAGTAGGCGCTTCGAAAGGTCGTAGAAGCAGAGTCTGTTGTAGCAGGTATTCGTCGCGTTGAGGGAAAGAGCGATAATGAAATCGTTTGCGTTCGACTCTCGACCAGATCTCCACCTCCTCTTCTGTAATTTCAGGGAACTCTTCGTCGCTCGTGTAATAGTCGTTTTCCTGTTCGTCTTGTCGACTGTGTCTTTGAGCAGGTGGCAGCGTTTGAGATGTGAAATGAGGAACATTGCCAAGGTCATTCACTTCATTGGGGCGACTCTCGTTCGAGGAGACAGTCGTGCTGAGATCCGATGCGTTGGGGATGCCATGCGATTCGACACTGCGAGCTGCGTTACTCATACTGTTCCACGAGAAAGAAAAGAGGCTGGTTAAACAAAGAGAGAGAAAGAGAGAGAGAGAGAGAGAGAGAGAGAGAGAGGGAGATGCTCCGCTCAAGAAATCAAGATTGAACAAGTACAATAAACCATACGACCATCATTAAATTGTGACATAGCAAAAGGAAGCTGAGAGAGGCAGGTGGTGTTGATGATGTTCTTACATCCGAAATGTCAAGACTTTTTTTGGTCTGTGTCGATCGCATTGAGATTATGCGCGAATCCAGGAGCATGCTCAGCCAAATAGTAATCATATGAATGAACACCTGCTGTATCACTATTGTGTTGTTGCATTATTGGATATGTATGAATCACATTTGAAGGGATCCAAGGGTCAATCCAAAATATGATGATCACCTTTGATCTAGCACCCAATGATACTTTATTCCAACACGACATCCTATTCTTGCATGGGGAACGATTCTCACACTGGTAAGCAAGATTGTTGCCATCAACATGATCACGCATCTCTTTTTTGTCTATCGCCTGAGATTTGGAAAGGCGTTCTCATTTTGGCAAGCACCATGCACAAACGCCACAGTTTCAATGCCGATATCATTGCATAGCATCTTTATTACATCAAGAGATAACAAAGGTACATTAATATTACGGCGATGGAATGTCATGTCGTATATTCCTTAAATTCTATTCTTTATGGGGTCGAGTGTGAAGGCCACAGCCGGTTGGCTACTACTACTACTGGAAACCGCTCAAAAAGCAGTCGTTAATTCTTGTTGGGTATCTTGCCGTTGATTAAGAGCAAAGTCGGTGAAGTAGGTTATGAAAATAGGGAAGAGTTTCCAGAGGAAGATTACTTGGTTGTCATAATGACTGCTGGTGGTGGTCTAGTGAGCTGGTTCATCTCTTGCTTTGGTTCTTGTTGATATACGGGTAATCCAGGGCCATCATCGTCATTATCTTGATCACCATGTTTTTGTCTGCAAGAACTAGTGGTCCAGCGAAAGAAACTCCCCACATGATACATACAGAATGATATATCAAAGTAGCAACATAGCCGGTAGTCATTGACTATCGGTCGCACTTTTATGCAAGCATGTCAGCATTATAACGCAGCTTCATTGCTGGGAAAGCGACATAATGAAAAATGACTACCAACAACTTACATATTATAAATGCGATCAAGAGAATGAGAATAGCTGCACCAAGGATCAAAGGCCATAATGCGCAGAATGCCGCAATAAACGCACCAAGGTTGACCATAGTGTGTAAAAGAAGAAATGCTTTATGCAAAGTATTCCAACGATCGAATGCTTTTATGGTGGTACCATGCACAGGGTGGGAATGGCTCAGCATAATACGCAGTTTACTCACGTGGGTGATGCCTCAACTTTCACTTGTCAAATATGGTGAATAGATGTAACCATGCTGAAGACGCCACCGTCTTTATCGTGTGCACAAAGAATGATACCATACGTCATTACACCAGAAGCTACAGAGCATATTACCAGGATCCCGTATCTTGTTGGTGGCGTCAACCGATCACCTGAGATTGATAAACTTCGTACCAATCCTGGTAGCTTAGTAACTCTTTGCCCTCACGGATACACATTTGAAGATCTGCTTTGAGAGTAAAGATCCCAACTTGCAGTTTTTGAAGCGTCCAACTTTATTTTCAGCTTCTTGGATTTTAATGGTTAGTTTATCTCTAGTGACTCTTGAAAAGATGAGCTACGTATTATTAGTATGTTGGGTGAGGGCATTACGAGGCTACATGGATTTGCATTGTACGAAGAGCAAGAAAGGAAAGACAACAACGAGAATCTGCATCGATTGCCTTGCAAAACTCAATACAAGATCTTGGCCAAATACATTTATTACAAATGTAAGACTATAGGGTGTTCACATATCCATACCTTGTATCGGGTGATCTCAAACAGCTCTATGGCACACATTTCACATGTTCATTTGGTCATGTGATTGAGTGTAGATCGGCTTTTGACATAGCTTACCTATTAAACTATGGTAGACCAAGTGCATACAGTAATCCAACTCCTACTTACACAGCATACAATAAACTTCATATTTACTTGTGCGTCCATAATACACCATTCATATACCAGCTAGCATTTGGATGATGAGTACAATAACTCCATCCAAAATAGACTTGGAAGTGAAGCTTCATGGATAAATCCGTTGTCAACAAAGTATGTTTTATACAAAGATGGTTATGCATTGGCATATCGTGTGGGCAAAGGTTACTAAGCTACCTGGCATTACATTGTGGAATCCAACAAGTGCATTCCATCTCACCAATTTGTGTAGTACTTAGCAGCAAAATCAGGTCTCTCAAAAGAATTCGTTTTCCAAGCGCACATGCATACTCTGGTAATACATCTGAAACGTATTCCACTTTAGGGTATCTTATGTTTTTATTGTCGTTTACGTTCATGGAGGCAAACTCTTTACGTGATATTTGAGAGCTAGCTGCTGCCGACGACTCATAGCCCAAGTAGCCAATGGGAAGTTCCAATCTTGCAAAAGATCAATTCTATGCATGATCCCGATAATTCCGACGTTGGGTTTCCTGCAATCCATACCACCCACTTTATTCATGGACAAAGCGAATAAGACCAAACATCGTGATACGTTCTATCGAAGGGCATCGTTTGAAGCAAACCAAATACATGTGTCAATAAAAGATGTTTCCTTGATGGATAAATGCAGTGCCATGCTTTTCGGCAAAAGTCGGGAGGAACAAGAGATGTAGATACAAAACAAACTTGAAGCTTGATTTTATTGTTCAGTAGACAATATTTACTCGCAAACGGCAACGCATTCGATCTCAACAGAGACATCCTTGGGAAGACGAGCAACTTGAACAGCGCTACGAGCAGGCTGGTGGGTGGAGAAGAACTAATTGCGATAAAGCCCTTGTCAGATGAAGCTGTTCCAAAAGATTCCTTTCATGACACTTACCGAGCCATAAACGCCATTCACGGCGACAAAGTCATCCATGTTCTTCAAGAAAACGGTGGTCTTGACAACCTTCTCCAAGCTAGAACCAGAGGCCTTGAGAACTTCGGTAAGGTTGGTCAAAACTTGACGTGTTTGGTCTTCAACGCCACCTTGAACGAGCTCGCCTATAAGGATATGTGGTGTCAATCTCTTATGATACAGGCCAGTGACAACATGCTACGTACCAGTGGCAGGGATAAGAGGGATTTGGCCCGAGGTGTAAACCATGCCGTTCACCTTGATGGCTTGAGCTATTGGAAAAGATATCAATACCTTATCCCAAATACCGTTTTACATTGTCCACTTCTTTACCATAGGGGCCGATGGCAGCAGGAGCGTTAGCGGTTTCTAAGAAGAAGCAATGAAATGAGACATGAGGCCTTGGATGGCATTAGCCAAGAATACTTACGGACACGGGTCAAAGTGGACATTGCACGAATGGAGGGAAAGACGCGTTGAGCAAACATGGCTGTTCAGTCACAAAAGAAAGAGACCTGGCGGGAGAAACGCACAGCCTTATACCTGTCATCTCAGATCTTGTGATACGAGAAAGCACTTATACCCTTTGGAAACGTTGGATACCATTGTAGTTAATCCTCAATATCTGATTGGCTTCACTTGAATATCAGCATTATCGAACTTGCTTTTTCCTTGACTATCTTTATACTTATTGATGTTAAGGGTGTTCTTCATCTTGTTCTTCTTCAAGAGACCGTGGGAAAAATACGATCGGGTTCTTGATCGATGATTGTCAATACGTTCAAGACATAGGCCAACGTATCTATGCCACTTTTAAGATCTCCCCTGGTTTTGAGGTATTCTTCTGCTTGCAAGATACGAGGGATATGCACCAATGCTCGAATGTTTTAAATGGATCACGACGAGCTCATTAGTATGAGGGTTGTTAGGCCAGTGACAAGAATAATGAAGAACATAAGCAAAAAAGTAAAACATTGGAAAAATCATCATAAGGAACATCTATATTGCACCATGATCGATAGCTTTTGGTCAAATGTACTGCTTGGTCAAGTACCTGGAGGTTGGGTTGGATAATTAGGTTATGGGACAGGCACGAGAATTGATTGGATCAGTTTTACTTGTCGTCCATGTGGAGCTTTTCATTTCAAATGAGCATCTTGACAACTGTGCTTGTGTGTATCAGTAACATGGAATAGCAATTACAATGCCAGCGCAAGTCTTGTTCCGTTACTTTGTTCATCGAGATCATCTTCGGTAGTTTCGACGCATCACATGCAACATAATCATGCCAGCTTCTCCTATCTGCATTAAAATCTCATGATCGCGTTATAGTAAGCAAGGAATCTCTTTTATCACTTGTACATTGCTTTGTATGAAAGACATCCAGCTATAACTGCAGCGTACAAGTTCAGTGGGCCTATATCAAGATGAACTGAGCTCATCACGAAAGCTGTAAAATCGTATTAGAATGGGTCTTACCGAGGCTCAAAGAGAGAAAGAGATGCCTAATTGCAGCCAAGGTGGGTTTCGCTCGCTCACACATGCATCTCAGACGATCACACCAAACGCCCTTTGCCACCATCCCATCGCCATAATAATGGAAATCGTGATGATGTAGTAATGTCACTGATGTGTGTGGATGTCTTTTTTTACGACCTGGGAAAGCTTCACTTTTACGACGACACATCTTTTTCCTATCCCAAACATGTCGCTGACACCGCTACTCCTCATAGCTGTTTCTGTGAACCCCCCCTCCCAATATTGTTTTTTTATCTATGCGCCCACAAATCCATGGTGCTATAAAAGTATCTTATTTAGTAAGCATCCGACTCGCTTGCTTTGTTCCACGTCTTACGTACTCATCAAGCTTTCATTGACCAAGCCCACTTTACTGATCCCTGGATTCAAGTTTCAAGACAAGAATACCTGACATGAAGCAGTATGACTACATCTAAGAGAACGCATGTGGACATGACAACGTTGCATCTCTTTGGTGACGAGACGAGACGCTATTCTCATGAAACCAATATCAGTTCCGGCAAGTTGGACAAGGGCTGCGACTTTGTATCATGCTGTATAAGGCTCATTGATGAATACATCCCATAGATCCATATCACGACGACATGAAGTCAGTAGCCGAACTCACTGATACCCTAAGCTTGGTTGACAAGACTACTACACAAGATGCACGTGCACGTTGCATGACAACACTCGATCCAACTCCTTCATTTTCAGCTCCCTCAATTCTAAGCCGATCAAGGTAAAAGGAGGCATGCACACACACAGACACGTATGCAGTGGATTTATTCATAGTTCACTATACCTAGTTATCAAGATTGCAATGAGCCTGATCAAAGTGAATCAGCCGAGGATGAATCAACAAAGACAGTATGGATGCGACGATGTGAGACAACTCCTCTATTATTGGATCGCTGTACTCCGCTTCCAAGCAGTGCATTGTGGGCTATCCCTCCAAAATATGCCGACTCGAGAAGACCTAGTAGTTCATGGTGTTGGTGGTCATCACATGATAATGTTCTCCCAGAACCAGATCCATCACCGCATCCACTATCTTTCGACATGGCAACCTCATCACCACCACCACCACTTGAACAGTACTGTGAACCATTTCCATCTCCTTTATCAGCCTCTGTACACCCATTGACAAAAGATGACGACGACGATGATGATGAATTGCCCTGTTTTCTACAACCTGAATGGCCCCTGACACCTGTTTCACCACGGCAACCACAAGATGGATGGTGGGGTGAACGTCCCCCACCCAATATTGTTTGTCAGCACATGGATCGCTATTTCTCTGAGCATGATTTGGATAAGCCCTGGATGTATGAAGATTCCATTTCCTCAGATGCATCATCATGCTCATTACCCAAGAGAACAACACGTGCAAAATCCATCCGTGCAGTTGCTTGTGAGGCAGCAAACAACATGTACGACGACTATAGCAACATGATCCATACCCGCAGACTATCAACATCCATGACCATGATGAGGCGCAAGAGCACCAAATTTTGGGATCAATCCACTATTCAAGTCAAATCAGACAACATGACCAAAATTCAAAAGAACAAAGGTGGCATCCGATGGATTCGTGGCAAATTGCTTGGTCAAGGCTCGTTTGGACGTGTTCATATGGCATTCAATGTAGTCACTGGGGAGGTGATTGCTGTCAAACAAGTCAACGTTTCGCCCCCTCTTGCCAAAAAAAAAATGATCGATGGTACACAACTACACCAAGAAATCGCCATGTTACGCGATCTTGACCATGAGAATATTGTACAATATCTTGGATACGACGAGGATGAGTCTGAAGGCGTGATTAATATCTTTCTCGAGTACGTGTCTGGAGGTAGCATTGCTAGTCGTCTCGCTATTCATGGAGCATTCCCAGAAAGCATTGTAAGGTTCTTTACAAGACAAATCTGCATGGGTCTCGCCTATCTCCATTCAAAGGGCATTTTACATCGTGATATCAAGGCTGCCAATATACTTATCGAAGCGGATGGCGTTTGCAAAATCTCTGATTTTGGGCTATCAAAGCGACATGATTTTGCCGAACAAGTATACGATGCAAATGATCGTATGTCTTTGAGAGGATCCATATACTGGTACTTGAGTTCCTTGTACTTTGTTTTCAATCGATTAACGTATATACTTTTGCTTTTGTTAGGATGGCTCCAGAAGTGGTCAAGAATCAGCCTTATAGCGCAAAAGTGGATATATGGAGTCTCGGATGCACCGTACTTGAAATGCTCACTGGCGAAAGACCGTGGCTCACTTTTCATCAGCTTGCAGCCTTTTACAATGTAAGTTGTGAAATTTGTCATGAATCAAAAGAGCAACCCTATTCATCAATGCTACTATGTATTGCCAGCTTGGATGTCAAAAGAAACCTCGAGTCCCTGACACAATCGCAGACACTGCCAAAGACTTTTTGAACCTATGCTTTGCCATGTAAGTGTATCACAGCATCTTGCATACCTTATCAATTTGTGCTCATGAAGATGTGATGCTGTGATCTAGAGACCCTCGCAAACGACCAACTGCAAATGATCTGCTCAACCATCCATTTTGCTATATCGATCCTGACTTTGACTTTGCGGTGAGTTGTATTTCCATTATTCAATTCGCCAAAGGTCATACCACATACTCATAAATGTTCTAGATGGAACGAGGCAAAATCTGACTTCCACTGTATATCCTCTTCATTGATACCAAATCCTATTCCCTTACGTACTCTGTTTTCTACCGTGTGTTTAATATAGGCGACAAACATGCAATGTTGTTTATGGTGCTCTAACAAGATGTCTAATGATGGATGGGATAGGGATTGTGTTCTTGTATATGACCGAGTAGCATGCTACATAGTACTATGGAAGGACCCGATCACTGTTTATTTTGCAATTTCAAGAATGCCTCGAGCAACTCAATACATGTTTTGGAATCTTCATAAGAATCATGTCCTTCAACCGTGTCTTGAATGAATTTTGACAAATGCTTGTTGGCCAATAATCGAAGACCATAACGGAAAGGGAGCCCTTTGGGATGTGGATAAAGCTAGAGAGATTTGATGAGTCGTCAAGGGTACCCTATTTACAAAAACCATATAGCTTACCGCGACTGTATCAATGATGTTGTCATGGATCAACTATGGTTATACGAGCATTAGTATGTGAAAAAGGTCATTGTGGTTTACCCTTACTCTTAAGGCATTCATGTCATTTTCCTATACGGGACACAAAAATTGGGATCAATAAGAGTGAATTGAATCGAAAGCAAAAGTACGTACCAATCCATGGCCAAGAAGGATGGTATCGGCATTGATATACTTGAATAGCTCCTGCCGGACGCTCTCCAGATTATGTTTGGCACCTGCTAATGTCTTGATTCCACTATAGCGCGTATTGAGATCGATCACCATGTGCGACGGGAATACCAATTCATCGATCAACATGTTGGCTTGACCATCGATTGCTGTCAATCTGATCAATTCCATTCCTGCTGTTGTGTAAGCCTAGAATATAGCCGTTAGGAGCGTGCATTCAATGTAATCACGCATTGACGGTACCATCTCACAATCCAATGCTATCAAAGATCGCCAAGAATCCGATTTTTCTTGTGGAGTAGATACATAAGGAATTTTGGCATGCAATTGTTGGATAGCTTCATCTATGTTTTGACCTCTTGTTAGTATGTGGTTTATTGTTAGACTCCATTGACAATGATACCTTTGTATACATGTGGTCCTTTTGCACATCCAGCGCTTCCATGTGATTCGCCACAGCACGTGTAGGTTCTTTGCTTCTCACCTATGATTGATTTATCATAGATCAAAATCCATTATCACCATGATCATTGTCCTTCGCTTACCATGAGTCAAAATGTTGCGCATTTTACCATAATGGAAAACACATACGGCATTCTCTTGAGGTCCAAGGACATCTTTGACAACATACTCCTTCTTGCATCGGTCACACTTTTTAGTAGTGCCAACTGTGAGCGCTGCTTCATGGGTCTCTGTTGCTGACGCGCTCTCCTCAAGTTGTGCTGTAGTCGGATATCGCATTTCTTGCATTTGCCCTTGTGTCAGCACATACGGTTGGGCACGATCCGCCAACGATTGATTATCATTACCCGCCGAGGGCTCGGTCCATTCGCTAGTGATTCCCACATCATGAATGCCTGTTGACTCGGGACGCTTTTTGAGTTGAACGAGCACATTCATAGCCATCTGCTTGTATCCAGCTTGATTGGTAGTCTGCTCGAGAATCATGGCTTCTTGTCTTTCAGTGTGTTCACTAGCCAATGCGGGATGTTGTTGAATCAAAGGCGCGTATATTCGAATGAAATGATCATAGATTCTTTGTACTGTGGTTTGGCGAAGCTTAAGCGGTGCATGGGATCTCATGTTGGGTTTCATAATGGGTGGACCTGTTGCAGAGGTGGATGCTTTGGTCTAACATACAATTGTTATACGATTGATTAGATATTAGAAAGGGAATGAAATGATTACCGTATGAGCGATACGACGTGGACCGGAAGATGAAAAGGATGGTGTTGTAGTTGAAGTTTGCTGAAGAGATGAAGATGCGGAAGTGACCTTACGGCGTATATCAGAAGATGCTGGTTTATTGAGAGTGCTACTGGTGCTGGTTGGTGGTTGTCGCTGTCGTTGAATTGTTGTTGAGGATGCATTTTCTGACACTGGGCGATTAGGACGCTTTGGATTCATCGTGGAAGGTTGACTCTTTGTGGTGGTAGTAGCATTATCCACATCGATCTGTTTCTTCTTCACAGCTATGTATGGGATGTTACCTTGTATGTCACTATCAAGTCGTATCAAATAAACATACCAGGATCGTTCGACTTGTTCTTGAGATCGGTCGCTGCTGCTTTACGTTTCCTAGAGACTTTGGCAATGCCTCATTAAACAAAAGTGTTGGGACTCTTTTTGGCCATGGGATACCTTGTGCTGATGGGGGAGCATCATGAGAGTAAATGCAAGTAATACGTGGGCAATTGGGATAGTAAGGACATGTCAGCTTTCGGAATAGACCTGTCGAAGGAAGCATTTGGTAATAAAAAGGGCGCGTCAATGCAGCATGCTCGCCTCTCGACTCCTTTCCTACCGCACGTGTCGGATTTGAGACTTTGGCGCCACCATCACAATCAAAAGTTGTCATTTTTTTGTAATCATTCATTATCAAGTTTCCAGTATGTTCGTAATAAACGACTTTATTAGAGATGAAAGGTGATAACGTAGTATAAACATAGAGAGAGAGGGAGAGTCATCTTGTTTCTTTATCTTGGATACCCAGAAATTCACTGACAACAAAAAAAGGATCAAAGTCAGCATTTTCCTACCCTGCAACTTGACTTGACAGCTCAACCCAACGATAAACATGTCGCGTAACGTCAGCGACTTGTATTGCGTGGCCACAGCTATTTCACGAGTAGGATGTCTCTTTCTTGAAAACCAACGCGAAGCCTTGTGGAAGCATGCAGTGACATCCAGTATCCTCAAGCCGGTCATTTTCCCTCACGATGCACCTGTCAATCCTCCAGGACAACATGCCGAAGCAGCAACAGCATCCCAACCTACTACTACTACTACTACCCATGAGCACGATCGCCCAGAATCTTTGAATGAAGAAAGCCTTAATCAGCACCAGCATCAGCAACAACAACAACAACAGCAGCAGCCGATCGAACCTACTGTGTCGACACCAAACGTTGAGCCAACAATGTCTTCAGCAAGCGTATCACTTGGAGCAGATGTTCACACCACACAAGAGCCTGATATCACATTGAAGGCAGAGCAATTAGAAGCTATCAGTAATAAGGATACGTATGATGCTATCATCGAAGAGGTAAAGTAGGAGAAATGAGGCATGTGTTATTATGGTATCTTAATGCAAGAATAGCCATTGGAGCAGCGCAAGGCCCTTAAGGAGTCAAGGATACCTACAACACGAGCAGGACGGCTATGGCATTATGGAACACTTGCAGCTGGATTGGGTGTTGGTGCGATGAATGAATCATTCAAGAGGGCGACTGGATTATCAAAGAACGCTCAGGGATCAGCTATGCTAAGTGATCGCAATGTGGACCTGCTTGTGAACAAGATATCACAGATGCGTGGAGCAGCGCTCAAGATGGGACAAATGCTTAGCATCCAAGGTATTCAAGCTGCAAGCGACAAGGAAAGCTGGATTCCTCCGCAAATGGAACAGATCTTGCTCAAAGTACACGACAGTGCCAATTACATGCCACAAAAGCAAATGGAGGTAAATAACATCATCTTCATCCCAAAGACAGGTCACGTGTTAATGCATCCCCATCTTAGGCTGTCATGAGAAAGGGACTCGGTGGTGAATGGAAGACACACTTTAGCAAGTTTGATCCAGTGCCAATAGCAGCTGCATCGATTGGTCAAGTACATGCTGCAACATTGGCTTCAACAGGAGAAGACGTCGTCATCAAAGTACAATATCCAGGCGTGGCTCAATCAATCGACAGCGACTTGAACAATCTGATGGCCATCTTGACATTCAGTAACTTGCTTCCTCGAGGATTATATCTTGATAACACTGTACGTGTTACTCGTCAAGAGCTTGCATGGGAATGTGATTATCTACGAGAGGCTGCCAATACACAACGCTACGGTGATTTAATAAGCGGTGATGAGCGATACAAGGTTCCTCGGGTTTATCACGACATGTGTTCATCCAACATCCTTGTGCTTGAGCGTCTACGGGGTCGAGCTTTGAGTAAGGCTGTCAATGAAGATGATCAGGGATTACGTGATCGACTTGGTGAACGATTATTACGACTATGTCTTCGTGAGGTGTTCTCGTTCCAATTCATGCAAACCGATCCCAACTGGTCCAACTTCTTTTATAATCCAAACCGTAATCAGGGTCAGCTCGAGTTGCTTGATTTTGGTGCTTGTCGTCCTTTTGGTGATGATTTCCTTGCTCTCTACGGTCAAATTCTTAAGGCAGCAGCCCATGGTGATCGTGATGGTGTATGGCATTATTCTGAAAAGCTTGGCTTTGTTACAGGACTTGAAACAGCTGTGATGCGTGAGGCCCATATTGATAGCGTCATGGTGTTGGGTGAACCTTTCCGTGCAGATGCTCCTGATCTTTTTGACTTTGGTGTGCAAACAATCACCGGTCGTGTTCGTGATACGATCCCTGTCATGCTTCGTCACCGCTTGACCCCACCACCTGATGAGACTTACGGGTTACATAAGAAGCTTTCTGGTGCATTTCTTCTCTGTACCAAGCTCCGGAGTCGTTTCAACACAAAGGCTGTTTGGCAAGAGGAGGTTGAGAGGGTGTTCTCTTAAAAGTCATTTAGCACGTATTTAATACCTCATCCATAACGTTTGCAAATAAATAACATAGCATTTGATATACATTGTCAACAACCTGCCTCCAATGGAATCATCATTATGCGGAAAAGCTTACTGTCGATTGGGTGTTGAATACCAAGAATGCGTCACTCTTTGCTATTTTTAGATGGGTTTGCTGCACTGAAAACGGAAGGGAGCCGATCCAGCTCAGCTCGCTAATTGACAGGTTCTGCTCATCCAGTCATTTGCGACTTTTGAATATTCACATGTCAAAGAACAGAGCATTCTGCACAGACCGACACATGTACATTTACCACCGATAAAGACACATGGAAGAGTTTACAATCCGCTGTTATCTCCTTTCTTGTTATCCTTTGCATATATCACCCCTCTTACTACTATTCAATGACTTTCCTTGCAACGAGATACAGGCGCTCACATACACCCAAATCATCCTCTGATATGGCTGAAAAGTCATCTTTTCTCTCAACTCGTCTCCCATCAATGAATCTATCGACACCAGCCGTTTATCAGTCGCAAGACACACAGGATGAATGGCAGCCAAAAGAGCCCCCACAGCCCAAACCTAGCACGTCATGGACGACACAAATGAGTACACTTGCCAACAAGATCAGAGATAACGCTGCGTCTATGAATGCTATAATGGCAAATACATCCGATACCAGCGTAGCTGAAAGTCTGGACCGCAAGAGTATCTCTCAAGGCATGAAATTGGTGGCTATTGCAGCGGATGAGTTTGATGAAGGCAATGACACGGTAGCTTTGGAGATCTATTTATCTGGCATTGATAAAATTCTTATGGCTTTACCCAGTAAGTGTGAACATGACATGGGTACTCGTAGGTTTTTATGACGCTAACCTTGTACACGTTAGACAAAGCAGATGACAAAACGAAGCAAGCTTTACGACAAAAGCTAACGAGGTAAGTAATAAACAAGAATGTTAGAATGCATTATCTAATCTAGTGACGGTTTCGTATTCTCAGCGTTGAAGAAAGGGTTGGCATCCTGCAAATGGCCCAACAGCAAAATTCTTCGCACAACGTTGGACCCGATGATGCTCATGTTAAACCAACAGCAAGTGTGTTGCAGTCTCTGAATATGGCTCCGATCATGACCGCGGTGTCAACATTCAAATGGGCAGCGAGGACCACTACTCAAGAGCAGCATATGAATAATCATCCTCCCAGCAACATCCTTGATCATCATGGAATCTATAGCAGCAACAACAACAGTGTACATCAACGTGAAGGCGTTGATAAATTTAAACGAGCTGGGAACCTTTTCATTGAAGCAACCGTATCATGTGCTGTCCTTATCAAGCAATCTCCCTTGCCAGGTACTTGAGTGATTTACATACATAATCCCAATCACCGACCATCGATTACTTATCAATGCCATAGACATACTTTCATTGCTATTTGGCTATTTTGTACACCTGCTGATTTGGGTCGACCGACATTATCGAGTTACAGAAAAGGCACAAGACCTGGGAATCGAATGTATCAAGTTTGCACTCTATATGGATGAGCAATATCAATTACATGAATTCGCAACTGAAGCTCTCTACATGTTCGTTGCTGCTGGTATCAGAGCGGCAGTAGCCTATAAAGAAACACCCTCTCATTCTGGACCAAAAGAAGATCATAGCAGGCCAACAATTCGCATTGATGAAGGAAACAATACCAACAGTTCTCGAGATTACCCACGTTGGAAAAAGGCAGACCCAGCCTCCAGTCAAAAGTAGCCATAGCTGTATTTCCATCCCCCATATATCATTACAAGATACACCACATTCATTTAATATACTTGCACTAGCACATAGAGTAATGCTCAAAAGAACAAGGGGTTAATGTGAATGATGCGATTTTGATACATCTGGCGACGATGATAGTGTATCATAGGCTGCATAAACGTGAAATGTTACCACACCTTTGTACCACATGGCACGTGCGGCGATACCAATGTAGTGTAAACCATCATCCTAATTGTATAGCACATGCATAGAGCGTGGTTTGCATTGAAGTCTTTTCATTGTATTGCGGGTAGGGAAATGTAACAAGAATGATAATGATGCTTTTTTTGGGGGGAGATGTTATTAAGGAGTACTGCCGTTGCCAGCAAGGATGTGGATCCATCAAACACTGTTTAAGTGAACATTACATGAAAGCTTTTTATACGTAGTGAAATAATTTTATGCTATGGTATTCTGCTCTTGACCATGGAAAACCGATCCACGTTCTCCAATGTGTATTTGACGGGAACTTTACCCATGACGCTGTCGGCTGGATCGTTGAGATAAGATCGCAATTCCTTCTGATAGATCTAATATGAGAAAAAGAGGTACGTGGTTAACAAAAGGAATCCCATTATGCAAAAGGAGCTGTACTTGCCTCTTCATTTTTGTTCATTTCCTTCATTTCTTTATCCTTTTCGGTTTCCACCGTATCACGTGTTGTCATACTTGCATAGCGTCGATAAGCAAAGCCAAGCAAATTGATACCCACAAAGACTTTCACCGCCAGCAAACTAATCGATTTACGCGCGTGCATAAATGAGTCCCAAAGGATCGCAAACACACACCTTCTACTTACCATATTAAAAGCACGCCAATAACAATGATACGGCCGACAAATTGGATTGCGTGGTCAAAGACAGTCTCGAGCCAGCCATCACGCAAGGCATGAACCACGTGGGAGGGTAAGAATACAGTAAAATCCAAAAAGTTGCGTGCTAGAATGGATGCCAACGTTGTAGAACCTTGTTCACCACCATTTGAGTTGCCCATAATCATTGGCATCAGCTGCTGGAACATCCGCACAATCTATCAAAGGCGAGTGATTGGGTTAATTCACGGTAGGTTTAACTTTAATGATTCCCCGATACTTTACCAAGCAAGCAAGTGGTAGGGCAGGAAATCCAATACGGCGAGAAACCACGGGTGATTGATCCACAAAAGCCTGTTTGTATTGTTAGCAACCACGCTAAATGTCATTCCTTTTCCATTACTTACATTCCGTCGGCCACTCAAGCGACCAGGACTTCCAACAACAAGATCCTTGCATAGCACATCAATGTATTTACCATAAATGGAGGGGCGAATCTGGTTGAACTTGGTGATGAACGCATGCTTTAACCAGTCGACAATGAGCTCTGAAGCAATCACCATCATCACCGGGGTCATGAGTGCGCTCACTGTGGCTGTGGCTGGTAGCTTGATCAAAGGCACAAAGGTCGAAGGCAATATGGAAGAAGGTGATGACTCGGACAATTCAACCACATTACGAAGCGTGATGATAAGCAGAAAGGCCACCTGTTGAAAGCGTTCCACCATGTCTATTCAATACAAATGAGCCATCCCGCACATGTAGAAGGAATAATAATGATCTCTCTTACCGCTACAGCTAAGCTGAAATAAGTTCTCCTTTTCGAAACGTTTGAATACGGATTGTTTGATCTCGACAAATTGGTTGGAGATAAGCAGCGAGAGCAGAGCATTCGAATAGAAATTGATAGCAACATTGAGCGTGATCATTTCAAAAAATAGCACCGAGGTGTGAAGAACTAGGTAGAGAACATGATGTGTCAATCACAAAAGAACATCTATTGCGTAAATCCACTTACTCATATAGCCCGTGGCTAGAATAAATAGGGTGATTGGGCGTAATTGTCTTTTCGCGTAAACAGTGCTACTTGCGCTGGTGTTCTGGTGCTGGTTACCCAATGTAGATTTTGAAAACAGAGCATCCAAGATATCATTCCCGACTGAGCAACACAGCTTGTCAAACACCTCCAAGCAATTGAAAATGACGTAAAGCTTCAAGACGGCTTGACCACGAATCGAATGGTATATCCTGGAAGGTTCAAGCATAGACATGACGGTACAGGTGATCATGGCCAAGAATCCTTTGAGTAGATCACATTTTTGAGAAGGACGTAATGATATTAACCTATAGCATCATCATCAACATCATCATTAGAATCATGCAAGTGCTATTGACTTACCGGCCTTCGCCGTAGATAAGAACTTGGATATTGTGATACATGTGCTGCATGCAATGGTAGAAGGCAAGCATGAATCGAAGTGGAAGAATAGTGAATGTGTACAAGAAAGAATCGAGACAAACGACAAAGCCAAAGCCCATCAGTTTCTCTACGGCAGCTGGAACAGCGAGAAAGTTGTTGATGCGCTCACGTTTGATCTCTTGTGTTGTATCAAAGTCGGATACGGTCACTTCATCTCGAAGATAATCCCAAAATGATATGCTGCTCGGTGGTGCATTATCCGCATCAGTGTTGCTATTCGTTGGTGGTGTTGGTGTAGGTGACGACTTGGAGGAGGAGGAGATAGAGGAGGAAGACATATGAGACGATGGACGCATGTGGTTGGTAGTATCAGCAAGTGGTCGACGTTGACAAGTCGAGGTGGGAGATGGTGGACAAGGTGAATCGCTGCCATTGGAAAGCTTGCTTTTCTTTTTCCGTTTCTTCTTGTTGGTTGAATAGGAATGAGATGTAGAGTCCATGTTCAATAACTCGAACGCATTATTACGCCCACTGCGCAAAGACGGCTTAGTGTTTGGTAATGAAGCCGATCGTGTGATTTGTCGTCCCTGCAATCGCCTCTTTTGGTCCATTATGCTGATAAAGGGAGAGGAGGGATCTCACTCGATTTTCCAAGTGGTCATTTTAGTGTCCGACCGATCATTCTTCGTCGCTCTGGAGACGACAGGTAAATGGATGTCACTTTCCATACGCTTCAGCTAGTTGGATCTCCATGGAAACCTTATCCTTCTTTCATCACTTGACAGCATGCAGGAGCATAAAGTGCAAGTCCATAACTGTCCCATCTCTATTGTCATTGTGATTTGGATACCAACTTTATTAAAGCAGACTCCATCTCTTTTATGATTGTATCATTTGGCCCATCTACTTTATAGCAGGACAACTTGCATAGTATCACACACTCCAAGATGACGAATTGTATGCCCTTGAATCACACACAGAGTGGAGGACTTTTTGCATCTCAAGTAAATCTAGGCTGTGTAACCAAGGACAATTTGGGACGGATACCTTGCAGAGTCAAAGCTTTTTTTCCTCTCTTCCTTCTTGTAATAGCACACGAACGCACCATGGCAGATTACCTGCAAGGTCTCATTGGTAAGTTGACCCTTATCTCTTCATATTGTACAGCCCTCAATTCCAATGCCAACATGCCACTTTGCACTTAAAAAGCTGATGCCTGCAAGGCCTCTGGTCCTGATCCAGCGTTGAACCGAGAGATCTGCGTCCTTATTAACGAGAAGCAAGGATCCTTGTAAGTCATTATCCCTTTTGAATCGATAGACGAACTCATGTTTATTATGTATATAGTCCAAGAGTAGCTGCTGTGGGGATAGTGCGTTATGTCAATAGCAAGAACAAAGCCGAAGCACTACTTGCTTTAACGGTATGCTACAACACCAATGTCAAGGATACAAGTCATATTGACCATTGTTCGATAGCTCCTCGACCTTTGCGTGAAAAAATGTGGATATCCCTTCCAATTGCAGATTGCCAGTAAAGAATTCCTGAATGCACTTGTACAAATGTTTCCAGCAACTGCACGAAAATCAAAGACGACCGATTGGGCGCATTTTGACTCGGTTATTCATGGATACGCGGGAGAGGATCCTGTGATGGAACGGATATTGTACATGATCAGAGAATGGAAGATTGCTTTGGTGGATCGGCTTGGATATCGCGATGACTTTGCTAATATCAACAGCATGTATCGGTTATTACGGCAAAGAGGTGAGTATTGTGTTTATGATATAATGTAATATGGTTACTTACCTATTGAACAACAGGATATCAATTTCCCGAGATACGAGAATCTTCCATTTCAGCATTGACATCCAACTCGGTAAGTAAGAATGAAGAACCATATGCCGGGATAATTAGGGTGGTTTCTTATTTGGACATGGATAGGTGTTGAGAACTCCGGAAGAACTAGAGGAACAAGATCGAGTGCGATTATCAGCTGTAGGTGTCCCTTTTTGTTCGAAATTGTACAAGGCACTCACATTCATTGGATAGAAATTACAAGAACACATCCGACGAGGAACAAAGGAGGACTTGAAGCTTGCAGATGTCATAATGAAGTTGTTAACAGGATATGTAAGTAGATGTATGTCATGGGATTGAGCTGTTTGTGTGCTAATGGTTTTGATAGGAACAACGAGATAAGCCAGATTACAAGCAAAAGTTTGCTGATCAGATCCGAGGCATCCGTAGCAAGGCTATTGTGCTCTATGAATTGCTTGAGAGTATGCGACCTGGTGAATCAATTGATCGGTCCATGAAGGTAAAAAGGGAAACATGACGTATACATGAACCTCCCAGCTGATATGATTGTCAAGGATCTGCATTATGTATGTCACCAAGCGTATGAAAAGGTCAAGGAAGTGATTGAAAATGAAAGTACCGATGAGATGGATGCTGTCATTCCTTTATCTTCCTTGTTGGATAAGGTGCTCTCCAAATACTCGGATGTGGAAAAAGGCAACTTTGATACACAATATGATATCCAGGCATTGACATCAACACAAACCACTACTTCACCACCACCGCCACCTGTATCATCTACTCCAACACCACCCGTCGACAACTTGATTGATCTCGACGATGACGACACTTCAGGTCATATTCGGCTTGATACTGATTCCCCATCATCATCTACTACACACGACAGCCCTTGGCAATCACCCACTACAACTACTAATACTATTGCCCCTTCTACTCCTCCTGCTGGACAAGAGCAAGATACATGTAAGCTTGTAAAAAGTAACCCCAACGCAAACTTCTCATGACGTGTATGATAGTTTTGATACATGACAAGAATGGTCTCAAAGTACATTTACAAATTTATGAGCGCGTGGTCTCCCTTATCAAGCTACGATTTTTCTTTTCAAACGATTCTACCGCCCCTATGGAGGATCTGGAACTTCAAGTAGCAACTCCCAAGGCAAGTGTGTTAGATATTAGTGAAAGCGTACAATAGGCTTATTGATATCTGCGTTCAGAGCATGCAAATCAAGATGGGAAGTATTTCTGGATCCGTGATTCCTCCAAAGTCAACGCGTGCCGTTTTCCAGTGGGTAGCTGTGAACAATCCACAACAGGTACACCCCGCTTTAGCAGGATTTGATCATCAATAGCGTATTCATAAATGATGTCTTGTAGGAACCACTAAGGCTACGCTTCCGGCTAACGTACGATCAATTTGGTACCAAGATGGAACAAGCAGGACAATACAATGTAATAAACACGAGCGATGTCAGCTATGTTTAATTCGCAAATGAGGAGTGCATGTTGTAGTTTTAGCTTAGTTTGCATTTTATTAATGGGTCATCGCTTTGTCGAGTACTCAAGTGTCTAATATAGGTGATAAGGGATGGTATGGGTTAGCTACAATGTCTATGAAGCACATTTGATGGTGGGGAAGTGTTATGGAAAAGGCGGCGTCCATGGATTGTATTCCTGGCCGAATTTGTGAGAATTAGGCATCTATGAGCTTATAACGCTGTACGAGCTCTCGAAGTTTTGTGGGGATCTCATCGGTGTTCTCTCGACATGCAACCATGATTTGCATGATTTCACTCGGTGGAATAAGGTATTCTGGAATCTCTCGCTCTAGGTCAGGGTATACATCATCCAAACTGCTATTTCGATCACAATCTTGGTGGACAATGCCATACATGCGCCTGATTTGATAGTGTGTACTGTAACTAAGGTCCAAATGAATATCCATTCGCCCTATACATGTAATAAAATCAACAACATGAGTTGATGCTATGTGTCAACGTTTTCTATGTATCGCACCTGGACGAATCACTGCTGGATCAAGTACTTCAGGATAATTGGTAGTCATGATGAAAATGATACCTTCCTCAAGGACATGGCCGTCAAGGATCGATAAAAAGGTGCTCAGATTAAAGCGAGGATTACGATCCATGGATGTGTCACTGACTTGGGCTGACGCTTTTCTTCGATGCAATACCTATAATCATCGAATGCATTATTAAGGCCATGGGGGTGAATGATGGAGACTATGATAGCTTACATCCGTCATGGTATCAACATCCTCAAACACGATGATGGAATTTGGAGGAACAGTAGCAAACGCTTGGAATAGCTCAGAGTCAGAATCCACATATCCCAGATTCATGAAGTACAAGTCTCGGTGCAAAGCAGACCTATATTATACATGTGATCTTTTTTGTAAGAGACCTATCGACATGATGAAAAGTTGTTAAACACTTACGCCATTGCAAACACGAGACTCGTTTTTCCTGTACCAGGTCGTCCATGAAAGAGATAACCACGTGTATAAGGTGCACCAATACGCTTGTAAAAGTCCTTGTTACGGATAAAGATATCGAGATCTTTCTTAAGGATGGCTTCACTTTCTGAACGTAACGCAACGGTACGTAAGCCATTTTGCATTGCATGTAAAGGACAAATGCGTATCCATTTCCCTGAAGCTGAATAATTGTATCGTGACCGACGCTCTTGGCTCCGTTTGGCTTCTTCAGTGTATGTGATGTAATCATGTGCGATACGTTCAAGGAAAGTTGATAGTACAGATATGGTGGCGCCTTGTTCACGACAACCTTTCATAGAAATTTGGATTGGACTTGGTTGAGAAGGGGATGATGAGGATGATGCTGCTGCTGCTGAGGAAGAAGACTTGCTATCAGTGATGTTTGCTGGCGAACGACGTTGTTCTTGGAACATGATTTGGAAAGTGCATTCTCCATGTTGAATTGTACAAGCTATGTACGTAAAGTAAAAAGATTTAATACCTACGTTATTGACTCGAGTACTACTATAGCCGAATACAAACCTTGTCCCGGATGTGGGATCATGTCAAATTTTGGCGGCTCCGTGGGTGCATGATCAAGTTCAAAGTTTGGTTTCAGCGTGTATGAACCCGTTGCTTTGGATTGGATACCTTGGGAGACAAGACGGGAAAGTGCTTGGTGATAAACATTGGATGCTAATAACAGAAAAAGGTTTAGCAGAGATTATGCAACAGCCGATAGGCAACTTACTAATATGGTAGTCATCTTGGGCAACCGAAGGCTCAACGACGATAGTTAAGTAGCCTTGATTCGCCAGCTCCATATCTCTTTTGTGCTTCAAGCGGGTCAAGATTGTAGTGAGAAGAAGCAGGGTCAATTTAGCAACGGTAAGGATTAGGGTAACACTTGCAGTAATGACAAAGGTATCAACAGCATAGATGCCTGTCTTTGGCACGTGTTGCTCAATCCTAGTTGGCAGGAACGCATATAGAACGGTTTCGAGCTGTGAAAAAGAAAATGTGCGTATAATGGGTGCAAGGGCGTCAGACCATATGTCATCACTATTGGGATGAGAAATTGGCCCAAGGTCAAATGGCATGACTATAACAGCCTAGTATCTGCCAACCGAAAGAAGAAAAGGGGGGAAAAAGACCTTTGTGTTCACGTCTCTTTGCACCTGAGCATATAAATCTCCGGCCCGAGACGGCCAATAAGCTAGAATATCGGGGTTTCCAACCCTTTAGCTGATAATAGCAACATGCAAAAGTAGTAGAAAGGAAGATAGTAATCCAATAGCTTTTATGTGTTGTATACGTATACAAAGTTGATAGAGATGGCATACATTTTTATTGTAATCAAAGGTGCGGAGTAGTAGGTGGGGATGGGAAGATGAAGAACGTTGATGGGCATAAAGCATATGGGCACGTGATGAGTTGGCTGTAATCTACGCTTTGCTTTCCGCTCTTGTTGCACTGTGCGTTTCGTTGTTGGACATGCCTACCAGTACAGCCGCCATTAGCACCGCCAGCACCAACACAACTACCACACAAAGCAATGTATTGTCAGCATTTCCAATTGCGGGTCCTCTCTTGTCACAAAAGCCTGTGGTGCTATGGTTTCACGATCCCGGCACTTACTCGAATCAAGACGCTGTCGTGAATCCCGATCAGTTTCCCAACTTTCGCGACGGGCAACTACTACGCATTCACTTTCCTCAGCAAACACAGCAACAACAAGCACAACAACAGTCGTCTTCGCAAAACAAGTCTTCAGTAACGCAAAAACAGCAGGCTGGTGGTGGAGGAGCAAGTTCACAGCAACAGCAGCAGCAGCAGTCGCCACAGCGTCCCCCCATTATCGTGAAAGCAGGATTGGCAGACCGTGAGGCATTAACCCGACAACAACATTTACAGGTTGGTGGATGATTTGCTTTCATATGGGAGTATGGGTAATGAATAACATGATGTATGATGTTAGATATCCATCTCTCGAGATATTGCCGATCGATTCAATCTACGGTCTCGTTTGGAAGTTTATTTGGAATTGGTAAGATATGGCATTTGACATGTATGTAAAAACAGCTATTAAGCTCCTAATTTATTAGATTGATCCTTCAGCAGCAGCATTGGATCATGTGGAATTATCTTTCAAAGAACAATATCTGGGTCGTAGTGACATGTGGCGTCTTCAGCAGCATCTTCGAGGCACATGCGTTTATGCAGAAAAGAAGATTGTCTATGCAGGTGTCATTAAAGCAACCATTCGGCGACAATTCTCGAATGATGTGGAGGTAAATCTATATACACAATTCAGCATTATCACCTATGAAGATGCTAACTTGTCAACTTAGATGATGTCTGGATACATTGACGAGAACACAAGGATGATCTTTCGATCAAGCTCAGCAAAATACTTTGTCTTTATCCAAATGTCACGTGAAATGTGGGAGTTCGATGAGGATGGAGAGCTCTACTATGAGAAGGTCGTCTATCATTTCCTACCAGAGCTATTTCAAAAGTGGAAGGAAGAAGGAACCAACCATGTTGTCTCGTTTGTCCTGTTTACAAGAGTCTTTTATGACGACCCGCCTGTGGACGATGCGCTAGTTATCAAAACTGAGGATGGAAGATATTACAAGGATTTCTACAAGGTGGTGGCAGATTGGGAAACAGTGGATGATTGGATGGCTATCATTGGACCCCTCAAGGATGAGCAACTCAAGTTTCAGCAAAGTGTGTTGATGCGTCATGGCGAGAAAAAGGGTGATCAAGAGTCAAAGGCATCACTAAGTGGGCGAATCTCGATAGCCTATGAAGGCAATGTGCTGGAAGCCGTCAACTTGGCATTGAATCCCTTTGATAACCATTATGTGGATCGTGATTTGATGCGTACTGGCTTGTCAGTCATACTCGTTACTCCAGGGCCAGGCAAATTTGAAGCCAGTAAAAAGTTACTTCGATTGACAAATGAACGAATGACCGATAATGGTATCGCCATGGACCTTGTATGTTTGTCGCCACTGCCATTACACGTGACTCCCTTATTCGTGTACAAATCATCACCACCACCCAACGAGGTTTTGCAAGAACAGCTACATCTTTCAGCCACACAACAACGATACAAAGGAGGAACAGGAGGATCACCAGAGACGAAGACATTGATGATGAGCAAACACAAAACATGGGATCCCATGTATGAGGATGACGCGCTGCCAAATACCTACACGTATTATTCTGTGCCACATTGGATCGACTGCAGCTTTTATTCTCAAGGCAACTTTTTACAAAAGAGAGACAAGTTTCGTACACGATGCAAAATGTACGAGTTGCAGATGATGGGTATTATGGAGCATGATCTTGCTGGTATTTCTATTCCATACTTGAGCCAACAACAAGAAGGATCATCATCATCAGCATCATCTCGTCTTCGCACACAACGCAGCAGCAGCAGTCTCAATGACAAGTTGAGCAAATCGATTGATTCAACAACTGGCAACAGTGAAGCATACCTTTCGAGATCAGCCAATTTTGCATCCATGCGACAACATCATTCTTTGTTACAGCAGCAGCAACAGCAACAATTACAACAGCAACAACAACAGCAGCAGGGAGCTGAAAGCAACAAATTGGCGGCAGCGGATTATGCAAGATACGATTCGGCTGTATTTAAAGATTCACCTGAACCAAGATTTGGTCGACGGATACCAGCTTCTTCCACGCCAACACAAAAGCTTATGACACCAACGAAGCAAAAGAACTCATTTGAAAGCCCTGATCGAGGTCAAGACACTGAGAATTGGTTGATGAAGAATAATACTGGGTTAAAATCCAATATGGTAAGTACAAAGACTTGACTATGTATAGCATCCCTATGTTAATCTTCCTTACCAATAGACTTGGCATCATGGAGACCAGCGTCGGATGATGTCGATATTATCGCAATCCCAGCAAGCAGGTAGCAAGATTACATTTGACAACAATGTCCGCAAAGATGATCATCCAATGCGAGCCAGTGATATCTTCAAAGGAACTTCACCTGGACGCAATACAGCCGAAGATGGTACTACTACGGCACGAGTACGAACACCAAGACGTGGGACTCTCAACAGCAGCCATATTGGATTGGCTGTAGATTCACCTAGCAGCAGCAACATGGCAGTGGATGATGAGGATTTGATGCTCGTGAGTTCGAGTACGGTGGATCCAGTACCCATCAGAGGCGGCTTTGGTGGTAGCGGTATTGGCAGTGGTGGTAGAGGCGTCGCTGGTGGTACGGCAGCAGCAGGTGGTGGTGGAGATGCACGCAAATCCAACAATCCATCACCACGACAAGTAGGCAGTGTTCCTTCAGTACACAAGCATTCGGGGAACAGCGATGCAGCTCTAAGGACAAGCTTTGGTGGACAATACAGGACATCATCATCGCCTTTGCATAGTAGCGCCATTACTGGAAGGAACAATGCATTGAGAAATGTCATGATCAATCCATGCAATCCATCCGATTATACCATGTTATTTACGAGTCATTTGCGACGATGGCTGCATGCTTTACCACGTGTCGACCAATACGATGGGCCTCGTGTGCATTGGAGATCCCTCACGTGCCCAGCTTGTCTTCCTTTGACCACTGACTACTTCCCATCCAACGAGGAGCTCAAAAAGGATTATCGTCATTACATGTATACTGTCTCTGCAAGTGAAGACGTTAACTTGTATCAAGCCGGTGATCGATCCATTTCAGAACATAAGCGCACAGCCAACTTGCTACAAGAAATGATTAGCCAGCGTCTTGCGCAAGGTTTTCAAATCATTGTTGATGTCACAGGAAGCAGCCACAACCATCATCATCATTACCAACAACAACAGCAACATCATGTCAATCATTTCAAGTCAATTACAGCATCAGCAGGTGCTACTACGAATGCCTATGATGGCGTGGGTGGTCATACTGGACCGGCCAAGGATGTCAATAGTACACCATTCATAAGCAGTACAAGTGGACCATTACCAGGCAGTGGTATAGCAGCTCCTACGAATACGGTTGTAGGAGGAGGCGGACTTGCAGCACCATCTGCAGCTGTAGCAGCAGCCACATCAGGCAGTGGTAGTGGCAGTGGCGTTCCTGGTGGTGGTGGGACAACAACAACGAGCACGACAACGATTGCTATGAGCAAAACTATTGCACGAAGTGATGCTGAAGAGGATACAGCCAAATGGAAGCACATGGTGTGGTGGCTATCTATGGGGTATCAAGTTCATCAGCTGACATTTGATTCATCGTGCCAAAACGTGGAGGTGCGTCGTTACGTGCGTCAAATCACATTTGATACCAAAAAGACCGGATACAAGTGTGCTATATGGCCAAAGAATTTATCCACCTATCGACCCAAGAGTGTATCATTCAGCTACCCGAGTTTATTGTATGCATGGAATTACCTGGATCATCTTGTTGCTGGTTATCAGGATGAACTTACCGACAACTTACGTTTCTGGAGAGCACGTTTCATTGTCATTCCTCGTGAGACTTTACCTGCCAATACACCCTTATCAACCCACATAGGCGCATCTTCGCTTAATACGCTTGATGATGAAGAGAAACGTCTTGCACTCTTTGACATTTGGTTACAAAACTTACGCAAGGCCAAGTCATTGTCTCCACAAGAGCGTGAGGAAATGCACAAGAATCGCCGTCGAAAGGAATTAGCCGTATCCGACTTTGGTTTACGTATCACCACAATGGATCCTTCGGCATATGTCACCAATGAGGCCATCAAGCCTGTTCAACAACCACCAGCAGGCACTAGCAGTAATGGCGATTCACCGCTTTTCAGTCATCCAAGCACAAGCAGTTTATTGTCATCCATTGGTGGCACGCTCAGCCAACAACTTGGTTTATCACGTGATAGCAAGTCCAAGGATATTGCTCAGGCCATGCGAGATCCAAAGGCGGGCTTACGTATGGCTGACAGGCGATGGCATTTCAAAGTCTACACCTACTCATTTATTGGAAGCGAGTTTGTGGATTGGATTATTGGTCAATTTGACGATATCAACACACGTGAGGATGCTGTCGCTTTTGGCAATGCGTTGATGCAGCGTAAACCACCGTTGTTTGTGTCATCCACCAGTCGTCATAGCTTTTTGGATGGGCATTACTTTTATCGACTCCACAATGAATACCTGCCCAAGCAGCAGCAACAGCAGCAAACTCAACGCACTTGGTTCACAATGAAGAGTAAGACATCGTCACCTGCGACTACAACAAACACTCCAAGTGCAGCTGGTTCTTCAGGTTCAACACCTTCGTTGGCTGGTAGTGATAGCAAAGACAAGGAAGCTAATTCAGGAACGGGATCACCTTCACCCAATACAACAAGCAACCAATCCCAACAACAGCAACAGCAACAAGGTTCATCTTCCACAGCACAACAAGCATCGTCATCATCAGGATTTACACCGCCAAGACGACGTCGTCGATCTGTGGATTTTGAAATGACACGTGAGATGATTATTGATGTGGATCCATACAAAAAGAGCGATCGACGAGAGACGGCCATTCTTCATTATGATACCATTCATAATGCCAACAACTGCTACCATTTTCAAATCAATTGGCTTGGATGCATGGCACAGCTCGTACAAGAATTGGTACAAAATTGGAGTCGTCAAGCTGAGCGTTGTGGATTACTTGTGGTGGAAGGCTCTGTGGATCAGGCTTATGATGATTCCGAAAACAACAATCCATTCCAATGTCCAGTGCCCATTGATTTGGCAGTGAAACCTCCTTCGGTTGCTGAACTTAATGCTGCTGCTGCTGCAAGTGGTGGGAACAATGGAGGATATGGGATTCCTGACAACATTTATGAAGCAGCACTTGTACGGCATATGGGCTTTGTGCTTGATGTGGAGGCAGATTCCAAGTTTGATCGTGCTCTTGCCGAGGGAGTACATGCAAAGTACACTTATCACAAGGAACCATACAAATACGATCAGTACATTCATCGTTCAGGCGTGGCGTTTGTTCAAATTCGACATGATAACAAGGGCTTTTATTGGGTCAACAATCGCTTGTACACGAACCATACACCATCACTTGTCATGATGGGTCGTAGGCGTGCAGCTGCAGCTGCTTCATCAACCGAGGGAAGCAATGGATCGACCAACATGTCAAACATGCATCAACAACAGCACCCGGAGTTGCTAAGACAACAATTTCAAGACTTTTGTTCGGATGCTACGCGACTAGCTGAATTTTGGGAAACGACACGACACAACTTGTTGGCAGAGCATCACACTGGCACTGAAGCTTGGGTATTTGAGAATGCTCAGGTTGTTCTTTCTGGTGATGCTGATCAACAACAACAACAACAATCATCCGTACAAACACCGACAATACCTTCATCCACTACCGCTGCTATTCAAGAGGAAAGCAACATGACGCCATCAGAAACAACAACTGCTACTGCTAGCACCATCACCACCACCACCACCACCACTACTACTACTACCACTACTGCTGCTACTGCTATTCCAGAGCACAATGCAACATCCCAACCACCACCACAGCCACCACAGCCATCAGCTCCCACTCCTTCATCTGCAAAATCGCCATCAGTCATATCCGATACGGATTCCTCTAATAGTAATAACAACCCAAAACCAGCATGAGATACCCTTCTTTAATAAATACACGACGCATAACGTCTTTTCCAGTGTCCTATGAATCTCAACAGCACCCTTATAGACTTTCCAATCGACTCCATGTAGTTCCTCTTCTTCTGCAGCAAGAGCAGCGCCATAATTGAAACATCCAGTATACCGTGTCAATGCTACAGCAGCATGTGAGTTTGATAGTATGTAGCTAGAAAGGTGTACGTTTTTATTGGAATAGCATTACTATGCAGGGGCTTGCTCTGAGTATGATGTATGCAATCTGTTATCGTAATATCTCCAATACCTCCTCCACTTCGTCAAAGGTGAGCTAGCAGAAACACGTGTGTGAATAACAATATTGGTTTTGAAGAAAGAAAGAAAATGATACTTAGCTTGGTTGAATGTTTCCACAGCATTACTACAAGAACTAACGCATTACATCAAGAGGCTGTATATACAGCTCGTCCGAATGCAATACTTTCCACTCCCGTATGGCCTCAAGGGCGACGGACATTGCTCACTCGAAGTGCAGGACATGTTCTTGCAGTACACGCTGCGGAAAAGAGCGCATTACATCAAGAGGCTATATAGACAGCTCGTCCGAATGCAATACTTCCCACTCCCGTATGGCCTCAAGGGCGACGGACATTGCTCACTCGAAGTGCAGGGCATGGTAGTGTGCAATCTGTATCATAGCAACACCCCAAAGAAGCCGCGATACTTTGGATGAGCAATGCGTTATCGCCAGCGGAATAGCGTGACTTTCAATTCCAGTAGAACGCAAAATGGAAACTCGTGTCACGCAAAGCTGAAAAGAACCAAGTGCAAGACTTAGTTTGGGAAGTCATCAAATCGGGAATAATAAATTGCGCGTTGACGAAAATATGTTGGAGCTGCTCTTTTCAGCATGTCTTTCGGTTTTGGTGGGAATGGTAAGTTTACTTGTCAATGTTGGGTAAGGCTATGTAGTATTGACCGCTAGCTTATAGGTTTGAATCACGCCGTTAAGAGACGTTTGGAAGACGAAGACGACGACGATCAATGCACCGTCAAGGTGAGTCAATAACACATTGCTTTTCCCTGCGATCGCAGCTTCTTACCACACCCTTTAGCAACAACAATTAAAACCACCTACTAACACGGGTCACTTACAACAACAACAACAACCATCCTTACCATCTATCACCTATGCATCGCCTGATTATCGACCCGCTGTACAACCAAATGCCTTATGGCTACAACCTCCACCAACTATGACGATGGATGAGAATATGACCGATGAGGACGATAATACAACTGTACCAACGCCATCTTCATCTTCTTCGTCTCAACAACACTTCAATCACAAATCCATCTCTTCCATGTTTACAGCGACAGCAGGCTCGTCGTTTGAACAACACCATTCGCATGCTTAGAATTTCATCTTGTATATAATTGCCGTGCAGAGCTGGCAAAAAGTCATCATTAAACGTCAATGCTACATAACCTATTCATCATTGTTCAAAGACAAGGATGGAAAAGAATGATGGAGGTGGGAGGGATCTTCGTGTGCCAAACGAACTAGCGATGTTGGATCGGAACATGTCAAGTCGTATTGAAGAAAGTGTAAAAACTCAATTTCCATTCTCAATGCACGTAACGCCTGCTGAGTGACCGATTGATTATTACTGGATGATGATGGTGGTGATAATAAGGATGATGATGTTGTTGCTGGTGGTGGCGGGGATGGTGTATTGTTGCTGCTGCTGTGAATGCTACTACAACTACCATTGGGTGATGCCGGTGGTGTTGGTGGTGATGATGATATATAACGATGAGGTTGTTGTTGCTGTTGTTCCTGTTTCAATGTGGATCGTTCGGTAGAGAGGCGTGCATAATGCATGTGTTGTTGTTCATCGACGAGCGTTGGTATGGGAATCACAAGCCGGAGATTGCGATGGATGTATTTGGCAGCCATCATGTAAGCAACCACAACGAGACGATAGCTACATCCGAATGCTCCACGAATGCGAGCGTATCTCTGTAATACAAAGTCAGCCATTAATATCATGGTGAGTGGTGTGTCTTTATGTGTGGTGTTACCTTCTTTAGCCGATCAATATATCGTATAGCCACTAAGAGCGTAAGGTTTGGACATGGCGTGGGCATGGAGGACTGCTGTTTGTGTGCATATTCCATCAAAATCGTATCCATGTCTTCATTGGTGTCGTTCTTGGATGCAGTGGTAGATAATAAATGGTGCATCAACGATGCAATTTCAGTGATGGATGCCTCTGAAGGATCCACTTCCCATGCTTGTACAACATAGCTTGCCAAACGTCCTTCACATCAAAAATTTTGTCAGTCGATATAATTGTGACAACAACAATCATGCTTACGGATGCAGTGTGGGTTGAGCTTTTCATTTGGATGGGTATAATGGTACATGTTAAGTGCCTGATACAGTCCTTGAGCCTCCTTAAGGCATGGCTGGTATGCGCGTTGTGTGTTCTGATAGGCAGCATGGGTGAATGTTGAAGAAGCATCCTTGCCATACATAGGAGAAAATTGTGGCTGGCTTTGTATGGGTGGCGGTAGTTGTATAAAAGGTATAGAAGTTGAGGATGTTTTGCTGCGACTGTTGGTGGTGGTGATGGTTGGAAGGTGAACATTACCCATATCGTACACATCATACATGTGTCGACGTCGGGTATAGTTTAAGCGGTGTGTGTGAAGATTGACTCTTGTTTTCATAAAAAAGAGAAGAAGAACAAAGCGATAGGTGAGTGTGGCAGCTGATAGGATATAGTGCTTATATAAGAAAAGAGGGTGAGCTGAGAGGGGAAAGGTGATCCGTTGCCTGCATATGCATAATGAATGGCGGCACATGTAATTACCCGCGGGCGAACACGGCTGGAAGAAAAGGAGGCTGCCGGATCCTTCAAATTATTAAACGGATGTGGTTCTTCCATTGCCGAGCACCTTAACATGAATGCTCCTTAATCATTCATCTGCACTCCTGTTAACTGCACCACTGATTCTTTGTAAGAAAAAAGTGCCATATCATCATGTTGACTATCATTACCTTTAGGTGACGGAGCCAAGCACCGCGAGAAAATTCCGCCGCCATTTTGGACAAATCACGCCAGACTTTAGAGAATTTTCCCTTTTCCTGGTATTGTAGCCGCTTATACCCATAACCCCATGCTCCGTATGTATGTGCCGCTTGCGATATCATTTACCTGTACGACAACATAGCAACCGGAATACAATGATTACTATTGAATCATACCCATAATGAGCACAATGAAATCAAGTATGTAAAACCCCGCCATGACACATTCATGGACAACAATCCGCGTTCCACATGGCTGCTGCTGTCATGCCACTGACAGCCGGAATCTTGTTTGACTCACAACCCATTAACCTTGTACGATGCATACTTTGCTGCATGATAAATTAATATCGCGCTCATACGAGAATACACATCCTCCCACGTCTACATAACACCCACACTGGTGTTGTTGTCAATGATATTGGCAATGAAATCGTGTTCATTCATACAACGAATACATTAGTGACAATCATGATCGGACTTTTTAGATCATTCATGAATGGAAAAAGCCAAGAGAGCCAAGAGAAAGAAATCAAAACCAGGGATCCTCTCATATCGGATATACGTTTCCATATATGGCATTTCGGCGGCATGTATCCCGGTCAGCTGTTACATAATCGAAAATGAGCTGATCTATCTTAACGCTATTACTGACAATCGGTAAAGGCTTTGTTATTGAAAATATCAGGTACGTAAACCTTACAGCCATGTCTCCGATTCAATAGCTTTGTTTCGATAGGGATCACCTAATATGAATCCGGTGACGGTAATAGATCGATCATCATAATGGGATAGCAATTACCCATTGGCGTGTTTCGACGTCTAACTTTGGGATCAATAGTAATAGCATGTAGTATTATGCAGCTCAATCATAAAGAGCATTCAATGTTGCTGCATCACTCACATGGCCATTTTTCGGGAAAAGACATGGAGACATGCTCTGTTGTTTACAACTACGTGAGCCGATCATTTTTCGTTGATCACGAATATTAAAGTGCATTAGATACTAGAGTTGGAAATGAACGTGGAAATTCGAATGTTGTAACCCGTGTCATTCAAGTTGCTACAAGGCACAAGGGCACAAGGGCACAAGGGCACAAGGGGTCTACATGAATGACCCACACCAGAAGACTTAAGCATAAAGTGAGCGAACAAAAGATCTCATCCCATATGTAAAGATCCCTTGTTGCCTCCATCCGTATCACAAAATGTTATCCTATCCTACATCTAAATATGAAGCAATGGCAGCCATCTCCACTTTGCATCATTTGTGTTTAAATGCTCGCTGCAGTCCCATAGACAAGCTTTTGATGACTCGGTTCATAACGACTACGCGTATATGAAAGTATCGAACGGATTGTCTTTCATCACAGCCATGGATTTGCACCAATGGATGTTTTTCGCTCCTTGCAAAGGGATGTTAGCGTTGAAACGATTGTCACTTTATCATACTTGGCCAATGGATGAAGATGTAATCAAGCTGCTGGTAGGTGAAAACCTTCCTTAGGACAACTTGATATCGTTGTGTGATATTGAGAAGAGGAACACTGGGTGGATAGGTTGGCAGCATATGGGTGCAAAGGGCGACAGCAAAGATCTCTACCTATGAAGACCCCTAACAACATTCATTCATCATCATTTAGTCGAGGTGCTTAAAAATGTAAGTTCATAACCTGCGTACATGATCACGAACATTCTATATCGGCTGAACTATTATCAAATCGTTGTACATGTAGCAAATAGTCATTGGGGTTTAGAATAAATCTGACCCTTGACTAGGAGACGTCGTATCCCAGTATCTTTTATGAACGCCCTCCTCTCTAATTATGTAGAGCTGATTCTTAAGGAAGTCATATAGCTTCCAAGGTCATTTCCACCCTAGAAAAGATGCTCATTGCGTACGTGAAACCGATCACTGGCGGGATGCCTTTTGTAAGTAAAGTTTGTTTATCGATCGATTGTATCTTTCAACAAGGAATATTTTGGGACCAATGATGGATGATGGAATGAGGATCTATGTATGAAGTATATGTAATAACACTACATGTATGGTTGTAGATATGGTATCCATCCCGATGGGCAGATAAGACGATGTCGTTGTTACTGATTGAAATGATGAGCCAAAAAGCAAGTCCCAGTAAACCCAGTGGTGGATGTGTGTGAGTGTGTGTGTTGTGCATCCGATCAGCGTGTTCCAATCTCCTTTGTAGTTTTTTTTTTCTTACCCTCTCTCTTGTTCTTTATTCCCCACTTCCATTTACTTTCTCATGGGTATTACGGGGCTTCTCCCACTCATCAAGTCGATTCATGAACCAACCCACCTTGAGCATTTCGCGGGCAAGACCATTGCGGTTGATGGCAATGTGTGGCTTCACAGAGGCGCGTTTGCCTGTGCCTTGGACTTGGCTTTGAAACAAGATACCAAAAAGTAAATACTACTACTACAAGTTACCATGCAAAGTAACCAACCTACTAATACGCACTATGTTTCCTAGATACATTGAATACTTCCTGCGACAAATCCAGTTACTCAAGGTTAATGGCGTTACACCATATATTGTTTTTGATGGCAATCCCTTACCCATCAAATCCGTCACAGTGGATGAGCGCCGCCGGTATATAAAAATATCTCCTATACTCCTACAATAAGCTAATTCATCATCATCATCATCATGATCCCCCATCTAGACGTCGAGAAGCCGCTCTATCCAAAGGCAAGGAACTATTGGCATCAGGAAGAAGACAAGAAGCTATGGAGTATTTTCAAAAGGCAATCGAGATCACTCCTCGCATGGTACAGCAAATTGTCAAGGTATTTAATAACATGCATTTTCATACACACTATGGCTGATCTCTCTCCTCCATGTATATACCCATATAGGTTCTCAAGGATAAGCGGATCGCGCATGTCATCGCACCCTATGAAGCAGATGCCCAATTGACATACTTGATCAACACCAACAAGGTGGATGCTGTTCTTACCGAGGATTCCGACTTGCTTGTTTTTGGTTGTCATACGGTCTTCTTCAAGATGAATGCATCGGGACATGGAGTGATGATTCGTCGACAAAACCTGGAGAACGCCACTGAAATTGACATGAGGGGATGGAACATGACAAAGATACGACACATGTGTATTCTCTCCGGTTGCGATTATTTGCCATCATTGCCTGGCATCGGTTTGAAGATTGCACACAAGCTGTTAAAGAATTATCGCACCATCGATGGGGTAAGTCTTTGCTTGTCGATGAATGTAATCATTTGCTTATTGTTCATTCTATATAGGTCTTTCGATATTTCCGCGCAAGTGGCAAGATGAAGGATGTGCCGGACTATGAAGAAAAGTTTCAATGTGCCAATGACGCGTTCCTTTACCAGTTTGTGTGTGATCCAGACACTGGTCGCTATATCCCCCTTCATTCTCCCCCTGCTGGCGTAGAACCTGAGAACATGAAGTTTCTTGGATCATCTGATATCATCAACAACCGCTCTTCTTCATGTGCTGATCTCAACATGTCTCTCGATTCTCAGCAAAGCAACGACACAATCAATAGCAATAGCAACAGCAGCCTCGATAGCAGCAGCATCAAAACAGTCTCCAGCACTACTTCCAACAAGGATATCAGGAAATACTTTGACCAAAGCAACAAAGAGAACATTCCTGTAAGTACAAGGTTACAATGAAGCTAAATTCAAATAAGGCTCACTTTTGGTCATATCTCTTTATTAGCCATGGGCAGTTTTGCCGGACAACAAGCCTATACGAGAAACGAATAATATCACTGCAAGAGATATCTTCAAAGTTTTCAACACCAAAGCAGCAACTGCAACAACAAGCTCTCACAACAGCCAGCTATCTTTAGCCAGCAACACACACAAAAAGCCATCACCGTTCTTGAAGACCAACAACAGGATATCTCTTGGAGACAAGTCAAACAACTCTGAAAGAAGCAACAGGGTGTCTCTTGGAGACAAGTCAAACAACTTGGAAAGAAACAACAGGATGTCTCTTGGTGATAAATCGAATCATTCTTCAGCGTCCTCTTTGCAGAAACGAAAGAAAGGCGCAATGTCAGCTCTTGGAAGTATTGATATGAACAGGATACCCGATGATGATTCCATTCCACCGCCTTCATCCAAGCGAAGATCATCACCACCACCACCACCATCACAATCATCACCATCACCATTATCATCATCATCACCTTCATTGACAACAAAGACAACATCATCCCGAAATACCTCTGAGCAACAAAGACCCATCATAACAGCATCATCCTTCTTGTTTTCATCCTAGTTAACTTTGCCATTCACCTCTCATCCCTCGATCCAACATTAAAAAGGATAATCAATCACGTCATGAATCAATTGTTGTCTTTATAATTGGGTGTTGTTGTTGTAGCTCTAATTTTCGTTGGGTCTCTTGCAAAGTCTTGATGCTGCCAAGGATACCTTGTCTCCTACACAACATGATGGGGAATGTCAAATTGAGCTTCTATCATTGCTACGTATCCAACAAGCATACTTTTCCAATAATTGATCCAATGCTTGATTTGCTTTCTCTAATGACTATGGATGCCTGTTAGCAACACGATGGTATCACTATCACCTATCATCATCATCACCCACACCGATACACATACCTGCTTGGTATTCTTTGCATGGCCATCCACCTGAGTGAAACGTTTCAAAGTCTTTTGGAAATCATCACGTGGATCACTGTATTTAAGCATCATCTACACACACACATCCGTTACTTTTCTTGCAAGTAAAAAGTGAAATCACTTAGATCTTCTACCTTGAGGCAATCGCTCCATTCGTCCATTGTCTTGTCAGCTCGACTGTGACATTCATCTCGCTCGATGCTTTTAAAGCTTAGACTACTAGATGACGGCGATGGGACAGGTGGTGACACCGGCATAGTACGGCTATTGGAAATTGGAGGAGTAAAGAGGGAACTATGTATGATGTACTGGCTCGCTCGCTTCTTAGACTTGCATAAATACAGTAACACCCAACTCCACCCCCCGCCACTCTCGTTTCTAATGCAACATCCCTATAGCATCCTTAGTCAAATAAACATGCATTCTATTCGTTTCCAATGACCGTTTTCTAATGTTCCTTTGCCTTATAAGTAATGTAATCCTTGTGGAAACCAGGGAATTTACGCAACAACCACCAGAATCGTGTAACAGTGCTTGACCAAAGAGCGGTGACCTTGTTGAACATTGCCATCATTAGCTCTCATCCTTTTTTCTTATCATGTATTATACTTACATCGCCTTCTTTGTTGACATACCAAGAGGTACAGTTACCCTTCCAAACCGTTTTATCGAGATCACTCTTTAATCCGGCTACGTAAGTTTGCTGTGCTTCTTTCTTGGGCTCAAAAGCAGCAATCTTATTCTTGATCATGGATCGTACGGTTTGGATAGCATAATTAATTTGACTAGAGATGATTCTTTTGTAAGCGACTCGATGATCCATATCCCATGTTTCAAATAAACGTACCATTCAGCCATGATAAGGACCGAATTGTGACCGAGAAGACTGGATGGACCTAAAAGAATAAAAGCGTTGGGGTAACCATGTACATTGACGGTCTTGTAGGTATCAGGGAATTTGTTGTGCCATGCTTCATTCAACGTTTGCTTATCCTTGCCCTTGACTATATACATGTGAGCATGCATGTGGTACTTCCTATCAACCCCCAATGATGACAACTTACTCTGCAAATGACCCAAGAAACCTTGCACATCAAATCCAGTGGCCAGGCACAAGATATCAAATTCTTCTTGGTTACCATCCTTGGTGGTGATCGTGTTACCCTTCACCGATTCAATGGGTGATGTCTCGACAACCACGTTGCTCTTACAAAGCGTCTCCAAGTAATCATCCGTAACCACGATACGCTTACAACCGGGTGGGTATTTAGGAATTAACTTGTCGACGAGATCAGGTCGGCCGGACTTTAGGATTCGATTACGCATTTCACCTTCTAGTTTCTTGCGTGCCATACGTGCAAGGAAACTCTTGTAGTATCCGAAAATCAAATAATTGGACTCCATCTATGATACATACCGTATCAATGACCGTGTCCCCTCCCCCCCCAAAAAAATCATGCTCCAAGACTTACACGAAGGAAAATCATCAAACGATACAAACGTGCCGCAAGTGGAACATAGCGGAAAATGAACTTCATAAAGCTCGAGTACGAGAATTGATTTCTCAATCTGCACCAAATGGGTGTACGTTGATAGTTGTAAACTTGTTTGGCTTGTTCGGCTAATGCAGGGATTGTTTGTACAGCACTGGCACCGCTTCCGATAATAGCAACACGTTTGCCTGTAAAGTCAACAGTGGAATCCCATTGGGCTGTATGCAAGATAGGGCCTGTGAAGCCTTTGAATTCTTGTGGTACTCGGGGTACACGAATGGAACCCACACTCACAAAGCTGTTTTGTTTTCACATGAATGTCAATGATTTGTGTGTGATGATGATCCATGCGTTGTAGTAGAATAAGGTTTGAAGCTTACATGATATCAAATTTGACGCTCTCCAAAGGCTTATTTTCACTGCTGCAATCTTGAAGATCCAACAACCATTGACGTTCATCATCAAGCCAAGTAGCATCGGTCACTCGTGTCTCGAGCCGGGTTTGGGCGTACAAGTTGTGCTTCTTGGCGATTCCTTGTTGATATGCATAAATCTCATCACGACCGCTATAAAGTTGCGACCAATCTAGCCATGTCCCATTTAGTATTAAGCTCTATCTTAATCATCGAGAGATGCTGCTGCTTACTGGGGTTGATTTCAGTGCTCAAGGAGTAAAGGTGGGATGGGACATCACAAGCACAGTTGGGATAGCTAAATATTCCAAAGTCAGAAAATAAAGATGCAACAATCAAAACATTCTCCGATCGCGCCACTTGCCTGTTGACATGCCAAGTGCCTCCCACGTCCTTTGTGGATTCAAAGATTTGTGCAGTAATGCCGAGTTGTTTTTTAAGCTGTACAGCAGCCTGGATACCAGTAAAGCTGATGATGGTGGGGTCCGTATTATGAATAACAAGGTATATCTTAGGCTTTTTTTTGTATTTACCCGCCTCCAATGATGGCAACGGTTGGTTTCTTTTGTTGGACCATGTTGATCTGTTGAAAAAAAAGAAGAGTCAAGACGTCTGTTAAAAAAACGTGCCAGGGGTAATTTGGTTTATATTGTGCTTACCTTCATGTCGTACAGCTTCTCATAATATGAATCAGCGTGGGTAACGTGAAAAGGTCGAAAACGACGCGGGGTTGTCATCTTCATTTATGTAACAGATTTTTGGCCATTTCGGTCTTAGTAGCAAGTTTCGGTTTCCAAAGTAGCCCCCTTTCATTTGCTGCGATTAGTCCATTGTATATGCAAGACGAACCATTTTGCAAAGGAGATACATGTACCAGCTCCCGAATATAACAGGAGCGGCCCATTGGATTACCCCGCACATGCAGCTTATTTGCCTAGTTCATCCGCTGAATTCAAAGGAGTTGGATGAAGAGCATAGGATGAGACATGTTTTCAGGTACGACGGAGTAAAGTAATGACGGTAAAACAATACCCGATACTATAAGATCATGCATCCCCAACAAAAAGTAACTCCTATATTGGTGGTTTCGACACCTATGCAGGACACATGGTTGAGGGCTCCTGATACTGATGTTGCATGTACACTACATCATGTTTACCTTCCTGATGATCACCCGGAATAGTATTACCGCTGAATAATCATCCATGTCAATTCGATGCATAATTTAGGCTGGTTCGTATCACCGTAAAACCACATAGCACATTGCTGATGTAATCGAGTCAAGGGTCGTGCATCAAACGATGATAGAACCATAGCCAGCTATGGGGGTCTGTAAGCAAAGCCAACCAAAAAAAAACCAAACCGGAAAAATAGTAGCCGTCAATGATCACTATTCAAAGTGGAACCTATCCAATGCTTCAAAGAGACATAGGTCACCTATAATATATCACCTTTGAAGCCGCGAGTCGATGTATCAGCTGCTGGTTTTCCATCACTTCAACTTCTTGACCACTTTATCAGTTCGATCCATCACGACAACAACTCCCACGCCCACTCACATATAAACAAGGCTGTTGTCACCAACACTATCATACGTCCTTTCTTTCTACTTGTATTCATATCATCAATCATCAATGGCCTTTAGTAAGTCTCAAGGATGGTCTTTATGCGATCACAAAATGAGGGTACTCATACATTCATCTACCATGTAGCTCACTTTATTGCTTTACCACTTGATGTGCTCATTGCTGCCTAATGATGTTTGGCTGTGTTCCTCGGTGGACCCGTTGTGGTAGGTATAACTATCATCACTATATATAAAAAGGATGCTTAGTCTGATAGGAATTTGGCACTCCTTGTAGGTGATCATCCTTCACGTTCCGATCGATTCGCCAGCACGCGAAATTTAGCGCCGATCGTGAGTGGTCATTCATATTAAAATATTATGCACAAAAAGGGTTTTACCCTGTCACCGCCGTGAATTACAATTCACACGTCAACCATCGCAATAAAGCAACAACGATTACCTACAGCCTGGCGTCCTTCAGCATACAATGTATCGCGAGAGCAACTCCACGCCAAGACGATATCAACACTACGTATGTTACATCTCGTGCTGCAAGATCAACGTGTCCAAAAAACCATCAAGTTTGATCAATCGATCACCAGCTTTAAGCAACTCGCCGAATTTATGGCAAGCCACACAAATGAAGCCTCGGCATATGTACCTCTGTCAACTTGGCCATTATGCCTGTTGTCATCATCCTGAGTGATGGGAGCACCACAGCATAGCAAATGCAATTACGCAGCCTCTTAACCATGTGCAATCATCATTTAACTGCATTGCTAATAATCAAAAGCTTGCAGAAACCAATGCTTTTATTGATTGGGTAGTTCATTTTAAATCATTGACAAGCCATGGTGACGACTACTGAAGTTACGAATACCACAAAGAGAATAAAGCAAAACATCCTTTTATTTGGAAGAGTATTGTATGGAGGGAGACGAGGCTTTGGGTTACCACGACTAAAGTGCTTGAGGAAACGGGAACATCTAAGATAAAAATATGAGAAATCTAGGTTGAGAGAATGAGCAACCACGACAACATGGCAACCCATTGAAACCAAACCATTGCAGCCAGTCCAAAGCCATACTGCATCTTGGCTTCCACCAAATCAGTAGTCTGACAATGGATTTATAGCCTCATCCGATATGGCTTCCACCACAATCTTCCAAGTGCTAAGGCCGACATCACCTGTTGCCTTACAATCTGCTAGTGCACGACTGGCCGATATGCAACAGAAGCATCTCTGGCTGCAAAGAAGAGAAAAACTACTGCGTAACCCACGAACCTCCTTTTGTGAGGTCGTCGCCATGGTGACCGAAACCCCGCCATCTACGCGCAGCAACCACTCCTCGAGTGTTGTTGGTTACTTGCTTCTTGGGAGTAATAAAATGAATCCTGCATTGCACTGCTATTACTTTGTCAAATGCAACCATTCGTTTATTATTGCTTATTTTCACACACAAAGAGAATACCAATGCCCTTGATTTCATTACTAGAGACAGCCCGTGCCTCTTGTTGGATCAATTCTGTCATGGCAGCCTTGCCACTCTCATCATCCTTGAGACTAAAAAAAGAAGCATAAGACACCACTCTCTTCTCTATGCAACATGGTATTCGGTAAACCTTACCCGAGAGCTGTCCAAAATTCACGCAGCTGTGCCACATTCTCGGTAATACGCGTATTCTCGTGACCAAACACGTCTAAAATGCCTTGCTTGCATGCAGCGGATGTATGCTCTCGGCAGCCACTTAAAATAATACGCCAGCGCTCCACGAGTGGTAATTGGGTATTCAAAGCTGGGACAAAATCCTTTCGCACGTTTTCTTTGATCATGGTACCTGTGGCGTGCAAAAGATCCACACGATCAAAGAGCCACCTGTGGGAATGTTCGTCGTCATCAATAATGTGCGTCCATAATTCCTCCGCAACAAAAAGACCATTGGGTGCAAGGAGTTGACGTGCTCTTGCCACAGTCTACAGAGTCATCATCATCACATTAGCGCCCAAAACATGTTGCTGATTAACCATCCAAGTTGTCTATACTTACAATTTTTGGCTCATCAGGGCAATGATGAAGCGATTTGGTAAAGATAACCATGTCAAAGGATGCCTCTTGGACCTTGTCAGCATAGCTCATAAACGTGTCTTTTAAAAATTCAATGGCCTTGTTGGATTGTTCGATAGCCATAGCAATGTCATCGCCTGGATCAATGCCAGTAAGCTTTACTCGGTCATGATAGTGCGCATCCAAGAGTCTGCAAAAGCTGCCATCACTATGTACATTATTAGTAAGAGTGAGTGACCATCCAATTTCACACATACCCACAGCCCACATCCAGGATACGGATTGTTTTTGTGGTATCATCAGCCAATTTAGAATCGATCAAATTCTGTGTTGGGAAGCCATCTTAGCCCGAAATCGATATACGTGGTAAGGATCTTACCTTGATGAACGAGAGAAAAGGTTCTTTAACGAGGTATGTAATGCCATCCATTGTTGTTTTATTTGAAAAAGAAACCAAAAAGAGCCAATGCGGCGATCCTTTTATATGGTGTAAACCTGACGACAATGCGCCGCACCAATTCAGTTTCATAAGGGGTAAAAACCAAAATGACGTATGATGACGTGTGCGTTTAAGCGACCCATAACAAGATGGCGTGACATATAAATATATTCTCATTGTGTCTCGTACATGATGGATGATGACTTTAAGATAATACATTTTCTATGCTTCAATGCATTTCCAACCACAAATGGAGGCATCATCCTTGACAAGCTGCCAAGTATCCCAATAATGCAAGTCTAATTTAAGTGCCGCCACCCGGACCGTTTCATTGCGACTGATGGTCTTGATGCGAATGTAGCCTTCGTCATTATCATCATCTTCATCATCTTCATTCTCTTGCACCATTTGCTCCAGTGTCATGTTTTTGCCATCATCTACCAATGGAGCGTTCTTGCGTTGCACTGGGGGTACATAGGAAGGACGTCGACGTCGGAGCATTTCAGTTTCATGCGCATGAACCACCTTTAAAAACGAATCAAGGTCGTGCACAGGTTGGCCATTCACTTCCACAATCCAAACACCAGGTCGTAATACATTGGAGGCAGGAGAACCATAAAGCGTACAAGATACATAAACACCATCAGGCACATTGCGAACTTGTTCAAGGACCGCCTTGTAAGGCGTTTGGATAAGAGCACCTTGCCAATGGATCACACGTGTAGTCTCATAATCACTAAACTCGCTCATGGGAACCTTGACATCCATCTCCTTGCCGTTACGCAATATCACCTACATGTACATCATGTCATCGTCAGCTATCAATCCTTCTTTTTCTTTTGTAAATAAAACCAACATACCATATCCACTGTATCATCCGTAGCATGAATGACTTTGGTCAAATCCGCCAAACGCGTTACCAATTGATCATTGATACTAAGTACAACATCGCCGACTTTGAGTGCCTTGGCGGATGGGCTGCGTTCATCGAGAATATTGATAATGTAGGGCAAGGAATGGCGTGTACTCCCACTTTGTTCAACTTTGCGCACCCATTCATCACTCAATCCCAGTGTACGTGCTGCTGCAAGTCGCATGGTCCACATTTCCACATCCAAGCCTTTAAAGACGACATGTTGTTGGTTTTCTGTTCCCTCCTTGTATTGCTGCACAAATCGTTCCAGAGTAGGTCGTACCAAAGATGCAGGTAAACCTGACATGAATGCCATATCCTTTCCCTTTTCATTTTGTGTCGAGTAGCTGACCCATAGTCCATAGACATTTCCATCAGTATCGGTAAAAAGGCCACCCTGCGATGAAGAATTGATAGCGTCATCCACTTTGATGCCTTCAACATTCATGGCACGCCATCGTGGTGGCGAACATTCTCGTGTGCCGATATTGGATACACTGCTAACGGTTGCTTTCTTGGTCGAAATCTGATTATCGGTTGCCACGCTGGTAAAGTAGACCTCATCTCCTTGGCTTAGCTGAACATCCTCCTTTGCAAATTGAATGGGCTTCACAGGTGTATCACCAATCAGAGCTGGGTCATACGTCAAGACAACAAAGTTGTAGAACGGATGAAGGAATAAGAGCTTGCCAGGGATAATGATGCTGTTGGCAAAGGTGATCTCAATATCACCCACGCTGATAGGCACTGTATCACGGTCACACACAATCAAAGGAGGATCCGTGGAGACGATAAATCCAGGGCCATAGAATTGGGTAGCCTTCATTCCATCGACCAGATAAGGCAAGAAGAAATCAATAGCAACAAAGGATGGTAGTAACTTTGCAGTGAGAGAATTGGCTGATGCATCCACAGGTGGTAAAGAGGCGGTGGCTGGTTTGTATGGCGGTGGTGACAAGGGTGGAGGTGGCATATCCGTATACTCCCAAAAGCCTGTCAAATCATTCCTCACTGCTAATCGAAACTTGTGCCAGTGTCGATCCACATTCATGACCATCACCTTATCCTTGTATGGCTTATGCAATGGATAAAATCTATGCAATAATAACATTAGCATATATATACCCTCATTCACTTTCAGAGCTTACCTTAGTGGTACGCGTGCACCATCAGGCAGTGTTTGCATGGCATCAATGAATGCATCCAAATTGGGAGTGGGTATGTTATTGACAGCGACAATGATACTCTTACGCCAGGCACTTGCACTTGCCAACATGTGACCCGATGTAGCAACGTAAACACCACCCACTGGTTGAGAATAAGACTTGGCCAGCTGATAGGATAATTCATGCACAATGCCACCACCCACTTCGACAAAGCGATCCGGTGTGATGGAATGTAAATCCTGCACCGTCAACTCCACATCCATCACCTTTTTGCCACGCGAAATCGTCAACTTGATTTGATCACCCACTGAATCATCCAAGATTTGATACAATGCAATAAAATGGGGCACCATATGTCCATTACATCCAATCACGATATCACCAGGAACAAGTTTGGTATCAGCGGGTCCTTTGGGAAGGAGTGATTTGACAACGAGCATGCCCGTTTCCTCTGGGAATCTTGTACGCACTTTTTCCTCCATTTGTGCCTTGAGACCAAGACGACGCACCTCATTGTAAGGAAGGTATTCAAATTCGGTTTGCAACGTGCCACGTGGAACGGTCTTGCCTTGTTGAATATAGCCCAATGCACGCTTCACACGATCCAAAGGCAAATAATAGCTTGATGAGGCACGGCTTGCTCCACCGGCATTCAGCGCCACAGCATGGCCATCAATATCAAGTACAGGACTACCCGATGATCCACCACTTGTACCAGATGCAGCTTGCAAATAGAATGTGTTGAAGTCATTGTATTCGCCAACGCCATATTCAGGGGCTCTACCATTCCATTCCAATCCATCATCAATATACACATGATAGGGCATTCATGGGGTGGGTAACTTACCGACGATCCAAACGTGCTAATGTACCAGCCAAGATACTCAATTTCTCTCCTGCATCATTTCTAATCCAGATACTTAGATAACGAATCATTTCGCATAATGCCATGTTCCTCCAACATACCCAACGACGCGGATATCCAAGCCCACTTTGGCACGCTCAGGGCTAAGTTGTATCTCGTGCAATTCCATAAACTTGACCTTGCTTGGATCAAACTACCAACATGATCAAAGGTATTGTTAGATGGGTATGATACATAGCTCTACTACTAGTAGTTTACCTGCATAAATCCAAAATCATGAACAGGGTCTCTGTACACTGGTTTGAGATCGACTTCTTCATAATTAGTCAGCACTGCTTGAGCGACAATGGGAGCAGGTGAAACGACATGGCGATTGGTGAGGATGATGCCACGAGAAGCGTCGACAATGAAACCCGTTGCAGTATATCCACCTAATAAAACAAGACGTCAGTCCCTACTTTTTCTCACACGTACATGTACACACCTGATGTTTCAGTATCAAAGCTGCGCACATGATTTGCTTTAATGGATACGATCGCCTTGATGGCTTGTTCTAGCGTGGGTTCCCAAGAGCGTGCCTTGTAAGGGACATGGTTGGCATGTGTTGTGGGTGTATCAATGGCACCAAATTGATAATCAACGGGTAAACGAGGCGGTAAACCTGCCATGGTCCATCCATAGGATTTTGAACGTCCACGATAAAAGGCTCTACTTTCTGTTACTGGCTGAGGTGTGGATGGTGGATGAGGTTGTGTTGATGTTGTATCATGAAAGGTGTAATCAGCAGTAATGGGAGGACTTGTTGCAAGTGGATGATGTGGTGGTTCGTCCATGATGATGTATGTATGCGAAAGTGGTATATATATATACAAAATGAAGAGGAGAGGAAGAAGAAGGGGTAACGAACGACAGTAGTAAAAATGCAGCTAGCTAAATCAGATGCATTTGGTTGCCCATTGGGTGGCGTTGGCACTACAATTCATCTCAGCAAACGTGTGCATGTACTAAATGATGTCACTTGGTTTCATCCTCTATGGAGCACCATTGTGCGTGAATCACTCCCTCAATAAGGCACCATTTCCCACCATAACCAACAACTTTTTCAATAATGATGACATTTTTAATCGTGGTGATATCGGTTTTGGTTGACAAAAGAAAGAAAAAAACAGTAGCGAGTGGAGAATGGAATAGGTGGGTTGCTGCTGCTACTAATACGAGTTGTATATATCAAATATGGATGGTGTATGTGCGTGCGTGTGTGTGCGAGCGAGTGCGTGTGTTGGATGAGTCGGCATTTAAGCATCAACAATAGTACCAGGAGCATTGGCATCCTTTCTAAGATCAAGCATAAGTTGTTTCATGCGGCTGACATCGCGAGTGTGAAAGCTTGATTTTGCGTTGGACACATCAAATTCACGAACAACACGTTCCCAAACATTGGCAGACGAAGCATCTTCGCGTTCCTTTTGAAGTTGTTCCTCGCGCTCTCTATCATCATCATCATCATCACAAAGAGTCAATCCCATGAATCCTTTTGAGCCACCCCATAAAGAGTAAGTTACCTATTGTTCTCAATAGCACGTTGCTTCTTTTCATTGTATTCCTCATAGAATCGATCAATGTCCTCACGTGCTTTCTTGATAGTTTCTGCCTTCTTCTCTTCAGCTTCATCATCACGTTGCTTGATCAATTCCTTTTGCTTCTCACGCCATTGACTACACCATTTATAAATCAATCATCCATCTCTCATAGTATCACATAAGAAAGAGAATATGCTTACCGAACAACCTCGGGCTCTTCATCAGGAAGCATCGCCTTGTGGAAAGCCTATATAGAGAGAGTTTGATAAGATACAGCACTTCGTTTCAACATGTACATTGACCATTTACCTGCGATGTCTCGAGTTCTTCAGCCTTGGGGAACTCGCTCTCAAAGGCAGAATATTCACCGGCACCTGGAGAAGTAACGCCTTGAGGAGAAATAGCGGAAGAAACACCAGGCGATGTAACAGGAAGTGCATCACCACCGGTGGGCGAAGTCATCAAGTCGGCTTCAAGGCTGGGTGAAGTGTTGGTAGCATCACCCGATGCAAAAAGGTCGGCATCTTCGCCAAGAACGGCACGTTCGCGTGCAAGAAAGTCGGCAGTAGGGTCGTTGGAGGAATTGAAATCGCCAAAGTCTGACATGATGTGTATGTGAAGCGGAGCAAGCTACGAGAGAGAGAGAGAGAGAGAGCGATAAAAGCCAAGCTGTTAATGACGCCAGCGTGAATGCGCTCTTTGAAATGTGTTGTTACAGTCCAGCATGTTGTCCACTGTATGCCATCAGGCGCCAATCGTATGTATATGGCTCATCATCAAAGCCTGTTGTTTACATCAAGGTCATTATATGTGTTGGCACTGATTTCCTATCTAAAGTCTATTGCATCTCTAATCAACTAAATAAAGTATGCTTTCTTGTTTCCTAGTGCCTTTAAACATGCATCTCTTCACTCTAACATTTTCCATCAATGTATGATGCTTTCAAAATGCCCGTTTGGTAGAGTCTTTATTTGAAACCATTGGATGAGTTTGGCTACGTTGATCATTGAACATAGTAAGATGTGATAGGTTCTTGATACTCAGCACTCAAGTGACAAGGTAAATGGCTGTAGTAGCGCATCGACTAGTTAGGGATCAAACACAAGCAGCGGTCGTTTATACATCTGCCACCGGGAGAGTTATCTTGTTGGCACGTTTGATTACATTCATCCGGGACACAGCTTTGACCTGAAACGCTGGAGAATAAAAGGAACGCAGAGATGGCCAAGAAAAGGGTAGCAGGCTTGAATTGCATTTTGTTAGGTAGAGTGGTTAAGATGCACCGATACGAAAGAAGATGGAAGATGGGTACAGAAGACAAGAATACGCGTTCGCCCAAGTACGATTTATATCTTATGTGGGCATGGTTGGTACTTCTCAGAGTCATGCATCATTATTTGATTATGCAGACAGAGGTTACGCCAGATTACGCCGTATTACTCTACACAACATCTATACTTTTCCGATGGTTTAGGCCCCAAACAAAATAATAGGCACGCTCTTATGTTACAAAGTTTACATGCCGACATGATGCCGTATTATTTTGCATGATCAAAACAGTTGGATTCATCAAGGGACGGCGTTAGATACATATGCTAACGATCATACGGTGGTGGTAGGTGTAACAAGGCATGTAATACATGTACCCTAATATACAACGCATAGATGGCGTTATACCCATTCTCTGGAATTTCCTCCATCTTTGTTTGTGCTTGTTACCTTTTCCCTTGACGATCGCCGATCATCATGCTGGTCTAGAATGACTTGTACTAAAGAGCATTATTACGTATACGCGAACCGCAGGCACGGCATTGAAATAGCAATGTAGAATTTGAGACTACATAATTGGTCCATCAACCCTACAATGTTATCGGAGGGATAATAGGACCATTTTATTCATTATGCTTTAATACACCATTATGTTTGAAAACAGGTACTATTAACGGCGGTATCTTGCTTGTTGATTCGCACAAGCTATCTACACTCTGCTCACATCATCAAATAGTAATCAATAGCACTAAGGCAGTGTTCATTTATTCATCATTTTCAACACCACTAATGATAACCAACTCAAAGAGAAGGATGTGGCCTTTGGTGTCCTATCAGAATGGACAATCGAATGGACAACAATAGCACATGTCGTCAATGCATTTGCCGCCTTCATTCCCGTAGCTTTGGCATATTTCGTTACAGCCTTCGATACATTTACTTGAAACGCCCGAAGCAAAAAGAAGTGCAGAGATGGCCAATAAAAGAGTAGCAGGCTTGAAGATCATCTTGATGGTTTGTTAAGAAGGATTTGATTCCAAGGTATATAGAAAATGATGGTGCTTGATAATGCAGCTTTTATAATTTTGCTTGTCGTCATCATCGCTGTATGTTTACGTATATCAGAGTAAAGACATGTAGTACACACACGGTCCTATAATCTATATGGCAGTAATCGTTCCCACAAACACGCATCTTAGATGTTCGTCGTTTTGTTGTCTCAACGTTTTCCCGTCAATATTATGCAGCATGTTGCATAATTGAATGCACATGCAAGTTGAGTCAATCATGCACCCGTATCAATCAGGTACACACCTACATAACATTTTTGCTTTTCATCTCCTATACACGCAATCGAAGATCGTCGATGCCATTACTCAAAACCTGCAATCCTGTAAAAGAATTGACAATGATACCAACGTTTGGGATGAGTTGTCATTATTATGGGAGCAGGGATCTTTTATTTTGTGAAACGTTGGACAGCATAGAAGATGGTAGCCACGGTGATTTCATCAATAAGGGAACCCAACAACAATGAGTATTTGTGACATGAGAATTACTTTATAGTAGTAGTAGCCTATGACCAAGCACAAGATTGAATGCGGAAGAAGAGATTGATAGATAATCGTCATTTGAATAGTCGTGGTGAAGAAGGTGGGATCATCATCCAATAAAGAAAAATGACTTAGTGATAAGAGAAGAGAGAAGGCATTTGGTTGGATGGACGCAGCCAGCAGCTGTTGGTCGGACTATAGATTTCCACACCAAGGACTGGATTGAATGCATGCACGAACACACCCATTTATCTTCCACACCTTATGAATACCTCGTCGTCACCACCACCTCCTTCGAATGAAGACCATGAATCACTCTTGCTGGAATCACCATCACCACCACCTGCAGCTACTACTGCTACCGACCTTGAAGAACCATGCGAGATTCAAACCCATATGCGGTCATTTCTAAAACAACATACAGCGTACGATGTCTTGCCTGTGAGTTACAGACTCATTGTTTTTGATACCCGTCTTTTGGTGAAGAAAGCACTAGGAGCACTTGTACAAAATGGTTAGTTTATTAGGAGGAGAAGCAGGGAAACAATACTATAGGCCTTCTAACAGTATAGGATACGATGATGACAGGGATCGTCTCGGCACCTTTATGGTCAAGCGATACACACCAATTCGCCGGCATGTTAACGGTCTCCGATTTCGTACACCTTATTCAATACTATTATCATCACATGTCAGTCGAGGATGCTCTACAAGATATTGAAAAGTTCGAGATTGGCCATTTACGCGACCTTGAGAAGAAATTGGATATGCCAGCACCGCAATTGGTATCCATGCATCCCATGGCGACCTTGTATGATGCCTGTCAGCTCTTGGCAACGAGTCGTGCTCATCGCGTACCCTTGTTGGATCATGATCATCTCGGCACAGAAACCATCATCAGTGTTGTCACCCAATACCGTATCCTCAAGTTCATTGCCGTCAATGTAAATATCATATATGTATGGTGGATGAAGGAAGGCATCTAATGTTTCTCTTCTTTTTTAGTTCAAGCATACACAATCATTACGACGCACATTGGCCGATTTGAAAATTGGGACCTACAAGAACATCGCAACTGCTACCATGACTACGCCTGTGGTTGATCTTATCAATACCTTTGTCGACAAGAAAATAAGTGCTGTGCCGATCGTAGATGACCAAAGTAAGTATGAGGAATGAAAAAGGGAAAGGATACAGATATTCATGGGATCGATTAGATGTTGTATTGAATGTATACGAAACGGTGGATGTCATGGTATGTTTGAAGAAGGAGGATGTTAGTACTACCCCATGCTAAGAGTATACCACGTTTTACAGAGTATAGCCAGGGCAGGCCGATTTAATGATCTTGACATGCCGGTGGAAGAAGCATTGGAAGCACGTCCCAAGGTAAAAGGAAAGAAACAGAGCTCTTCTCCTTCATTGTTTGGCTGATCCATGATATTGTAGAACTATCCTGGTGTGCACACATGCACTTTGAATGACACCTTGTACTCAGTATTTCGGACGATAAGGAAACAGCGAGTCTATCGGTTGATTGTGATAGATCAAGATCAAAAACTCGTGGGCATTGTGAGTCTTTCAGATATCCTTGGTTACCTTGTAGGTTATGAACATTAAATCTATTGTATATAATGAAACGCGTATTCTTTTGCATATCATCATCATAAACCATCATTTTAAGGAGGAGGAGGAGGAGGAAACGAGGAGATACAAATTTATATAATTGGACAAACAAAAGATAAAAAGGAATTCAAACGAGGACACTATGTACATGGAATCGACCGGGGGGGGGAAATAATAGAGGGATGATGAGATGTTGGGTGGGGGAGAGAGATGTTTAAATGGATGAATAGCCATGCCCTGAGAAATAAACTTCCAATGCACGTTTCAATTCGGTAAAATAAACAGCTGAATTGGTGCTGTTGTTGTTGGTGGTAGTGGTAGTAGCGGATGAGGAAGTGGTACATGGGGAATGATGACGATGGTGGTTGTGGTTGTGGTGATGGCGATGTTGGTATTCAGAAAGTGATTCATCATCATCATCATCGTCCGAAGTTGTTTGTAGCGTGCTTTGACTTGATTCGGAATAGGGAGTCAACATGCCTTGATTGTGGTCAATGGCGGGATCTGAAAATGCTGATGTGAGAATGGTATTGTTGTATCCATCCGAGGGGCTCATGAGATCCATGTAGTGCTTGAGGACACGTAATGTTGCATATAAATTGTCAGTGGCTCGTGCACGGATGGCTGCATTGGGAGAATTACGTAACATCTTCATGGCGTCACTTGCTACCAGCACCAAATGCAACTCTACTATACATGGCAACGTGTCGTGCAGTTCTTGGAATATCCTTGCAAGAGCATCCGTGCAAATCGATACAATCAAAAGTGCTCGTTCCCCGTCAATTCGATTCAATGATGCACCCATAAGATTGGTTTCTTCAGGAGCATGCATCACTCGCGCTTCCAGTGATAACCAAGTGGAATAATATAGCTTGTTGAGGTATAAAACGTGATAATCACGGCATTGCTGAACACGACGTTGATCCAGGTATTCCATAGGCCCATCCGATAACTTGAATTCTGAAGGCATCGATCGCCAAAAAGCAAACATTTGATTCTCCAAGTGCTCAATATCGGTACAACGCACTGATTGCACCGTGCCTGCCATGAGTCTGTAACCGGTTTCATCCACCTTTGTAAAGATGTGGCACTCATTCATGCGTACAACTTGCTGATACAATAATATTGAATCACGAATAACAGGATCTTGTTGTTCACAGGGTAAAAGTACAGGGTAGCCGACATTGTCATGCAACAAATCATCCGAGATATTGGCACGTCCATCATGGATAATGTGTAGGCTGATCTCCAGGTAACGAATCATATAAAACATACGTCTCCAAGACTCCGCTTCTGCCAAGACAACCCAATCGACCGTATTTGGATCAGCATCCAAGATCTCCATATACTTGTGCCTCAATTCCAATGCCATACGCCAAGCCATGCTGATCGTGATGCGTGCCTCGCTGTTGCGTAACAAGATCAAAGAACATTGACCTAAGAGTACCAAGGTACCCATCATTTCAATATCCGGCTCTTTTTCAAACATGCTATCTTCCAATAATTGCCGTGCTTCTTGTCGAAAGGATTCAGCCATAGCGCGTCGATACATTAATGTCATGCCATCCACATGAACATGTTGACATTGTGAATAGCCGATAAATGCTGCAATAGCTGTTGTTAACATGCTGTCAGGTTGATTGCGTAAGATGTGTTGGTAATAGGGTCGTACAAGCACGGGATGAATGAGGCCGAAACAATGAAAGAATGAATCATAAAAGTGCAACTTGATAAAAGTGCGGGACCAAGTTGGAATCACTGGTGAACAACACGATTTGAATGATGAGGAGGGCGATGGCTGTTGTTGGATCATTGTTGTTATCGATGTTGTATCATTGTCTTCTTCGACTTTGCTTCCAAAAAGGGAACGTAATAATTGTTCGATGAAGAGCATCTTATTGGTCACTGTCAATCGCTGCAATCGTTTATCGACATAATACGTAGGTTGCCGTGCTGGTGTTGATAATGAAAAATAAGGCATTGATCGTTGTAAAAACATGGCAATGTCGGCTACTGATTTAATGTTGGTCTGAAATTGGAGGCCATCTGCACTGCGACTTAATGTCAGCTGCCATCCATCATCATCATCATCCCGTCGTTGCCGTTTCGTATGCCGTAATATACTAATGTTGTCATCATCATCATTATTGTCATTATGGTTGTTGTCATGCTGTAATTGTAGTGCCACATTCAATGCTCGTAACTGTTCCTCCATAGCAGCCACGTCGTCCTCCAAAAGATGAACTTGATCAAGCATTCGGTTGCGCTTCGATACTGGCACCGTCTTCCTGCTAATGTCCGGTTTGATTGTAAACTTGAATACACACGGCAACTCCATGCGATAGCATCGTTCACATTGCATGCCTTGTGCCACAAAGCATTTGCGTCGATGAGCACGACAGTTTTCACCTTATCATATATATGTCAGTCAATAGAGTCTTTGTGTTAAACCCCTTCTTCTCCTCTACTTACAAGGTTTATTTCGCTTCTGCTTGGCTATACCATGAGAAGCCATTGATAATGTGTGTAATGGGGTGTGAACAAGATGAGTATTGTATGTGTGGTGGAAACGGTATAGCTTGCAAAAAGACACAAGAACAAAAAAAAGCCCCCCCCCTTTCGGGGCATGCAAGAAATGGGATATCGGCTAATCTTGCGTCCCGATGCTCCCATCTTATGTCTTATCCAATGGAGATCCTGTATGCATCTGGTGTGTGTGACACTATAAGCAATAGTACTTGTGTCTATCGTGAAACAATAACCCTTATTCTCTCACTCTCTCTCATTCTCACTCTCACCACTCTCTTTCTTTCCCAACCAATCGATGACTTCCACTCCTTTGTAATATAAACGTATGTAAAGAAAAGTAGTATGTATGTACGTGCGCAATATGCATGTATGCACATACATGTATGCAATGTCATTAGCTGAGCCTGATCTGATGAGAAAGGGATGAAACGGGGTAACTTGCTCTTTCGGGTGGGTCAACAACAATTATGAAATTCTCCTTGATTGCCCTTCTTCCTCCCCCGCCGCTCATTGATCCATCTTTCAACAGCGACCCTCATTCCATGTTGGTACTACTTACCCACTATTGCCCCACGTAATATACAGATGTTTCACATTTTACACATGGCTGATCTGATCATACCGCCGCCCTTCTTAGCAAGTCTCCCTCACTTCCTCTCCTTTGATCGACAACAATGATATCATTCTTCTCAGCTGGCGGAATAAAAGTGTAGTTCATTGAGAAATGAATTGACGCGTTTGGACAATACATGCTCAGCATCCATAAAGAACAAGGAGAAAGACATGTTGATGCGGGTCATCATGATGATGATCTGCTGACTTGATTACATTTGCAGGATTGGGTGACACAAAACAACGTCCCCCATCATTCGGTGCAACTTCAGGGTCGATATTACATCACGTGATGCATCATTTAAGACGACCTGCTGCTGCTAAAAGACCTCAGGTAGGTGGTCGTCATGGAATCAAGAGTATGGATTTCTAGTTTCGAGCTGTATGGGGTATGGCAATTTAGGTCTATCGATCCTTAGTCGAGAATGCATAATCGTAGACAACGAATGTACTACAGCGTGTCATAACATGCCTTTCAAGGAAGAACACGTAAATGTGGAGAGAGAGAGAGGAGTTACAGTCAATGGTAGTCATGGAGAATGTCATGTGTTCTTATTCCCGTTGCCATGGCAATACGTATGATACACCTTGCACCACTTGTACAATACATCCATCACCCATATATATCTCCCTTTGCCCATAACCATATTCGTATACAAAAAACGTTACTGTGTATTTGATGGACGTGTAGATATGATGGAATACATTGGATAAAAAGGTGTTGTTGTACTTTGCGGTTGATGCTATCGCTGGTGGAATGTACTTGATGGATGCATTTATGGGTGGTGGTGTGAGATGTGCGTGTGTATGGTTGCGTGCATGTGCGTGTGTATCGAAGTCAATAGATGGTTGTTAACGAGCCTCGAATTGAACCACTATTCAAAGTTATTAGTAAACAAATGACCTCCTCTATCCAATGACCATGATGAAACCTACTTCTCTTTGTTCTCTTCTTGTACATGATTCTGTGACCACAGTCTTGGCAACGAATGGGCTCTCTAGGCTTGAGTTGATTTTCACATCCACAGTCTACTTCCTGGATTAGTCATCCTGCTAAGCATGATCGAAGGAGATCCAGACTTACCAGCACAAATGTAGACCATGGCTTGGTTTTGTGGACGGATGGGAGTACCCTGGTAACCTTCCATTGTTCAAGGTGGCGGAAAGAGATAGAAAAGTTGACAGCACAGTGGGGTCGGTCAGTCAAAAAAGTCAAATTTTGTCACTGTGGTGGTGGTGGCGGTGCGGAGGTGCTGATCGCTCCTCGCCATTCGTATACATAAATGCTACATCGTGTGGTCATTGCTTGAGATAAACATGGATTCTCATATTGGGTGGTTTGATAAGCTACGTTTGATGTTGTATACGGCTGGAGGCATCATTGGTTGGGGGTGATTATCAAATAGTTTTAGCATTAGAGGAATCCTTGTAACTTTTTTCATCTTGTGGTAATGCAATCCGATCATTGCAAGCTTTTCTTGATATGAATCAATGAATCGAGTATCACACCTGCTTGCAAATGACCATCACTATAGACTGATGCCATGTGATCTTTGGAAGGTAAATTGGCTCAAAAGACACTGGCCATGTGGATTTGTTTCACCCGGCTGATACAAGCAGGCTTTGTCGCCGATAAATGAGACTTGCAGGAACATGTTTATTATGAAATAGGATTGCGTATATTCGATTTTGGGCCACAAAGGGTAAAAACACGATGCCATATGAGGCGAGGGGAAGCAATACGTGACTATTTGCAGTTGCTGCCTGGAAATCAAGTCCTCATCTTTGTCTCGGTGTCGTTTTCATTCTTCCTGCACTTCCGAACACACACACACACACACACACACAGAGAAAAGCCTCCTCCTCCCATACACATACACACTCTTAACCATGACTGACGACTTGATGGAAGACGTGTCAATGTCCCCAGTATCATCTCCCATGGAGGTTGAAGGTAAAGAATAAAGAAAACGATATACAATGGTTCAAGCTTTAATGCCCCCACTCGGTTCATTAGATGATACTACTACTACTACAAGGATGCCTCCCTTACGAAGGTCAACACGCGTGCGACGGCAATTTACAGAACGACTTTCAGAAGCAATGGAGAACAGCACAAACTACAATGAGGAGAGTGAAGAAGACGAGTCAATGAGTTTGGATTCACCAGCGACCATGAACCGCTATACGACACGGCTAAAGTCACCTGAAAGCGATACGGATACGCAGCAGTCAACCTTCAGGCAGCAAGTGCGTAAAAGACGTAGTTTGACACAAAGATTGGCTGAAGCAAAGGGAGCTGCTTCTTCATTACAAAAGGAGGATGATCAAGAATGGTGCGAACCATCATCATCATCAAGTGCACCTCCAAGGAGACGACGTAAGATGCGACATATGAGTGAGGAATCAGAGGAGAATACACGACCAGGCAGCATTGGATTGGAGTGTAACAATGGGAAAACAAACAAGGTTGGTCGTCGACGTCGCTTGAGACCACAGAGCGCTATTCTTCCTCCTACAACTGGATCCACAGGTGCAACTTGGGTCGAACGTACCGTCAACAAGAGTGATGATCAAGATGATGAGGATATGAGTGGCACCTATGGGTTACATAAACAATCGCCAACTTCCAAAGTGGTTAGCATTGAACCCATCATCATTGGTACCACCACCGCCACCACATCCTCCTCTTCCGCCAAAAATAGTCAACAACAGCAGCAACAACAGCACCACAACAGCAACAGCAATCATCATCCACACTCTATAGCAACAGTAACCAGCACCACAGGTGAAGGAGAAGGGTTACCAAGGCGACGTCGTCCTCGACCTGATTCTTTGGCAGAAAAGTTGGATCGATTCGCGCAACAACCTGCCGTTGATCTAGTGGATCTTAGTCAACACTTGTACATTCCAAGTATCGTTTCACCACAAGAACAGCGACAATCATCGCCTTTATCATCCACATATCAAGAACCTATCGTCATTGATGATCCAACACCACCTTCATCACCCATTGCAACTACTACTACAACTACTACCACCACAACAACAACTATGAACTCCTCTCCTCAAGCTGCTGCAAATGCTTTATTGGATCATCCTTCAAGCTCTGAGAATACCAATACTACTACTACTACTACTACTACTACTACTTCTGATGCTACTTTGGAAGAAACGACGACAGCAGCCGATCTTCATCATTCATCATCCGATACCAATACGACTCTCGAGAATGGTACTATATCACCACTACAAGATACTACGATTCAGCCTTTAAATGATCATCAGCAGACAATGGATCCGGGGGAGGAAAGTAGCCATGATACCGTCAGCACACCGGCCAATAGTCAATCGCCGGATCATCACCATCATCAACATCATACCAGCATGGATATCAGCAGTGACCAACAACAAGAAAACCAATTACAGGATCAGAAGCCACCATCCACTTATCTTGGTCGTGTATTTGGTACAGTCTCGCGGTTATTTTGGGGTTCCTGATGCCTTTTGTTTATCCATCACACACACTCTCTCTTATTTGTATTTCAACACTTTCCGCATCTTTGTTCATTTCTTTCCCCCTCTTCCCACCTCACTTGCGGATTACATAGAAGAATTCGCTCTGTCATAATAAAGTTCTTGATCACGTAAATACAATTTATATTTGCCAGCTGCTGGACATGAGGTTGATGTGTGTGGTTCTTTAAAAAAGAGACCAGCTCTTTATTTATCCATTCGATGCACTAGGTTTCTATATGTACAAACCTCAAATCATATGTAAGCACAAGGATGCTGGTATTTGAAAGAATGCAACGCGTTATTTGGTTTCGACCATAATCCATACCACCTACAATGATGGTTCTACCATGTTTTGTAACCATAGCTACATGTGTTGATACTTGCATGGATGATTCACCTTCATCTTGATGGAGATACCTAGGATGCGTAAAAAGTAGTCGAGTAAGCTTTCAGGAGCATGTAAACACTCCTTATGAGAACACGGTATCCTCTTTTACGAGGGCGTATATTCGAACTTTGTTTTCATCCTCCTCTAAGGCTATAAAATAGTGAGATTTCTTTTTACCGCTCCTGGTACGTGTCTATTGTCTTTTCAGCTCACTCAAGGCGATGAAGGTTTTTTCTACTATCATCATTTCCTTTGCGTTTCTAGGTGCGTCTCATTTCAATCCGATTGCTGGCCGGCTTCAAAACGGGTTCTGTTCATTTGTGCGCAGCTTTGATGCTTGCCCTTCACGCTCACCTTCCTGTGCGTATGAGATCACTAAAGCCAAGAGCCAAAGATATGGTATGTATGGATATGATTCGATGTCAGCATGCCATTTACCTTGCTTGCTACATAGATAACATCATAAAGCACCCATGCTCTCCTCCTAAACAGCCTAGTGAATGCAAAAAGTTTCATTATAAGGAAAAAGATTGTTTGAAGAATGGATGCACTTGGGTCCATATAACGGCGTTACACGAGAATGCGGCATGTGAGTACAAAAGTATGCATGTAAACGTACCATCATAACCATTAACATGTATGCCTCAAGACAACCTCGTCATTACCCAATGTAGAGAGAAGCTGTTTTGCCCTGATCTAGTACAAAAGTCAACATGTGACAAACATTCAGATACCTGCAAGTGGAACGACCAATACAGCGCATGCATTGATAAATGAGGGTCCTTTCTATGTACCACGCGAAATAAATGGTCCCTCCAGAAAAGTGTTCGTCTTCATTATTTTGAATGTTACCATCGTGCTTAAAATCGGCCTACATATTATGTGCTTTTGTGCTGTTATGAAATCATGACTTTCAAAATGACGTTAGATGTACATGACGTTATGATGTTATGTGAAGCTTACTTTCAGATAATCCATTCCCTTTCCCCGTAGGAGAGTGAGACACACACTAAAGATAGCTCTAGGGCTTGAAACTAGATGGGCATGTTTTCGATGCAGACATCCATGCAACAAGGGTGGAAGGCTGCATCTCACATGCAGGATTTACATAAACAAGGGACTCAAGCTATGATGTACAATACTGAGCTTCTAAATCGCATGCTACTGTAGATTCTTTAACTGTAATCAAAGCCGAACGTGGTGTATTTGAGCTTCGGATTCCATGCTCAAAAAGATATAAAACACCGTTTTCCATCAACTAATACCACCTATCCTTTCTACTCATAACAAGATGAAGATTTTCGCTATTGCCATATCCCTAGCCTTTCTTGGTGCATCTCATTCTGTTCATGGTGCCTTCCCCAAAGATCCTAGTAAAATCGGTGACGTTTTTGAAGATGGCTTATGCTCACTTGTCCGTGGCCTTGATGTTTGTCCTCCTCATAATTCACTTCCCTGCACTTATGAAACCGTCAAATCCAAGAACAGGTGGTTTGGTATGTATCAGCTATCAGTTTCCCTACCGATACTGATATACGTCGTATGACTTACTCTTCTTCTTATATATGCTATGTAGATAACACTATCAAGCGTCCATGCGCCCCTAGCAATCCAGAAGTCAATTGTGTTGATTTCAAAAAGAATGAAAAAGAATGCCTGAAGAATAATTGTACTTGGCTTGCAAGGACAGTGATAAACAGTGAGTAGCAGCACCCATCAAAACGCTTATATCCAAACACCAATAAGCTAATGCTTTACGTTTGCACCTAAAGGAAACGAAGTTCAAACCGCTTGTACCGACGGGTTTTTCTGCCCCGATATTGTGAGCAGACAAGTATGTGCACAGTATTCAGATGAATGCAAGTGGAATCGAAGAACTCGTATTTGCGATACGAGAGAACAGGTTGAAGGTTGAGAATAACCCATAAACAAACTATCGGTGCAAAATAAATGAGTTTCCATAAACGAGAAAAATGAGCGTCTTTTGCAACTATATGCAGAGGATTACAGAGAGCAATGTTGGCCATGCCGGTTGGCCCTTTATGTTATGGATTCAAGCGATAGCAAAGAACAATCCAGTAGGGCTACGTAGAATCTTAAGAATAGGAGGATGAATAGGATACTGGGACGGCCATCTTTAATACTGATACTGGCAGCTTCGGTTGCTCGCTTCGCTCATCAACTTTTGATTTCTCGTTGAAGAATGGCTTCACACTATCTATTGAGTAATGGTGCAACCACATTACGATTTGGTGGTCTTAATCATACAGGAACCTGTAACCTCTTGTCATCTGTATTTTCAATAAGAGGCCAATATTGGTATGGGTATCACATGTTGGTTGCACAGCTTCGGTTGTGGAGCTGTCTACAAAGTAGAGCAGGATTCTCCATTCAGGTTTGGTTGCCATGGCGATCCTAGGCTTTGGTTGTTGTTTAAGGGTGTTCCTTTTAGTAGGAATACAAAAGAACAAAAGCATCTCGATACAATGATGTGAATGATACAATCTCGCTTTCCCATCATCATGTTTCTGTTTCCCCCTTTCAACCCAAAAATCAACCAAGCGATCGACATCTTGCACACATGAGCTGATAGCACGATACTCTAGGTGTTATGTTGAATCCAATGCTTATTTCGTTGAAGTTGAAGAAAAAGACATGGTATATTTAAGGATCATCATTGCCAAATGAACTGTGCATGAATCATATAGAACCAACGGGTATCATTGTATTCTTGGTCGCTGCCAGTCATAAGCATCTTCATCCGTCATTGTAAAATAGCCGCTGCATGCATTGACTTGAATATCCCAACATCCATGGCTGTAAAACACCTTTCGTCAAAACATACAAGCCCTCTTATCCATGCCATCCAATCCATGATCATCATCAGCCGTCTCCACGTGACATGATCCATCTTCCCTGCTGACGACGTACCAAGTAACCAAAACGACATCTCAGGATCACCGGCCATTTTGCTTGATTGCATCCACCCATCCATCCATCCATAACCATGACAAGTCCAACATCATGTTGATAGAAAGAATCGCTTGCTGAAGTACTTCCTTTTTCGATTCGGCTGTTGGTCAATCACTTGCTCGGTCACCTTATTCGCAGCTCAACCAGATGAAGAAGGTTTGCACTGTGCATAGTAGTCGATGGCTGATATGGCATCATTCATAGCAATCCGTACGTATTAAAGCGAGTTGCAACACGTAGATAGAGCTGCCTTTGTACAATGGCTATCTGCTGTCCACGCAAAAAACGGCTGTCAAGCAGGTTGCTGCTAATAGCAATTGCTGGAATGAATGCTGACGCTTGATCGTGGCATAGGAGTGCGCGAGATGGCATGTGGTATCAAGGAAGGCACGTGTTATAGTAGAGTGGCAAGAAGGTTGTGTACACGCCGTGGACTTGCCATTCAGTCAAAGGCAATCGGATCACGACAATCGTAAGCTTGACATGATGGGTTGAAGCGGGACAATCACTTGCTGGTGGTAGTTGTAATTGGGAGTGCAATCGATGTCGAGAGGGGGAGGAAGAAGCAAGAGACTGGGTGAAGAAGAAGTGGAAATCAAATTGAATGATGTTTCTTTGTTTCTTCGTTGTTCAGTCAAATCCTCTCGGATCAACGAAGTTGGATGATGGACATGATGGGCTGGAGCAGAACAACTGTTCACATGCATTGGATTGGGAAACAAAGATGACTGGGAGGAATGGGCTATCAAGTGGCAGTTTACGTATAACTAACCAATTTGATTCTTCTGATATTGGATGATGTTTCTGTGTTTGAGCGTTTTTCAATCAAATCCCCTCGGATCATGAAAGTTGAAGGATGGGGATGATGGGCTGGAGCAGGGGAATCGTTTACATGCATTGGGTTGGGTAACAAAGGTGAATGGGATGAATGGGCTATCAACGGGCAGTTTGCATATAATCAATCAAATTGATTTCTCTGAAATTGGATGATGTTTTGTGTTTGAGCGTTTCTCAGTCAAATCCTCTCGGACCAACAAAGTTGAAGGATGGAAATGATGGCCTGGAGCAGGAGAATTGTTCATATGCAGTGGGTTGGGCAACAATGCCGAATAGGAGGAAATGGCTGTTAGCTGGCAATACACACACCGTTACTAAATGGTGTAAAGCATCATGCATGACCCTTCCAATCCTGCATGATAGGCTGTGTTACACAGCACGACCCTCTGCATCTTTTGCTCTGTCAGGGTCCACCTACTTTACATTAAACAAAGACCACTTCTCTATAGCATCACGCTTACAAACATAAAGGTGCCTGTATCTCCAAATTTTACAATGAAACGTGGGGTTTTTATTAGCGCAATGGGCTCGGCTTGGCCAACAGCACCTTGTGTGAAAGTTTCACGTTCAATGTCGCAACTAGCCCAAAAAATATTTTTTTGGTCGTCGTCGTCGAAGAGGTCGATCCCCAGATCCAGTTTGGCTGGTAGCGACATTGCGAAATCTGGGATTGGCAAGCTTGATCGTGAAACTTGCACCCGAGGTGCAGTTCGCCAAGCCGAGCACACTGCTGTAATAAGAACCCCACGTTTGATTGTAAAGTTTGGAGATACAGGCACCTTTATGTTTGTAAGCGTGATGCTATATGGGAAGTGGTCTTCGTTCAATGTCAAGTCGCTGGACCCTGGCAGAGCAAAAGACGCAGAGGGACCTCTTTGTGTAACTCAGCTACTTTGCATGACTAGAAGGATGGAAGGATGATACTGTATACTATTGACAATATCCCATACATTGCGAGCTAACAGCCATT